ATTGTCCAGAGAAGAAAGATTACAAAAGAAAAATATTGTATTGAAGGATCAACTACGTTATTTACTAGATTTTTATAAAACAAAAGTGTCGGACGATATTCCAAAGAGTGTATTAAATCTAGAAAATGTTAAGATTAACTATGCCAACGATGCTGAAGCGGCTGATAAAGAACAACAAAGCTTGGTTGTGGATGTTTGGAAATTTGCTAAATCAAAGCAAAACTGGTTGATCAAGCATTTTTTTAATACTGAAGAGATCCCTACGGAGTATGACGATATACTGATTGAATATTTTAAGGATCTAAAGGGAAAAATGAAAGATGATCTAATACAGAAATGTTTAGCACAAATAAAAACTTGGAACGAATATTCAATTGCTGAAGAACAGAAAATCAAAGATATGGTAGAAGGTGGTGATAATAAGAAAGAATCTAAGGATGAGGAAAACTAAAAAAAAAAAAAAAAGAATAATCGATATCCTTATATATATAAAAACGTATAACATCTCAGTATCTCAGTTAACCAGATCAATCAATAATAATAATTATAATACTAAGAAGATGATGACTATAATAATAAGTGAAATAAAAAAAAAGTCGTCATCGTCATCACTAAGTTAAACTTTAAAAGATAAATTATGAGGAGTTATACCTTTAGTTCTTCTATATGTACTCATTACTTATTATTGATAGAGAAAGACCTGTTTAGACAGCTACAGCTACAGCTACAGTGCGTATGAGACAGAACGTATATTCAATCATTTAAGGTACATATAAATCCACGGGTAATATTACCAACCATTTTCTTTTTCTTCATCATTATGTGCTATACTATATTATATTATATTTGCCATTTTGCTCGTTAGTAATATAGTATAATATAATATAATGGAATACTGGTATATTAACGAGAAAAAAAGAGAGGGTTAAAAAGAAGTAAAGTAATAATTAATAAGTGGTAATTTGCTGCTTATTCTCTCGAAGACAAGTAAACTATCATTATTATTACTGTTCTTCCAATCAAATCTAATTAGAATAGAATAGATAGTCTGCTTTTCCCTTTTTTTCTTTTTTCTTTTTTCTTTTTTTCAGCTTTTCTATCTCTGTTTTTCTGCAGTCCTTTCTGACACTTCAACCACAGACATGTGTATGAGCCGTGCGATGGATGATCACTTTATTTTTTGTTTATTTCGGTATAACGGACCAACTGTCCCATCAGATTAGTACACTAATCTGATTGTCTTGTCTGATCTCTACATATATATGTATGGTAATGTATGTACGGCTCATTATATTAATAGTTAACAATGATCGGTTTATAATATGTATTTATCAATGGTAAAAAGTTTTCTCAAGAGAACCTGCATAAAATAAAACTACACATATCAATATTTTGTTTTACACACACCACATCTATCTATCCTGTTAATTGACATATTTTTTATTTTTAATACATATGAGGGTTCTTTCCTTCACTCCATTCACCCGATGCGGGAGGGAAGAAAGTGAAGTAAGGAGTAGAGGAATAAGGAAGCTTCTATTCCTGATATGTACACTATAATGTATAAATAGGCAAAACAATAGTAATTACTATTTATTATATGCTGGTTTTTAATCGGATTTAATTAGTATTAAGAGACACCAATATTCAGATTGATATTAATTATAACTCCGATTTATATGAACAGTGGATATTAATTAACGAAACAAGCTTGCAATATTTTGTAGAATTTAGATATTTGTATATGTATATTATCGCTTCGTACTACATGACGCGGTTTATAAACTAGTTCTCTGTTTTTTCCTTTTTTCTATAAAGTAACACTTATTTTCATCCCTCTCCGAATTGATATTTCAGGTGTGCCTTTGTCTGTGCGATTTGAATTATCGGTTACTATATATCAGAGAGAGCGAAAGAGAGAAAGAGGGACAAATAGTTCGTGCGCACGAACAAAATGTCGCTTCTGGGACATATTTCTTTTAGATACGTTCATGGGACATTCTATTCGTGTCTGAGATCGGAAATGTAAAATACTTTGTTTTCTCTTTTCATTCATTCAATAAAGGAAATTGTGAGCGAAAAAATGAAGACGAAGAAAAAAGGGCTTCCTCTAATCTCTAATCTCTATAGATATATTTGAAAAGGTACTACTAATTTACAGTACGAAAAAATAATAATAATAATTATTATTGAATAGAATAGATTCCCTCATATCCCAAAGTACAAAAAGAGAGAGAGAGAGAGAGGTATATAAAGAGAGAGACGTATAGTAATGGGCTTCCATCTCTCCCACCCCACCCCAGATATAATAGACTCGCTTCCCATTTTACGCTTCCCTTTTCACAGCAAGTACAAGGATATATCAATACACAAATAAAAAAATACGTGGTGTTTTTTTATAAACGCGCAGCAGCAACAACAGCATCCAGAAACAAATTAATATTAAATATTTAATCATAAAATGACGCAGCTTATTTAATCTACTACGCTATTGTTGTTTATTATTATCTCGCAAGAATATATATATCGTATTATACACGCACATAGAAAACTTATATCCTCTCTTAGTGAAAATTTAGGGAAGCCCGGACTTCTCTTATTTCAAGAATTTTGGAAGTCAAATAATCTTATTTTTCATAATCTTACATTTACTTCATTTACTTAATGTCATATGACACCCAACCCATAACATCTTTTTCACCATAAAATTTCAAATTTCAATTATTATTATTATTATTATTATTATTATTATCTCAAGTAAAGATGTGCGAACGTTACCAAACTTCAATCTATAGGTCAATTAGTCTTGCTTGTGTGGTACTTGCATATCTCTTTCTCTCTCCCACACTCTCTGCCTCTCTTCTGCCACCCCCTATTTAACTAATATTATCGTTGGCCTCAATCCAATTTCCCTTAACTAAACATACACACTTGATTATATAATATATAAGTAAGTAGGCAATCCTGTATCTAATTATTTTGAAAATTTAAATACCAACTCTTATTTTTTTTTTTGTCAAAGTTGTTTTATTCTAAATTTTTTTTGTATAACAATTCACCAAGAACTTTTATCATCAGTAAAATGTCTCTATCCAACAAACTTTCTGTTAAAGATCTAGAATTAAAAGGCAAGCGTGTCTTCATTAGAGTTGATTTCAACGTCCCATTAGACGGTAAGAAGATCACTTCTAACCAAAGAATCGTTGCTGCTCTACCAACTATCAAGTATGTCCTAGAACATAACCCAAGATACGTTGTCCTAGCTTCTCATCTAGGTAGACCAAATGGTGAAAGAAACGAAAAATACTCTTTGGCTCCAGTTGCTCAAGAATTGCAATCTTTACTAGGTAAGCCAGTCACTTTCTTAAACGATTGTGTTGGTCCAGAAGTCGACGCCGCTGTTAAGGCTTCCGCTCCAGGTTCCGTTATCCTATTGGAAAACTTGAGATACCACATTGAAGAAGAAGGTTCCAGAAAGGTCGATGATAAGAAGGAAAAGGCCTCTCCAGAAGCCGTTACCAAGTTCAGAAAGGAACTATCCTCTCTAGCTGATGTCTACATCAACGATGCTTTCGGTACCGCTCACAGAGCTCACTCTTCTATGGTTGGTTTCGATCTACCACAAAGAGCTGCTGGTTTCCTAATGACTAAGGAACTAGAATACTTCGGTAAGGCTCTAGAAAACCCAGAAAGACCATTCTTGGCCATTCTAGGGGGTGCCAAGGTTGCTGACAAGATTCAATTGATCGAAAACTTGCTAGACAAGGTCGACTCCATCATCATTGGTGGTGGTATGGCTTTCACCTTCAAGAAGGTCATCGAAGGTACTCAAATCGGTGACTCCATCTTCGACAAAGCCGGTGCTGAAATCGTTCCAAACTTGATTGCTAAGGCTAAGGCCAAGAACGTCGAAGTCGTCCTACCAGTCGATTTCGTCATTGCTGACGCCTTCTCTGCTGACGCTAACACCAAGATCGTCACCGACAAGGAAGGTATTCCAGCTGGCTGGCAAGGTCTAGACAGTGGTCCAGAATCTAGAAAGTTATTCGCTGCCACTGTCGCCAAGGCTAAGACCATTGTCTGGAACGGTCCACCAGGTGTTTTCGAATTCGAAAAGTTCGCCGCTGGTACCAAGTCTCTACTAGACGAAGTCGTCAAGTCTTGTCAAAGTGGTGCTACCGTCATTATTGGTGGTGGTGACACTGCTACTGTTGCTAAGAAGTACGGTGCTACTGACAAGATCTCTCATGTCTCTACTGGTGGTGGTGCTTCTCTAGAACTACTAGAAGGTAAGGAATTACCAGGTGTTGCTTTCCTATCTGCAAAGAAATAAGTGATATAAGATATTATTCTTATATATGAAGTTGAGTGTTTGTGTTGTATTTTTTTTAAAAAATGAAAAATTCAAAATTAAGATGAAGGGAGGAATATTAAATATAGTTTATAGAAATTAAGATTCTACCGTTTTCTTTTTCTCTCCATTTTCCTTCAATTGAATATACAATTTCATACTCTTAGCTTTTATTTACCTTTATTTCAAACTTTTAGTATATAAAAACAAATATATAATGCCTCTTTTAATGATATGAAATTTTAAGATTTTTAAAATCTGTTCCTTCTTCTTTTATGATTTATTTATTTATCACATATTTTGTTGTATTAGTGTGGTTATATCAAACCATGTCTTCGCAAGATATGATCCATTACCAGTTTGTTTCTCTGCAAACCTTAATGATCTTATTTGTGGATCACTCATAAAGTTTGTAATTGTATTCTCATCAAGTCCCAATACATCAATTGACAATTTAAGGAATTTCTTCTCATTTTCTTGTGGATCTAATAATAATATCCCATTTATTTGAGGCTCTAAGATACAAAGTATGTCAGTCTCACTATCACCAACATACCAAAATTTGTTGTAATTTTCCGCATTATTACTACCATTATTATCTTCATACAATTTATTTAATACTTCTATCTTATCTGAGCCTGTTAATAATGATTTGGAAAAATTTCCTGTATATACACACTTCGATTCTTTATTTTGATCTAATAGAAGATCATTACAATATATGTTGGAAGACGAAATATATTGTTGAGAGATTGCATCCTGGATTAATTCTCGAGACCAATTGATCGATATTACAAACAGGTCATGGACATCGATATTTAAAGTCCCTAAACATTCAATGAATCCTTTCCGAACAATAGAATCTACGCTCCCATTGAATAAACTATGGACATATGTAGATACATCACGAGTACTAACACCCTTGAATAAATTATATTTTTCTATCTCTTGAATACTATTCAATTCTATATTTCTACATAGCCTTTGGTACTCGATTTCAGATCCAAATAAAACGTTATAGTTGTCCATAGTGATTCTATCATTTGTACCAAGTTTTGCAAGTAATGGTAATGACCTTTTCTGAACATATTTGGGTTGTAGATGATTGTACCCATTCATATACGTAGTTTCGAAATGGGACCAATTTGGACTTGCAGTAGGTTTCACATGATATGCCAATCTGGCAAATGTACTAATAGTATCTTTGTTTGAAATTGTTTCATCAAAGTCACATATTAGAATGTTTCTAGACATCCTGATTCATTCAACAAAGATCTGGCAACATAGACAATTCTGAACCAGTCGTTCAGAATTAGTTATAAATATAATACAATTTGGAGTGGAATACTCACTTATCAAGTAATCAATTGTTCCCTTTATTAGTATTTGGTATACTGTGCATATGTGTATATATCTATTTTCCACAGTAAGGAATTCATGCTTCCAGACGAACTGCGCAGAGCCAAACATATTTTCACGGAAGAAAGACTTCAAAAAATTTCAAAACTTTGAGCTCATCGAAAATTTTCATCCGTTAAATGAATGGATGAGATGATTATTTATTTGAGAAATGTATGAAAGGTACTATACGTTCTGATAACTTAATCCTACAGTGAATAAAGTTCTGATAGTCACGATTTTACATATATTCTTGCAGAATATAAAATACACCAACAAAGAGAAATGGAAAATACACATATCCCTGCTTGGAAGAGAATTGCTATCAAGAAACAAAATAACGAAGTTACCAATGACTTCAGCACAGAAGATCCATTGAATGTGACAACACATTTATCCACTGGGTCATTGTCTAGGAAAGAGAAGAAACGTATCATCAACAACGATCCTGATCTTGGTAAGACCAAAAATAAAGTCACGAAGACCAAGAAAGATAAGAAGAAATTAAAATTGTCCAGAGAAGAAAGATTACAAAAGAAAAATATTGTATTGAAGGATCAACTACGTTATTTACTAGATTTTTATAAAACAAAAGTGTCGGACGATATTCCAAAGAGTGTATTAAATCTAGAAAATGTTAAGATTAACTATGCCAACGATGCTGAAGCGGCTGATAAAGAACAACAAAGCTTGGTTGTGGATGTTTGGAAATTTGCTAAATCAAAGCAAAACTGGTTGATCAAGCATTTTTTTAATACTGAAGAGATCCCTACGGAGTATGACGATATACTGATTGAATATTTTAAGGATCTAAAGGGAAAAATGAAAGATGATCTAATACAGAAATGTTTAGCACAAATAAAAACTTGGAACGAATATTCAATTGCTGAAGAACAGAAAATCAAAGATATGGTAGAAGGTGGTGATAATAAGAAAGAATCTAAGGATGAGGAGAAACAAGTTGAAGATGAAGACAAATCAACCGATGAGGTAGAGAAAGATGAAACAAATAACGACAAGGATAAGAAGGAAGAGCAGCCTGAAGTTGTACCTCCAAGTAAGTTTGTTGTGTCTAGAAGCCATAAACTACTAACGAGGTGGGTTCAACTTGAAGATGGGAGCATTGACAAATCTAGTATGGAACTACTAAATTTCACTATATAATAAACAATATTATTTAATTACCTTTGTACACTATTCCATCTCAAAAATCGGGTAGTTTGACATTTAGATATCTAATATTAACATTTATTTTATCTTTCAGTATTGATATTACGGGAAAAAAAATCACAACGCAGGAAACGTTCGCGACAACTAAAATAAGATGCTTGGTCTTTAAAAGGTACTGATTAAAGTTCAAGGTATATTGACAGAACATTAGAAAAGTTAATCCGATATTCACAACAATACAACTTGTGGTATAATGGATAAGAACATATAAACCCAAATACAAGAAAAAAAATAATGGCATACGAAGGTTATTATATAAACAATAAGAGCTTAGACATGAAAACATATGCAAATATTGGGAGATTTCTAACGATGACTGGGGAATGGAAAACCCGGTTTAACTCGTTCTTGGAATCACAAGATAATTATGGGAAGACTAGTAAGGAAATTCTAAAAGAGTGCGAACAGTGTTTATTAAGTTGTACGTCAGACTCCTCGACGGCTTCTAAAGATGCGATTGCAAGGTGTAAACAAATAGAGAAAATTCTTCAAAAGAAGAGGCCAAATAATAAAGACTCTTCAGATTCGAATCTAATCATAGAGGAGATAGATTTGAAAAAAAATACATTTGGAACTACATCAGCTAAATTGGAATTTGATTCAGTAACTGGAAAGTTGATTAAAGAGCCATTAGAAAATTTGGTTATTGAGGAATTGGATGTCGCAGAGTTTAGCTGATTTGTTCGAATGACAAATTTACATAGCCAGAATACTAATAGTACCGTACTGTAATATACAAACACTTGTCTACCTATATATTTGTATGCTGTTATACTTTTTTTTAGATATAGATAAAGATATATTAAGATATAACAGTCTCACACACATTGGCTTAGAATTTAAAGAATAAAAAAAAAGAAACTTGAAGGTTGTTAATTTCAAATAAAACCAATAATATATAAATCATTTTCTGAACGAAAAAATAAAAGCCCTGTAGGGGGCTCGAACCCCTAACCTTGTGATTAAGAGTCACACGCGCTACCGATTGCGCCAACAAGGCTTATTTAATTAAAAAATATTTACTAAATTTAACTACATATATTTATCAAATTATTTCTTTTCCCCCTTTGCAATTTATGTAAAAGCTGTTAATGTTGAAATGCAGGGGGAATTGATGGGAAAATTGAATATTAGACATCTTCTATTTAACTGAACAAATTTTATTATCAGAAAAAATCAACTTATGGTCGTCTGAAGGTTTTATATCATATATAAAAATATATAAGGTAAATTATGGAAACAATTATATTCATAAATGTTGTTCCATTTATATATGTTGGATTATCATTGTCGTGATTATAAACGCACTCGACAGTGGCGTAAGTAATCTATTATTAAGTCGTTGCGGGATGAACCTATCGTTAGATCTGACAGAAATTATGTGGAATCAAGATATCTAAAATGTCCTAATAAGAACTAAACATTTTATTAGGTAATAGTCGTTTAGGCCATAATCGTTTAGAAAGCAATTTCATTACTTATCAATCGTTTAACCAACAATCGTTTAGGTAATCAGTTTACTACTTAACAATCGTTTAGGTAACAAGAAGAAACGAAACTTCGATAAAATAAATAATATATAAAGACAGAGAATTCTGAACTTACATTCTAAGTTAGATTCTGTTCGTTCTATAAATTATATACAATACAAAAAACAATGACTTACAAATAGAAGAGAAATATAACAAGTATATTTTACCTACCTAACATTAAAACTTAAGCTACACCATTCACCTCTATACCTAACACCTTTAATAATGAACGAATATAAGTCTAACCACAGTATGTCTGCTTCAGCTCAAATATATTATAAGAATGATAATGACCAAGGTTATGATCTGATGCTAGGTTTATCCCTCAACAATTTACTAATATATTACTTACGCCACCGTTGAGTGAGTTTATGTCGGAAATATATTATAAGAGGGATAATGACCAAGGTTATGATCTATTGATAGATTCATCCCGCAATGATCTTGAGCTGAAGCAGACATACTGTGGTTAGACTTATATTCGTTCATTATTAAAGGTGTTAGGTATAGAGGTGAATGGTGTAGCTTAAGTTTTAATGTTAGGTAGGTAAAATATACTTGTTATATTTCTCTTCTATTTGTAAGTCATTGTTTTTTGTATTGTATATAATTTATAGAACGAACAGAATCTAACTTAGAATGTAAGTTCAGAATTCTCTGTCTTTATATATTATTTATTTTATCGAAGTTTCGTTTCTTCTTGTTACCTAAACGATTGTTAAGTAGTAAACTGATTACCTAAACGATTGTTGGTTAAACGATTGATAAGTAATGAAATTGCTTTCTAAACGATTATGGCCTAAACGACTATTACCTAATAAAATGTTTAGTTCTTATTGGGATATCTTATATATCTTGATTCCACATAATTTCTGTCACTACCTAACACTACAAATAATGAACGAATCAAGATCTAACTCTATTATGTCTGTTTCAGTAAGATAAAATATCTTGTTCCCATATATTTTCTGTCATTTCCCATATTCAATTATATAACATTTAAGTAGTATACAAATAACACAAGGTATAAACTCTAGGAAATACTTTTAATCTTTTCTTTTTTCTTTTTGTGATATTGACCGTTCTTTTATGTTATTTTCATCTGGAATCATAAAAGTAGAAACACTTTAATATTAAATACAGCAATACTGAAGTTATCATCAATATGCAATACTTATGGTTATAACTAGTCACAAGGTCAAAAAAAAAATGACACTTCTCTCTATATCTGGAGAGAAAAATTTAGGTCGTACCCGGACTCGAACCGGGGTTGGTCGGATCAAAACCGACAGTGATAACCACTACACTATACAACCCTAAAATTTATGAAAAAAATTAAAAAAATAATATACATGCTTAACGTACAATTTTAAATTTAAATCTTTTTTGGATCTCCTACCACTTGTTGTTTAGGCATTTACTCTGTTACAATATAGAAAGTAGCAATACTTAGTTATTACAATTTTATGTTTAGTAAGAAATTATTACTAACTGTTCAATATGACTCTAGAACTGTTAAACAGAGTTGCTGTTGTTAAACTGCTCATCTTTTGTGCATAGTAACGTTGGACTATGTAGCTCCAATAAACCCAATGTAGGGGGAATGAATACTACATTATGCAGTATATATCATGTGTTATTATATATACGGCAGTGCGGCACACTCCAAATTCTACTTATATTAGCTACCTTCACCTTCAGATAGGTTAAGCTAATGTTAGCCTTTTTAGTGCTGCCGCTACATATTCAACAAGAACATTCTTTAAGAATGATTAGTAAGTAAGTATTACTATTTGTTTCATAAATGTCTAGAACATGTTTCAAGAATGTTTAGTAAGAATACTATCAATATTTGGTAGACTGTTTTCCTTTTCCAAAAGTATAAAAGGACCACATATTCTAACTTTATATATATACAATCTTCCTTATATAGACTTACTTTATATAATATAAAATAAAATAAACCACAAGATTATACATTTGAATATCTATAATTATGTATAATTTCAACTCGAATACTAATCGTATATTCTCGATATCAAACTTACGTTTACGTTTCATAATTATCTATTAATAGATATTGTGGAGCAGTTGGTTTCGTGCGGTTATTCTATAAACCTTGGTCATTATTATCCTTATAATATATTTCCAACAATACTGTCCCTAGATGGCAACTTTGGGATTATTAATTCACCTGAATATTCCTTTTGTAAATATTTGCGGAGGTTTATCTTTTTTTAGTAGGAATATGCAAGACTATTTATGCTGTAAATTATCATCGAAGTATTGTATCACTCCAGGTAAAACAAAATGAACTAGTATAAAATAAGGACTTACCACTTGAAGTGCAGCCATTGCAATTTCCAATATCAATCCAGTTATAAATGATATCTTTATAACTGGATTGACTTCAAAAATCCTCTAATTCCCCAGAATTGGGTTCCATAAAAACCAAACCAATTAAGCTAATATACGATGACTTCAAAAATACCTTTAAACTGCTTCTAAAACGAATAATAATAAAATACAACTCAAACAACTTCATATATATATTGCTTCATACTTAATCAGCAAGTTCGTCATATCCCTATCATAAATCACGAAAGATTCAAACGATATTACTATATTAAATTCTGTATATCGAATAGGAGGCAGGTAATATTTTACTTTTCGTGACATCAGAGCCATGTAAGGGTACGACACTGACAGTATACTTATTATTAATTCCTCAGATTATAGAGTGTGGAGTTTGAACCAATTTTACGGTCTGCATTCAAATATCCACGTTGTTAATAGACTGACTTAAGCTCAAGATTTTAGGTGGAATATAAGATTAGACTCTTAGTCTTTCGGAAACTCCATATAAAATAAATAGCTAAAACAAAACCTCTACTGAAACTAGACTTCAAGAATTTAGTAAACTCCACAAGAATAGAAATTATAAATTCGATAGATAAGCCCAACATTATACATTAGAAAGTTGAATTTCGAAATCACCAGCCCAAAAATATTTTAATGTTCGTATTAAATTATTAAATTATTTTTTATTGATTAGTATATAAACATAGAGATAAGCCAATATCTATGTATATGTATATCTATATATCACATGTGCCTTAGGAGACAGATCTAAACTGTTCCCACTATTATTTTTATTTTTATTTTTATATTTTTTTATATTTTTTCCTTTTAAGTATGTGCATTACCTTTCAGATAACAGTCGAGTCCAGCAAAAGGGATAGAAAAACTGGGGAATAATACTCCCTTTTAATGTTTTTTATTATTATTTTAGGAATTCCAAGATCTGTTGCGTTATGTTGTATAGCTCCAGACTTGCATCTTCAGCAGGTTCTGAATTCCGCGAATCGTTGTCACCATGTTGCCCTGTAGAATTATTATTATTATTATTATTATTACTGTTATCCTCGTTACCATTAACATTAATTCCTGATTTCTGGACTCTCTCAGAAGTTATTTCTGCCATTCTCTTCACACCAGATATCAGTTGTTCATCATTCTTCACCAAATCAACAACTTTAACGTTATGACTTTCCAATAATTGTAAAATTGTCCATAATGCGATATGCTCAAACGTAGCATAATCACTCTTCAAAAATCTAGATAAGAAATCACGTATACCACCTTTTGGTTCATTCCAGTAGTCAATAATCTTGTTATAGTTATTGATTCTTGAACATAGATTAGCCAATGCAGCGGCAGAGTTACCAGATACTTCTTGATTTTGAGAAAATGTCATAGGAATCAATGCGTCCAAGATATTTGCATTTAATAGATCTAATTTGGAGACATCCGCTAAAGCTAAGATAGCAAAACATGCGGAGATTTCACTTTGAACACTTATTGGAGAACTCAATGCCAGTTCTTTACATTTTTCAATGGCACCACTTTCGAAGAATTCTTTTCTGTTCTTTTCAGAAGAAGCTGCCAAGTTTCTTAAAGTAGATACAGCATGGCATTGAATCTCTTCAGAGTCTCTATAATCCAAAAGTTTCACAAGTGGTTTTAGGAATCCAGCATCTACAATCAACCCTTCATTTAATGGATGAATAGATATATTTCTAATACAAGCGACACTAGCCAAAATCAAAGGAATAGAATCACTTTGAATCAATTTCACCAAATGAGGTAAACCACCAGCTCTTACAATTTCTAATTGATAACTTGGATCAGAAGCCAAATTTCTAAGAGCCAAAGTAGCTTGACATTTTACGCGAGAAGAAGTTGAATCCATCAAAGCTACCAATTTGGAGACCAAACGAGGTTCAGTTTGTGATAATTTTTCTCTATTTTCTTCATCAACAGCAATATTAGATAAAGCTGTAGTACAATAGTATTGCACATCCGGATCAGCAGATGATAATAATGATACTAGGACAGGAACAGCCCCTGCATTAACCAATTCTTTTCTATTTTCATGAGAATGGGTCATATTTAGCAAAGCACCTGTAGCGTTTCTTTGAACTCTAATATGTTTTGATTTTGCTAATCTTGTTAATGGAACCAATGCACCCGATGTAGCAATCTTATGTTTATTATCATCACGAGTTGCCAAATTTGTAATACAACCGACTGCATTACATTGAACCTCTACATTATTACCCATCATTTCATGAATCAAGGGTTCAAGACCACCCATTTCCACTATCAATAACTTATTATCATTATTCACTGCAAGGTTCCCTAATGCTGCACATGCAGCTATTTGAATCTGAGGGTCATTACTTTGTAACAGGATTAATATTGGTTCTAATACATCCCTTGATACAGGTTTAACATATTTTTCTGTAATTTCTGCAAAAGCTAGAGCTGCACTTCTTTGTAAATTCAAATTATCAGAATATACTAAAGTCGTTAATGCTTTTAATGGACCACCAGAATAGAAATCTAAATTATCTTTATCTTCTAAGTAACCTAATAAAGATGTAACTGCTTCTCTTTCATTATCAGCAATCGGTAAAATAGAAGTGTCATCTTGAGGATTCATACCATTTGCAGAACCGCCATTAGCAGAACCTGCTGAGGAAGTATCCCTCATACAACTACAACATGCACCCATAACTATATTATTATTATTATTTCAAACAAACAAACAAAAAAAGAAATCGATTCTTCACCGTAAATAACTAGTAATATAAGTTTGGCGTATAACTTTCGTAATCTCGATATTAAAAAAAAAAATTAAAACAAAGAAACCTCTAAGTAACTATCCCCAATGTCCTATCGTTATTTTTTATATAGATATATCTTTGCTATCTATTTGGTGATAAATGTGTGTTTACTTGTTGACAGTTCTTTTATAGGGAACAAAATCAAAACTAAAAAATGAGAAAAAATAAATATCACAACTAACAATATAAATATCGTTCTTTAGATATAACCTCTTTACTTAAAATATTAAATAAGATGAGACAAACACACCCACTATATCGATTAATCACAATCTCTTACAAAATATGTCAACCTTGCAATGAGTCTCCCGTAATTCAAAATAAAACCTGTAACATCCCTCTATCTCTCTATCTCACCCTAATTTGTAAAAACTCAGAATTCCCTTTCAGTTTCTCTAACCTCGCGCTGCTTTTGCTTTTGCTTTGCAGCAATATTTATCGCTCGCTTAACAAAGAAAAGCTGCAAAAATCGATTTTAGAGTGAAGGGATTATCACTGTGAACGGATAGTGTTACCCTCTCGGTGACAGAAGTCTTTATTCGCAAACCACACCACAGCAAGAATAATACCGATTTCGTAGGCTAACTATATATTGCTATATCTATTTGTACAATTTGAAGCCAGTTTTCTAGTTTATATATTTTACTTTACGTTATTCGACAGTAATACTTATGGTTGGAATTGCATGATTATCACAAAGAAATAAATACATACATACATACATACATACGTTGACAAAATGTAGTCCTACATAGTTAGACCCAGAACACCTGAACTGACAAAGGTATCAACCGCACTGAACTTTCTTAATGAGTTCTTTTGCGAATATACGTTTGTAGGGATACCGCAGTCTACTGTGACTATAACACTATCAACTGCGCCGTTACGACTACTGCTACTTGCACCATTTTGTAAAGATGATGTCTTGCCATTGTCCAACAACACCTTATCCATGAACTTCAAACAAGAAAGTGGCCATGAGTAAGAACAGAGGATCTTATCAACTTTATTAATACACACATCAAAGTTTTGTAGACCCGAACTGGAATCATAACCAGATGGTAAATCAATGGACCAAATCTTTACGTTCTTATTACGTTTGGTTTCATTACACCAATTCACAATCTCTAAAATCTTTTGATGAGAACCTCTTGATAAAGTAAAATCACTTAAATTAGAATCAAACCCTTGCATAGCATCGATGATTAATTCAACGGGACTATTCAATTTAGCTAATAACGCATTCAAATTCTTTAAAGAATTGACAAGTTTACCTCCACTATTCTTAAAGATTTCAATCTTGTTCAATACATATTTATCCTGGATATCGTTCAATGGACATGAAAACATTAATACAACACGTACTTGTTTCAATTGGCATAGATAACGGGACAATGCAATAGCTTTAATACCAGATCTATTCATATCAGAAACAAGTACTACAATTAATGGTTCTGGGTTTGTGTTCTTTACTGTAAGTCTAGTTGGTCCTCCCAAAGTTTGTTTAACCAAATAAGATGCATTATTACCGAATATTTCATTCATTGTACCAGTGGTAATACCAAATGTCTCGTTTGTTAAACGTTCGATCTCTAATAATTCCACTGGAGATGCCATTGGAATCAATTGTCCAGTCTTACTATTTTTCAATGTTGGTAAACCATTTGATACGGAACCAGATCTTGAAGAATTTGAAGCATTATTTATTAACATTTGTTCTATTTGAGATAATAATTGGGCTTTATTAGCAGTTTGTTCAGTAGAATTCCCCTCATCATCTACTGCAGAATGTAACAAATGTGTAATATTGATGGATTTTGTAATTGGATAATATTCACTGTCTTCCTCCTCCTCATCTACTATATCGTCATCTTCTGTATCATCCTCTTCGTTGTTTGTAGCAATATTACTTCTCTTTCTGTTGCTATTAGCACCACTACTTATTTCATCCTCTTCCTCATCAGTAGCAGACTCAAAATCTTCTACATCATCGTCATCATCATCATCGTTATTATTATTACTATTATTATTATTATTATTATTATTATGTTGATGCTTTGAAGATTGTTTTTGTTTGTTAAATTCAGTACCCACTTTATTCCACGAATCTTCTTTGGCATTAGGGATCACCATTTCATCATATTCATAATTACCTTGGCCACGACCAAACGAAGTTCCACTATTCGTAGTAGTATCAGGACTGCCCTTCTTATTGAACGAAACCAAACGTTTCTCTGGATCCACTTCATCCTCACGTTTCAATTGTGCAAAGACATCCTTCTTATTGAAAAGAGTCAAATTTGATTGGAAATCAAAATCTGCACCATTCTTGATCCTTCCCACATCATCATCTTGCCAATCCATCCCTTCCTGTTGTCTTGCACCACCCCTATTACCATTACCACTATTATTGTTATTATTATTATTATCATCATTATTCGCACTAGTGCTACTATTATTACTATTATTATTACTGCTACGGTTTAGTTGCAGTGGTTGCAGTTGTTGAGGAACACCTAATACTTTCAAATCCTTAAGTCTGGAGGATCTGACTTTAAATGCCTGCGAAGTACCACCATCTCCAAACGTCACGTCACTCAATGTAAGCCCCTTACTGTTAGCTTTAACGATTTTACCTTGAATAAGTTTCCCGTCTCTGAGTTCTAATTGAACTGAATATCCTGTGAATTGAGAATGATCAGACATTGTTGGTTCTTTTCTTTCTTTTGGAAGTGCCGTCTGTCTTGGTGTACATATGTCTATGTAAATAGGTAAATACTTTTAAACAGCAACAGTTTATGAATATGAATTGTTCGTTTCTTTGAATATAAGAAGATGTTGTTCCAGTAGCACTTCCAACTTTTACCAATTTTTTTTCATTTTTCATTTTTCATTTTTTCATTTCGCTTCTCCTTCCCCCAAAATAAAAATACAAAATAGATGAAACTTTGAATTGAGATGCAGAATACTGAAATAATAAAGTAATTAAGTAATTAAGGAAATTAATAATAATACAAATTAAGTAAATGTATACACACATAAAAGAAAAAAAGTATACAGGGACTATAATATAGATAAAGTAGTAAAAGAAAAACAGAATTCCTGAAATGTAATATACCCATAGTTAGCTGATAAAAAAAGATAAACAGAAAGAAATAAAAGAAAGGAAAATATAATACAAATCCTGTCCGATTTGTTTCATCGGATAGACCAAATAGAGACATATACAAGTAAAAAAAAGAAGAGAGATTTGTGGTTTTGTATGTCTTCAGATTGTGAAGTGATTGAAACAAACAAAAATTAAAAGAGGTAGTTCTTTTTATTATCATCACAATACGTATAATGTGATCAATGAGCCGACAATTGCAAAGATAAATGGAATATTACCTAAAATAGAGCTCATAACACCAAGGTACTTCATTAGGAAACATCCGCAAATTTTAGAATGTTTGAAGGAAGAAACACCATCAGAGAAGTTATCAATAATATGATTTGTCGATGTAGTGTTAATGTGACTATGTTGTAATAATAAGAATAACAACCCTTTAGTAATATTCATCATCATTGGATCAATTTCAATCATTAGATCATAACGGATAAAATTGAAATAATAAGCGAACAACATTGGTACACCAACATATGTTATAGCCCATACAAGTAATAATACAATTAAATTATAATCGTTGTTACGATCATTTTGGAAAAAATCTTGAATTAATAATAATGCTTCAATAATTTGGAAAATAATAGTAATTGTAATTAAACTTGAGAAGAAATCTTGTACATTTTCATTTAAAATCTTTGTAGATTCGACAATATCACAAAATCTTTCTTGTAAATTAAATTTAAATGGTGTTTCATCATCGTTACCGGATATTTCATTCTCTTTAAAATTTAATGTATTATAGTTTGTTGCGTCATTATTATTTTCTTTTTCAACTACAATTGGTGCAACATGTTCTTCATCGCTAGCTGGTTGTACGGAATCAAAATAATCCTTCAATTCAGGGAATTCAATTTCTGTGTCTAATGGGTGTGCCAATGAAGCCAAATAACGTTCAACTAGATCAATTACAACAGTTTTGGTAGCAGAAGTAGAAATATCATCCAATTTCAACTTTTCACAAAGATCCAATAATTCCATTTTTTTCCAACGACTGAATGAATATTTCTTGGTCTTTTTTCCAACCTTTCTAAGACTTCTTCCTGCAGGTGCAGTAATCATATCGGACATATCAACGACACTCTCCTTCAAGGGACTTGATTCCAATGACATATTGATTGTTGCGGCTTTTTGTTGTTATTGTTGTTGTGTATTTCTCACAAATAGAAGTGCTTATTGCGTATTTCTTTTTTCCTACCAGTACTTAAAAGTTTTTCAGTAAAACAACAAACAAAGATGTACAAATATACAGAAACACTTATAATAATTGTCAGATCTTACAACTGGTTTGTTTATTTGCTTGTTCGTTTGCTTATTTGTTTGTTGTTTGTTTCCCCTTATTATTCGATTTGATCTGATTCGATTTTCTTTCCCTTCACGGAGGAAATAATTCGTTTTGTTTATTTTTTGCCGTTTACAGATAAGTTTTGTGTGTCGTGGCAAGCGATATTCTGGAGCCAATCATTAGTATTATTACTATGTTGTAGACTCCATTTGTAACCAAGGTACAACTAGTGCTCATGGTGCCTTTGGGCTCTCTTATCTTGAATAACTTATAATAAAGATAGCTTTTAAATCATTCTAGTGCGCGACGCATGAATTGGACGGTGTCGTCAAGTTCAGTTTGCATTTGGCGGGCGATAGTCCACGTAGTGCTACCTGTTGGGGTACCCATGATCCCATCACTGACAGACTTTTGTAAGATCAATTGTAAATGGTTGACACTCACAGGAGTGGTAGCCTTGATCTTCTCCAAATTGAGTAATTCGCGTACTGCAAGTCTACTAGTGTTTGCACTATCGCTATTATTGGTACTTCCATTATTATCTAGACATTTGTATAATTTATCTAGGATTTTGTTCTTGGATTGTAATTTGTTTAATACAGTGTCTCTATACAATTGCAACAACTTTTCACGTTTTGGATCAACGTTACGCATTGTGATAGAGCCCTCAGGTGTACCTGTTCTACTTTTATTAGCAACAGGAGATTGAACTTTTGCATGTGTAGTAGTGTGTGTATCTAACGGAACACTCGATGTACGTTGCTTCTTATTCTCATGTGTGCTGCCTGAGGTATTCACCGTAGTAGTGTTTGTAGTAACAGGTGTGTTTGTGACTTTATCCAATTCCTGTAATATATCAGAATCCAATTTCTTTATATATTGAATCTGTTGATTTCTATACTGTGAATATTTTTCCATTATTAACATTTTTAATTCTGCCACCTTCAAATTATGGAAACTTAATTGTCCATCAGATATTACAATCCGTTGTAACGGAAACAAATCATTCACTGTCTTTAATACATCATGAATATTTAATTTATTAGTCGGATTACTCACAGCCATGATTTCATTCACCAGCACATTATTTTGGATCTCATTAGTCAGTTTCACGAGAGACAATTTGATATTACCACTAATTACAATACTATCCACCCCTGCTGCGTTCTGCTCCATTCGATGTCCATGTGTATCATTATCTGAACTATTATGTTGATCATGATGGCTATTGTTGTGATTATGAGGATCCTGCTTGATCTTCGGAAGTAAGAGCGCGTATATTATTTGTAACACGATAAGCTCCTTGACTATAGGGTCTACCATTCTAACCATTACCCTGTTTGAGTTTTGCTTTGTTTATCTTTAAAAGGTCATGCCTATGTCTATACATATCTGTCTATATGTTTTATTAAAGAAATAACTTGATAGATGTTGAAATTCAACAAAAAAGCGAGAATTTTTTGAACTTTTTGGAGTGATTTTTCTCATCGCTGAAAATTAGTAAAAACACGTAAAGTAACAACAAACTAACCACAACAACTCGTATATATAATATAATAGTAGTCTGGTTCAAGCAAGTAGAGGACTGCCATTTAAATATACATATGCGCGTATCAATAATATGTCGAAGCTTATCCCCGACCAACTGCCGTTGAATAATAATGCGTTGAAAGATCTACAACGTATAAGGGCCACTGAACAGTCGCGTTTGTTTACAGAATGTGGTCAAGAATTGAGAAACACAATGGATCAATGTCTGGAAAGTGTCCAGGAGTTAAAGGAACTTGCTCCATTGCTGGAGTCCCTAGCCGAATGTGCAGCTGCACTGGAGAAACAAGAGACGGAATACAGCACGATGGCATTGAATCTGGAAATTGCAAAGAAACAATATACTACCGAATCAGAAAAGTGTAAAGAAGTTACATTAGAGACATGGGATGAATACGTTGATAAGACTTTGGAAGCACCGGATTTCTTAGATGTTTTGAAGATGGAAAGATCAGAAGAGATAAAATCTCAAACGCGACATTTACCAACTTCACGTATTTCTGACACAAATAAAATACTACGAATCTTACCACAGATATGGGAGAATCCAAGGTGCGTGCTTCCAGATGATAATGATGACGAAGACGATTTAATGATAGACGGTGGGATTATAGAGTTAACATGTCCAATCACTTGTAGAATGTATGAGAAGCCATTAATATCGAAAAAATGTAGCCATGTATTTGACGAGACTGGGCTTAAGAGTTATTTTTCAAAAGAAAATCATCGTGATTGTCCACAGACAGGTTGCAGTAAACAACTAACTTTTAGAGACTTTATACCTGACCCAGTGATGGCATTGCGTTGCCAGATTGCAAAGATCCAAGAGACTAAACATCTAGATGTAGGTGAACAAGAATCCTTGGATGTGTTATAGTATGTTGTATGTTGTATGTGTTTTAAATTCGGCCCGAATATTTTGATATTTTTCAAAAATCGGTTAGTAATTTTCTGTTTCTCCTTAGAAAAGCCCGATTTTTCAAGTATATATATATAGATACATAAAATTGGAGGGATAAGTATATCAATTATAGTTTCTAAGTTTTAGGATTCATTACAACAATCATCTACTATATTGTACATACTCAAACAATGAACTCACAAGAAGCAATTCCATATGCAAAGAAATTTGCTCGCCTATTAAAGGCTTACAACGTCGATACAGTATTTGGTTTAGTTGGAATCCCCATCGTAACCTTTGCCAATGATCTTATTGATGAAGGTATTCACTTTATTTCGTGTAGAAACGAACAAGCCGCTTCATATGCTGCATCTGCTTATGGTTACTTAAACAATAAACCTTCAGTTTTACTAGTCGTAGGTGGTCCCGGACTAATCCATGCATTGGCTGGGGTATACAATTCTATGAATAATAAATGGCCATTAGTTATCATTGCAGGTAGTAACGATAACGGTGAACATCAATACCAAGGAACTTTCCAAGAATTAGATCAAATTTCTTTGTTAGGAGAATATGTTAAATTTAAAGGTAAATTGAATCATCATAATATGGATTTTGTCACTTACAATGCATTTAATTATGCTATACAATCTCCACAAGGTGTTTCCTATATTGATTTCCCAGGGGATCTTATTGAAAGTGGTGTGAAAGTAAATTCAACTATTTCACCACAGATTAGACCACCTCAACCTATTAAATCCTGCCCCAATCCACAGATTGTTGATCAAGTGGCTCAATTAATTACCGATGGAGTTGATACTAAGAGTCAGAATATATTAATTGTTATTGGGAAAGGTTGTGTTCATCATGCGGATTCGATAAAGACATTTATAAATAAATATAATTTCCCATTCTTACCAACTCCAATGGCTAAAGGGATTCTTCCTGATTCTCATCCGATGAATGTATCTAGTGCTAGATCCTTAGCATTAGAGGAGGCAGATATTGTCTTAGTGCTTGGAGCAAGAATCAATTGGATTTTACATTTTGGACAACCACCTAAATGGAAATCAACAGTTAAATTTATTCAATGCGATAATGATGTAGGAACTCTTGGGGTAAATAATACTTCAAATGCTCATCTATCGCTATTAGGGGATATTGATTTAACGGTTCAACAATTAGGTCATACATTAGATAGGTTATCACCTAATGGGTTCATACATCCAAAGTTACCAGAAGAGATGGAATTAAAGATTCAACAAAACCATAAGAGAATGCAAATACAAGAACATACGTCGAATGAACAAAATGAATTAAACTATCATACTGTTTATCGTACTCTAAGAGAGGTGAGAGAGGATTCAAGGACTATATTAGTGATGGAAGGAGCTAATACCATGGATAAAGCCCGTGTATCATTCCCGACTTCATTCCCATTAAGACGATTAGATTGTGGTACCACCGCTACAATGGGGGTTGGTCTTGGATATACAATTGCATCCAGACTCAGTTTCCCACATTTGGATACTGTATTGATCCAAGGTGATTCTGCGTTTGGGTTTTCCGGAATGGAAATTGAAACATTAGTAAGATTAGGTCTAGGTTGTGTCATAGTGGTAATGAATAATTCAGGGATCTATCATGGTAATAACCCGAACAGTTCAACAAAATTAAGTGAAAGGTGTCGTTATGACCAATTGGCTAAAGGGTTAGGCGCTCAAGGGTACATGGTTACAGATTTAATCGATCTAAAGAAGAAGTTCCAAGAGGCAATTATACAATCCCGTGAAAACAATGTTGTTACGTTATTGAATGTAATCATTGAGCATGGAAAGGGTGCGAGTGTATCATTTGCATGGCAAAACAAGACACCAAGTAAACTGTAGTACCAGTAAAGTATGTAGAGAAATGTGTAACAAAACAGGATAAAATATTGAAAATTACTTGAAATTATTAGCCCGTTTAGCTCTGATGGAGAGAAAAATTTGTCTTCATCAGAGTTCGAACGCTGCCAAAATACTTCTCTCTTTACTGTTTTAAGTAACAAAGAGCGCTATTTAAGAACAACGCAGCTCCTACGAACAAGACCTGCTTACACAAGGAAAATCGTCTTCTAAAGACAATTTTCAGTAACAAATTTACTATTTCAGCAGGTGGGAAATTCGGTGGAACTTTGTGAACGCGCAAATTTATAACCAAAAAATTTGTTGGCCCGCAAATTCTTTCTTCTTTCTCTGAAACGGGAAAGAATTTGCGCCCGATCTTGCCCCTGAGGGTCTGTTTTAAGCGGGGAACCGTAACAGTTAAGGGTGCACCACATACGAGTGTAACTTGGGTGTGGTGTATGGCTGCTACTATCAGCAATATACGCAGTGCGGGGTGTGGGTGTGTTTCGCACACCCTTACACCGCACTGATGGGAACGGTAGCGGTGAGTTCATTTGACGCGCAAATTCACTTAGAGTGGTTTGTGTGGTCTGTTCAGTGCAATCGTAGGACATAGCGAGAGCGTGGTCACGTGGCTTGGTCACAAGTTACGGCAGCCCCATTTTGCTATGAACCCGATACCGATTACTGTTGTTGTTCTTTGCTTTAATACCTTTCTACAAAAGAGATTAATATCTAATTTCGTTATTTTTAATTTTATTTTTATTAATATTATTTTAATATTTTATTAGATGTGGTTTTACTATGTATATATATATTTACATGTTGTTATGTGAGAAAGGGTACCTTGGGCGAGTATGAAAATGCGTATCTGTCAAAAAAAAATATACGATACACTCTCTAACGGCCAAGACCTTGGCTCATCGCAGCATTTTGTTCTTGGAAACGTTGACCAACACGTTCACTGTGCTTCAGGAACTTTTCAGAACACTTTAGAATGCAGGTTTGTTCTTTGCCAGTTAGTTTTGAAGATGTAAAATCGTTAACACAATCGTCGAAACATCTTTCTACCAAGGATGAATAAAGACGCATGAAATCCTTCATTTGCTTTTGTTCCACCAACTTTTGGAAGTCTTGTTGTTCTTTAGCATTTAATGCATCCATTTTGTCTGTAGTTTGTTTGTTAGGTTCCCTTTGTTTCCAGCTTAGGGTTCCTCTCTTAGTATTAAGTTGTACTTTTAATAAGTTAATGAACCTTTTTATAATGGCAATAATTGATTCAAACTTCCTTTTTTCCCCGTCCGAAATGAAGAAATTTCAACGTGCGAAAGTTTCGTTAATTAGGCTGAACAAGCAAACAAAAACACAAAGCACACTTATTAAAAGTCATGTGCTTTTCGCATTCAAAAAGCATTCATAATGATGTATTTTTTACATATATATATATATATAAGTTCTAAATCTTATTGTAATCTCTTCAAATATGCATCCCAACCAGCTTTCTTGTAACGTTGACTCTCGGCTGCTGGATCTCTGCCTTTACCGAATAGACCTCTACCAACAATGATAATATCGGAACCAGTAGACACTACATCATTTACTGTTCTATACTGTTGGCCTAATGCATCACCTGTATCGTCTAGACCGACACCGGGAGTCATGATCAACCAATCGTAACCTTCTTCACGACCACCCATGTCTCTTTGTGCAATAAATCCAATGACAAACTCTTTGTCACTCTTAGCGATCTCTACTGTTCCACGAGTATACTCACCATGTGCTAAAGAGCCCTTTGAAGATAATTCTGCCAACATTAGTAACCCACGAGGTTCCTGAGTATTCTCCTGGGCAGCTTCCTTTAATCCACGTACAATACCTGAACCGGTGACACCATGTGCATTTGTGATATCAGCCCATTCAACAATTTTATAAACACCACTAGAATATTGTAATTTGACCGTGTTACCAATATCTGCGAATTTTCTATCTTCAAAGATTAGAAAATTATATTTAGCGGCAAGTGCCTTTAATGGCTTCACAGTTCCTTCCATTGTAAAATCTTCTAGAATATCAACATGTGTCTTCAATAGACAAATGTTTGCACCAACTTGTTCTACAATACTTAGTAATTCAGCGGTAGTACGTACATCTAATGAAGCACATAGGTTTGTTTGTTTCTCTTCCATAATCCTTAGAAGCTTTGAGGCAACGGGACTGGTATGAGCAGCAGCTCTGGCACTATAAGATAGAGTAGACATTATTACTGGTATTGGTATAGGGGTAGCAATATTGCTTTTTGGCCACTTTGAGAAATATAAAATTATATATTTTGATTGGTTTATCTTCTAGGATAATGATTTGTTATTTGGAACCTCCCTTATATATGAGAAGCAGAGATGGCCATCGATAAAATTTCGAAGTTTTTTTTTTCAATCTCGGCGATCTCCGAAGGGAAGAGTCACTTAAAAATCGAAGTCGTTCACTACATATAGATATGCAGTCCGATTATTTTTTTCAATTATTATATTCATTAATATATGATCTATCTCTATTTATTATACATGTTCTTGTTTCTCACTCGATGGCTCATCAGATACTTGTGGTGCCGGCGATTGAGTCCTACTACCTAACCCAAGCTCTTTCTCAATGTTTTTCTTATCTAAAATCATCTTTTGTAATTGAGCTTCAACCCCATCTATCTCAAGATATTCATTGTAAACATTCAATACTTTCATGTACGTCTCACTGGTTACTGTACCTTTCCTTAAATAATACAAGTATACTGCAGATACTACCTCCAGGATTTGTTTTACTGGGATATTATGCGATATATTCTTGTCCTCAGTTTTCTTATTCTCATCTATCGTGCTCGTTTTTAATAAAGTCAATAGACCATTATCCAATAATTCTTCTACTTTGGTGATACCACCAATAGGTAACTCAATGTTTTCGGTTAATGCAACTTGTAATGAACTCAAAGCATACGTACGGATTTGTTCACATGGATTGATACATTGATGTGCTAATGCTTGAACAATTGCAATCACTTCATTATGTGTTAGTGTATGTTTTTCAACCAAATGGGCAGTGGTATTTATAGACTTTAATGATAATTCAACAACTTCCTGGTATGGATTATCACTATTGATCTTATGTCCAGATTTAGTAGATTGACTATACTCTTGTTCCCACCTGGATCCAACGGCTCCAATCGAAGATATTTCATCTAATAAACCTAAAACCAACATGAAATTATCGTTGTTCATATGAGCATCCGTATTTATTATCTTCTCCTTCAAAAATTTGTAAATTAAACTAGTGTTCTCAGCCATGGCAGCAACCATTCTTAAAACTTTCCAAAAACCTTCATTTTTCAAAACGTACGCACTATAGTTTGGAATCTCAGTTAATTCTAATAATCTTCTTAATAATTCTTGACCTTGTTCGGTTGTAAAGTATTTTCTAGTGTAAATTTCATTTTTACCTAATAGTTCATCATTGATCAATATATTCAATTTCTCTTCTTGACCTTCAATGACAGATATCAACAATAATTTATAAGTAACTGATCTACGAACGGTTCTCTTCGTAATTCCACTAGTCTTTGAGAATTCAAATAACTTGTTTAACATAATAACACCGGATTTCTTTTCATCTTTACAGAATAATATCAATGCAATGGATAATTCGGTTAAAAATAACATTTCTGCTTCAAAATATCTTCCATTTTCAGCTGTCTTTTGCGGTTTAATGGCTCCGATCAGAGTCTTGATTAAAGTCGGTTGTAATAAATTTTCGTTTCCAAAGATTGAACCAGCAACATTACTTGACTGAATACATTCAACCGCCTTTATCGACGCATTTATTTCATCATCAGTAGGCTCTTCATCACCTTTCAAATATGAAGCAAAAGTGGAGAACAAACCTCTATTTTCATGATGCTTTGTTATTGAAATTTCAGAGAGTGGTTTTGGTAAATTACCAATAACTAATTGTTGTTGTAAATCAGGGAAAATATCCGGTGAAATTAACAAGTTTTCAAATAAATTCAATAATATCTTAATAATGCTATCCCATAATTCTGGAGATATTATTTCGGAATCCTTAGTGTGAGAAACAATTCTAAAGAATATAATGGTACATAATTGTGCTTTAAATGATCTACCTAACTTCACGGCATGGTTGCTTACAGGAATCTTCTTACCAGTTTCTTGATCGGTAATTTCAACTACGGGGATACTATCAACATCCAAGTAAGAGTTTTCAATATTACTAGAGTCGTTGGTCTCGTATTTAATATCTTCATTGGATTTATCATCGGTATCACTATCCTTTGAGCTTGGACTCAAATTTGTATTCCCAACTAATGACGTTATCTTAGCAATTGAGTTTAGAATATCGTTGTATAGCTTTTTGAAATTGAAAAAGGAGGCAATATATGCACACTTATCCAAACTTGTTAGCATACGGCTTGTGATGTGATCATCGGAAGCTACTAGATAAATCTTGAAAAATGTGTTGACAATATTAGCACCAATATGTTTGAAGATAACTCTATCGAAACGTAACAATTCAATATCATTCAACTCATCGATTGGATTTTTGTTGATAATTTGACCTTCAGTCATGACTGCCGTAGCAGAAATCAAATTATTCCATGCATCCTCAAACCATTTCTCGTTACCGTGATGTTCTTCAGGCATAACAATTTCTTTGTCTCTAATGGAGATATATATTCTGTCCAAATACCATTTAGGGAAATCTTTTTCATTACAACATCCCTTTAAATTACCAGAATAATCAGCAAAGGACATATGTTCCTTAACTTGTGGGTTATGTAAATCGGTATTTAGCATGATAATGGAATAACTTAGAACAAACACAGAATCAGCATCAGGTTGAACAGAAGCAAGGTCTTCAATTTCCTCCTCCTCATTTTCTTGCTCAACTTGTTCTTTGTCATCGTCATTGCTCTTCTTTTTGTCCGGTACTTCAATTAACTTTGAAGGATCATACTTTTGACTTGTAACATATCCTTTAGAAAATGCCTCAACAATTCTCTCAATCTGTTGGGATTCACCAGGTAATCTAAACTTTGTTAGCAAAATCCTGATAGCTTCATCTACACGTAAGTCTCTAAAATCAAATAAGTTAATAAATTTTTGTAGTAGTGAAGTTTTCTTTGGATCACATAATAATAGACCAATCGTTTTCTTATTAATCAAACTGTTATTTTCAAACAAAAATGAAGCAATATCTTTATCAGAGTCTGACTTGATAAACCCCTTTTCGATCAAAAGTGGAATACCTATTTTTGCTTTCTCATTAAATGCCTTTGAACATTTTATAAACTCTGTCTTACGCTCTCTTTGTTTCAAAATGTCATTCTCGGTAACAGTTTTGTTTATATAATCCTGTTTACTCACTGATTGCATATGGTCATGCATATCATCAATCAAAGATACCAACCCTTCGAGACAAATAGGTGGCACACTTTCTGTCGTGGAGATTGCAGATTCCGGTAATGATAATTTGGATAGCGCTCTTAAAAAGTTCAAAGAAACATCTGCTCTATCCAAGTTACAATCAAATTTAATAAATGTAGAAGTGAAAAAAGAAGGTGACCTTGTCCACAAGATTGAAATTTGTTCAATAAGTAATTCTTTTACTGCAGATGGGATAATTCTTTCCAATTCTCCATCACTTTTGGAAGTATCTTTAGTTTGATTTCCTAGTAACATTGTGAAAATACGAGTTAATGTTAACTCAATTTGCATTGGCAAATGATCACCCAATATAATAACTAAACTGGTAAACAATTGCAATGCAGGTTGCAGAAGAGATAATTTGTTGGTATTTTGAATAATAAACAGAACACACTTGAAAATTGGATCAGATATTAAACTGAACAAACGTGGGTTTTTTGGAAACTTGTCACCAGATATTTCTACTGCGGTATTTATAAGTTGCAATCCAAATATTCTGGTAGAGTTTGTATGTTTTGCTTGATTTTCTGGAACAATTAGAGACAGCAGAAGATTTAAATATTGTTTGACAACAGGCAAACCATAATCTGGGTCTAATATGTCTAGTACTTTCGGTTCCTTCACTTCGAATTCTTCAATTTTTATCTCCTCAATGTTTTCTGCAGTACCTTCAATTTTATTATCATTCATAGTTTCTTCAGTGGCCGATACTTCTGAAGCCATAGATTTGGTAGATTCAATATCGTTTTCAGTAGTGCCAATTGTATCGTCCATTAAATTATTCTTCGAATAACTTTCATCGTTGATATATTTTTGGGTAACACTTTCGAATTCAATGTCTTCTAATTTTGCAAATATATTTGCTGTAATAGATATCATAGTTGCTTCAGCTGCTTTTCTTAATACCTCAGTTCTTCTTTTATTACATGCAAGGGACATAATGGTTTGAACGACATCATACATAATAGAATCTGATATACATGATCCATTGGGGGAACTAATAATAGAATTCAATAGCATGACAACCTTTAGAAGTACCGAATCATCAGAAGTTTGTTGGGACCCCTCGAATCTACAATGTGTTAATGAGTTTACAGCTTCTCTATAGGCTGCCACGTAATTTTTAGATTCAGCATTCACGATATTAAGTGTGAAAAACCTTTGTAACGAATCTAAAGCTAATGATGTAATATAACCCGAGATAGAACTAGTACTGATAATCAATAAAAATGGTTGTAGTAACGTTAAAGAGTCTATATTATGAAGAGTGTCAAGTTTATTCAGCATCAGACGAAGTTGTATAAATCCAGACAAAAAAGGGTCATTATTCTTGTTCATTGACAAGTTATTGAATGTACTGGCGAGGGAATCATCCTGGTTACTGAATACTTCACTCCCACCACTTAGTAAAGCAGCCACTCCAGATTGGGATGAATATTTAGTATATTTTCGTATAGCGGTTGATAAATTAATGCATTCTTTAATCACGATGGTTACTGGATCAACAGCAGCTACACGACTTGAAGGCATTTCTTTACAGGTATATCCTTGTATTAATTTCAGTTGTTTGCGTCTTTAAAATAGTGATATATTGTTAGAACACACACTTATCCCTGTAATTCAATGTCTGTATGTATAGATGCCTTATAATTGAGCTTCAATCCAATATGTAAATTGAGTAAGTTGTTCTTGTCGTCAGTACAGATCTAGAAATTTGTGGGGATATAGGTGCCAATTGATAACGTCTAAGGTTGTTCTAAACGTTACCATATATTTTCATTTATTCTATTTTGATCTATTTTTTTCAACTTTCAACCTTCACTGTAATTCGTGTTATTTTTCTTTCACCACTGTAAACTTCCGCACCTAAGAATGGCGAGACTAGTCCAGCAATTGGTAAAGAAACCAAAACTACGTGTAAATTTTGAAAAACACATACAAGGACACTTTGACATATAGTGTAGAATAGATGGACCTGTAATTTAGACATTATTTAACCCTATGAGATATACGACTAATTTATATAACTGGAATTGCTTTCTGGTAGATGCTAACCCTCATTATTTAGTCTTTCTCAAATTGTAACGTTTACTGCTAAAAGCGTTGGTACTATTTTGGTCTACAAGCATATAAAAGCAATACAATATCTCAGTAATGAATTATATTTATTGTAGTTTTAGATTACTGGATTATTGTAAAATATTACTGATAAAAAGCAGTTAAAGAGGTCAATCCATCATGAGATTGACGAAAATTGATATAATAAAAGATAAATATGAAATCATATATAAATATGAGACATCTTAACTTACATTTTAAGTTAGAATCCATTCTTTCTATAAATGCCATATGATAATAAGATACCACTTACAGAATTATATAAAAAATTTAAGATGAAGCAGAGAGAGTAGAGTTAGAGCTTGATTCGTTCATTATATGTAGCGTTAGGAAGAGATATGTAGGCGCAACTTGAGTTCTAATCTTAATAGAGTAAAAAGATTCTAACTTAAAATACAAGTTCAGAATGTTTTATATCCATATATTTTGTTTTAATCTCAAGTGAGCTAGGGATTGAAAATTTATTTTTTAATTGGGATTCAAAATATGTTTTATTTCCTAATTTGACCTGCTTTGTTTCGTAATGCTAAATATTTTGCTCCATACTGTAACGTGCTTCGTAATGCGTTTGAGATCTCTTGTTACCTCATAATCCGTTATGAATAACAAATAATATTTGCCTTACTACGTGAAATAATTACACTCACTCTGCTACTAAACCTCTTTCATTAAAAATTAACAATGAAAGAATCGAGATCTAACTCTACTTTACAAGTTTCAGTTCTTAACCTGTATACTAGTTTGTGAAATACAAAACAACGAATAATAATTATACAAGTACAATTTATAAATGCCAAACATCCTCAATTCGTATTCTATTTGGATCAACGTCTTTTACCAATTTATGTTGAACCATTACGCAATTTTCTCCTATTTAAAACATAGTTTACAATTTAAACATTGTGTTAAACAGAGTTACTGTTGTTAAACTGCTCATCTTTTGTGAATGGTAACGTTGGACAATGTAGCTCCAATAAACCCAATGTAGGGGGAACGAATACTACATTATGCAGTATATACCATGTGTTATTCTATGTACGGCAGTGCAGCCCACTCTAAATTCTACTTATATTAGCTACCTTCTCCTTCAGATAGGTTGAGCTAATGTTAGCCTTTTTAGTGCTACCGCTACATTTCAACAAAATATTTTTATTGATGGTAAAATTGAATATTAGACATCTTCTATTTAACTGAACAAATTTTATTATATTATAAAATCAACTTATAGTCGTCTGATTTTTTATATCTTATATAAAAATATATAAAGTAAATTATGGAAACAATTATATTCATAAATGAAATATTGTTCCATTTATATATATTGGATTTTTCGTTGTTGTGATTATAAACTCACTCGACGGTGGCGTAAGTAATCTATTAGTAAGTTGTTGCGGGATTAATCTATCGTTAGATCATTGCGGGATGAATCTAGCAACAGATCATAACCTTGGTCATTATCCCTCTTATAATATATTTCCGACATTTATTTCCTCAATCCCACCTGTCATCTCTGTTTAGTTTGACTCTTATCAATAGTTGACTATTATATTGTTGACTATTATCTATTTTGATCTTGTATATAAATACTATTCCCCAAAACATAAAATTTAAGCGCAAGTGGTTTAGTGGTAAAATCCAACGTTGCCATCGTTGGGCCCCCGGTTCGATTCCGGGCTTGCGCAATTTTTTAATGTCAATTCCTTATGAACTTTTGACAACAAAAATTGCCACCATAATACGGTCGAATGATTTTTTTTTAATTTTATATTTGACTATTTTAGTAAATGTAACTGAGGTTTGAAATGCAATATTTTTATTGTGATTAACTAAATAATCTTTAGATAGTGTAAGTTATTTATTATTTAATTTCCTTTTAGCGTAATCCAGAACTTGGGAATTACCTTCTTTAGAAACAAAGAACTTTCTCTTTTTATCATCTCTCCATAACAATACACCAATGTCTTGCGCATATTTTGATAGTAAATTATACTCTGTACTAGTTTCAAAATCAGAATATAGAGATCCATCGTAACATATGACTCTGTCCAGTTCTAGTTGCCATAATCTGATTTGATCTACAACTGTTGGCGGTAGAATTTGTAAAGTGTCCTTACTGTTAGGGTCAAGTTCTAACTTTTTTAATAAAGTTTCTTCCGCAAATCTCCTCATCTGCGGGTGGGCATGTGTTTCTAAATATGCGATGATTTGCTCTGCAGTGATACCATTAGTTAGAGCTGTCCTAATTGACTCTCTTGTTATCTGCCCAGTAACCATGTTGGCGAATCTCGTTTTTAAATGTAGAAATAAACTCAAGATAGCTATTTGTAAAGGAGAATTAGAGTATGAATATAGTTTGAAATTTGTTTCCACAATTAATGCACCTTCTGGTGTTTGTTGACCTTGCAGTCCAATTTGATCGTCATTATTCAGTGTGCCGCTTGTATCCATATTTCCTGTTCCTTCTTTATTTTTCTGAACAACACTATCCAATGCACCAGATGCACTCCTAATAGCATTTTTATTATCTGAAGTAAGTACAATGGAAAGATTTGTAGGATAAAACACAGCTGCCTCTGAGTTCTTTTGGAATATTAGCCCGTAATCCCTCATATCCTTTAACATGTTCTTTTGAGTATCACTTAATCCAGTTGTACTGTATGCCTTCCCAACTTCCAACGAACCTAACATGAAAATAAAATTTAAAATATCGACAGGGTCCATTTGAAAACTTTCGGCCATCTTTAAGTATTGCAACAATAATGTCCATATTTGAGCATTGGCCTCTTGTAGCAGGAATTGGAAACCTTCATTTGTGATCTTGAATTCTGCTGTAGTTTCTGTTTCTTCCATTAACCTACTACTCTTCAATAAGTTCAAAACATTTGCAGAAGGAATTGTAGATATAGGTGTACCGACCATAAAATGAAGAATTGTCTCCCATTTCGATGACGAATACTCGTTTAGAATATCCATCGAAATACTGTTATCTTCTATGACAATACCAAAAGAATTGTGGACTTTACCACCTGTTAATGCATTCTTGAAACTTTCTCTAAAAGTTGGATTGAGACCTATCATCAATGCACCCTTTTCATTCTTCTTTGGCATGATCAGATGCAAAGATTTCAATGACTTGATGGCCTCTTGGAATTGTACTTTCCCATTAGGTTTCACCCATCTATCAAGATCACGCAACAGGATAAAATTCTCATTAAATACCATTGACATCATGAAATATTTTGCTAACTCTGGTAGTAATCTATAGATAGCAAGACATGTTGCTGGTGATTCGTAAAGCCTTGTTTGGACAGGCTGTGGAAGCTCCTCCAGGTATTGGTTAACAGAGTGTTTTAATGGATCAGAACTCATCACTAATTTGATATATCAAAACAAAAAATATTAAAATAACCTTACCTTTGACGTCTTGTTATATATACTAATTACTGAATAGGGTTTCTTTGACTTTGTTAAAAAATGTCTTATGGTAATATTTGAAATTTCCTTATACTTAATCCCAGCTTTAATTATTTTTTTCCTTGGAAAATTGAAATATAAAAAACAAAATAGACAAATAAAATAAAATACAATTTAGGAAGGAAACATCACTTTTGATTCCCAGACTACATATCAGCAGAGGAATAAACTAAATTATGATCAACCTTTAAACGTTTTGATAATTCTTCTATAGTGATTTCTTTACCTTGGGCTAGTGCTAATTTATCATCCAGAATTTTTAAAGCTTTCTGCTTCACCCTTTCCATTTCATCTCTCTTTTCTTCGAATTTAAGCTTACATTCCTCTTGATCGTCAAGGGGTAATGCTTGGAATTCATCAGACTCCAAAATGCCAGATATATCTTCCTCTACACTATCATCTAATTGATACTCAAGTTTAGCTTTTTCTGCGTCAATCTCTTTTTTTATAAATTCTTCGTAGCCGCCCAACTTGTCAACTTTAAACAAAGTTGCGTTGAACAAGTAAGACATCGCCCCTTGACAGACGTTACGCCATTTGATAATAAGTTCTTCTATCTTTAATTCCTTGTCATACTTCTTCATGATGTTTATCGCCTGAGATAAATTTGATATCTCTTTTTGATAGACCTTGATCTGTCTCGTAAGGTCATTGTACAACACACGTTGTTGTCCAGATGACTGCTTATCATTGAAAGCAGACGGGTATACAGTGGTAGCTGGTTTTGTATTATATATGTCTTTATTTTGAACCTTTGTTATACGGTTACGAAATGGACTCTTGAATGAACCCTTTATTGTAGAACATTTCATAATTGGAATAGGAGAAGACTCCACTAGAGTTATATCGTTTTCCATTCTTATGTATTCAATTGAGTTTAAATTATATTGGAGATAATTGTCTGATAATGATGGCGGCTAAAATCTTATTAAAGTTCCGTTAATGTATATATAACAGAATTCAAAAGTTGTTTTCTAATGATAATACCTCAAACTTAATGTAATTAATAGAATTAGGTGATTCTTTTAGTTGTTTAACGGAGTACTTGAACAGAATATATATATGTTTTGAATAAAAATGTAAGATAACTCCACCATTTTAATATTTAGTTTATAAATACTGGAATTCGCGCTGTAGTCACTTTTATTTTGATTTTTAAGGTTAAACGGCTCTCACGATAAACAATTATTATAAAATGGTCATTATATATTTTCACAATATATAAAGCAAAGGAAATTTATTTTATAATACAATACTATATAAAACAGTAATATCCTCGACTCAACAGTGACCGTACAATAAATATATAATGAAGTCCAGGACACAACTGAAATGTCAAAACTGTCATCTTCCTTTGCAAATAGAATCTTCGTTATTAGATTTGAGTTTATCTCAAAGGAATCTATTGATGAATAATTCCAAGTTGGATAATTCCATAATAGAGGACCAAACCAATTACTATACATCTCAGGATAAATTAGATCAAGTGAGAAAGATACAACCTATTGATACCATCAATGAACAATTGAAAAAATCCAATACAACCATCGTTGACCCGCAAGCTCAATCAGTAAAGAACAAGAACGAATCCGTCACACATACCATCGAGGAGACCAGATCCAATAGAATCGATAACGAAAATAATGATAGTGACGAGACTGATTTGAAGGGAAGTAATGAGTATACCACAGAAAAGACTTTATCGAATCAGATAACTACCTTAACCAACGTATTCAATATTCTGTCGGCAAGAAGTTATATAGACTATCCTGTATGTCAGGATTGTTGTAATATACTAATTTCAAAGTTGAAAAACGATTATAACAATGCATTGAAACAGAAAGAATTATACAGAGATTTTCTTAATAAGTTAGAGAGCCACCATACTCCAAATACTTCTGAAGGTGAAGATTCTATAAGCAATGATAATTTCGATGAAATAAGTTCACAACAAGAAAGAGATCGTCTATTAAACGAATTAATACAATTAGAAGATGAAAATGATGAATTAGATATAGAGTTATTAGAATTACAACAGAAACTAAACAAGCAAAAACAAATACATGACGATTTTATCCAAGAGGAGAATATAGCAGATTTAAACAATATTGAGTTTCTGAAAGAAATGCAATTATTGGAGAATCAATATAATTATGCATTGAACAATTTAGATCAATTGCGAAGAACAAACATATACAATGAAACATTCAAGATATCACACCAGGGTCCCTTTGGAACAATAAATGATTTACGACTTGGTAGTTACTCTGACTGTCCTGTCTCTTGGAAAGAAATAAATGCAGCCCTGGGACAAATTGTATTGTTATTAGCAACGATCACTACCCGATTAAAAATCAAAGTTAAAGGTTATAAATTGAAACCTTTGGGGTCCCTATCAAAGATATCAAAACATAACAACGATACCAATGAATGGATAGAATATGAAACATACAATAACGATAATTTCAAGTTTAGTAAGCTCTTCCGAAAGGAAACAAACCTGGATAAAGCGTTGGTCTGTTTAATAGATATAATACAACAAGTGACATCAATGGTTGTAAACCAAACATCATTACCATCAGATGGTCACAACGGTATACCTACTGACACTATATCTGATAACTATACCGCAACGGCGTCCTTCAGTAGAAGTTCCACAATCAATAATAATAATAATAATAATAATAATAATAATAATAATAATAGTAATAATGGCAAAGAATTACCATATGATATGTTACAAGGTAACGTCAATGGAATATCCATCAAATTGTATGGCTCCGAACCTACTATACAATGGACTACGGGGATGAAATGCTTACTGACAAATGTGAAATGGCTATTAGCATACTCATCTGCCCATCTCCAATCTGCATCTGCACCATCGAGTGTAATCGATTGAATTGAAATGCCATCTATTGTTTCATTTTCATTTTCCAAACCCTAAAAGCAGGGCTTTTCTGTTCTTCTGACATAGTGGAAAACAGAAAGTGACCAAACAAAGCAACAAAAATAAAAATATTATAATCGTCAAACACCGAAAAATAATAAAATTAAAGAAAGGGAAAAGGGATTGAGTATAAAGTTAATATATATAGCTAAATTTATACACACGTACATAGATAAGAAAAACAATAATATTGAATTAAAACACAGCATCGAACAAGGATACCTAATAATCAAAATGTCGAGTGTGTCTAATCTACTTAAGAATTCACGAGTGGCACAACTCACGAAGTCGCGAATCAAGTTGAACTCTGAACAATTCAGAGTGAAGCATTTCCCGACGCATCAAATCATTGAGACGAAACCTGCGATGCTCTCGAGACAAGAATGGGGTCTAAAGAGTAACATCCCAAACAAAATCAAGTCCAAATATATTGTTCTTGATGAATTGGATACGTTGGAGCGTATGGCTGAATTCGAACCTATTGGTGGTACGCAATGGACTCGTCTTAGATTCCAAGAGATGGGTGTAGCTCCCGAGTTCCAACAAGGTCGTAGTAACCCACTATTTGCATTTCCAGATGTAATTAAAGAGGACTCCATGACCACCAGTGGAAACCATGCCTATGGTAGTGGTAGTAATGCCAGTAGTGCCATTGCTGGCGATGATCAATTAAGAGAACTTTGCAACCAACTAGGAGTGAACGAAAACACCAAGAGCAAAGCACTGAGGAAGAAACTACATACCATCAAAGAGAACCGTTCTCAATTTAAGAAATGGGCAGTCCAGAGTGATGCCGAAGCACTTTCGCATAAGAAGTTCAATGCGGATGAATTAAAGAGCGTAGCTCGTGAATATTTGAACGAACGGTTCAATATGGATAATGAGAATGCGAAGATCAAGAATGCACATAGGTTTGTTGCCACTGGTGGGTTAAGTTATTCTTTGAAAGGTAGATTAAGAAACTCTCCTAATGGAGCTGTGCAGAAGAGTATTGTACCTGGTAGGCTGACCAACCATGGTAAACAAGAGATGAATACCGCTGCCATTGGTGGGTTTGTTGCCAATGTGTCTGGGTATGAGAATAAGAGAAACAGCTACAATAAAGGTGATTTCATTAGAGAGTCTGTGTATCCCTTCCGTATTGAACATATATCGTTAAACAGTAGAGGACATGTTCAAATCAAAGCAAATGGTAATATTATTATGAATCGTTCGGAGCATGGCTACAGAGGTAGTCGTTTGATGCAACAACGACAACGTCAACAACAACAACAGCAACAACAACAGCAACATTTACAAGGACAGAGACAACCACAACAGGATGCTAGTGAAAAAGCTAGTGATTTAGTAGAACGTCTGAGAAACATGAGCATCAACTGAAAATAAATAATAAAAATAAACAAACAAACATACAACATAATATAATCATGTAAATAACATTTGATATTGAAAATAAGTTATTCGAATATAAATAAATAAATATATATTATAAGCTAAATAGAAACAACCACAACATTTTGTTTTGCTAAATTACAACATTCTGTAAATATTTTTATCATTTTCTACATTTGAAAGATCCTCCAATTGATTCCACCAATTGAATAAATAATTTTCGCAAATAATTTTAAACCATGGAGTAAAACTGTAATTTTCTGTATCATTTAATAAATCTTTGAAAGTGTTACAATCGACCCATTTAAAATCTTCTACTTCATTAACGTTTGGTTTAACAGTCAATTCCATACCCTTAGTGACTTTGAAAAACAAGATATAGTCGATTTCATGTTCACCCCAAACCTTTTCCGGGTCGTTACAAGGCGCCATATAATGTATTCTATTTAAGAAATGGAAAGAACCTTTCGTTAAAGTTTCCACTTGTGGGATCCCTAATTCGTGTTCCAATTTTCTAACACAAGCGTTTTTAACACCTTTAACATTTGCAGACAAATCACCTGGATGTTTAACACCGATTTCGTCATCGATAGATAAAGGATGAGAGCAACAAGTGTTAGTCCATAATAGTGGGAAAGTAATTTTTTCCTTTGCACGTTGTTGTAATAATAATTCATTTTTATCATTAAATATAAAACAAGAGAACGCACGATGCAGCAGGCCCCGTTCGATATTATCCATTAGATGGCAAGTCTTCTTTGTTGCGGCACCTACGATATTATCATTCCAATCCAATACGATACAGTTTTCATTCATCAATTGAATTTGTGTTTCATTATGTCCCGTGAAGGCTTTTTGATCGCGAGCACTCAGATCAGAGTTACCTGAGGCTCTTGAGTTTGGACGAGTGTCTAATGGAATAACGTCTGGGAATTTTGCTAGGATTTGCTCTTCTGTTAAGTTTTCCACTAATTTATGATAATCGGACATTTCTTGTAAGGGGTTTGTTATGTTGTTGTTTGATTGTTTCTTTGTAGACTGTGGATAAACTATATTAATATTCAAACTTCCTATCGCCTCCCGACTTTCTATATATATATATATATATAAATGAATTGCATCATCTTCATCTCTGTATTGCAAAATCTGTTTAATTTCTCGAACGATAAAAGACGATTCCCTCTCTCGAGAAAGAAACAAGTTCATTCGTACGTTTCTCTGTCTGTCTGTCTGTCTGCCTCTCTATATTTCTAATCACTATCACCACGCGGACTATCTCTTGTGTAGTGCAGTGAAAAACGCATCCACAAACCTTCCGCCGACTCGTTTAAACGAACAATCACCACCACCACCTCCACCACTAGCAGCACTGCTAACAAAATATTGTCATTTATAATTTTATTAAGCGAGAGAGAGAGACAATGCGTAAATTACAAGGGAAACGTTCCGATAACAGCGAATAGTGAGTGAAGAGAGCAGAAGGGAGAGCAAAGCAAGAATAAGAGGAGGAAACATCATCATTGGTGGTAATCAGTATAAGTATTATGTGTTTAGCATTAAAAGAGATTAGTTGTGTAACTATATAACTATAACGATAAGTATATAATAACAATGAAGTGTAGCAAAGTAAAACAATCGCATAGCAGCTTGGCAATAGTATAGCAACTAATCAAACAATTACTTATGTTGGTGATATTCAATAAGTATTAGTATTAGTGTGTACACATACAATTATGTTTATTGTTATTAAATGTCCTCTACTCGTTATGAATGATATATATATATATATATATACAGATACACACACACATTTATCTAAGTATTGTTCTCTTTTTCTTGTTCAGCGGCTATTTCCCTCCACCCGAATATCTTTAACACCCAAACTGTATACATATATATACATACATATATATATATATATGTATAATTACTTCACACTTATAAACATGGGTCGCTTTATATAAAAAGGGAGAAACATTTTAAATATTTTATTTTCTCTTAATTCTTTTCCACAACTTATTATAATTTGCTTCTGTTACTATTTCCAATACTTACTGAGACTCACTTTTATATATTTATTCACTTATTGAAATCAATAATACATTTATTCTTTTATTGATGAGATAAGCGGCTAAATATATCATTTGGTTGCTCGTCGTACCCAATGATAAACCATTAACAAATTTCAACTATCTCGCGTCATTCAAGGTTTCTACCGTAAATTATATAACTACAAAATTATTTTATTTTATTTTCTCTCTGTTTTCTCTGTTTTCCCTTTGTTTACAATTTTTCACACACACTGTCTCCTGGTTTGTTGTCGTTGCTACAGCGTGGCACGAAAGTAGGGGGAACTAAGATTTGCAAGTAGAATAAGTGGTATCATCATTATTGTTTATTGTTTATTTTTAAACATTTTTATAGATATATATATATACATACATACAGTTCATTACTGAAATATTAGTTTATTATACTACCTTTTTTTGGTTTTAAAGTTTATACAATTTATATTATATTTCCTACAAAAGAAGACTCTATTAAGACATATACATATACACATTAATTAAATTACAAAAATAACTTTACATATGCAAGCTGATCCATTGGAAAAATTTTATTTACAATTCCAAAGATTTGTGGAAAATAATCCAAATGTAATCTCGGCAGCTAGAGCTGCTTCACAAATCCCAGAATCTGCTAAAGCAATTGTCATTTTATCGCCATATTCTCTATATCATGTATTTCCACGTGAATGGGTCTCAAAGGCTTATCGTAAGACTATAGTCGAAAGACCTGAAAGATTATTAGCTGCATCTATGGGTATTGCTGCCGCTATCACAATGTATCCAGCTCTATTTAATTTGAAATCTTCTCATAATAGATTAGGATCTTTATCAAGTCCTCACGTTTTAAAAGTTCATGGCTCAACTTGGCCTCATACTTTAACTAAATTATGTACAGAAGCTGATGATAAATTGGCTAATGGGAAAATTGAAGTACCAAATAATTGGAATGCAGGTGATATTTATTTAAGCTCACAAACTCTGTTAGCTTTAAAAGGTTCGTTAGGTGCTATAGAGACTGGTGTAGATTCTATTTTTAAAGGTCCGTCTCCTGATCATATTAGTAATAGAGCTTTCGTAGTAATACGACCACCTGGTCATCATTGCCATGTCTCAATGCCTTCTGGGTTTTGTCTATTGAATAATGTCCATGTAGCTATCGAATACGCTTTTGATCATTACGATGTGACTCATGTTGCAGTACTTGATTTTGATTTACATCATGGTGATGGCACTCAAGATATTTGTTGGAAAAGAGCAGGATTTAAACCAGATGGAGAGGATGCAATTGATGAGGAAACTAATAATAAATATAACGATTTTAATAAACGTTCGGCTAGATTCCCAAAAGTTGGATATTTTTCAATGCATGATATTAATTCATTCCCAACTGAAACAGATTATGCAACAAGTGATCATATTAAAAATGCTTCCACTTGTATTATGAATTCTCATGATTTAAATATTTGGAACATTCATTTATCAAATTGGTCAACAGATGAAGAATTTCAAAAATTGTATAGATCTAAATATAGAACATTGTTTGCTAAAGCAGATGAGTTCTTCAAGACGGCAAAATATGAAATGGAACATCAAGATAATGATGATGATGATGATTCAAATCATACGAATAACGATAATGAAAATGGCGCTTCTTCTAATAATTCACCAACTCCTCCCACACCAAAGAAACCGTTTAAAGGTTTAGTCATTATTAGTGCAGGGTTTGATGCCTCTGAATTCGAACAAACTAGTATGCAAAGACATAAAGTTAACGTTCCAACTGAGTTTTATACAACATTCACTAAGGATGCCTTAAAGTTGTCTCAAATGCATTGTAAAGGGAAAGTCCTATCCGTTATGGAAGGTGGTTACTCTGATCAAGCCATTTGTTCAGGAGTCTTTGCACATCTGATCGGGTTACAAAACCAAGATTGGATCAATGAATGGGGGTCTCAACAGGTAGTGAAGGAAATCTCGAGAGGTTGTAAACCTAATTGGAAACCTTACAAGACAAAAAAATCAAATGACGTCATTCGTATTTGGGCAGAAGAAGTCATTAGATTAGGGAGATCAATGGTCCCTGAATTCGATGATGTCATTTTCAAATCCAAAGAAAAATTATTGAAACATAAACAGGAGCAACGTGCAGCTTTGACAAATGATGGAAAGTTTAATGAAAGTATGGTAGGTGCTACTATCTCTCAAAGGGTCACTAGAGCTTACGCTAAAGAACGCGATCATCATAAACATGATGCCACTAGACATAACATGCCTTTGTCTGTGAAGCAAGAAAACGTTCCTTTCATGCAAATGAATCTATCTGATGAAGATGAAAAGGAAGACGACGATTATGAGTATGATGAGGAATTGAACAAGACATTCAATCGTACTGTTGAAGATATTACTATCGATGACATCTCAAGACATTTAGAGACCTTGGAATTGATTCAACAAGATGAAGGAGAAGAAGAAGACAATAGAGACAAATCAAAAAGTTCCTCATCTCGTCGTCTTCAAAGTAGTAACGGCATGTATAAGATCCCCTCAGATAAGACTACAAACAATCTAAGACATAATAGTCGTGTCCTTTCATCCAGTCAACAAGGCCACCAAACACAGAATTACGACGATAGCGACATCTCTATGATGTCTCATGTATCCACAATGAAACACTCCACTAGAAGTGGGAGGAAATGGTAAGGAATGTAATCTCTCATTAGTTTCATTTTCATTTTCTTTTTTTTATTTTTGGTTCTTACCAATTTATGACTAGCATAATTATAACTATAGCATTATATCAATCTTGAGGAGTACCTCAAGATTGATAAAAATAAAAACGTCGGCATTATCATAGATCTGTTCTGTCTCAACCCTTTAACATGGGAAATATTTCAGTATTCCCACTTTGAGAGACAATAAATGTAAATATAAAAGTCATTATTATAATTATTACAAATATACATATATAAGAGTGAATATATATATATATATATCTAAAGTGAGTAAGTTTTTACTTCTTTAATGTGTCTCTAAAATGGATAATTTTTATGCTCTCCAGAATTAACAAGGAGGTTTTCCCGTTTAATACAGGACATAGTTTTCCACTGTTTAATCGATATATCGGAACGTAACTATACACCAGGAATATGAATATCTAGTTCCTCCCTGTTTTCATTACGGATTGGTTCTCCATCCTTGAAAACACAATTGAAATCTACAATGAAAGGTTGTAACATTGTAATTGGGATGTTCAAAGTTTGCGAAAATACGATACATAAATTCCTTAAATTCATCTTATTGATTTTATGATTCTCATTAATTCTGGTCAATAATTCAAATAGCGCATACATCAATGAAATATTGGCATGTGGAACTTGCTTGTCGCGTATAATTTTTCTAAACTCAATTGCAATGGTATAAGGATCATCATGGTGATCATCGACTGCTTTCTTAAATAATAAGAACTGCTCATCACCAACAATCAAATGGGGCAAGTTTCTTAAATATAATTTCAATAGACCACTTATTGTGTTCACACTAATCACATTACTTGGATTATCACCGGATTGTTTATAGTTACAAAGATCAATATCATAATCTCTATCAAATTCTTCTTGCAATGTCTTGATCATTGTACTTGAACCACTCAATCTGAAAATACCTTCCTCCTGGATACCACGATTCTTATATAAATATTCCAGACATCTGTAAACAACACTTGGAATTTCGTATACTCCTTGATATGAATGAGAACTTAATTTTAGAGATGTTTCAATGGAAGCACCAAAGACGACTCCTTGAGAAGGTTCTTTAGCTCCATAGTTTGGTGAAGTCTTTATCATACTTGAATCTGACCTCATACTGTACTCATTATCCATATTCATCGATTTGTCACTTTCGTCGTTAGCAGAAACTGGTCGACTATTATTCATGTTTTGATGGCCTATGTTATGACTGTTTGCATGCAATGTATTATTGGTCATATTGCTGAATTTTTTAAATGGGAATAAACTTCTCATTTTATTTCTCTTAATATCTTTATCATCATCAGGTCCTGAATTGGAAAACTGATCGTAAGAGGTAGCCTGGAAACTATCTGCACTATTAGGTTGTGAGCTCTGGGAAGATGCAGCATTATCTGACTGTGCTAGATTGGTAACATACACCTGGTCTGTACTTTCATTTAAGGAGTTACTAGTACTACTACTGAATATTCCAGTACTCTCGCCAGTGGGTGATGATGTTGACAATTTAGCAGTATCAATAAACTCGCTAAGAGCTGCAAGCCATGATTGTCGTTCCTTTGGAGATTCTGCACAAATAAAATATTTAGATGAAGAGGATAATCCGACTTTCTTTTGCTCTACTATCAGGAACCCATTCTTAGTCCCATATTTATCATCTGGCATATTTGGAAGTAATTCAAGAGAGGCTTGTTTTAGTCTAATTGTTTCCATCATATCACCACCTTCGAACAATTGTAAAAAATCTCCATTTAATATACCATATCTTACACGCCAGGATATATTCCCACCAAGTGCTTTCTTTGGACGTCTCATCAAAAGAGAACCTTCCTTTTGTGTATCTTCTAATAAAAATGGTGACATAACTGTATCTGTACTTAAGAATTGTGATATTTTTAATGACACATTACCTGGCAATTCTGGAATTGCAGCTATACTATTAAAATAATTCTTTAGATGTTCTCTCCTGTAATCTACTCTTGTTGGAACTGTTGTTTGAAATAATGTCCTCTCAGGTAAAGTGGGTAAGGATAATGACGAAACATGAGATTTTAAATATACATCTAATTCTCTTACTTTTTGAATGGACTTAGAAAACTTGAACATTTCTTTCCCAGATGACTTATCGATGACACCAAATAAAATTGAGTTATCCCCAGAATTTGATTGAGGATCAAAATATAATGTACTTATTATATCCATCTGTATTGTGTGCAAATCATTTGGTTGTACAAATAATGGTATATCAGAAGCAAGAGTACTGGTGTTACTGGAGGTTACAGTACCTATACTGTTCGCACGGACTCTACTTTTACCGCTTTCAACTTTTAACAAATTTTGATTATGGGAGGTATTTGACGATATTTCTTTTAATGGAGGTTTCCTTCCAGAATCAATTGACTCTGCCGTGGAAGGAACCCTTAGTGGTTCATTACTGGATACGCTGTCATTGCCACTTATCTTATTCATGCTCCATGCAGAAGCCATCTGAGATTGATCAGTAACAGTTTGATTATTTAGTGATGAACCTACAGCTGAATACTTATCCTTTGTACGATTTAAAATGACCGGAGACCCTAAAGCAACGTCTACGGGTGTTACAGGGATACTTGGATTACTAGGTGAAAAAAACTTAGGTGGAACAGGGGGCAATGGACGTGAAGTATCTGTATTATTTCTCAATGTTTGATTCTCAGCTGTATATGGTGATGATAGTTTGTCTTCTTCTCCGAAAGAATCTGCTAATAACTGCGAAAAGGTATTTAATTTAGCTTTAGCATTAGGCGAAATATCCAACTCTTTCCTTGCTGATCTTAAGGGGCTCTTGTTATTATGATAAAGATCTTCGTCTAGATTGGAATCGATTTGTGAATATTGAGAAGATTGCTCAGCCATGTTAACATCTCTATCATTATGATCAGATTTTAATGGTGAATGTAAATGATTATTAATAACAGATGTTACCCTATTAACTGATTGGGGTGAGTTAAGTCTCTCCTGAACAGGCGATTTTGCTCTACGATTAGGTGATTTGATCGTAATTCTAGATGTCGTATACGTTACAGACGTAGCAGGACTAGTCAATGAAGGCGTTTGAGATGGAAGCAAATGATGTGTCGGCACATTTGAGGAGCTCTGTACGGAGTTATTTGTAGTTGTAGTACTTGATCCATCATGTATTTTAGCTACTTGAGCTGTTTCAATAATATTTGTCATGCTACCTTCAATCTCATCATCATTACCATTATCGTTTTGATCAGGCTCTAATTTCGCATATTTTTCTGAGAAAGGATTCGATGGACTACTCCTGGAAGCTGTCAATTCTGACCTCTCATTAACTTCAGGGGAAGAAAAATGTGACCCATTATCTTTTTGCAATCCACTTCTCTCGATAGATCTTGGAGGCAATACAATCTCTTTTTTCTTTTCATTAGATGTCATTTCATCTGACGTTACCTGTGATATCAAATCTTCCACAGATGTATTTTTATCATGTTGCATTAAATTGATAACTTTCTTTAAGGATATGATCTCCTTTTGTCGCTCTTTCAAGTCTAGTTTCAATTTAACATTTTCTTTAAATAAATCGTCATAAGTGGGCCTATTATCATCCAGTTCCGATTTTCCTTCAATATCATCATTGACCTTATCTCTCTCCTGTATATGATTATTATATTGTGCTAATAAATCTAACGTGGCACTAGTTCCTGCCTTCGTTGTCATCTGATACAATTGAAATGATCAAGTATATGTATCGAAAGTAAAAAGGTGTTGTAATATTTTTATTTTTAAAAAAAGGGTGATCGTGCAAATTAGGTTTTTGAACTTTAGTATTTTGATTTATATTTTAACAGACTGAATGAATGCGATACACTTTTTCTTGTTAGTTTTTAATAATGATATCAAGTCTTCATAAACTTGATTTACTCTATATTTGAAAATTGTCCTGTATCCTGTCGAAAAACCGTATAAGTAAGAATATGAGATGCGTAAAATTAATCGAAAACTCGTATTTTCTGTTTTTATTTTGAATCCAAAAATGCTAATGGATTTTTATTACAATTGGGATAATTAAACGTTACGGCTTCTTATTGGACTGATGTGTGACACAATTCCTTATAATTATCTGTCCTTAATCTGCTAACATACGTCCCTTCAATGTAGACCATTGCAAGTTCCTTGATCAACTGATAAAAACCCAACCTTGTCTTTCTCTATTGTCCAAAAAATGTTTAATTCCATTTCCCACATACCGCGAGAGGCAGCAAGAGTTAAAAAAAATGCATGCGAAACCAAAAGGGAAGACAATAACGTTGTGTATCGTGATCTATAACAACCGACGCGTCAAATATGCAGTTCATTTATTTACTGAGAAGGGGAGAAAAGTCTGTCATTTTGACATTGAAAACTCGTTTCTTGCTTTGACTAGAGTCTATGTATCTATTTACAGAGTACGAATATATATATATAGATGTATGTATGTAAGGGTATACATTATGATCTATGTGGATGAGGTAACTTAGAGGTCTTGCAATAGTAACTTGACAACATCAACTACATGTTTGTGTAAAACAATATGCTTCTCGTGGTATGGGTCGATAGGCGATGCATTATTCACCTCCCATTGGTATTCTTCCTTTAAATGCGGGTACTCTTCTTCCCATTTACATATGTCGGTTCCGCTCCATCTTCTGCCTCTTACTTCAATTTCTACTCTAGGCCATGATTTATTCCCTACAATAATTGTCAAAGGAATACCAATCGAATGAGATAATGAAATATTGGTACCCATACTTGCTGTTCTGTTAAGATTGGTCATGATGTTACTAGCCAATTTAGGATCCTTGTTTTTAAATAGTGATACAATTTTACCATAATTTTTATCAGTCTCGGAGTTTTTACCTTGAGGTGTCGAGACAATAGAAACCGACCAAGGAGCAATCGCAACAGGCCATCTTAATCCATGTATATCTCTAGTCAGTTCTGCAATGGAGGCAATGACTCTAGTGACACCGATACCATAACAACCCATCTTTACAAGACGGGTCGAATTATTTTCTCGATCCATGAATTTTAGTGACAATGGTTTTGAATATTTAGTATCTAAATTAAACGTATGTGCTACTTCGATACTCTTGGTACTTACGAGTGTACCCTCATTACATTGTCCACATATTTCACCATCAGTTGCGGTCACTATAGAGACACCATCGATTTGACCAAAATTATTTTTCAAATAACTTTTCAATGGGAAATCTGGGAAATTTGAACGTGAATTTATTCTACTATCCATGACTCTTAACACTTTTGTAAACATCATATCTTCATTTTCCTTTTGGAAAAGATCAGTAATTTCCTGATTTGAACAATCACGTAATGAGGAATCTATATCATCATCTACTGATAATTTAGCTAAATTCCAATTAATTTGCCTACCTTTGGGGTAATAATAGCATACTAATGTAGTGTGATCCTCACTTAATCCGTATTTGACACAGACGTCTCCAGTGAATTGACCTTCTTCAACAGGGTAAGACAATGCTTTTTCATCTGTAGCCACATGCTTACAGCTATCATTATTACAACTCAAAATAGTACTTTCTCCACCAATCAATGGCAAATGATACTCAATACTTTGATCACCACCAATATCACCACTATCTGCATATGCTCGTACCACAGGTATTTTTAATTCCTGGAAAATCTCAAGAAAAGTCTTGTTTACATCTTCAAACATCCTTGTGGCATCACTTTCATCACTAGCAAAAGAATATGCATCCATCATAATAAACTCTCTTGCTCTTAATAAACCCGACCGTGGTCTCAATTCATCTCTATATTTTTTACCAACTTGATACACTAATGCAGGCATATCTTTATAACTAGTAATAAAACTTTTCATCAACTCAGTAATATCTTCTTCACAAGTTGCCACTAGACAATATTCATTTTTTTTACTATCTTTCAATTTAAACAATTCTGAATTTGCCCAACGATCAGTAGTTTGCCATAACGATTTAGGCGATAAAGAACTTAAAGAAACCAATGAAGCATCATTATTTGTTTGTAATTTATCCTGTATAATTCCAATAAATTTATCGGTAGTCTTCATCCCAGCAGGTAACATGTGGAAAATACCACTCTGGGTCTTCTTAAAGAAACATAGTTTTTCGAGTAATTCAGCTGTAGGTTCAGATTTCAATATTTGTTTTGATAACGGTGCTCGAGGAAGGATTGTCGAGAGCGACCGCATAAACCATCTTTGCTTTAGCATAATTGAACACAAAGGACAATTATGTATATATATTTCAGTTATTTAATGAACTGCTGTCCTACACAAGCGTCCCTCTTCCTTTCTCTTTCTATTCCAACCCTTTAAAAATACCAACGATCTTAGCTTTTTGATGCTTTATTTCCTTCTAATGGCGCTAAAAATTGTTCCAACAAATTTCCTGCTGGAGGAGTCCGAAAGAGGCGGCAAAACTGCAAATTGCTTCGATAGCGAAATGTGAAGCTTTGGGTAATAGAAAGAGAAAGGAGGAGGGGGAGGAGCATTACAAACTTATTATTAAATGAACCCAACAAGAACGCAGTATTATTTCAGTCGTTGAATCAAGTAACGAGCGAACCAACAGATGGATTATAATTGATTAGGAAATTGCGATTTGTCATATGCTACACTATATCACCGTGATCTGTTATATATGCAGATAGTTGTGAATAAGAACTATATGGGTTGATCCCCCACCAATATTTGAGGCTTCAGTTCAATAAACAGGCATCCAAGTGGCCATCGTTAACCTATATATCAGCAACTTTTATACATGTATTTAAAAAACAGAACAGCAACGTTAACCGCCGAACGATTTCCGCATATCTAATTGGACAAACAGGTCACTAGAAACTATAACCAATGATAGTTACCCTGCTAGGCACGTGACCGTCGCACCTAAAATTTTCCAAAGTAAAAAAAAATGATTCAAAGCTTCGCGAGGCAAAAGACAACAAAATTTGAATACTGAAAATTATTAGTAAAGAAGATGGCGGAAACCCTCATGTGGAAGATTAATAGTTTGCTTGTAGGTGGGAGATTGTTTCTTTGAAAGATATATACACATGCATATTGTATACAGAGTAATAACATCTGTCTTTTAGCAACGTTAAACAAGGACATTTGAGGATATTACCAATTGTGGAGGAAGCATAGAATATACCTTACTTTTTTTGTTTGTTTATTTTTTTTATCTGTCATAGGGAGTGATAGAAATCTACACATACACACATATATTGAAATATCATTTCATCTGTTGTATAAAGGGGAATTAGTAATATAATCATTTCATTATCATTTCATTTTTGCATTTTAAAGGACATTTTCCATATCATATTTTATAGAAGAAAACGTACCTAAGCATATATCTAATTATGTCCAACACCGAGGCCAGTAGAACGTATGAAGCTATAGTAGAAGCTGTAATTAATGAAGTTAGAGAGGATTTTGAAAATGCAGGTATAGATGAACAGACATTACAAGATTTGAAGAGAAATTGGCAAATTAAATTATCTGAAACAAAAGTTACACAATTCACATGGGATTCTGCATACAACGATGGCGATACTGTAAATCAATCAGTTGCTGCACCAACAGAAACATCTACAGCAGCAACACCATTAACATTAACAAATAATAATAGTAATAATAACGAAGGAATAACATCAGCAGAAGGTGTTTCTCAAGATGATAATAATAATAATAATATTTCTACTGCTGATGCTACAGACGCTCCTACTACTACTACTACAACAGTTAAGTCTGAGAATGGGAATGAACAAGAACTGATGCCGTTGTTTGAAGGAAATAATAGCCAACCTGAAATTAAGGAAGAGAATGAAAGTAATGGAACAGAAAAGACCCTTCCAACACCACAGACTGATATTAGTAATAGCAATAATAATAAAGAACAAGATGACACAAATAATATAGAGTCTCCAGATAAGGAAACAGAAGAAACGAATAAATCGACGGAGATAGAATTGGAAATTGACGATCCTAATGGCAGTGCAGCCGACCAGGTACGATTACAAGCCAAGAAAGCCAAGAGAAGTGCGCTGTTGGATACTGATGAAGTTGGTTCTGAACTTGATGATTCAGATGACGATTACCTGATCTCAGAAGGTGAAGATGATGGACCAGATGAAAATTTAATGCTATGTTTATACGATAAAGTGACAAGAACGAAAGCTAGGTGGAAGTGTTCTTTGAAGGACGGTGTTGTAACAATAAATCATAAAGATTACACTTTCCAGAAAGCCCAAGTTGAGGCAGAATGGGTTTAAATATTTTGAATGTTTCGTTGCTTGGTTATAAATATTAACGTTTTAAAAAAAAAGAAAATTATTTACTTTCCATATATAAAAATAAAGTCTGAAAAATCAAAAAATGAAGAAAAATTGTAAAATTAACATTATTATAAACTTACCTTATGAACATATAAGAAAATTGTAAATGATATATACATCATTTATACCAATATACTTGTCGTCAAAATGGCTAAACAGTACATTATGATTCATCTCTGTATTCATACATTGACTGTGTATATACCATGACCTCCCTTAATAAATATATCTTCAATATTTTCTAATGTAATTTGGGTTTCTAATAGCACAATGTCGTATTCTGCACTACCCATATGTGGTAATGCTGTGACATCCCATCTGGATAATAATTTTTCATTGACCTTGGTATCCTCATTTTTATATACATCTAACCCACAGCTATTTACTTTCCCAGAGTTCAAGGCATCCAGAAGATCATCTTCATTGATACATGATCCACGACCAACATTCACAACTCTTACACCATCCTTACACATGGCTAAGGTGTCTTTGTTTATGATATTATCTGACTGCGGATTGCTTGGTAAAGATAATATAATAACGTCCACATCACACCAAGCCTTTGGATCAGTTAAAGAATTGACATATGTAGCATCATAACCCAAAATTTCTTTTGGTACGGGACCTGTTCTTTTATAATAGTTAATTTTCATATTAAATGCAGAGTTTAATTTTTTACCAATCATTTGTCCAATGGAACCAAACCCTAAAATTAACACATTCTTATTAGTTGGTGAAACAATATGTTTCCCTCCAAAATTGTAATTTTGAACAATATTAATTGGAACATCACTTCTTTCTTTTTTCTTCGGATACTTATACTCAAACGACGTTCCTTCGCTATTAGTTAAAGTGTGTGTAATGACATCACTTTTCTTACTGCCAATATGATCTTTACAAGCATCAACATCTCCTGTATCAATAAATTTGAAACAATATTCGGAAAAACTTGTCATTCTGAAACAACTTAAAACCAGATATAAGCATAGGTCACTTACATTTGAAGCTGCATTAGGGCCAACGTTACAAAGCACAATTCCCTTTTCTTCCCATAATCTCTTCCCATCGATAAAATCGCAACCAACCCATGGGACTACAATAGCCTTCATAGAATCAGGGAAATAGTTCCAATAGGGTGTTGGGCCTCCTAAATATGTGAAAAAATCCTCTGTTATCCAAATACAGTTAATTTGTTCGTCATTGATATATTTAATGAATTCTTCTGGCGTGTCCATGTGATATTTGAGAAATTGAACCGAATGGTTAGTCTCCAGGTCGTGCCATAATGGTAAATTGTCATCCAATTCTATTTGGTATTTATATGGGATAATTACTTTGGCCATTGAGTCGATTGTTATGATCTACAATTCAGTAATTATAACTTCACTCGAGAATAGGTTCTGTGGGTTTGAAAAACCGATCTTTCAAAATGTATATAATTGTTCAATATATAAATTAGGCAAAAAAATAAACTACAGTTAGTTATATATATATTAAAAGAAATTATAACTTAATCGAGCATTCCATATATGTTTATTGCTAGCTCGACACTGTTGTTGCATCTTTGTCTGTTAGTCACAAAGGTTGCACCTAAATTGTTCCAGAGCCAAACAAACAAAAAAGTGTGGGTGCGGATCGATCTGTGGTTCAGCCAGCTTTGGAATGGCTGCGACAACAATAATAACAAAAATATATCAAAATATTTCAAATTGAAGAGGACCATCCAGGGTCAATAACTGATTTGGTATAAGCCTGGGGAACTTACAAATTGTTATTCTTCATTTCTTTATATAGATGTTTAATTATGGTGCTGTGTTTTATTTATTTGAGTCTATGTAAAAATATGTACGTCAGCCTAGACGGACAATTTAACCAATTGATGTTCCTTGGCAAGAATCCATAATCTAACCAAGTTCAAAACGGCAGAAACTGTTGAACAAACGGTTGAGAACAATGAAATCATTTTCTCAACACGTGGAGATCTGATTAGAAATAAATCAGGGGTATTTGAAATCAATTCCATTGCGAAGCGTACCACATCGATCTTGTTCATGATATCAGTCTTTTTATTCTTTTGGGATTTATTCTTTTGATAAGTTAAACAAGCCTTTTGTAAACTGTATATGGCATCAACTTCTGTAGCTAAAGTATCATTTCTAGAAATTCTTTCACGGAGACTTCTGTTTTTGATAATATTCAACTTGCTTAATAAAGATAATTGGTCAACAACTGTAGAGTATACATCTATAACATTCTCCACAAATAAATGATTACAGAGAACTGAGGGATTTTTTAATAAATTTTTATTATGTAATATCTTGTTTATCAATGAAGCAACATTATATGGTGCTGAACCAAATCTCATTATGGATCTGAATAAAGATAATTGATTTCCAATATATGCCAAATCTTTTGTGTTAACATTAGGGAATTGGCTTGGAAACATCAAAGATACTTTCTTGACAATATCCAGAATGCACTTTAAAAACTTCGCAATTTTATCTTTACCAGCAATCGTTCCGATTAAATATTTAATGATATCGACGTTTCTTACATTTGATTTAAACTGTTTGTTGCTTCGAGTTGGGCGTGGAGTCTCAGATTGTTCTCTAGCTGTAGCTTCGTCATCATCACCTTCAACAACATGTTTGTCCTTCAATAATGTAGGAACTGCTGTATTGCTGTGAGCTTCAGATGCACTGAAATTAGTGGTGGATGTTGTCATATTTTGATTATTAGCTGTTTCTTTCAATCTGATGGGAATTTACCCGTTGCTACCAAAAAGGATATGTAAGGTATTAGATTATAATATCCTTATTAAATTTAAAGTAAATGTTTTATATGTTTATATAATATTGCTATAATGGTAAATCCTGCAAGAGCGAGTCATCATCGATTTTGCAGGATTACTTGACGAATTTCTCGAGTGAAAAATTCGTTACATGATGGAAAGTTCCGGTGGAAAAAAGAGAAAATTCTGATTGAAACATTTCGGTCCGAATTATAATCTGGCACGCTGATAGATCGTGATCTGTCACAATCGAAGATGGCAATATTCAATTGATTATTGACAGAAATTATGTGGAATTGAGATATCTAAAATGTCCAAATAGGAATGAAGAATTACGTAATAATTAGGTAATAACATTCCCATCAATTAGTAATTACAGTTTTTTGAGAAAATAAATAATATATAAAGACAAAGAATTCTGAACTTACATTCTGAGTCAGATTCTATTCGTTCTATAAATTATATATAATATAAAAAATCACTTACAAATATAAGAGAAATATAACAATTATATTTTGCTTACCTAACATTAAAACTTAAGCTTCACCATTCACCTCTCTACCTGCCACTATATAATATGAACGAATATAAGTCTAACCACAGTATGTCTGCTTCAGCTCAATTATCATATCAGATGAGAATAAGGGATGACAGAAACGCATAAAATGAGAAGAAATACACATTAACTAGCATTAGAATACCATAATATACGATTCATATATCGTAAGTACTCTTCTGTTTAAGGTTACCAGGGCGTGAACAAGACTGACATTACGTGCTGTAACCCTTAAAGAATTAAGAGAATCAAAGATAAGTTCAGGGAATAACAGTGTACAGGATGTGTTCGACCAGAATAATAGAAGATATAGAAAGTATATTAGAGTAATATTTGTTAATACAAAACATAATTATATTTGTGTTTCATATCTGAATATGCAAGACTAATTGAGTAATATAAGATAAACAAAGATTACCCTCATCACTAGACTTAATATCATATTAAAGAATATTAACTATTATTAGACTCCTTCCTATTCATAATTTTTATTAAATTATCAATAAATGGCTACATCTTATACGAAATATATAAACTAAGAAAAACGTAGCATTTTTTCGTTACAGTAAATATATCACACGACCAAAAAAAAGTAACAAAAATTAAAAAAATACTAGCGCCGCTCGGTTTCGATCCGAGGACATCAGGGTTATGAGCCCTGCGCGCTTCCACTGCGCCACGGCGCTAATAAAACATAGAAATTGTTTAAAGGAACTAGTACCCAGATATGATCACCTTCCGGGTAACATCTAATCTTTTGTTGTTGGTAAATTTGTTAAAATTGTTAAACAGAGTTGCTGTTATTAAACTGCTCATCTTTTGTGCATAGTAACGTTGGACTATGTAGCTCCAACAAACCCAATGTAGGGGGAACGAATACTACATTATGCAGTATATATCATGTGTTATAATATATACGGCAGTGCAGCACACTCTAAAATTCTACTTATATTAGCTACCTTCACCTTCAGATAGGTTAAGCTAATGTTAGCCTATCTGAAGGTGAAGGTAGCTAATATTGACAGAAATTATGTGGAATCAAGATATCTAAAATGTCAAAATAAGAACTAAACATTTTATTAGATAATAGTCGTTTAGGTCGTAATCGTTTAGGAAATAAGTTCATTACTTAACAATCGTTTAGGTAGCAATCATTTAGGTAGCAAGAAGAAATGGAATATCGGTAAAATTAAATAATATATAAAGACAAAGAATTCTGAACTTACATTCTGAGTCAGATTCTATTCGTTCTATAAATTATATATAATATAAAGAGACCGATCGATTATCGTATTAAAAAATGTCCGAATTAAATAAAGTAAAGCTTGAAGAGACTAATAGAGGCAAACACTCTATCTCAGATTCTCTACAAGATGTAACTAGTTTCTTTTTGGAGCTATGTGATACAGTATACATGGATAACATATAACTTAATGACTAAGACATATATTTTGAATACAACGAATTCGACATAATTATTTGCAATTCAATTTATTTGTTTAGAATGTCTCATCTCTGACACAGAAATTCAGGAGATGCAGGTGCTTAAGACTTACTTTTATCAAGACCTTGGCATGGAATAAAAACTAGAAAATAATAACCAGTAATAAAGCGTGAAATAGTTCTACTATAACTAATACAGTTACATTTAATAGCACAAAATAAGTTATATTCAGTACAAATCTACTGAAATTATAAGAATAAGAACAAGAATTAAGTAGCTCCTCGTCGTAACAAGACCTTTAGTGATTCACGGATCTTGTACATTATTCCTTTCTCTTCTGAATAATTAAAAGATATTAAAAAAGGAAATAAAAGGAGAAATAAAATATACTAAATAATAAGGGATTTGGTTCTAATTTTTCTGAGGGAGGTAGAACATGTACTTCTCTACTTCCTATTAATTTGGAAAATCAATAAAATCAACACAAAAAACTATTACAATCATAACCTGAACGTTAATTTACCACTTCTCTTCTCACGTATACAGTACTCTTAAATAGGTAGTAAGGAACCCCGCATATCTATATTACCCCACATTAATTTGTGAGTACTTGTGACAAATACTCAGGCTCTCATATTCAGTATACAATCCAAAATTGAACAAACATAATAAGTTGAGGAAGAACCGTCCATATATTACATATCATATGATGGCCATTAATCCATCTTATTTTTATCATACACCATGTAAAAACAGATTGATCTGCAAAATCTGCACTTTAATTGCAAATAATAATTTCACTACCTTTTATTCTTCCAATATCTGTTTATGTCATCAATATTTATGTCGTAATAAATATACTTGTGTACGGCACTTTCTGTGATAAAAAAAAGAAAAAAAAAGTAGGTCAATAAAAAATTTCCCCCACTGAAAAAGTCCGAAATACGTCACAAATTAGTTCCACACTATTAAGTACCAGAACTAAACAATACAACAAATTCACAAAACGACATTAAGTTACAACAAAAACAGTAAATAAGGGAAAATATTACCTTCTCTTGGAATGATGAACGATAAATTAAATGTATCTTAAAAAGAAGGTATTGTGAGATCTCAGTTTATTTACCTTCAATTAATCAAAAATATTTGGTATTTAAGCAATCAGCAAGTGTGAATATTTGGGTTTTGGGAAATATATTTCGTTCTATCTTTCTTCTCTATAATATATCTTTTTAACAAACAAACTAAAAAATCACTACAATACTGATTGAAGTTTGGAACATTACTATAAGGATTCAATCATTAATAATGTCTCAACCTGATCTCGCAACAGTTCCCACTACCAAGTCTCAGGACTCCACTACCAAAAACAATGTTTTACAAATGGCGACCGAACCATCTAGTACAGATTCTGCTCTATCGACCCCAATTAACCAACAAGTTCACGACGATGAAGGCAAGATCGTTTCAATGGATGCTACAACTGCTGAGGTGTTTGAAATGCCAAAGAAGCCAGCATCAGCTTACATCACTGTGTCATTGATCTGTCTAATGGTTTCATTTGGTGGGTTCATCTTTGGTTGGGATACTGGCACAATATCTGGGTTTGTTCAACAGACAGATTTTATCAGAAGATTTGGGTCTGCTAACAGTGATGGTAGTTTCCATCTTTCTAGAGTTAGAACTGGCTTAATCGTTTCAATTTTCTGTATCGGATGTGCTATTGGTGGATTGTTATTTTCAAAACTGGGCGATACCTACGGTAGAAGAATCGCTTTGGTTATTGTTACTACTGTATATGTGGTTGGTATTTTGATTTCTATTTCATCTATTGATAAGTGGTATCAATACCTTATTGGTCGAGTTTTCTGTGGTATGGGGGTTGGTGGAATTTCTGTCTATTCACCATTATTGATCTCTGAAGTTTCACCAAAACATTTAAGAGGTACATTAGTTTCATGCTTCCAATTGATGATTACATTGGGTATTTTCTTAGGTTATTGTACTAACTATGGTACGAAGAGTTATTCTAACTCTGTTCAATGGAGAGTACCATTAGGTTTAGGTTTTGCATGGGCATTATTTATGATTGTCGCTATGTTAATGGTTCCTGAGTCTCCACGTTATTTAATTAAAGTTGGTAAAATTGATGAAGCTAAAAGATCTATTGCTACTTCAAACAAAGTTTCTGTTGATGACCCAGCAGTTCAAGCTGAAGTCGACTTATTAAATTCTGGTATACAAGTTGAAGCTATTGCTGGCGAAGCTACTTGGCTCGAACTATTTTCTACCAAAGGGAAAATTTTACCAAGGGTAATTCTAGGTATTATGATTCAAAGTTTACAACAATTAACAGGTGCTAATTACTTTTTCTACTACGGTACTAGTATCTTCAAATCAATCGGTCTAGAAGATTCATTTGAAACTTCAATCATAATTGGTGTCGTTAATTTTGCCTCGACTTTTGTAGGTATCTACTTTGTTGAAAGGTATGGTAGACGTAAATGTCTATTATGGGGTGCTGCTGCTATGTGTGCTTGTTTTGTTGTATATGCTTCTGTCGGTGTCACCAGATTGTATCCTAACGGTATGGAGAATGTATCCTCCAAGGGTGCAGGAAATACAATGATTATTTTTACTTGTTTTTTCATCTTCTGTTTTGCTACCACATGGGCCCCAATCCCATTCGTTATTGTCGCCGAAACTTTCCCATTAAGAATTAAGGCTAAAGGTATGTCTATATCTGTAGCTTCCAATTGGTTCTGGAACTTCTTGTTGAGCTTCTTTACTCCATTCATTACAGGAGCTATTAACTTCTACTATGGTTATGTCTTTATGGGTTGTTTGATATTTGCCTGGTTCTATGTATTTTTCTTTGTTCCAGAGACAAAAGGTCTTTCATTAGAAGAAGTTAATGACATGTGGTTAGAAGGTGTTTTACCATGGAAATCAGCTAATTGGATTCCAGCTGACAAAAGAGATGCGTCATTCAAAACTGATGTATTCAACAAGGATGATAAACCATTTTACAGAAGAATTATCTAGGCTATTTTAGTAATGAACCCTAGGTTATTCCCCGCACTTTTTGATTAATCAATTTTTTAACATTTATTTTCTATTTGCTGTCGATTAAGAGAACTGATTCATCTTTTCTTTTGTATTTTTTTGTATTTATCTATCTATCTCTTTTTAATTTTTATTACTAATATTCTATAATTTTTTATCTAATTCTAATGTCTACTTTTAATTTTAATTTTTAATTTGGAATATAACCATTCATGATGTGTTGTATTACTAAATTATATTATCATCCTTCTTAATCCATAACTGTTATTATGCATTTAGTAACTACAATTTAACATATCTAAATGATGACATTCTCAATGAATTAGCTCCTACCCTGTTCTATTTTCTCTTAGTTATCGCTCTCGCCTGTAATGATTTTATTTTTTTCAATTGTGGATGATTGAAGGGCTGATTAACATATAAATTTAAGGGATGGTAATTGATCTTAAGATACAAATAATAGCAACAACTAGATCTGATATTTAAAATTAAACACAACAGATTTACCAATAAAAATGAGAATACCTAAGGAAATATTACTCTATAAAAATATTTTTTCAGTTTTCACCAGTGATCCTGACAATAGTTATTGCCCTATCGATCTTCCAAACACTTGCAGAAATACTACTGAGATAAAGGATAGCTGTTGCTTTGAATACCCAGGCGGGGTATTTCTACAATCTCAATTTTGGAATTATAAGACTAGTAAGATTGGGATGAATGAGAGTGAGATCGTGAAAGAGTTAGGTCCTTTAGATTCGTTTACCATCCATGGTTTATGGCCAGATAATTGTGATGGTTCATATGAACAGTTCTGTAGAAGGGAACTTTTCATTGATGATGTTTATTACATCCTGCATACTGGAAATTTCCCAAATACCGAGGAACTTTACGATGACTTGGATCTACTGTGGAAGAGTAATGTTGTTGGAGGTGATGAATCGTTATGGATTCATGAATTTAATAAACATGGTAGTTGTATTAAGAACTTATATTCTCAATGTTATGAAAGATGGAATGAAAACGAAGAAAAGGAAGAAAAATTATGGAAGGAAAGGGGAGTCATTGATTACTTTAATGTCACTGTAAATCTTTTCAAGAAATTAGATACCTATAGTGCGTTAAAAGAACACAATATTCTTCCAAGTATTGACAAGACGTACACTAGGACAGAGATAGAAGATGCATTAAAAGAAAGTTTTGGAGGGAAAGAGGTACTTATTAACTGTGATAGAAACAACGTAATCAATGAAATATGGTACTATCATTTATTACAGGGGTCAATCCTAAATGAAGATTTCCAACCATTATCCGTGAATGATCTTGGTAAAAAAAAACCGTTTTCACGTTGTCATGATACAGGTATCAAGTATTATCCAAAGGGTCATTTCCCAAAGGGCCAAATTCCTGGAGGTGACAGAAGAGGTCAACGGGGGGTTCTAAGAATAATTGATGAGAAAACAGATAAATCGGTTGGTTTTATTATTAAAGATGGGCATTGGATGTCTAAGGGATCCCCAGCTAATTATCAATTAATCAAATCTCCTTTTGGTAATTATAATTTGAAGAGTAGACTAGGATATTGCCAAGTTACTAAGAATGATGAATTAGCTTGCCATTATAAGGATGTTCAACAAGCTTCACAATTTGAATATGATTCCAAAATGGGATTTATCGGGTATTCAAATTCCTATAAATGGGGCAGTTCCGATATTCCAAAGAATACCAAGAAAGGTACAATATCTATAATTAGCAATAACGAGGATGACTTTAAATATAAATGGAACATGAAGTTCATCGGTATATAGGAATATTACCCCAGGAGCGATTGATCGATCCAAAACAACAACAACAACCGATTATTCTATATTTAGAGTATAATATTACAATTTTCTATATTTTATTTATTTATTTATTAATTATCATTAAAAATTATATAGAATTATTTTTTTAAGAGCTCTTCTTTGAAAATAATAGATTTGTAGTCTTATCATCAACTATTGAAAAGGGATGATTTGTTGTTGGAGACGATATAAATTCTTGATTTCTATACTGGCGCGATCTTTCACTTGGGTTATTACTATTATTACTGTATATTCTACTAGCGTTAATATTGTTATTATCGTCAATATCTCTACTACTAGGTGGATATCCATTATTATAAGCGAACGTTCTCCCATCACCACCAACATATGAAGAAGCCGATGACGAAGATGTGGATATCGACCGTTGCGGTATAGGTATTTGAGTATTCATTTCGATCATTTGTATCTTACTTTCTAAATGGGTCAAACGGTCGTAAAGATTTATATTCTTAGAACGCTCGTTACCCAATAACATATTTAACGTGTTCATATCTTGTTGTTGTTGATAAACAATATCTCTTAAGGATTCTGTTTCCTTTAATATCGATTTAATATACACTGACGATGAACCAAAATCCTTTGCCGCATATGAATTATTTAATTTATTGTTCGTGAACTGTTGTTGTTGTTGTTGTGTTGGTGGAGGTAAACGCGTCTCATTATCGTATATAGCATAATTATAAGCATGGTCTGCCCTTCTATGTGGAAACGCATTAGCTGTCGAAGAAGACATTGTCGACGATGGTAACGGAACCTCGCCTCTTAATTGTTGTCGAAGCAACTCCGACTGTCCCTGTGAGGACGATGAGGACGATGACGGCACTGTTGACGACGGAACGTTTGCATTTATCGTTGTGCTCGTAGGCCTATTCATCCCCATATACATGTTTTTAGTAGGTTTCAATGGAGAAACCATTGGATTTACCTCCAATTCATCCATTCTCTTCATTTGTTCCTGATGTTGACGTTTCAAATAATGCAAAGTGTCCTCATTCTCGGGCCTCTTGAAGAAGTCCCGGACACTAGAAGAATCTCCATCCTGTTCCACCTGCATACTGCGATATATCGTCTGCGCCTAATTTAAATCAATCCAACCCAACCCAAGACCACTCTAACAGCACCCTTGTGTCGCCCCATCCCTCTTCTTAACAGCAACGTGAAGCTGCTCTGACTGACGTCGTTCGCTGCAAATGCAAAACTTGAAACAGTTTTGGTTCCACAAAGAGAACCCTAGATTAGGGTTGTGGGCAATTGCTGTCGGGGCTGTCTTTTTTCGGGTTTTCTATTAAAAAAATGTGAGAATTACACAGAAACAGCCGCACAGAATGTAATAATAGACGGCCAAAAATAAGTGGCAAAGTGAGTTGATCTTTCCTTTGGTGGGCGGAACAAATATTATTTATAGATCATTCATTTATATATAAGATATTCAGTTAAAATAGAATGAGATGGAAAGGGAAGTGGCGTTAGAGGAACCGTTAAGCAGAAGGGATACACTCTCGATAGATATTTATATATTAGTGATAATATACCTGTTACATTCTGGTAATTAATATTAACATTACTGCTTACGGTACAGTGATAGCTGCGACAGAACTATTTTCCCTTTTTTTTTAAGTGATTTAAAGAGAAAACGAAAAGTGGATTTTATTTACTAGAGGTAAGTGGATAAACTTTTATTTCTTACTTTGAGGTTGGAAACGATATAAGTGAAGGTTACAGCCCTTGTTTTATATTTTGAATTTTCACCAAATAAGATTGAAAGTGAAAGATCCTGCGAAATATGTGTAAATTATTGAATGAAAGTGCTAATAACTCGCCTACGTCACCACATACGTTCGATCCATTTTCAAAGACACATTCAATGATGAATAAAAGTAGTAATACCGTTAAGACTGAAACAAACGTTTTGCCGACTAACTCAAGTATTATCAAGAATTTTGTCGATTTAAATTCTAATGAGTATCGTATCAATGGATTAAAATATTGTTCGACGGTGACTTCTTTGATTGATGATTTTTTATTGACAAAAGAATCTACAAAATCAGTATCATCTTCTGAGGAACAAAGCAACGTATTGATATTTGATCTTTCGCCAAATGAGTCAGCAATACCGTCACTTTTTACCGTTTCATCACCTGCGTCATCATTGTCTACATTATTATTCGATCATGATAAATCTTCATTATCATTATCCAAACAAACTTTTTTTAAATTTCATTTGAATTTACCAAGTACATTATTGAAAAGGAAAAATTTTAAATTTGAAAACCTTCTACAGATTACATTCAACGATGAAAAGAGAAAGCATTTATTAAAATTGATAGATACTTGTAACGTATTTGTATTTTTTGATAAATTCTCAACTTTATCACATTGTTCTTTTCAGACATTTTCGTTGATTACTAAATTTATTAAATTTTTAAATTCAATCAATAAATCACAGAATTCACAACTGATTCTCTTATCATTAGATGATAAATTATCAAACACGTCAAAGGAATCAAATTTGACACCAGCATCGGACGATTTCATGAGTTCACAAATTACTAATAATAAATTTATTAATAATTTGAATGCGACAAGAAGAATGAAGGATAGACCCGCATTACAAAACTTTAACCTGACAATAAAAATACCTAAAAATTCTACCAAAGGTATGTTTGTTCATTCCATTAAAAAGGATTCGATTCATTATTCACCAGTATCCCTAAAGAAATATTTTACTTTTAATATACCAAACGATATCCATACAAATGATTCCATTTTACCTAAATGGTTATTCCCATTTACAGATGTACAGAAAAAGGACGATATTTTATTGATCTTATTGAAAAAATTTAATTTATTAGAAGATATGGAAGTTAAAAGATTATCCGATTGCATTAATGACAAAAATAATAATAGTACTAATGATTACCAGATTCAAAATAATACTCTAGTGACTAAAGAAAGTGAAGATTTAGATCAGGATGGTACTAATGAGAATGAGAATAAGAATGATGACACGTCCTCATCGCAGTCGTCAACAAGCATAAATACCCGTGCTACAAGTACTTCCACAGATTTACAATCATCAAATTCATATCATAAGATTTACTCTTTAACACATTTACAAAACCAATTCAAGAAACAGAAAAGAGATTTATTGAAAAGAAAATCTACAAATAAAATATCAAGAGCTCCTTCTTTACATAGAAAATCCAATCCTAGACCGGAAAATGTGCATTCAACAACAAACGGAACTCAAGAATCAAAAACAAAAGGCTTACAATTACCACCCTTAATTATTACGGGTGCTAATCAACAAGAATCATCTTCAACATCCCTAGCATTACAAAGATCAAGAACTTTTTCAAATAACACTACCTCTGATCTGTCTGAAAATAATATGAATAGTAGTAATAGCGATACATTAATGACCCCCTTAGTACATTACGAAGTATCCCAAGGTATTCAATCCTTTAATAAAAATAGATATTCCAACATTTTACCTTATGAACATTCTAGAGTGAAACTTCAATATTCTCCACTAATACATAGTGCCACCGGAATTAAAAGTACGGGCACTTTTTCTACGAACAACAGCAATAATATTCATTCATCCTCTCATTTAAATGAAGATAATATCTCAGTTCATCTTGCACATACCTCACCTTCGTCATCATCATCTTCGTCAAGATCACGCTCAAATTCAAATTCAAATTCACATAGGAAAAGAAAAAATTCTTCATCATATTTCTCATTAAACAACATACCACAATTCAGTCAAAATTTGATTGCACCCAGAGGAGCAGTATCACCTACTTCATCGTTATCATCATACTCCATATCGCCTTTGGTCCAGACTACTTTTGAAAATGATACCACCTTGAACCAACAATTACTAGAACCACCAAACCCAATAGATAGCCGAGAAACATCACCTACAGGGATAATAGATACCCCAAGTTCATTAAAGAACTTAAATACCCATTCCTTATCTACAGACAGCACAAGGGAACCTTCATTTGATGAAGAAAACCCAAGAAGATTTAATGATTATATCAATGCTAATTACCTTTCATTGCCACAAATCAATTCAGACTATGAATATATCGCAACCCAGGCTCCATTACCCTCTACAATCGATGATTTTTGGAAAGTCATTATGTCCAATAAGGTGAAAGTAATTGTGTCGTTGAATTCTGATGATGAGTTACAACATAAAAAATGGGATATTTATTGGGGTAGCCAATATAATAGAACTACTCAAAGATTTACAGTTAACATTGTGAAAGCAGTTAAAAATGTTTATAATCTAGATGGGTGCACTTTAAGAGTCTTTCAAGTAGTTAGAAACAATATATCACCTTCTGAGTATTGTGTTGTTTATCAATTACAATATTCGAAATGGTTGGATTCATGTAGTGCCGACATGGGAGATTTACAAAAATTGTTTAGAATTAAAAATCATTTAATTAGTTCTCCTATCAAGTTCTTATCAAAGCTAGATATATCCCTTGATATGATATCAGATCTGACCACTCTACAGAAAAATTGTAGCAATTATAGAAGAGCTTCGATTTCTAAAGACACCCATAATAATGTGCCATTATTAGTTCATTGTTCTGCTGGCTGTGGTAGGACAGGAGTATTTATCACTCTAGATTTCCTTGTTAACATACTAACTGCTGGGAAGGATAAGCATAATAAAATCGATGTATGGAATATGGATCAAGATTTAATTTTTATTGTAATCAATGAATTAAGGAAACAACGTATTTCAATGGTTCAGAATTTAACCCAATATATATCATGTTATGAGTCGATGTTAAATTATTTTTCCATCCTGAAGAGAAAAAATGAGACAAAAGATTAAACTTTTATTTGGTTACTCTGTGAATAACGAAAAAGTAATTTGACTAACTAACTAACCAATCATTTCTTACATGATATATGCATTTTATAGATTTTATATATTTTTCTTTAAAAGTTAATTATTTTCTTATTATTAATGAGAGTGTTATGAGATGCTATTTATATCTATGCGTATGAAAATTTTCTCCTGAGAGTAAAATATATATATATAAAAAGGTCTTGAAAAACATTGTCATTTTTATCTTCCATGTAGAGATAATATTTATTTCTTCATTGTTGAGATTTAACAGATAAGAAAAGTTGTAAGTTTTCTAGTAAAGCTGGATTGACTGAATTTAGTAACTCATTGTACCCTTGAATGCCTAACGTTTGTTCCAAGAATTTCAAAATTTGGGTAATAAAATCTTTGAAACTGATATGGTGTACAAAATCATTCCTCTCATCCAATTCATGTTGTCTTAGTTGTTCATTTGTTAAAGGATAATACGTAAGAGATTGCTCAGTCACAATATCATTCAAATGGTATTTTTCACAATCACCATTAGAATTTTCATTTATTTCCTCCATCATATTGATCCATAAGGAAATAATTATTCCCAGATCCCCAATAATGGCTATCATTTTAGTTCTCAATAGACTAGACATACCCATGATATGAATTTTCTTAAACTTAGGATCATAAATTTCCTTATAGCAAACAATCCATTGAGATAAAAATCTTTGAACAACGACCTCAAATGAGCTATCACTGAAAATACTTTTTCTGTTCTTCATTGGGAGGTGTGCATTCTCATTCATTGTTGGTAACGAACGATGATATTGAGCTAATGATTCAAGTAACGCATCTGGGTTCAGATATGCTAATCTACCCACAATTTGGAAGATTTGTCCACATTGATACGATGATAATGATTCTTCTAAGAAAATAGCATCAAACATGGCTCTTGTTACTCCAGTTTCGAAAAGCTTCGAAAATAGCAAATTTTCACCACCATACTCATTTGAAAGAATCAACAATTCCCAAACTTGTAATATAATCTGGAAGGAATCTTCTCTTAACGTCAATATATATTTTGCCATATCTTCAAATATTTTCAACATTGCATCAGAAGAAAGGAAATCAGACTGGTTTAAAATTAAAGTATAACTTTTAACAATTTCCAATAATGTTGGTAAAATTTCTGTTCTTGCATCAACTGCATATTCTAAAAATGGAAGTAGTTCAATAAAATCAGGGTCAAAAGTATTATGCTCTTTCACCGAATAATGTTGTAATAGTGCACTCCATAATTCAAACCCGTCTTCATTAAGTAATTGGTATTGACTGGAGGAAGGATCACATGCATACCTAATCAGTGGGATAGATATTTCCCAGGTTAAATATGAATATGAACCCAATGACGACACTAAATGTTTCAGCAATCTCAATAAGGCGTTTGACAAAATTGTTTCAGATGCATTATTAGTGGAGACTTCCCATAGGCTAGGAACACGCTGCATGATTTCTATTAACAAATCTTTGTTCAATAATGGCTTTGTTTGAATAATAATATCTGTCAAGGCATTTAGCACGTACAGTCTGGTCTCTGTCAAAGACACCGATGGAAGGATTTCTCTTAGTAGGACAGTGATTATATCATTAAGATACGGTTCGAAAGTGTCTTTATCGAAATTCCAATCATCAATCATTGTCCTTAAAGCCTGAACAACAGTTAGTAATACAACTTTATCCTTTTCTGTTATTAATAATTCACCAAAAAACTTATAACAAAGACTTTTACTAGCTTCTGAACATTTAACTACTGACCATTCATTAATAATCAATGCAACTCTTCTTCTAATTAATTTCAATTGATCAGAATTAACATTGGTGTTCGAGGCTTCCGGAAGGAATACAGTAGTTAATAAATTATCGAAATCAACTTTATCTCCAACGACGTTGCTACTCAATTGGAAACTAGCATAGATGGCATCTTTCTTTAAGAAATCTTCAGATGAATTAGTCAAAGAGGCAGCCTCATTTTCGATTTTGTACAATAAGTATGGAACTAATAAATCAGAGAAATTATTTATCAGATCTTGAAAGAAATTCTCTGCACATGGACGAATTTGATATTCGTAACTTGTCATCATTTGTTCATTAATCCATTCCTCTGGATCTATAAACCAATTTTCTAATTCTGCTGGTCTTAATTTCAAATACCAATTCATCAAAACATCTACCAATTTTTTAATCAGATCTTCATTTAAAAATTCTCTACTGATCTTCTCAATGGCTTCTTCTACAGTAATTTTATCACTTCTCGCACGTAATGTTATAACATTTTTCTTACAGACAAAATTGATTACTTTTTTCAATAAAAGGATACCCTTAATTACAGTTTGTTCCCAAAAGTCACCAGTAGTATCTGAATTCTCTGTATAGACAACAGGAGCCTTCTCAAATAACAACTTCGTGTACACAATTAAAATTTGGGTAGACGACGGTAATAAAATAAAGTTTGCTGGTGAATCGGTAACAGTATTATAGTATAATTTACCATAACATTTAATAAATTTTTCGTATACATGTAATTTACCCAAATTTTCTTGATTGTTAATTAATAATTCAAAATGTGATATGGTCAATCTAATGAATTCGCACACGGATTCATCTTTGTGAGGCCTTTCATAACCCTCGCATACGATCCTCCTCAATACTTTCAATGCAAGATAAGAAACTTGCAATTTGGTCAGTTCATCTGATTCTCTTATTGTACTATTCTGGGTGTACCTTGAAGTCCAGTGATCAAAGGAATGCAAGTATATTCTCACAATAAGAGGGAAAATAAGCGGGATCTTACTTTGCATTGCGGGTTTACATCTTCCGATTCTTGCTGTTCCTAGAATTTTTACAATTTGGTTTACATGTACTAATATATTGAACAGTTTAATATCATCTCTATTAATATGTTCATTCTCTAATAATTGTTCAATATGTTCAAATAATGTTGGCCATTCAGTTGGGAAATCTAGTCTAGCAATCCTAGAAGCTGCTTGAGCATTTTGTATACACAATTGATTATTTTGTTCATCAATCAAATCAAAGAGTCTACTTCTAATAGATGCTTTCTCCTCCTTTGATATAGCGTTAATTCTTGTGGATCTCCAGTATTTTTCAACACCATTCTTGAATTGAATTACAGCCAACCATCTAATTTGCAAAGAATTTGATAGATCCAAATATATAGATTGTAATATGTAATGGAACCCTGGAATCATACTCCATTCTTTCAACTGTTCTTCTGCGAGGCGTTGAACTTGTGAACCAGCATGTTGAGGATTACTGGCATGTTCTAATGTATCTTTCACATTCAATTCCGTTAAGCTTGCAGCACCATTCGAAACAGACATCTTCTTTGTAATAATTATATTATGAGAAATGGTACGGCTAGTATAAGCTTGATTGTTCAATATGTTTCCAATTAATATCGCTGTTCACACTGTGCTTCGTTATCAATGTTATATTTTATATAACTCTAACAATATATAACTAGTGCACTAATTAAGAAATGTCAGAATATAAGCGCTTATTTTAGAAGCAACTCCCTTCCTTGTTAATAAAAATATGTTTCTATCGCATGCAGATGTTCCCTTTCCTTATTATTATTAGGTAAAAACCACTATAAAAAAATCTTTCGACTGTTCGCAATTTCGCTTTCTTTCACTTTCAGGTCATCCATCACCAGGAGAACCCTCTTTCTCTCTCCCTTTCGCTTTGTTGTGCAGACTATTCTGAGGAGAATTGAAAATAGGAAACTGAAAATTTATTACCTGAATCTGTTCGAACCTACCAACTGTTGTCTAGATGATTCAAATTGGATTGAGTACTAATTGGACTGTCCCTGTTCAGGTTTATGGTCATCGATAATGATGACAAACAATATTTCAGGTTGTAGCTGAGAGTATATGTTACTGTTACGAGGAGAGAAGAAACATGTTTTGGTTACTAGCTAGATGTGCTTATTATATTATTCATCTATATAGATATATAATTGTACATTATTACTGTGGTTGGTTTTTTTGTGTATAAATTCATTAAGCGCTCCAACGGTGAGCTTCGTTATCACCACTCCATTTGCGTTCTACGTAACCCAGTTCCTCCTTAACTCTTTTCACAGTGGCAGGATCACCCATATTTTTCCCTAGATTATCAGAAATTTTGATAGCATGGTTACCATTAACATTCAGCAACTTTATCACGATATTCAATGGTTCACTCTTTATTTCGTAATTTGATTTTAATTGGAAATCATTAGTGAAATTTGTACCAATACCAAAAGTAGCAATCATTCCGTTTTCCTTGGCAACTTTACCGTATGTAATAGCCTTCTCGACATTCAAAGAATCGGAATAACACAAAACTTTAGAGAATTTAGGTACTTTCAACACGTCGTGATAATGATGTGCGATCTTTTCAGTATACTTAGCTGGATCACCAGAATCCTGTCTGACACCAATATAACAATCTGAGTAAGGTGGTAAGAAAGACTTTAAGAAATCGTCAGTACCAAAAGTATCAGTTAGGGCAAGACCTGCATGTTGAGGACCAAATGTATCAACCCAATATTTCATTGAGTTCTTATTAGCATTGATATAATCGTCAGTTAAGGCTGCAATACCCATGATCCATTCATGTGCAACGGTACCAATTGGTTTAATATTGAAATTCTTCGCAAAGAGAACGTTGGAAGAACCCAGAAGGATATTTTCATATTTGTCTTTATTTGTGGCAACAGCCTCCATAATACCTTGAAGCACTAGTTGTTGTGTATGATAAGATCTACGACGTCTAGTTCCAAATTCACTGAATTTTAGACCGTTCTCCATTAAAGTTAGAGCCTTTTGTTTAGCTTTTTCAACTTGTCCTTCATAATTCCAGTCTGTATCGATGAATTTGAAATAAGCCTCAGATACTAATGCTAATAATGGGATTTCGTATAGGATAGTGTCCGTCCAGAGACCACTGATGAATAAATCGATATTGTACCTGGTTTCACCATTTTGCTCAAAGGCTTCTGTCTTAAATGTAATATGTTCTTCTGGTTTCAATTTAAATCCAGAATTACTAATGAAGTCGATGTAAGTCTTTGGAAGGTATGGAATCTCTTTTTGTAAATAAGTAATTTCATCTGGAGTGAATCTAATATTGCCTAGCAAATTAATTTGGGTTTTCAACCAATCGATGGCAGCCTCATTAAATGATAATTGACTAGATCTGTTGGTGTACTTATAGGTAACTTTAGCATCTGGAAAATGCAAAAAGACAGCAGCATGCATTGTCAGCTTGTACATGTCAGTGTCCAAAAAGGATGTAATCACTTGTTCAGACATCGTATATAATATTGCGTAGTTGAGTGTGTGGTGTAAAAAAGAATTTTTTGTTGTATGGGATATCTGGTGGTACGATAGAGCTAAGAAAGCTTATGGAAGCGCAATAGCAAATACTTTTAAACCTATATTATCTCGAGTTCTTATACTCAGATTTTTATTAATTCTTAAACGTTTCAATAAATTAAAAGGAGCAAATTAGAAATTAAAGAAAAAAGACTCGTAATTTTATCAAGACTAAAACAATAATTTCCAAACAATTAAGCTTTTAAAGATTGTCTGATGTTTTAATCGTTTGTTTGTTTTTTGCTTTCTTGGAATCGTTGTTAGTTGGTCATATGTAATCTCTCTCTTTCTTTCTCTCTCTCACGTTGTCAATCTTTGTCTCGTTGCAGTTGTTCCGTTCTTTCTCTCTTCGGCAGAAGCAGCAGCAGTAGCAGAAGGAAACACGGGAAGGGAAGGGAAGACCCGCAACGGAACACCCAAAAGAAGAAAAGGCCTCTCTTTACTAATATTATTATATGAACAATTTCACCATGAGAATAATAAACGGAAGACGAGGCTGCTGACAACATCAGAGAAACTCTCTGCTATGTATTAATCATGTAAATTATGTAATCTAGGTTCATAAAAGATTAACAAAAATGATGGATCAGAGATGATCTAAGTTTTTTTAATATGCGAAATTACGTATTCATTTATGATGTTTTATTGGTAAAAATGTACAGTTGTATTTATGTATATATGTATATGGATGCGTATATGAGCATCCATATATATCTCTATGATAATGCTTTCATGACACTGTCGAACAAAGTATCCATTGGAACGTTCTGGATGTTCTCGAACATGTTGGTGAAACTATTCATATTGATACCCATATCGTTACTACGGTTCCCACTAATGATTTCTTCTTCGATCTCCATGGCATCGCTATTTGCTTCAATTTGATTAGTCTTCCCGTTTATGCTTATATTACTTTTTTTGTGGGATAATTCTTTTAATTTGGTCAAGTAGGAGTCTGATGTAGATAAAGTTTGTTCAGCAGATTGCTCGACAACATTTATACTATTATTATTATTATTATTACCGTTGTTGTTGCTAGTACCGTTGGTGCTGTTGTTCGCTATTCCGTCCAATATATCCTCTCTATTGGTCTCGTCGGCCATTTCGGTATTCACCGTGGTTCCTACAATACCGAATCTAGATTGTATATCAACAAAGATGAAATCTGTATCGTGATTCCAACTGATCCAGGAAATGTATTCGTCATGTGTGAAAGAATCCAATTTTTGGGATAAATCAGAATTAAACACAATGATATGAGATTTATAATCTAATGTATTCTTCCCTTCGTCATCCTTAACTTGTTCATTGATGACAATAGCCATCTTCTCACTCTTGTCATCACAACTGATCAACCTATCCAAGTGTCCATTCTTATAGACACCGTTCACGTATGGGTATAAATCGAATCCATTAATAATCTTACCCAACAGTAAATCTATAACATTTAGACTAGTCTTAGTGGCTATTATTAAATTCTTTTCACCAATCATTTTGACGGCTTGGATCTCGGAATCCATACTAAATTCAGCAGTCATACTCACATCATTGTTATCATTATCATTGAAGTCTACTCTTTTGAAATTATCGAAATCAATGATTTGTAATTTATCACCAAACCCATGGAATACTAAACTACCATCTCTAGACCAACCTAATGATACAGAATTGCTGAAGTTGGTGAAATTTGGGATCAGTAATTTCTTCAAACACCAATTCTTCTCAGTGTTGTCAAATGCCCAGTATTTCATACCACCATTGTTATCAGTAGTGATACAACCAACCCCACCATCAACAGATAATGGTGCAACTTTGATGTTTGTAATTGGGGTGCTACGACCATGTGGGTTCAATACTTTTGTTCTCAAAACCCATTGGTTTGGATCGGCCTCATCGTGAGTCCAGAATTTCAATATGTGAGATATATCCTTAGATGACATTAAGTCTTCTGGAGGGAAGTCAACCTCGTAACTAATCAACCAATTACCGTCGTTGGTAACTTTAATATTTTGAACTTCAGGGTCACGAATACTCAATTCTTCTCTAACTTTACCCATGGTGTTATTCATACCATCAGTTAAATATTGTAAACAAGTTTGTTCATTCTTAAAGAAATCAAATGTTTGTAATGCTGATAAATGTGGGATGTATAATTGTTTAGTTTGTGGATTCATCTCTATAATAGTAGTAAAATCTTGTCTTGCTGATTTTAAAAGCTTTCTTTTATGCTTCTTCTTCGAGATATTGATTTGAGTGTTTGATTTTATGACTGAGGTTGGTTGTATTGTGTCTCTTATAGGAGATGTAAATATTGGTAAAGGACCTGTCACTGATAATTTGGAGGTCAAATCTGCTGAATTCAACACCACTAATTCATAATCGGAACTGGATTGATTCTCTGTCATTTGCAATGATAAAGTATAGAATTTCCCTTCATTTTGGATATCCACAACGACACCATTCAAACGTGGTAAAAATTGTTGTGTATTAGTAGATAATTGCCAGAATAGCAAGACTTTTTCCCAACCACCAGATAATAAATAAGAACCGTCATCTGTGAAACATAATGATAATACAGAATCGATATGCCATTTCAGTAATCTGCTTTGTAAATCCGATAAATTGATAATACTGATGACACCGGATGCGAAACCCAATGCCAATTGAGTGGCAGAATTGTCAATAGCCATGGTGGAAACAAATCTTGCATTAACATTTTGATTATTTTTGGTATTTTGAGAGATATGCAATACTGATTCCAGGGCAATATCCTTTTTCAATGCTTTGCTGAAAATAGATTCGACAAGAATATGTCTTTGGTTATTATCATTGGTGTCTTTGTAAAGTAATGCGAAAACGTTTTCATCCTTAGAGGAAGCCGATAATAAAACATTGTTGTATGTTTCTGATTCAATTAATTTGACAGCGTCTGTAGATTCCTTAGGGAATTTCAATGTAGATAATTTATAATCAAATAAAGATCCATTACTTGATAAAGTAGTCATTACTCTTAGTTGGTCTTTACCATTATCAAATGCTTTCAACAACTTTTCATCCTTTTCGGAATCCAATTCCAATTGGTATAATTTTGGAGAATCTGTTAATTTACCTTTATAATTCAATACAATCACTTGACCTAAATTAGTGAAAATAGTAATGAATTTTTCTTGTTGTCTCATAGTAGGGTCCTCTCCAGTGACATCGCCTAACATAATCCCAGTAATATTGATCCTTTGAGTCAATTTCTTGTTATCAAATATGGTAGCCAATACGGGGCTATTAGCATATTTCAATGTCTTGATACATTGTCTAGTTTCCAACGAATATATTCTGATTTGGTTATTGAAAGGAACAATCAATCCTTGTTGATCGTGAGTCAGTATCGATATGTTCTTCTCGCATGAGGTCCCATTATTGACACCTGGTAGAATTGGTCTCCCACCTGAGACCACTGATAACTGGTATTTCTGAGTGATACTAGACATTTGTGTCATATCTATTGATGACTATATAGTTATATTCTACTTACCGATTAAGAATAAGAATAACTAATACAAAAGTATATGTGTGTATACATATAGTTATATTCAAATATCGATCTAAATGTTACTATTTTCATTATTAACCTAGTAGATGCCAGCCCATCTCATCGATTTTTGTCTCATCTCTTAGTGAGAAAAGACCAATAAAAGAAAAATTTTCCAGCCGTGGCAAGTGATTAGGGCACAACCCACGGTCTTAAATTAGGTCTTCCGTAAACAACGATGTACCACTAAATATTACCCTGCCTATGTTAATTTAATTAAGCGGTTCTCTCAAACTGAAATTTTTTTTTCAGTTTTTTTTACTTAGTAAGAAATAATGATAATGATAATAAAATTTGTTTTGAACTATTACAGTGCATCAGATGCGATGAGGTAATATATAAGTTACACAGTTGATTCTAAAGACAAATAGAGAGAGTGAAAGTACTGTTTTTGAACTAACCAACCTGTTCTATAACATAAATATAAGATAAGCTCAAGATGATTGTTCCAGTTAGATGTTTTTCGTGTGGTAAAGTTGTTGGTGACAAATGGGAAAGTTATTTGAATATGTTGCAAGAAGATGAATTGGATGAAGGTACTGCTCTAACCAAGTTAGGACTAAAGAGATACTGTTGTAGAAGAATGATTCTTACTCATGTCGACCTTATTGAAAAGTTTTTAAGATACAATCCTCTCGAAAAGAGAGATTAAAGAAGCATAAAAGTAGGGTTTTAGCTCAACAAAACCAGATAGATATCATTATTAGATCATTCTTTCCTTACTCCCATTGTACAATATAAAACAAAAACCTATATGTGTATACTGATGTTCTCCTCCTTTTTTTTCTGCCACATTGACGAAACTCACCAAAAAGAACTACAATTATTTTTTGGGGGGGTATTATAATCAATGTGGCAAATGAATGAAACCATGACATTATATACAGACGCACTCACTAACGATCTCTTATTTCCTCTGTCACATATATAGCCACACATGCATGAGTGTGTCACATACTACATAAATCTATACAAAAATAAAAGAATAGAATCAATCAATCCATCAATCAGATGAAGTGTATATAGCGAATATTCAAAATATCTAATGCCAAACAGCCCTAGCACCCAACCCTAGGGCACGACCCAACCCTGGCGTATACTCCTTGTTCTGAAAAACTCGCAAAATTTCATGTGAACCACTCAGAATGGCTACCAATATTCAACTCCATAGACTTGCTGTTGCGCGCGTCTCGCTTTTCAGTCTTTCGCTGTGTCTGTCTCTCTGTCTGTTGATAGTCAAATAAATCTAAATATCGAGAAACGCGAAAAACACAAAACACAAAACAGTCAAATCACATCAACGATATTAAGATTTGTACTGCACGGTAACATCATCAACATCATCGCCATCCAGAATTGTTAAGAGAGAAGACAAATCTTTAGTGAAATAATCATCGCCATCGTCGCTTTTTGCTTCTTATAATACAAGTTTCGATGGTATTGGTCTCGTTTTCTGCTTTTGCTTTGTTTGCTGTGCTTGCTGTGCTTGCTTTGTTTATTTCATTCTTTCTCCCTTGACATTTGTTGATTATTATTTATGTTTTTTTATGTTTTTTTTTTGGTTTGCTTTTAAAAAACTGAATAAATAAATAAAGGTTTGTTTTGTTTTGTTTCGTTAATACTTTTTTTTAATATATTTCCTCTTTCTTTCTTGTTTTGTATATATAACTCTTATATTCTTTTTCTTCTTCTTACCAACTGTTCAAGTGTCTCATAACCCAACACATAAACAACCACACATATATCCAACAATGGCTCCAAAGAAAACTACAAAACCTGTCTCCAAGAAAGTCGCCAAATCTTCCAGTTCCGCTTCTTCTTCCTCGAAGAGTTACAAAGAACTAATCACAGAAGCCGCCGTCGCTTTGAAATCTCGTAAAGGTGTCAGTCGTCCAGCCCTAAAGAAGTTCATCAAGGAAAAATACCCTTCTGTCGGTGGGTCCTCCACTTTCGACCATTACTTCAACGCTGCTATCAAGAAAGGTGTTGAAACTGGTGATTTCGAACAACCAAAGGGTCCTTCCGGTACTTTGAAGATCGTCAAGAAAGCTGCCTCCCCAACTCCAGCTGCTAAGAAAGTCACTAAACCAAAGGCCAAGACTACTACTTCCACTACCACCACTACTACTACTAAGAAGGTCACTAAGCCAAAGGCTAAGACTGCTGCCTCTGCTGCTAAGCCAAAGGCTAAAAGCGTCACTTCTTCTAGTTCTTTAACTTACAAAGAAATGATCATTAAGAGTATACTGTCCATTAATGATGGTAAAGGTTCTAGTCGTCTAGCTGTTAAGAAGCACATGAGAGATGAATACGCAAAGAAATTGAACAGTGTAAAGAACTTCGACCATTTATTCAATGCTGCCATTAGAAAAGCTGTTGAATCTGGTGATTTGGCTCAACCAAAGGGTCCTTCTGGTATTATCAAGGTTCTAAAGAAAGGTAAGACTGCTGTCGGTGCTTAAACAAAAATAAAATATTATTTATTTAATTAATTATTATTATTCCTTTTCCACCTCTTTATTACTACTAATTTTTGGTTATTACTAATATACAAAGTTATATCTTTGTGTGTACTCTTTTTTTTTATCTTCTTTCTACTATTCAACATGTTACTAATAATACATACAAATATCCACATACAATAAAAAATTAAAAATTAAACGATTGTCTAATTACCTTTTTTTTCTTCTATTAATTATTTATTACTTTCATTTCAAGGAAAATAATTGTATGTGTATAATGGTGTGTAACGGTTCTTTCATCGTATCGGTCTTATTACTATTGTTATTATTATTATTATTATTATTTTTATTGTTATTTCTACTGGTTTGTTACGTTTAGTCTTTTTTTTCTTTCTTTCTATTATTACTGCTTTATGTCAACTCAAGTTCATCCTGGTGTATACACATGTATATTTAAACAGATGCTAGAGAGTTATATCATTTTTTTTATTTTATTACCTGGTTAACTTTCTACTGTTGTGTATACTCCCTATACAAAAAAAGAGAGAAATACATTTATATATATATATATATATATATATTATATAAGTTTATATATGAAGTAGTGTATTGTAATATTATATTCCCTAGACAATAAAATCGTCAAATGTGTACTTATTTCGTGTCGCGTCTATATTTACGAATTCAGATATATTACCCGGCAATCAAACCAGCTCACATCGTTCCAAGTGATATTGAATTTTAATACATCAGTTACTGTATATATATATATATTGATATAGTATTTTAGTTCTATCTATTCGATTACCAAGCAGCACTAATTATTAGAGATTGAAATACAAAGAATTGGTGATCATAACCTTATAGAAAATTACCCTTTTTATACAGATGACTCTGGAGATACATTATATTGATTGTGTCAATGCTGTGATAATGGCATTATATTCACACCTTGAGACACAAACAGACTCCTACGATCTAGTTATACATTAAATAGAAATAAACACATTTGTTTAATAGATCAGCAAGGCAACAAAGGATATATGATCTAGTATTGCATACCGTTGCAATACGGACCTTTCCTCTCCTCTTCCTTCAGTTCATCAATGCAAAAACAGAAAATCGCAAAGAAAATTTTTGCTCGGGAAAAATTGACAAGCAAAAATGGAGAACATCAATAAATAATTATAAGACCTAGAAAAACAGGTCCTACTTACCAAGACCTAAAACCTAAGATTGAGTAAATAGAGATTAGGACACTTTAACTAGCAAAAAGAATACATTACCACAACTGATTGCTTCAGGGATATATTATTGTTACCATAATTACTAGAAGCATATTAGAAAACAGGGATTGCTGAATTCGATCGGTCCATTTATAAACTTCGAGAGTCAACTTTAGGTCCAGCAAGGGCATATAAACACTTTTTAAACCTAATTTTTCTTTTTTCAAGGTAAAACCCTACTGAACCCTCAAATAGGTATAGACCATATAAGCAAAAGTTTTGCTTCACAGACTAATATTTCATATTAAATAACGTTTTTATCGTTAATACTATTATTCTGATCATGTCTACTGTTGATAGCGAGGTTGATTCTGAAAACCTAAACAGATTTAATAATGTTGTTCAGAATTTACCAATTAGAACGAAATTAACTATCTCTTCATTATGTCTACTAGATAATATCTCCACTCAGTTGTTAAGATTCTTAATCTTTAACTCAAATTCTCCACAAGTTATCGCTCTATATACTGAACATGGCACTTATTTAAGTTCAGGTGAAACTGAAATCTTTCAAACTCTGTTGAAACTGTTCAAACAAGTCCGTTTAATCTATAACACTAGATCACCTTTATTACAAGTTCATGATGTAGCCCCAGGTCTTTGGTTTCCTAATTCACCACCTCCTTCTCTATTGAGAGGTCATGAAGCTTATATTATTACTGCTATTCGTAAAGCTAACTTGTTAACATTCATTTTGACCACCTTGGGTTGCTTCTCTTATGGTTTTGAATTGTTACAGTCATCATTCTTAGATATATTCTGTCCAAATACTATGTTTGCAGGTTCTGATTCATCAGATCAAATTGGGAAATTTTTAAAATCTCAAGCTATCCTATACTTGGATTTAAAGACTCAGGCTTTCATTGCAGGCCTTAGAGATAGTAAAGGCGACTCTAACGATATTCCTGATGATAAAAAATTGGAATTGTTGCAAGAGATATTTCCGGATAATTTATCTAATCAACTGATCTCTAGAAGAATTGGTTCCACAGAGGTTAATGAAACTGATACAATGACTCCATCTGAAGTTGATTTCATTGAAAGATGTGAACGTCGTAAAGAAAATCTGTCAAAATTCACTAAGTTTGACGATTTAATGGAATCGCATGATTGGAATCATTTCATTAAGGAGATCCTTGATTATTGTAACAGAAATATGGGTCTGATCATTTGGGGTAGAAGAGGCCGCGGGAAATCTCCATTATATGCATTTGACAAGAATGAATTTGATAATCAAGTCTTATACTCAAGTGGTGCAGTGGCTCCACAAGTTGGTAATGGTGATGATGATGATACGACTCAAAATAATGACGAGGATATAAATCTACATCTGGATGATGACATCGCTTCAAGTGATAGCCGTGCAGGTCCAGATTTTGCATCATCTATGGCTTCATTCAGTAGTACATCTAAGAATATAAATGATAATGTGAAGAAAATGACACAGAATTTAGTGAATGCTGCAATTGCAGCTTCGGCTACTAGTGGTATTAAGAAATTGAAACCAAAGAGGACTTGGTCTCAAAGAGAAAATGAGGCACTAAAGGATGGTTTAATGGAGGTCGGGCCGTCCTGGTCAAAGATTTTGGATCTTCATGGTCCAGGTGGTAAAATTTCTGAGGATTTGAAGAATAGAACACAAGTCCAATTGAAGGATAAAGCAAGAAATTGGAAATTACATTATTTGAAGAGTGGTAAACCACTTCCAGAATATCTAACTAAAGTAACAGGTAATTTATCCAAGATTCAAAAGACCAAAAAGGTTAAAACAGTACTATCTTCTGCCCCACAAGCGTCGTCATCCGCTACAAATGAAGATGATACTGCGGCGGCTGCTCCAAGTGGTTCTCATGTGAATGATGTTGGTGTTTCTTTAGATACCGAATTATCGCAAAGAGATGAGGATGAGGATGATGAAGATACTCAAAAGGGTAGTCAAGAAAACGGGTTATTTGGTAACGGACATAATGATACCGAGTCATTCGATCCAAATTTGGAAAGTAGTATGTGATACATGTATGAGTTTATTAATATATTACACGAAATGCTCCATCTGGTTATCATGTGAGCTCCACTTTTTATATACCTTTTTTATATATGTGTTATTGTATATCATTTTAATTTTGAAGGCCGCTATAATTCAGTCAGTATTGGTTTTAATATTATGGAACTGCCTCTTATCAAACGAAATTATTAAGTTGTGTTCTTTTTTTAAAAAAATATATAACGTAATTATACAGTGTTTTTCTTTACATAGTCAGATAAACTTTTTAATAACCCATCAGGTAAACTATATAAATCCACAATAAATTCACCATCATCTGCATTATTTGTTACATTCATCTCAGGTGTGTTATTATCACTTATCATTTGAACTACACCAACCAAATCATCCTCATTCAATTTTGTTAATCCAAGAGCAAGCTTCTCGAGATCAACATTACCTCTCATAGTGGATACTGTAGCTGTCTTAGCTTTCTTTGGTTTTGGTTCAATTGTACCTGTAAGGGATGTTTTTCTCTTAGCACTGGTTGTTGGGTTTTCTTCCACACTACCACTTTTTTCTAATTCTGCCAGTAGTAATGGCTTATTCAAAGGAACTTGAACAACATGGTCCGTCTCGTAGGAGTCCTGAAGGAAATTCAAATCATGTGGAACTTTTCTTTCACCTGCTTTTTCTAAGAAAAATACACTAATATCCATTGGGAAACCGCCCCAACCTTGTTCTTCAATTCTGAATGGAATTTCTGTTACTGTTCTATTAGGGTTAGCGAATGTCGGATGTAAGTGGTATATCACCTTTTCAAAAATAGTAGCTGGTACTTCATTTCCATTCTCATCTAGTAAGACGATCTCTATAGACCACTGACGAACAGGAAAGTTTTCCACAGGAGGGACATCTGGGAGGATATGTTGACTCGTTTTAACACGGACAGTTCTCTTAACACTCTGTATATACATATATCGTGTGAATAATTTGTTATTACGTGAAATATACTGTTAGTAAAATGATTTATATTATAACTTTAGAATAAATTGGAAGAAGGGAACAAACTGTCCAATATTTCAGGGTTTTACTTTAGTTAGAAAATCTTCCCCCCTATGGTTATTCAAAATCGCTGACATACTGCAACCATATTGAATGAAATGTTTTTGGTTATATTTTCCAATGTTCACTTTATTATAATTAATAGAAGTTTTATAATTGAATAATATGAATGAGCAAAAATACCAATAGAATAACGAAACAATGTTTGGAACTTGATGATAATTTCTCATCTTCTCCAGTTGATAATGGTAAGTTTGGAAAATCGCGAAGTTTTCTTAAAATGTAATCTCAGCGCTACAGAAAATATCGTGAGCACCACCCGCGCCGTAATTAACAATAATTTATCCTTCTTAAGTTGGAAGACTTAAAGGACTTTTTATAGGAACTATATTAGCCTAACAAGTATTTATTGTTCTACGGTTTGAAGTGTTTGTTTGTTTGTATGTTTTATTTGTGTGTCTAGAATAATAAAGCTAAGTTTGAGCTACATATTTCTTACGAATTTTTATCTATACTTTTTTATATAATATTGTGCCATTCTGAATTTTAGTCTCACTCACTCATTAGAATGAAACAAGAACATAAATAGCAGATAAAGATAGGGCAATTGCTGGAACACTGCGACCACCTAAATGGTTAGCCTTAGCTTCAAATTCTCCAATAGTTCCATTCATATTAGATTTGGTAACATTAACCTTTTTTGGAAGTACAGCTATGCTTGGGGTTTGAGTTGACTTGGATGATAAGACAACAGTTCTTGTTTGGTTCGATTTTGAGACTTTAGATGATATCTTCTTCTTGGCCTTGACTTTAGAAGAAACCGAAACAGCTGAAATCATCGATGTAGAGGATGAAATCACAGGTGGAGCAGTGGTAAAGATAGTACTGGTGGGGATTGAAGTTAGGACAGTAGTCGATTCCGATAAGGCACTTAAATGACTATTGACGGGTTTGATAGGAGAAAGGGAAGATTCATAAATGACACTGGGTGCACTTGTAGGTTCTAAGGAGTGTGATGTTTTTGTTTTATTCTTACATTTTTTACCCTTTGGTTTCTTTGAACAAATATGATCATCATCCTTATCTTCATCATCTGTCTCATTATCCTCTTCATGTTCATGGTCTTCGTGTTCTTCTTCCTTTTCATTATCATCATGGTTTTTGTGTTCATCTTTTTCGTGGTTTTCTTTTTCTTTGTCATCATTGTAATCATGATCGTAGTCGTAGTCGTCATCTCCATCATCATCACCTGACCAATGCTTTCCAAAAGGAGTAGGGATGTACTCATAGTCATCATCTTCATCAGTAGAAATGCATTCATCATTATTATCGGAAGTTTTATCCTTTGTCAAATGCTTACACCCCTGATTTGTTTTGACCTTCTTGATATCAGTAGTCTCACTATTGTTGTTTGTATTCTTATTCTTGGTGTTTTTCTTTTTTTTGCCCATACCTAGTTTCTTCTTTAATTTCTGTTTCTTTGATAGGTGTTCCTTATCTTCATCGTCACTTTCAGATTCATCATCACTTTCACTTGAATCGTATTCGCTATCACTATCCTCATCTTCATAATCTTTCTTTGGTGAAACGTTCTTACCACTTTCGTAGATCTTCTTGACAATTGCGGAGTAATCTTTTTGATTAACGAACTCTGGTAATTCATCTAAACCAGCAAACACAATGTTGGATGATTGTTCAAGCTTTTGAATAAGTTCTGGAGACATATTGTTTCTGTCAAGGTGAACGGTGATCGGTTTATTGTTTGAAGCACTAGTCGAGTCACCTCCGACATCTTCAGTTGATAAGACAACATTAAATTTTTCGGCAGTAATAACTGAAGTACTTGCTGCCAGAGCTATAGTTAGTTGTTTCCACATCCCAAAATTTGAAAAATATAATTAATTTAAAAGTTGTATTAGTAAATCCTATAGAATGGCTAAATAGAGATCCCTAATTGTTGATGATTTAGTAGAAATATAAATTTAACCTAAGAAATGGAGAAATAAAAGAATTAATTAATAAAATTTTAGTGACAACAACATCTTAAAAGTAAAGGAAATGAACTTCTTTCTTATGTTTTCCTCAATTTATTTTCTCTTATATATATATATTTTCTGACTTTTGTGACACAAAATATCAAAAATTATTTTGAAAAAAAAAATAAACAAAAAAAAAAAGGAAAATTACTATGACTGCATACAGCACAATAATATACCCTAAGTTTCCTAAATATTAGGTGAAATGTCCATAGTAGAGTAAATAAAATTAATCAAATGATCAACAGGTAGGAAACTTAAAACGCAAGGTTCAATTTTATCATAGTGATTAGTAAAAATAACATAATTCAATTTCCAAAGTACGAAGGTTATCTTCTAAAATGTAAATATATCAATGATTTACTTTCTCTAGTAATCCATTAAATGCTTCTTCTATCCAGTAATATAACTTTTTGTATATAATATTTTGAGCATTGTGATACCTTATTGAATGATCAGAATCAGGGAATATATGCATGTCGTAGTTTCTAATACCAGCAATATTCAATCTATCAGTGAATTCATAGGTATTTTGGATATGCACATTATCATCGGCTGTTCCATGTAGTAGCAAAAACCGTTTCATATTGTTAAAACTACTAACGTCATTCAATCGAGATATTTCGATGTACTTCTCAATATTTGCGTCAACGTTTCCCATATATCTTTCTGTGTATATAGAGTCGTAATATAGCCAATTGGTAACTGGAGCAACAGCAATGGCGTACTTGAAGGTTTCACCTTTGTCGAATTCAACTGTCTTTAACGTCGAAAATCCACCATAGGACCAGCCCCAGATTGCTACATTTTCCTCGTTAATATGTGGAGCATTCTCGTTGATAAACTTTTTGGTCACCTCTGTAATATCACGAGGTTCCCAGTACCCTAGAGCCCCTGATGCCCACGATCTAAATTTCCAACCTTTACCACCTGTACCTCTTGGCTCAATTTGGAGAACAATTGCATCCAAACTTGAAACTACTGCTTGTTCCAATGATATTCCAGATTTAGCTGTAAATGTTTGCGACCCTGGACCACCGTACACATTAATAAGCAGAGGATACTTTCTTTTCACATTCATAGTTGCCGGTTTAATTTCAATGTAATCCACAGACACTCCATCATCTAATGTCATGCTTTTAAAAGTTGTAATAGGTAAATTGTAGTTGTTCGTTATATCCTCCCTCCTGACTTCGTTAGAAAGTACAAGGACATCATGATTTTTGGCATCCTCTAGCGAAAAAAGATTTGTTAAAGTACCAGCTGCATAAAATGGTAAGGACGGCCCTAAATACTCCATTACTGCATATCTTGAACTAGAACTTATCTGATAATCATAGAATGAGTGTTTTTCAGATGGATTTTGAAGGGTAACTAGTTCATTAATAGGATCCCCTTCCAACCTAACTGCAAATAAATTCTGCGACATGGGGTTATAACAGTTAGCTGTAAAGTATATTGTATCTGTCTCGAGTTCGTAACCAACAACACCGGAACCTGTGATCTCCCATTCCCCTTTAGTTAATTGTTGACCCTCAGATGCGAATGGTGACTTGTAATAAAACAAATGGTTGTATCCATCATTATCCTGATGTGTATCAACATAACCATAATCAATTCTTTTTATTTTTTCACTGGGTGGAACAACGAATATATTTTTAGTCTTTTCAACCCATCCGTTAAATTCTTCTGTGTTATATTCTCTGGTATTCAAAAGTTCTTCTTTATCAGTGTTAAATACTTTGACAAACAATTTCTTCGAAAACCTATCCGTTATTTTAAATAAGAAATTTTTAGGACCTAACCATTGAGCATCATATAATATAATTTCTTTCATACTCTTCTGGTCCATGTTGACATTATATATCGTATTTCCACCAATATTATAGAAGAAAAGTTCAACAGTAGGGTTGGCCCGACTAGGAGTTGGATATCTGATTTCGCTTAATGGAGGATATTGCTGATTAGTCGTGTATCTTGGGAATGTATAGCTGTCAACATCTGTATCGTTAAATTTTGCGAATATAAACTTAGAGTCATCTGGCGCCCACCATATCGCTTTATCATCAGCCAAAACTTCTTCCTCATATACCCAGTCCGTCTTGGCGTTCATAATATCTTGACTGCCATCAGATGTCACTTTAACAGGTGCATGTTCAGCACTTATATCTTGAAAGTATAAATTGTTATCCATAACAAAATAGATAAAGTTGTAGGCTGGAGAGAAATATGCATACGAGAGACGTACCGGTTGTTCAGAATCAAAATATGGTGATATAGGTTTAATTATGCCCGTAGTAACATCCTTAATCCAATAATTTGCAGTTGAAGAATGTCTGAAATCTGCAATTTTCTCAGTCGCAAATATCAATCTATCCAAAGCAAAATTTACTTTAATGGTATCCACCACATATTCATGTTCTTGATATTCAAATTTATTGGAACCCAAGTCCTTTTCAAACATTTCATCGAATAACTGTTTTGCTAAGAATCTTGTTCCATCGTTGTTGGTAATCGTAGTCATATACAAACCAGGATCCATGTCATGACTTTCAAAAGTATAAGGTGGCTCAATAAAATGGAAATTTTTCTTATCAATCATAAAGTTCCCTTTCATAACATCTTCTATATCAAAAGATTTATCTCGTTTAATCCCATTCTGTTGAATATTTGGTTTGTGGCTACCTGATGAATTACCATTATTTGAACCTTTACTAGATGAAAGTGATATAATTAATAGTACAATGATATATGCAATAAGAATCCCAAGAATGGAATATATGGTTGTCCGGAGTCTTTTATTTTGTCCAAATTTCTTTGTCAAATACCAATCATCCCATGATTCTGAGGATTCTGGATTTCCCAATGTATGATCTTGATTTTCTAAATCAATTCGAGATGTTGACACCATTGGAACACTTGGTATCGATGTGGTTCTTCCAATTGGAGGTGGAACCATATTTTCCATCTCTAAATTATCCATGCTGATATCGTAATCTGTCCGAATTGAGGAGCCAGATGTACTTTGTTCGTTAAAAAGATGACTATTCTTTCTCTTATGTGTATGTATTTTATCAGAAGCCATTATAAAGTTTTGTAAAGTTGGCAAACCATTCGGTTCTTATATGAATCTATAACTAATGCAAAAGAGGGGTCAAAAAATAAAATCAAAAACAGTCCAAAAACAGAATATTATGTTAGTTTGGTTATTGTTCCTACAATCTTCCTAATTCTCAAAAAGAAAACAATAGAAGAAGCAACCGTAATTTCTTAAACGTTTCTTTGTTATACAAGTATTATGACATTCTTTTTTCTTGCTTGGGGTTTATTTTTACAACTGTATTGGAATTCGCTTGGCGTAGAATAACGCAACAATTGTCAAGTATAGAAACATAAAACGAAGTGTTTTTCCTAAAACGGTATTCAATGACTTACATTACTTTAACCGTAGATCCATTTTTCCAATGAACTCAGAGCAATTTGAATAATCAGTAGTAAAACGTTATTAAAATGTAATTAATTATTGGTTTTTTATTATCTTATATAACAAGTATATATAATAATGATTATATATATATTATTTTTTTATAAAGAGAAAAGAAGATACCCATGAAGTAGCAAAATACTCAGGACATAAACGATCTAACCGATAATTTATTGTTGAGAAGTAAGAGCAGCAATCTTGGCAGCAACACGAGCTTGTCTTTCTTCTCTGGTCAACTTAACTTGTCTGAACTTCTTGGATTCAGCAGCGTATTGTTCCTTGGTGAACTTCTTTTCAGTGGCCTTGAAGGCTGGGTCAGCTCTGATAGCTTCGTGAGCAGATTGGTAGATGTCTTCCATGGCATCGGCTTCGATGTCATCGGCGACGTAACCCTTGAATAATTCTTGGAATCTTTCTTCATCATCATCAGCTAATTCTTCCATGTATTCGGAAACATGACCACCGAAGATGTAGTTTCTTAGCAAATCAGCGTCTAATTCTTCGGATTCGAAATCGAAACCTGGGAATCTGTTCTCGGAGTGAGGAACGTATAGACCACCGTCAGAAGCACCCTTTAGAGCACCGAAGATTCTGGCACCAGTGGTGGTTCTTTGTAGACCAATGTCTAGGAAGACCTTGAATGGACGTGGACCATCTTCGACAGCTTCGGTCAATTCGTATTCACCTTCAACTTCTTCGACACCCTTGTAGGTTTCATCTAGACCTAGCTTTTGTAGGGTTCTTCTAGCGATCAACAAACCAGTGGCGTAAGCAGCAGACCAGTTAGTTAGACCGTGGGTAATACCGTACTTTGGTAGTTCGTGAGAGTAAGCAGCAGCTAGGACAATGTCACCAGTGATGGTAGAGGAGACGATTTGACAGATGATGTCCTTGTTGGTGAATCTGACGACTAATCTGTACTTTGGAGAGTTGTACTTAGCCTTGTGTTGAGCGACAAGTCTCTTTCTTTGGTAGTAATCGGTCTTACCTTCTCTTCTTCTTCTGAAAGGAGTTTGGAAACGAGAACAGTAAGCAGAGTTCTTAACTGGAGTGAAAGCCATTTTTAATTACGTTAAGTTTGGTTATACTTGTTGATACAGGAGTAAAAAAACTTCAATTACAAACAATACAAAAATATTCAACTTTTAAATGTAAGACTGCTATTTTATATATATATTGTAAGCGATGGTTATCATGAAGTATATATATTGGAATACATCATCGATTGATTGATAGATGATGTTCTCATTGGTTTGTCAACCTGCGAACAGTTACAGCATTTACCGTCTCTCAGTTTCCATTAAGTGAAAGATTGAAATTCTTGAAAAAAAAATATTTCAGAAACGAAAAAAAAATCAATGCGCTTCTCTGAATAAAAAAAGACAAAATTCAAAATTTGTCTCGTTTTGTAAAAAAGTTTATTTATTAGGTGTAAGGGTGTATATATACAATTGTACATCCGTACATCCACAAATTACAGTCACAAGAAAATAGAATGCTAATTGCTCATTCTCTGCCTTCTTCATAATGAGTATTACACTATAAACTGAAGAGGGATAATCTCAATATTAAAACTATATGTATTCTTTTACTTTTTTATATACACGGTAAATATGGTCGTAGTTTACTATTCGTCTTTAACGTCGTTGGGACTTAGAATGGTGGCGTTGGCCAACATTTTCTGTTGCTCCTCTGGAGAAATGGCTTCCCCCTTTGAAGCAGCTTCACTTACAGCAGATCCATCTCCATAATGAGCTCTAAAGAAAGTATAATGCAACACAATATCGTCAATATTTCTCATAGCAGGGTCAGTAGCAAACTCTGGGTCGATGAAGAAAAACACGGGCATATCTACTTCTTCGCCAGCTGCCAATTTTTGTTCTTCAAAACAGAAACATTGGATCTTATTAAAATATGGAGCAGCATCACCTGGAGTGATACTATATGTAGCCATCCCGATGATATCTTTATCACTATTGTTCTTAGCCTTATAGAAAGCCAATGCTGTTTCACCAGGTAATACATACACTTCACGCTGTTGTGGAACAAATTTCCATGGTAAAATTTGGGAGACTTCACTTGTGAATGAGATTCTTAATCTTTTATCTATGTCTACTGGAATCAATTTATCATCTGTAAATTTTCTTCTATCTGTAATTGGGATACCACCAAACCCTGTACGTGCACAAATGGCTCTATATAATGGAACAGCAGCATATGCTAACCCTAAAAACACAATAGCGATACTTGAGAAATATAACGCAATGGATCTGTTCTTGGTCTTAAGTCTCTCGGCAGTCTGCAATTCATGTAGTTTACGAATATCATCTCTAGATAATTTCGAAAAATCTATACTTGGTTTATTAGGTCTAACTGAGGTTGTCCTTGATGTTTCAGGTTGTTTTGATGACGAATACAAACGACTACATCCAATAAGTACATTTGGTCTGATCGCAGCCTGTCTGGCAGTTGCTCTCAACAGCATGGAAGCATTACTGCACCTGTAGACAGATGTTCGTACACTATGAAACATTATTTTCTTTTTTAATTATTTTTAAGGGGGGAGAGAGAACCAATGAAATAATAAACTCCAAACAAAAAAAAATAGTAAAATAGCAAGGAAGTCAGACTATTGTTCGATAATATACTAAAAATAATGCAAAACTACTGGTTATATCACTCGTTTTCCTTTTGTCTCTGTGTACGTGGTCCCATTAACCAAATATATGAAAAATGTATATGTATACTATATCAGAAGCCACCTATTTATCATTCATTGTTATTACTGCAAAATTGCTCGAGACCAAATTTCACCGCGTTCCGCTGTAATGCGAAAATAATCTCCGCCAATTCCATAAAGATATAGACTAAGCCAAGCGATGATGACGATTAATGATAATCATTTTGTCCAATGAGCCATCGTCTGAATGTGTCAACAACTGCCAATCACCTAAGGAGAGGTTGGAAGTGAGATATTCACAATCTTTGAAAGGCGTTTTTTGGGGAAGCGGAAAAGGTAAGTTGCATAAATAAGCTCATTCTTACAACATTTTGTCTAAAATACGAATGTACCAATGAGATAGAAACTGGACAAAGGTATAAGAGGGACTAACAACGAGTTAACAACGAATTATTTCAGTGAAAAGGGAATAAATAAATAAAAGACGTATACAAGATACAAGAATGTATGACTCACGGATCAAGAACAAGAGAACTACAAGAAGGTCATGTCTCTTCTGTCGTAGATCACATGTGAACTGTGACGATCAAAGGCCATGTGCACGCTGTATCAAGCGTAATATTGCACATTTATGTTCAGATATCGTCGATTCAGATACTTCGTCAACAACATCAACTCCTACAGCATCCGTTACTACGGCAAGTGTTGTAGGTACGAATGATATCTTACCTAGTTCGAATATTACGAATTTACTGGGACCTCAGTCATTTGTCTCCGAAAATATGGGATCTGAGTTTAGTTCTTTGAATGAGTTTCTTTCAATGTTGGAAGAACCATTGCAATTACCATCAGAACCGCTTGTAACTAATGGTTCTATGGGTAACACTATGACACAAGATACGTACCAACCAATACCGCAACAACAGCAACAACAACAACAACAACAACAACAACAACGATACACTTCGGAAGTAGCAAGCCCGCCTTTAATGCTTATGTCAGGTACTACTTCAACAATGGCAAGGTCACCAAATCAATATTCCAATGTACCACAATCCTTAGCTCAACAGTTGCCAAATAATAGTAACAACAACAGACAATTATTAAACGACCAGGAACGACCACTAGAACCAAATCATCCTCAAACTTTACATGAACCACCAAGACAACTTACATTTGTAAAACCCACAGCTAAAGAACAATTCTTCTTGACAGCAGCTGATCCCAACACAGAAATCACTCCCGAAGAGAAACTTAAATCTGTGATTAATGCCAAATTAAAGGCAGGATTGCTGAAACCATACAATTATGCAGCAGGTTATACAAGGTTACAAGATTATATGAAGGGACATATGTCTCAGGAATCGCAAAGACGTATTCTTTATCCGTTGGACTCGATTCGTCCTGCATTCCGTAGTATTGCGAAGTCTTTAAAGGACGTCGATTTGGTGCTTGTAGAGGAAGGGTTCGAGAGAATGTTATTAAGTTACGATAGGGTCTTCACCTCCATGAGTATGCCTGCGTGTCTATGGCGACGTACAGGGGAGATATATAGAGCCAACAAGGAGTTTGCCTCCTTGGTAGGTGTTACTGTGGATGATTTACGTGATGGTAAATTGGCGATTTACGAATTGATGGGAGAACATAGTACTGTCAACTTCTGGGAGAAATACGGATCCATTGCATTTGATAAAGGTCAAAAAGCAGTGTTGACAAGTTGCACGCTTATCGCCCGCGACGTTAATAGACAAAGCCACAATTGTTGTTTCAGTTTTACGATACGTAGAGATCGTTACAACATTCCGATCTGTATAGTTGGTAATTTCATACCTGTGTCAAGGGACAATTAAGAAACAGCCAAGCATCGGCATCATAATCGTCATCATCACTGAGTTCCAGATCAATAGATAGGACAGACGCAACCAATAAACACAAGCCGCCTGTATTCAGCGTGTGCTCCTCAGGCAACGTAATAATGAGTCACGCTGCATCCGGCATCGATTGCGAGACCGGCGCCTGTCATTGGCCAATCGCAATCTGCCCAGGTAAAATCATCCAACTATCCATATTTTGTCTGCACGGCCCGATGGAGCAATTGGGAAAATATGCGGCCGAAATGGTGATGGGCAAAGAGAGAACAGTAAATAGGTTTTAATCAATCAATCAATCATATACATATATATATATAAATACAACAACAATGACAATAAGAATGTTGTATATGTAGGTAATATACATTTTAGGGATAATTACAGAAAAAAGGGAGATCTGTTTGTTTTTTTGTGTTTTAATTTCGGAGATTACCTGTATTATTTTGAAGAAGAAGACCAATAATGTCTACCACAGCACCAGCAGTAGTAACTGCTACTAAGAAAGAAGAACCCCTACCATTTGTATACCAGTTTGTCGCAGGTGCGATTGCTGGTATTTCAGAATTGGCAGTGATGTATCCATTGGATGTCGTTAAGACTAGAATGCAATTGCAGTCCAATACGGTAGCTGCCGAAGAGAAGTATAAAGGGTTGGTCGACTGTGTCTCCCGTATTGTTAAACGTGAAGGGTTCAAGCAATTGTACAAAGGTATCTCCTCGCCATTCTTGATGGAAGCACCTAAGCGTGCTACAAAGTTTGCATTTAACGAGAAGTTCAAGACTATATACACGGACTTGTTGGGGAATGAGCGTAAACAAACTGTCGCCATCATTAGTGGTGCCTCTGCGGGTGCCGTAGAGGCCTCGGTGATTGTTCCCTTTGAATTAGTCAAAGTTCAAATGCAAGATGTTACTTGTAAATTTGACTCTCCAGTCGGAGTCCTGAAAGATATTATTCGTAAGGACGGTTTCTTAGGGATATATCAAGGTTTAGAATCCACCGTATGGAGACATGCATTCTGGAACGCCGGTTACTTTGGGGTCATCTTCCAAGTGCGTAACTCGTTGCCACCTGTTCAAAATAACAACGAGAAGATCCGTAACGATTTGATTGCAGGTACAATCGGTGGTACCATGGGTTGTGTATTGAATACTCCATTCGATGTGGTGAAGTCTCGTATTCAAAGTAATGGGAACATCACTGTGTTGGAAGATGGATCAATATTGAAAAAATATAACTGGGCATTACCATCGGTGTTGAAGATTTATCAGGAGGAAGGTTTTAGAGCTCTGTATAAAGGGTTCGTTCCAAAGATCGCAAGATTAGGACCAGGTGGTGGTATATTGTTGATCGTGTTCAGTACTATCACTGATTTCTTCAAAGAAATGAGAGCTGCAAACTGAAAAGGGAGGGACCAAGGCCTTTCACTGATTCAATGATCAAAATCTTATGTATTTACATGTATATTTATTATATTATTATTAATCTTATTTGCAATGAAACGGAAAACAAAAGTATAAGTTTATCAGTATCAGTAATAGCAAGGTGTACGACACCCTGCAGCGTTCAAACTTACGTAACAACTACAATAAATACATGTTAAATGTCGCACTCCGCCGCCCTCATGAATGGAGACAGAGGTTCATGCACCATCTAGTTGTTTCACTGATCACTAACCAATATTCGATGGTGATGGTGATGGTGATGATCTCATCTAAATGGAAATCTCGTTTCTTCTTCTCTTCCCTTCGCTGAAAATTTTTTTCCTATTCCTGCGGCAATTTGTTACTGGCGAAAAATAAATATATGCGAAATAACAATGAGGGGCAATCTGATTGAGTTAATTATTGAATTTGTCACTATAGATATATAAATATAAAATATATATTTGTAAAAGGAAGGGAAAGGGTACAACTAACAGGAACTCCTATTTTAAGTGTTGATCATAACAGATAAAGATAGATTAGAAACGCCAAATACATAGGTAATAAACTGAGTTCATTTGCGAGATGAGTGCAATGACTGTTAATACCAGTGATATAGATGTCTCCTGTGATTGGCTATATAAGGGTAAGCATAGAACCAAAAAGAAGAGCTCAAAAGTAGATATATTGATCGCTAATGACAGTGATGGGAATTCTGAACGTGGTAGTAGCAACAGCACGAGAAGAAGATCGACCTCTGTGTCTAATGCACAGCTATCGAAGCAGGAACCACAGGTTTCAAGTCATGGGGGTGACGATAGGGGAGCCACGTTTGAAAGATTACCGCTGTTGACTCCTATCAGTAGTGTCCCCCAAAAGAGTGGCTCTTCTATGGGAGGAAGTCCTCTGACTAAAGTTGTATCTTCAACGTTGCAGGACTCAGCAAGTACCGAAACTGATGAATCAAATATTACAAAGAAAGCTTCAAGATCCAAATCCTTGAATAATAGTTCGGGTGTGAAAGCAGGATTTTTAGCAAAATCTATTTCTCCAACAACCAGTACAGCCATATCAAAGACACCAGTGCGGTCAGATTCTATGAAGAAGTCTTTATTCGGATCTTTGTTTGGTAAGAAACAAGCACCTCTAGCAACATCGGTCCCTACTAAGAACTTATCATCTATAAACACATCAAATACAAAACTACCAAATAGAGTAGTTTCAGATATTGTATCGCCTACTATACGGGATGGCTCACAATCGCCGACTTCGGCATTACCATTATCAACCCCATCGTCATCATCAGCATTATCATCAGTAAACCTACAACCACATCAGCATCAGCATCAGCACCAACCTCATGATCCTGAACTATTACAATTAGAACCAGTCTCATTAAAACGTGTGGCTTTTAGTGTGAATAAATTTACAGACGATCCTCCACAGCAGCTTCCTTCAAGGAATCCAAGAATTGGGAATGTTTTAATACCACATGATATGATTGGTGATATTCCTACAATCTCGATGGGGATATCACCAAACACACAAGCCAAAAAGACTGGAGATGGAAATAAGTCACCGGATGGAGGGGGGGCTGGTAATTCCACTAACACTTCCAACCCAATCGATTTGACAAAGACCTATAGTGTAGACTCCATAGAGTATAAACGTGCTCTTGATATACAACGTAAGGTATTGAAAGAAGCAGAGATGCATCAAAAGGAGGCCCATTTTGCAGCAAAGAGAATTGAGTATGAAGTTTCCCTTTTCAAACCTGGAAGCGATTCAAAGAATAATAGAACTCAGAGGATTGCAGAGGAAGAAATAGGTGCTGATACAGTGACATTTCATGCAGACCAATTGGAAGGAATTGATAAGCCAATACATGTTCATGAACATCATTTCGGTGAGGAAGCTGTCACTGAAGAAAAAGAAATGACATTGGATATTGTATATACTAGATGTTGTCATTTAAGAGAAATTTTACCTATTCCATCCACCTTGAAACAAGTTAAGCATAAGACAGCGCCATTACAAGTTCTTAAATTTCTAAATGCTAAACCTACTTTAATTGATATTTTATCCTTTTGTGATTTTGTTTCCATTACACATATCAATACGGTAGTATTTGACAACGTTAATCTTACTCCGGAAATGTTTAAAATAGTTATATGTTCTTTAGCCAATTGTCACAATTTGGATAAATTAACGATGAAAAATGTATTAATAGATAATGAAAATTGGACTTTGTTTTGTAAATTCTTACTAAACAATAGATCCATCACAAAATTGGATATATCTCAAACGAACACAAAATTCATCTCAAAGGATAAAAATGCAGAAATCCCATCAGACAATGAATTCTGGAGACATAATTTAGATTGGAACTTATTTGCCATTGTTTTGAACGTCAGGAAAGGTCGTCCAATTGAAGAGTTACTTTTAAATGGTATAAAGTTTAGTCATCATGTTGATTCTATTACTTTCCAAAATGTGTTAAACGCTTTCAGTCAGCAGAAAAACTCGATTAGAGATCAACCATCATTTGCATTAAGGCTTGGTTTAGCTTCTTCTGATTTATCTGTCACTTTTGTGAGATATTTACTGAATTGGATGTCCACTACAAAGAATTCGGCTATGAGTAAAGCGTTTTATGTTCAAGGTGTAGATACTTCTTTCAACGATATGTCACTATATGTCAAAACAATTGTAAACAGGCTTTCATCATTAGATTACACTAATTTAGAATATTATACTTTGAATAATTCAAACATCTCCAACGCTTATGATGTTGCATTAATTATCAAATATTTATCTAGGTTACCAAATTTGAAATTTTTGGATATGAGTAACAGTCCTCAGATGTTCCCAGATGTGTTACCATATTTACACAAGTATTTACCAAGGTTTAAATCCTTAAAGAGAATTCATGTTGATGGAAACGACATACCATATAAAGAATTATCAGTGTTGTGTAACATTTTGACTAAATGTACTACATTGAGACATATATCAATTATGCAAAATACCCCACAAACTGAACATGATAAAGTGAACAACTTTGCTAGGAACAATTGTTGGGCTATATTGTATGCTTTGGTAAGACAATCGCCAAATTTGGTTAATTTGGACATTAATTATGATGCCGTCCCAGAAGAGATTCAATCTAGAATCGCTTTAAGTTTAGTATCAAACATGAACAAAGCTATGGGATCTATTGAAGAGACTGATGAATTGACTACACAAGATGATTTGTTGTTTGACGGTTCATTACTATCAGACTCTGCAGAACAAGTCTTTGAGAAATTAAACAAATTGAAAAATACTACATCTGATGAAGGTAAACCCCAATTTGATTCCACCAAGAAATATTTGTTAAAGAAATACTTTGAAAAGATGCAACATGTTCACAATGATGTGCAAAAGAAGATCGACACTATGTTTGAGAGAAGACGTACGAATGCATTAAGTCTAAAGGAGAAGGAAAATTTGGTGAGACTATTGTTGTTAGAGAAGAATTTTTCAAACGTCTTGGAGCTTTGTAACCAAATCCCAGAATTTAATATGTTAATGGGATCGAAGGAACAAGATCTAAAGCCAACCAACAGACATTTCGAGCCATCGACGGAGACTGTTGATGAAGAGGCAACCAATACTCCATCGGAGACCCCTGAAATCGAGACATTATCTAGACCTCATTTGATGGCTACTGATTCTGGTAGAACTATTGATGTATTGACTGGTAAGCCTGTTTTATTTAGAGCTAATTCATCAACTTTAATACATGGGAAGGAACAAGAGCAGGAAGAAGGTGAATTACATAAGTGGGGGTTCTTTGTTCAACAACAAAATGATATTTATCCAGATAACAACGATAATACGACTGGTACAAGTAGCGGCATGTCGAGTGCTGTTTCAACAAGTACAACTGCAAGTACAGTTAACTCTGAAGTTGCACCAGCAGCCAAAACTACATTGATCACTAAAATCCCATCAGGTACAAACCTAAGAGCCGCAATTATCCAAGCTAAAGGTATCGACTCAATAAATGACCTGATTCATAGTGTTAATGAGAACGAGGTGAACTTAGAGTCCATCTACGGTGCAGATTGTGCTAAATCTAAAGTAGCAGAGACATACGATAAGTTGTTGAACGACATGTCAGAAGGTAGAAATATTAAAAAATAGTGCCAAATATTCGAAGGCCGACTTACGGCCGAAATGACGAAGGGTGGGAAGCACGAAAAAATAAATTAAATCTTATAACGTAAATAATAATGGTGATGCTAGGTCATCATCACCTATCACATATAGGAACAAAGGATACTTAGCGTTAGCGTAATATAGTTTGAATAGTTTTTTAAATAGTAAAGTTATATTTTCAACTTATTTTGTTCATCTATATACTAAAGCAGCACGGTGGCCAATTACAAGAAACACGAATATTGTCATGTCTTCACTACCTAGTTGGTGTCCTGAATATTCACCTTTAAAAATTAACCCAGTGACAGGGTTGGAAGTATACTGTATATGTAAGAAACCAGATGAAGGTGAACTAATGGTTGGATGTGATGGGTGTGATGACTGGTTCCATTTCAAATGCCTAAAAATGCCAAATAAATATAGACGACTGGTGGCAGCTTTCTACTGCCCATATTGTCAAGCTGGTATAACAGGTAAGGATAAAGATGACGCCAGTAAGCCTTTGCCAAAAACTTTATGGAAACGGAAATGTAGAGTTGAAGAATGTTACGAGCCATGTGCAGAACATAGTAAATATTGTTCAGAGGAACATGGCTTACAATATATGAGAAATGTTGTGAATAAAAGTACGGTTGATGATAATGAAAAGAGTGCAGAAGTGGTTAGAAAAATGCTGTTTGTTTCAGAAGGAAATAATGGCATTTTCCAGAGCATAGGAAAAGAAAAGTTTATAGATGATAATATACCGACGGATGTAGATCCAGTTCTGTACAAAAAAATTATAGAGCAAGATTCTGGATTAAGTCAATTAACACATTCGCAGGACAAGTGCATCAATGTCACAATGAAGGGTATTCAAGAACGTATAACTACTCTTGATAAATACATCGATTGGGTTGAAGATATTAATACGAAATTGAATGCCTCCCAAGATGATGAAAATGGGAACAATGACGATGAAAGTGTGAACCATGCAAAGAAACTATCATCTAAGAAAAGAAAAAGAAAGGGTAACAATAAAAAGGCAGTTGCAAGGAAGACAATATGTGGTTATTCTTCGGATTTATCAATTATCCCATGTACTTCTGAAGAATTTATGCAACTATATAGAGATGGATCGTCAAGCGAAACCCAAACTGAGATAAAAGGTATATGTAGTAAATTAAAATGTAACAGGCACCATGATTGGATGTCGATCGATTCGGATCAACTACAACAAGATATGGAAACAGCAGAGGCTAACAATGACAGGCTTTCCACTTTGATAAAGATGCGGAAACGTCAACTGCATTGCCAATTCTACGAACAATTAATTAGCGCACACCTTCAGGTTGAGCCCACTCCTTCCTAGTATGTGCATAGTTAAATATGTTATCTAAGAGATATACAAGTATACATAGTTATTTATCAACTTTTTTGCTTCTTTCACCGCTAATATCAGATATCCCTTTTATATAAGGAACAAGATATTAAATGCACCGCGTTGCCCTTTTATGCAGTTGTAACGCTATTTATTTCTTATTTTTTTTTTTTCAGGTTTAAATTATTATGTAAACGGGAATACTAAATTGGTTAAATTATTTAATCATTCAAACCACATCAACAAAGGAAGGAAGATAGGACAGCCTTTGGTTAATATTGCTAGCAATATCTGAGTGTTTTATTCATTTAATTTAAATAACCACAATTGATTATTAACGAAAATATGACTGCTGTGGTACTAGAAAATGGCAATGTGGATACCCTTGCCGAGGAAGCAAGATTAAACAAGATCAGTAATGAGGAATTCAAGATTTGGAAGAAAGCTGTACCAACTTTCTATCAGCACATTTCTACTTTTAAGCCATCTTTACAGAAACATGTTACAAATCAAAGTAAAATACAAAAAACTGTTGCCTTCACTGATAAGATTTTCCCTGATAGAACTAAAGGGACATTGACAACATCTGTATTATTAGCTCTAGGAAATGATATTTATGAAATCGATGTAATCTTACCAATTGGTGCGCATCTCACAGGTCAGGAAGCATCTTGTAAGGTGGAGCCTCAATATGAGGCCTTTTTGAAAACATTTGAACAAACTAAGTTTGAACCTAAATGGAGAGTTGACAATAATGACACTGTCGCCAAATTATACTATATAAACAGTAATGATATCAAATTTGTTGCTGTTACTAATAATGGTTCTGTCTTGTGGTTTAAGGATGAAATTAATACAGCTGTAACCAGTTGTTTGGCTGAACCACAGGGAGCTAGTACAGCCATCAAGGTCAACTCTGATATATCCAATGATCTATCTACTATTGTTGTAGTAACTACTAGTACAAAGGAGAGTGTTTCCACTTCAAAGATTAAAATAATTGATAACGTCGAAAAGGTAGGTGACGAGAAGCGTACCATATTATTAAACGACAGCTTTGTTTGTGAAACATGTAAGTTTTTAAATGGTAAGGATACTATTGCCCTTTGCAATAATAAGTCTACTATTAAATTGTGGGATTTAAATAACACAGAGGACACTCCCTTTTTAGAATTTATAGATAATACTGAAGGAAAATTGACTAGCATTGGAAACTCTAAGATAGTGTCAACACTTTTTGCAACTGGATCTGACAATGGTATTATTAAATTATGGGATTTACGTTCATTGTCTCATGATAAGAAAATTGAAATAGGCAAAGACACAGAATCCATTAGGGAGGTTGCCCTATTATCTCATTTTGACGAAGATCCTGTGTCTGATATCATATTTTCTCCTTCCTCTGCTTGTAAATTTGTTACTGTTGGTAGGAGTGGGAATGTGTATCATTGGGATATGGAATATTTGTTTTCAAAGGGCCAAGATGTTGATAAAGATGGTAAGAATAGTGATGACGAAAGTATCATTAGTTCTGTACTTCAAGCGGAATGTCTGTCGTTTTATCATACTGGTGGGTTTAGAAGATTACGTACTGATGGTAGTAAGAAAAATACAGTGGCGTGTAATTCAATCATTGATGATTTGGTGTGTACAGTGGATGCAGATGATTTATTGACGGTGTATATTCCTTTTACTGCAAGGATTGCAAGCGATTCAGCAAACTAATGATATATGTATGTTTTCTATATTTTCTTTCTAAGATGTATTTATAATTGGAGAATTTATGTAATTGAAAATTTTGTTTATTTAAAGGTAGAGGTTACTAGGATTATCAACACCTAGTAAACTTAATATATTTTTATGATTGCCAAATATTTGAAATTGTTGGAAATTGAACAAAACAAGAATTTTAGGTAGAGTGATGAAGAAAACTCAAAAAAAAAAAGTATGGGTGAGTTTTTTTAGTTTTATTTACACCCCTCTATGTCTATGTTATTTTAAATTTGTTGACCATTAATACTGTATGCTAATTAACAATTACAAAGGACAATTTTCAAGAAATTACTGTCTATTATTACTCATAAATCGCAATATCCCCCAAATATCTAATTCAAATACTTCTGATTTCTGTTATTTTACAATTATATAAATAATTAACAAAAATAAATGAACTACATACAAAACCATGACGAAACATTATAAGTATAGTTAAAATATATTTATTTTAACTAACGAAGTGGTTCGTATCAGATGATCTCTCTATCTCTTCTCCATAACGAATAACTTTTTGAACGTTTACTAAATCGAAAGCATAAATTGTTAAAAAACCTTTCTTGATGTATGAATTTAGTTTGAAATTGATTTTTAATTATAAGTACAATGAAAATATTTTAGAATATGATAAATATGATAAATATGATAACGTGTATCTCTGTATTATCTCAATCGTAATATACAACTATTAATTAGATTTTCCTCTTTGAATTATCAACCAAAAGAGTTAAAAAACAAAAACAACCTAATTTATAACTTCGACGCTATAAAAGTATATATGTGCTTCCTTTTAATAATAATAATGAGGGAATTCTTTAAATACTTTATGATATCTTACTCTTGGTTATAAATACATTCATTCTTATCCTTCAACACTTAGAGAAGCTCATCCCATTAAGAATTTTCCAGAATGACGTTATTCACATCTTGTTCAGGATGTGTATATTTCATTAATCTAGTGCTTGCTATGCTAAAGAGAGACAATGAAAAGATTTGTTCTATTAATAAGATATTAATAGACCAATTTTCACGCACAGCCGTTCCACTGGTTACCGCATTAGGAAAAACGTTGAAATGCCGTGAAATGTAAACAGACTACCTGATTAGGAAACCGCGAGGAAAAATAAACAAAACAAACAAATCGCAACTTTCTTTATTCACAGGAAGTGACACTCACAATAAACAAAGAATAACAATTGGCAATCTCGAAGGAAACCAGCAGTGACGTTCCAGGGATTGTCTCTGAGGTAAAGGGATAGGAAAGATGAAGATGAGTAGATGTACTGAGGGTTCTTGTCTTGAATTACTTATATTCTCTCTTAAACATATATGTTTATTTATCTGAAGTTGATTACGTTTTGAAAGAATAGCCATACTTGTTAATCAATACATTATCTCCCCCCGTTTTTGCTCCATTAGCAGTATATAGAGGGTCTTTAACTGTTCCATTTCTGTTGTTTTTTGCCAAGGGTTTCTAAGGATTCTGTTTATATATACAGTCCATCTCCTTTTCAGAAATTGGTGTAAATCTCCTTCTTTAGACTACCTTTATTGATTAATAAGAACTTTTTTTTATTTTTGCTATCAACATTCATAATACCAATTTTATAGTATTATAACACACTTTCGAATTTACTGTTTTGTTTGGAAACACAACATTCCAAGAAGTAAGAATCGAAGAACCTAACAAAAGTCAATACTATACCATTTGACCTGAAAGTTCTCTCCTTCTAATTCCTGAAAAGTAAACAAATAATAAACACTAATATCTATATTCAATTTTTATTTTATTCATTACTGCATTAATCAAAAAAAAAAATGTCAACCGATATTAATAATACAAATCGTCGCCACACATATTATGGTGGAAGTACTACTATCACGATTCCTCATCCCAATGTATCCAACTCCCATACATTAACACATTTAACTACAAGTCCCGAAAATAAAATTCAACGAAAGAAATATCCTTCCTTTGGTCCTTATATTATAGGATCTACATTGGGTGAAGGTGAATTTGGTAAAGTCAAATTAGGTTGGACAAAGGCTAACACTACTAATTTTGAGATTCCAAGACAAGTAGCCATTAAATTGATTAAAAGAGACACTATCCAGAAGAATTCAAATAAAGAAATTAAAATATATAGAGAAATTAATGCATTAAAACAATTAAATCATCCGAATATTGTAAAATTAGATGAAGTATTACAAAATTCGAAATATATTGGGATTGTACTTGAATATGCTTCCGGTGGTGAATTTTATAAATATATCCAACGAAAGAAAAGATTAAAGGAACAACCTGCATGTAGACTCTTTGCACAATTGATTAGTGGTGTTTCATATATTCATTCAAAGGGATTAGTTCATAGAGATCTTAAATTAGAAAATTTATTATTAGATAAAAATGAAAATTTAATAATAACAGATTTTGGGTTTGTTAATGAATTTTTCTCATCAAACGAATTAATGAACACTTCATGTGGGTCTCCTTGTTATGCAGCTCCAGAGTTAGTAATAAGTACAAGACCTTACGAGGCAAGAAAGGCTGACATTTGGTCATGTGGTGTGATATTATTTGCTATGTTAGCAGGCTATTTGCCTTGGGATGATGATATTGAAAATGCAGATGGCAATGATATTGCAAGACTCTACAGATATATTACACAAACAGCATTGAAATTTCCAGAATATATTAACCCTTTACCAAGAGATTTATTAAGACATATATTGATTTCAGACCCAACAAAGAGAGTCAATTCACATTTTATTAAAGAACACAAATGGTTATCATCTCATTTACCTTTCCTTTCCATAACACCCGATGAATGGGATAAAATTGCATTTTCTAAAAATATTTTGAGATTACCAAAACATAACAATAAACAAAATATGAACAATGGTAATAACAATAATAACAATACTCCTAATAATAACCTAAATAATCATTTTAACAAGCCTCGTCCTTTATCTGCATGCTCTACAAGCTCTACCAATTCAAATGGTGAAAAGAGAGATTCATTATTAATAGATTCAACATTATTGGTATTCCCTGTTCCACCAAGAGAATCTCAATCACACGTACTAACTATGTCATCGTTACCATCACCTGAAAGAAGACCGTCCTCTTCAAGACATGGTCATACGAGAAGTAACTCAGCTGCATCATTGGCGTTGCAAGCCGTGGTGGATGCAGAACGTGAATTGTTACAACAAAGACGTAGAACAAGTAGTATCACGTCTAGCAATAACAACAGTAATTTTGCCATAAAAACTGAAAGTGGTCCATTATCCAGAAGATCTACATCTTCTCATAGTGAACGAAATGTGATTTATAATATGAACTCACCTTCTGCTAATTTATCTGGTATGAATACATTTGGTATATCGACATCATCATCGTCTCAAAATGGTGATAGTTCTTTAATGAATAAAAGTAGTGCCATTTTGGAGAGCCCGACAAAGACGTCGAATATTAATCATGAATTGTCCATTGAACCACGACTACAGGATGATCAAGCTAAGAATACATCATATTTCCATTCACAAACAAGCAACGGACATCGAAAATTAAGACCAACAAGTTATCATCCTGGTAATTTTTCCACGGTATTAGAACAAAATGGAACGATTGTCGATACATGGTCTCCACCGATGTTACGTAAAAGTAGTGGCATGACCATCAGAAGAGAGTTATCACCATTTGAATCACCTCCTAAGTTACAAAGAGACAGTGGTGCAGCTAGATCTGCGCAATCCCTTGAGATATCCCCTAAACTATATCCACGTAGATCTTTTTCCATAAAGAGTAAAATATCTTTGGATATTGAGAGTGTCTCAGGTGACTTAATCAAGTCCACTGGGAATATCGATACCACTATTAAGAAATTACACGAACAAGTTGACGAATCAGCATTAAAACCAATGAATATCAACAATAAGGCCATCCAATCACCAAACAAGAGTAATAGTAAACCGAATGATGATCTTGAGGCTGATTTACCACTAAGAATGAGATCAATTGACCATACCACTAAGAAAAGATTTAGTTTATTCCCATTTTACTCAGGTTATCAAGATAATCTATCATATAGACATCAGGATGGTAAAGAAAATATCATGCATGAATCGGTTACCAGCACTAATAATGAAGGTAGAAGGTCATTAAATCAACATAATCCTAGCAACAATTCAAAACAAAGAGCATCAATAATGATATCATCAATGAATGAGTATCACCCGTCATTACCTACAATGAGAGAACATCCGGATGATCGTGAAGACATTATTCCACATCCAACACATCAACATTCACATCGTCCATCTGCGACCAGAAAAGTCATCAACTTCTTCAAGACGAGAAGTGTAAGATTGTAACGACTACATAGACATTTTTTATATTTTAAAATTATTTAATAAATCATAATGAAAAAAATCAAACGTACCTATAATACAAGTAGTTAATCGTATAATCTATTTATTGTATTAGTACATAAATACATCACAAATAAACGTGTAAGAACACACTAATGAGATCAATATATATCAATATATATATATATATATATTAGAGTAAAAGAAACAATTTTTTTCCATGTGTCTCATTTATTGTGTAAATGTAAAAAATTAATTTTTTATCAAATGTGAAATGAATAGAAATTGTTACGTGTATTACCTATTTTAATAATTTTTTTATATGTTTTTTTATAATATTTTTAAATTATTATTTTATATGATGATATGAGAGTGAGAGAGTATGGCTTTTGTTGTTTGTTATTATATCCCCTTAAATATTAATTAAATAATTAATTAATATTAATATTATTGTTATTATTGTATAAAAATGAAATGAAATGAGATTTTCAAAAGAAAGACAATTTCAGACAAATAAAAAAAATTCGTTTAAATGTTAGATGGATATAGGAAGATTCTAACAGAAGCACCGAAGGTCTTGGCTGGCAAGTTGTTTCTGAACTTAGCTCTAACAATACCAGAGTTACCGTGAGTTCTGGTAACCTTACCCCACATGACTCTAATCTTAGAACCTCTAATTTCCTTGGAGGCTCTGTAAACGTAGGCAATACGCTTACCTAAGTAGAATTGAGCGTCTTGTGGAGTACCAACGTTTTCAATTTGAATCAAAGAGACATTTGGGTTGTTGACACTCTTGGATCTTTGGTAAGATAGATGCTTACCTTTAACGTATAGTCTGTGAGATTCAGCCATTGTAGTAAAATATATGTATATATCTTGTTGTTGTGTGGTTGGATGGACGATTTCTTCTACTTTTTGAAAACAACAGCAATACACAAATACCAATGTTAATATATAAATATATAGATAGTTCAAGATAAGGTATTAGTATTACTTGTTTGTTAGATTAGTTTAAACTGAAAATGGTAATGGTTAATACTATGTGAACAATCAATCAGTCAGCCCAGCATATTCACAATTACGCGATTCAATCTGCCTGTCTGTCTCACTTACTGATAGTGTGTAAGAGTGAAAGAGATACGTTATCCACGGTTTAGCAAAAGTTCACCAAGTAACGTAAAGTTGAATAAAAGAATTATCCAACCTGGGGGGGGGGGGAGGTGGCTCCAGGGGCTCCAAGGGCTCACAGGGAAGTCCCTCTCTTTGCTTCACCGCGAAATCAGAGGGGAGACAGAGCCCAAAGTGAGACAAACCCTGTCCGCGCCACCGCCAGCAACCCTCACCTCACCTCACCTCACCTCACCCGCGTCATCACTCGCTCTGTTCCTTCGCTTCGCTTCCACGACAGAAACAAAAACAGTTCAAAACCCAGAATTCTCCGGGTGTACAGATGTAGTGCTGTGGGTGCACGGGTGCCAGAACAGCAACAGCAGTCACACGGCCCAAACAGAACACAGAAAGAGCCCATATCACGTGGCACGAATGCGCAGTCCCTTGCAGAACCGCAAAAGGACTTCCGCGGGTTGCAGCCCAGACTCTCCCGCAGAACGTGTTCTCGCACGCACACACCAGGCCTCCCCCGTTGAAAGTGACGTAATCGGCACAGAATCGACTATTTCTAACAGAAACCGCGCAAATTCACGCTCTTCCCACGCCAGGGACATTCGTTATTGCTATTATTGTTGCTATTGTTGCTATTGCAGTGAGAGAGAGAGAAAAACGATATAAATTGTCAGCGATGGGTAATACTGGTGATACTCGGAATAGGTGGTGGGAGGACAGGGCAGACGAAGATACTGGAATTTTGGTCTAATTTATCACACACAATCGATAGATTGCGATTTCGTTTCTTGGTTTCAGTTGAAATAAGGTAAACAATCTATTAGTTGCAATATACACATAATTTGATTGACTTACGTATTTAATTAACGTAGTCCTTTTCTTTTTCGTTCTTCGTTAAAATTTGTTAAAATTTGTTGTTGGAAATTACTATCTAAAGGGATTATTGGTCTTCTTTTATTTTAGAAATCGATAAAAAGTATCCTGAATACTTTTTGATTGCTAAAGAAAGCAAAAAACAACGGCAAAAAATTTGGGATTTTAAATATATATATATTATTCTTTTAACCAATTCACATATCCGTGGTTATCCCCTCTCTCACCCTCCTTTTGTTTTGCGTGCTATATTTCCCTATCATCCATTCAAAAAATAAAATAATAAAAAAATATCAACGAATTATATCATGTCTCAATACGCTAGTAGTTCCACCTGGACTTCTTTCCTAAAATCAATTGCTTCATTCAATGGTGACTTATCTACTTTGTCTGCTCCACCATTCATTCTGTCTCCTGTCTCCTTATCTGAATTCTCTCAATATTGGGCAGAACATCCCGATTTGTTCCTACAGCCCTCCTTCATCAATGAATCAAATTATAAAGATGAATACCCTCCAGAATTAGAAGTCGAATCCGCAGAAGTCGCACGCATGCTAAGCGTCACCAAATGGTTCATCTCCACTTTAAAATCCCAATATTGTTCTCGTAATGAATCCATGGGTTACGAAAAGAAACCCTTAAACCCATTCTTAGGTGAATTGTTCGTTGGGAAATGGGAAAATAAAGCGAACCCTGAATTCGGGGAAACCGTCCTATTGTCTGAACAAGTATCTCATCATCCTCCAATTACCGCATACTCAATCTTTAATGATAAGAATAATGTTAAATTACAAGGTTATAACGAAGTCAAAGCAAACTTCACTAAATCATTGATGTTGACTGTGAAACAATACGGTCATACCATCCTGGATGTTCATGACGAATCCTATTTGGTGACTCCTCCACCTTTACATATCGAGGGCATCCTTGTGGCTTCTCCATTTGTAGAACTAGAAGGAAAATCGTACATTCAAGCCTCGAATGGGATGGTTTGTGTCGTGGAGTTTTCTGGTAGAGGCTATTTCTCAGGAAAGAAAAATACTTTCAAAGCTAGAATCTATAAGAATAATGAAGAGTCTAAAAGCTCAGAAAATGCTCTATATACGATACGTGGCCAATGGTCTGGTTCTTCAAAGATCTCGAAAAACATTAAGGACGGTAAGAAAATTACTACTTCCGAAGAGGTTCTTTTCTACGATGCTGATAGAACTCCTGCTGAACATCTAGTAGTGAAACCAATAGAAGATCAACATATGTTAGAGTCTCGTAGAGCTTGGAAATCAGTAGCAGAAGCAATCATTGGTAACGATTTCGATGGCATCACAGTCGCAAAGACGGAATTGGAAGAAACTCAAAGAGAATTACGTAAAAAGGAAGAAGCTAAAGGCATTCGCTGGCAAAGAAGGTGGTTTAATGAAGTCGATTATGCTCAACCACCTGCAGATGAAAAGAATGAAGTGCCTGGTGATAATGATACGTTTACTTCCTTGGCTACTCAATTGAACCTTTCTTTGAAAAATGTGCCAAGTGGCTCTTTAGTTGGTGATAAAGAAGACAAGAAAGAAGAGTTGACTGCCATACATTGGAGATTCAAGAGAGATCTATGGAATGCCGAAGAAGAAATCGTTTTATAAGATGCTAGTAATCATATTCGGTTTCTTTTGTCTTATCTGCTAATGAATAGCTTTGTTTGTACCGCCCAGATTTCAAGAGTGATGGATTTGGTGATAGAAACAAACGTACACATCTAGTTCATACCTTTCATACTCTCCCAAAATAATTGTTTATTTTTTTGTATATTTCATCAAACACTCTAATGTCAACTTATCGTTTTTCTTTTCTGTTTCTATTACTACTAGTAGCACAACTAAGTGTTTTCTCACTCCCCCACCCACCCTACCATTCCTCTTTTTGTACAAATAATATATACGTACATATGTGTATATCTACATCCTTGATTACTTAACATACTTGAACCCTTTAGGATGCCACACATAGATATACCTTTGATTCTATCTCATTTAACTTCTCTAAACAGCGGTAGTTGCCTTATGACCTTTTCTCTCTCTGCGGATCGTCGCGTCTCACGAATTTCGACATCTTAAAATTTTTTTTCTGCGTTTTTTTAAGAAAGAAAGAAATTCATTTGCGATGAGATGAGCTCATCATTATATATATATACCTATATGACAGTCCTCTTGTTTTTATTTAGTTATTGCAGCTAACAAAATACACCCACCAGTCAGATCTATAGGAATACCTCGTATACAATGGCCCCATCTTCCAAATCAGCTAGACCTGCTCAGTACAAACAGTCCTCCAGAAAGGGTAAGAAAGCCTGGAGAAAGAATATCGATTTAAGTGAGATTGAGAAATCTTTAGAGGATAAGAGAGAACAAGAGATCACTCATGGTGTTGCTGATTTATCTGAATTGAAGAACGATGCGTTGTTTGCGGTAGATGCCACTGGTGACGATGAATTGAAATCTAAATTGATCAAGAGAAAACAAATTAAGAAAAATTTGAAAAGTAGAGAGATCTTGGAATCTATTAAGACTAACTCTAAGGTGTCAGCATTGAAACATCATAAACATGATTCTACCATGGACACGGAGAAAAAAACTAAAGTACAAGGTGTTTCTAAGAAAAAATTGAATAAATTATTGGCTTTAGCTGGGAAAGTCCAAGGTGAAAGTAAGTTGAAAACCCGTCTTAATAGAGATGGTTTAATTAAATCTGATAAAAATGATCTATGGGGTGAAGAACCAGTATCCAAAAAGGATGGCAAAAAGTCTGTTACTTTACCTTCCGGGATTAAATTAGATGTCAAATCAAAGACAGATATCCCAGAGGAGTTATTAACCCATTCTACCACAAGTTGGTCACTTCCTTCTGTTGTACCATCTACATCTAAGATTGAACCAGTTCAAGTACGTAAGTATGAAACTGTTCCACATTCTGGTAAATCTTACAACCCAGAGGCCAAAGAATGGAATTCGTTATTGATTACAGAATATGAAAAGGAAGTTATCAATGATGAGAAAAGGGTTAAATTAGTTGAATACAGGGAAAAGATAAAACATTTAATGGAAACTTTGAATGATAACGAAGAGGAAGAATCTTCTGACGAATCTTCAGATGAGGCTGAAGTTATCACTGAACAAAACGAGGATGGTTTAGATTATAGATTATCGACTAATGACCCAGTTAAGAATAAGAAAAAAACTAAATATCAAAGAAACAAAGCTAAGAGACACGAAGAAAAGGTTAAATTACAACAGGAGTTGAGAAGTTTAAAGATTCATGTCAAAAAATTGGAAAAGATAGAAGAAATTGGAATTCTTGTAGCAGAAGAATCTAAGGTTGAAACCACAAGTAAAGTTACAAAGGAAAGAAGACATAACAAAAATAAATTAGGTACTAAATATGGTATTCTGGATGAAAGGTTAGAAATTAAGTTTTCAGATGAAATGTCTGATTCCTTGAGAAAATTGAAACCAGAAGGTAATCTACTTTACGATAATGTTAGAAAATTACAAAGTTCAGGTAAGATTGAATCCCGTATACCACTTAAGAGAGGTAGAAGATACAAAAAAACTGTCACTGAAAAATGGACTCATAAGGATTTCAAATAAGGAAACACCTATCTACCATATTCTTGAACCCATTATCATATTATTAATATATTTTGCATTAACTCTCTTATTTGTTTTTCGATAATTCATAAATAAGCAAGACACTCATATTTGAATTAAAACGTTCCACACACACACTTATATATATATAAATATCTTTTTGTACACTAATATTATTTCTTAAAAGACTCCATTAATATACATTCTTTGTGAAATTAATCTTTCCTACTCATGTAGTTTTTGATTATTAAGCAATAAAATATATCGTTACTCCCCTTAAAATGAGAATTTTTTTAAAGCGCATCAATTTCGATCAAACTTAAAGGATTATAAAGAAAGACTCCATCCCCCCTTTTTAAACATTAGGTACCGAAATTTTATTTTAGATCAACTCCAACTCAATTACAATTGTGTGATTGAGGATAATATAAATAATTAACCCATTATCGTTTAAAAGAAAAAAGTATGAAGTTTAATGGTACTTTACACAGATATAATGACCATCAAGTTGCTTTTGAATATGAACCAGTCGGTTTACCAAATGCATTAATCATGATCGGTGGTATGACAGATGGCCTAACTACTGTTCCATATTTAACCAATTTACCACATGTATTAGAACCATTAGGTTATTCTGTAGTACAAATACAAATGAAGAGTAGTTTTATTGGTTGGGGGACATCTTCTGTAAAGGAAGATGTGACTCAAATTAAGCAATTAATTGGTTATTTAAAATCTGAAGAAGGCGGTAACAAGAAAGAAATAGTAATAATGGGACATTCTACTGGTTCCCAAGATGTTATGCAATCTCTGTTAAGTATTAGCGATGAAATAAAGGCCGGTATCCTTCAAGCATCATGTTCTGACAGAGAATGTTTCACGTTGTATGCCTCGAAGGAAATAAGAGATGATTTAAACGCTAGAGCCAAGAAATTGTTGGATGAAGGTAAAGACGATGAAATATTATCTCGTGAATACATGGCATACACAAATGACACTCCAGTGACAGCTTATAGATGGTGTTCAGTTATGTTGCCGGAAGGGGATGACGATTTCTTTTCTACAGATTTATCAGATGATGCATTGAAACAAACATTTGGTAAAATCAACAAACCATTCTTAGTCGCATACTCAGAGAAGGATGAATTTATTCCTCAAGATATCGATAAACATGCTGTTTTGAAAAGATGGGAATCTATCAGTAATCCACAGTTTTGGTCCCAAAACTCCGGAATTGTGCCTGGCGCTTCTCATGGTGTTAAACAACCAGCTTCGCAAGAGTTTTTGTATGAAAAGGTATCAGCTTTCTTTGAAGAATTTAATTTGTAAATACATTTAAATAATATTTCTTATAGAAATAATTTTTATTCTAAAAAATATATCATTGTGAGATCTCAGGATTCAAAGTTGAAAAAGTTCTTCTTCCTTTGTTAAACATAAAAAAATTAACTAAAACAGGAAACGATATATAGTTAATCCAACCATCACCAAAGCAAAAGCAAAAGCTATCGCCATTCAATCTATACCATATCAAATGAATAACATACTAGGAATTGGAACAGACATTGTGTATATACCAAGAATGATTGGAATTTTGAAAAGAAATCATGCTATTGGAGATTATCGAAAGCTGAAAAGAATAACAAACAAATTTATGACTGTAGTGGAACAAGAAAAGTTCTTCAAGTTACTGAATAAGTCTGAATATGTTGAATCAAACAAAGAATTAATAAATTATACCGCTGGTATATGGGCTACCAAAGAATCCATACTAAAGGCACTTTCAGGATACATACCAGCAACCGAAGTTCCTCCCGCCCAAACTATATATTCAAAGTTGTTTACGAAATCAAATAAAGAATCAGGATCGCCAGTAATCCAAATCGAAGCATCGTTTCCAAGTATTTGTCCAACTTATAGTGGATTCTACAATCGGTATATCTTGAATCGAATTGAAGTTGATTTATCAATCTCCCACGACCATGACTATTTAATTTCGTATTGTTTAATTAAATCTACACAATGATTGATCTATAAATATGGTAATATATGCATATATGTGTATACCTCTAACATCCTTTATCATGTGTGAAGTCTTGGGAATATGTAATGGTCAAATGCAAAAACCCATCACAGCTGAAAAAAACTGAGTAGAGGAAATGAAGATCGAGGTCTAATGGTAAGCATATTCCTTGAGATACTACTGTTCCATTTTCAAACTTGTTGTAATCACAGAAATCATCAAGTAGTCGCCTCAAGGTTGTATTTTTTCCTTCATTATTAACGTTTGGCACCACTGGATGATACAGACTATCTGTTTGCCCCTTCGTATGTAACACAACAGGAATATTTCTAGGAGATTTAGGAATAACCTTCGAACTGATCTGTTCAAATGAATCTGGGGTTCTATTAAGAACAGAATTCCAAAATAACTGCGTATCGTTCATATGAAGTGACATGACTCTTTTGGAAGAGCCATTCAGTATAAAACATGACTGTTTCCATTGATGCATCCAATACTTTTGGATCTGACTATCACCATTGATGATAGGAATATGCATAGCAGGGAACTCTTTTCCATACACTAGCTTAATCTTCCATATTTGAATGAATGTGTCTTTATCAGAGATACTATCCATGGATTCTATTCTAAGGTTTGAGGTTATATCATATAAGGCTCCTATCGGTATGTTCCAGAGCAATAATTTACCATCTGACTCAAACCATACATTGGTTATTATTTCGCTTAGATCTTTTCGGAGATGATCCTTCACTCCACGTAAAATTGATTCTGTAAACAATGAGATATATGTCTCTCTCGGTATTCTAATATTAACATAGAGAGATTTATTGTTATCTGTTGCAATAATTAATGATTTGTCTATTTCGATTTGAACATTTAAGGTTCCTTTCCATACTAGTCTTTTAATCTCATCCATTATTTAACAAAATTTCTGAACTACCACAAATGGTATTCCTCAGTCATACACATAAATACTTCTTGATATCATATATTTTACACGGTTTATAGTTATGTAACATATATAATAATTTACTTTAAGTAATCATTGTTATATTATCTGTGCCCTTTATTTCCAGAGCACTGAAAATTGAAAAAAAAGTATTTTGAGATGACCTTTCAATTTCAAAATGTCAAAAACAAAGGAAAGAAAACAATGATTCATAATATAACCATTTGTAGAACTCTGCTTGTATTCTTTTTTTATATTTTCGTGACATATATATAACTATACAGTAATGAAGATTTTGAGACAAGCAGATGAGGATTATTACTTAAGTACGGAGTGGCTCTGGCAAAAACATGAAAGCGACAATATTATTGAAGTCTTCGATGCTCCAGATAAGATATATTTATGCTTCGGGATATTTTTAATAGATAGGCTAAAACTGTCAAAACCAAAGACTCTAGATGCTATATATAAAAGTCTATCGAAAGAGTTAGAGTATTGGAATCAACACTACCCTTGGTCAGAGTTATCCAGTTTTAAATTACAATTGAGAGAGTTGTCTGATTCAACGCCCTATCTATTCGGTTATAAATGTACACAGGATAATAGTGTTGAAGAAAATGCTCTTATACTTGGAATATTACACAATATATCTCAGGGATTTGGTCCGGAAATATTCGTAAAAATATGTGACACTGATGGTGATTTTATACTAGCCGATTGTAATGACAGCATACCCGAAGAATTCAATTATCCAGTAGCTAATAATAGATTATGGCTACATGAAGGTAAGTTTAAGTTGATTCCTACCTACTTTTACCCTGACAGAGGACTTACGCAAGGAGAATGCATTGAATTTTTAGGTAAAGCTCATTATAAACTAGTAACGGACCAAAAGCTGATGAGTGAAATTGATAAAAAATATATCCAATCTTTCCCACACGAGCGTTTAAATGATTTACAATTGTTGAATATCAAAATTGGTGATAAAGAATGTCTAGAAATCTTAAAACAAAATCCAACCACCCTAAATTTTATTATTAAACAATTTCACGTAATTGATGTCGAAGATCCGGATATCTCGAAATACAACGGAAAGGGTACAGAGTGCACATTTTTGATATCTAGAGTTTTTTTAGATTTATTATCTCTTTATATGGATTCAAGGGGGTTGAAGAGAGATCAGGGAGAAGTACAATTATATTCCGGTGAGATCATATCTTTGATGCTAAAAACTCTATTGGAGGATAACACATTGGCTATTCAAGAAACAGATGGTTTACACATAAAACCTGGAGTGCATCATATGAATACAACCTTTCAAGATTTTGATTTCAAGAAAAGGTCATTATCTGACATGATAGAACTGAAGGACGATATGATTCCTGATCAGGAAGCACTTGACAAGGTAGCAGAGTTTATTTCTCAATCCAGTACCTTGCAAAAGAATACCTCGCAAAAGAAGAATTCGCAATCGTCTACAAATGAATCTAATCCCGATTCGGAGGTTAAAGACTTTTTTAAATCGGAAAATATTGATATAGACGATGACGACTTCTTCGAATTTTTCCTTAAGGATGGTCTAAAACTTCCACAAGAAAAAATAGATGAATTACAACAACTCCAATTTGACCCAACTGCCTCAGATGATGATTCTCTTGAGAATGACAAATTTATGGATGGATTTGGTGATGTAATGGATAATAACGATCTTGATGAAGGCCTTATGAATGCTTTAAACGAATCCATGAAATGGTTAGGTGTAGAAGGCATGGAGGGGATACCATTTGATCCACTGAAAAAGTTCATGGCTGACAAAAAGAAATAAGACTTGACGGTTATTCAATTTCTTTTTTATACCCGTCATTGATATTAAATACCACAAATCATGCTTAAATGTTCTATTATGTTATGCCTATATTCACTTATAAATAATATATATAATAATCCAATCGTTTATTCAATAATTGGAAAACACTTACAAATTTTCAATCTGATTCTAATCTTCAGGGTCCTCATGATCTTCCGGGTCCTCATGATATTCGCTTTCTTCATTATCAGCATTTTCAATGGAACCTTCATCTTCCGTACCTGTAATGAATGATTTTGAGTCATTATTGAATGCGGACCACTGACTTCCTCCACTAACGTCTCGTCGAGATAGTTCAGGATTAGAAGTTTTTGTGAAGCTGTGACTTTGTCCTACCATTTGCGTATTTGGAAGAGAAATACCGTCATTATCACTAGCTTCAACAATAATGTCATCTGGCTTTTCTAATATATTACTTTGAATGTTTGAGGTGAAATTTCCTTGCTGGATATCGGAGTCATCATCCACAGAAGAAGATTCCTCTCTAATAATATCATCAGTTCCCGGTTGTGAATTATTTAGGAAACTTGGTTTTTTGCTCCGTCTTCTTCTACCAAGTGAGCTTCTTCTGGGTAACATATACTTATTGCTATTTGGTGAAGGCCATGTTCCATTACTCTTTTGAACAGAAAAATGTGGTAGAACAGAATCCTTTGGATTCCCTCCATCTTTATTCCGCGAGAACGGTTTTATCTGAGTTGTAGTTGTTGTTATATCGTAAAATGAGTCCGTCCTTGAACTTCTTTCAGAGGCACTAGATGCTTCGGACCGGACGCTTAAGTTTCGCCTCAAATATTTTCTTGATGAAGGTGGTTTTACCATAAGATCGGGGTTTGAATTCAGAGAATATTGTGAATTCCCATGTTTTAGTGTTGGTTTAGCAGAACTGTCAAAACTGTTCTGGAAAGTTGTGTTTCCATCTGTAGAATAATCTGATGTATTTGTATCATTAGAAAACTGGGAAACATTAGACAATGGTCTTACTTCGGATAGTTTAGGTGAAACTTTAAGATCTGAATATGATGAACGTATAACTCGCAAAGAATCTCCATCATAATTAAGTAAAGAGGCTTGTCTGGATGTGTCACTAGACGTGGTTGATTTAAAACGTTTCACTACTGATTGTTCGTAGCTGGTGGAATTTAGTTCACTTGGGAATGAGGCTCTTGTGGTACCCTTGCCTCTAGGGGTTTCAACCTTCTTTGTAGCCTTGAGTTCTGCTGCTGTTTTACTTTTAGGCCTCATAGATTGTGATTTCCTTTTATTTTCCAAATCCCCCTTATCACCATTTGTTTTCTTAAAAATACTAGTTGACTGAGAGTGTTGTGTGACGGAGCCCCCATCAGTTGAATGATTATCTGTACCTACAAACTCATCAGTCAATCCATTCTGACTATTTAAGTACTTTTTCTGTTTAAAGAAATCCGAAAATTTCTTAAATATATTATTATTCTTCCTCATAGAGTTTTCTCTCATCACCGGCATAGAAGAAATACGTATGTTGTTTGTTTTATTTACAGGGCCATCCATCAGTGTCTTCGAAGCTCCATTATCAGTCGGATCATTTTTGTTGTGACTTACATGTTGTATGATAGGTGATAAAGATATAGTATCCGCGGTTTTATTTATCATCTTACCTATAGATGCAACCTTTGTTAATTCCAAAGAGGTTCTGATGATTCCTTCACTGTTTTCAGTCTCATGGGACGTCTTTGGGCCATCAAATACATTTCTAACAGACAAAACAGATTTATTTCTTCTTGGTCTAAGTGAATGCTCATTCTTATTTTGCTGGTCTAATAGAAGGAACCATAACCCAGATAAATTGTCACATTTTCTTTTTATCACAGAATTCTTAATCGCATGGACATCAAATCCACTTCGCCGTAGCATCTTCAATAATCTCCTCTCTTTTTTACTATGAAATCTTGATGTACCGTCTCTTTGTTTTAATATAATTGCATCTGTCTCTTTTAAGATAGTAGAACCATACGGACGTAAGAATGGATGTTCTAAAATTTCTTTCATGGTGGGTCTATTGATAGGATCCTTAGACAATAGCTTTGTTAATAAGTCTTTTGCATCCTCTGTAATAACAGAACTATTGTAATCTGGTGTAGCATTAACTATTTTCCATTTTATTTTAACTTGATCTTCCTCATCGAATGGCATAGAACCAGTCATCATTGTGTATAATATAACTCCTAAGGCCCATATATCAATCTTAAAACCATCATACATCTTCCGTTCTGTTAATTCGGGTGCCATATATACTGTTGTCCCGCATACAGTTTCTAGTAAGGATTTCGTCATACATTCCCTAGTAAAACCAAAATCTGTTAATTTAGCTTTCCCTTCTTTATCAAGTAATATATTTTCTAGTTTTAAATCTCTGTGAACACAATTTAGGGAGTGTGCATAATAGACAGCTCCACATATCTGTGAGAATAATTCAATACATTGGTTTATAGGTATTCTTTTCATTTTCAATAAATGATCGTAAAGTTCTTTCCCAGAACAATATTCCAATACCATCCAAACTTTTGTCTCTGTTACTATTACTTCATATAACTTGGTAATATGTGGATAATTGAATTGTCTATGGTAGAATACCTCTCTTACTATGTTAGGATCTTTCTTATCACTTGTCTTCAAGACCACCTTATGATGTGTAAGTTTGTGACAAGCTAGATAAACTTTCCCAAAACTACCTTCACCAATTTGGTTAAGAATTTTATAATTACCTACATCACATAGTTCATCGGATTGAAACTGACTGTAAAGTTTATTGTATGAGGTCCCTATAATTGCTTTAATATTATTTTGTTCAGCCTTCGTGATAGTTATGGCTGCAGCATTATTCATTATCCTTAATTTTACTGGTATCACTTATTAAAACTGAGATATACTAAGCAATGATATACCAAATCCTTTACTATATACTATTTCTCCTATTGATTTACTACCCAATAAAATATCGGATTTTGAGGAATTAATATCTTAGAGCTAATCCACGAATAAATGGCGTCGCAAAAAGGGAGGAAATATTATTATTAATAATGATATAATTACAAAGTTTCAACGTATGAATTACTTATCCGTTCCTCAATGTTCCTTTGCAATTATTGATGCTAAAGATTGAATATGTCACTGGATTTATCGCCTCTGACAATTTCACCTGAAATATACAATAGTATGACTAATTTGAAATAATTCCTATTTGAATACTTTGGATATAGTATTTCGTTGTTCAAAGAATGTGTTATACTTGAAACACGAAATTGATTGATGTAGCCTTATTTCCTCTAGTGCAAAGGGCCGTTTGTCATGAAGAGTTATATCGTACACAATTTGTTTACCATATTCGCTAATATCAACAAGCTTCCCCGTATTGAGCGACTTTGAACAAATTTAATGTACGACATAAAAGTGAAAAAGAACTTAACTAAAATCAGTATGAATAGTTATGAATGGCTATAACCCACAACTGTAACTTAGGAGATATCACAAGTACTATCAAAGTAAGATCGCATTTAAAAATTAATCTGTGTGTGCTCTAATATATTAAATTTTCAACGATTATAATTAGGAAATAAGAAAGATCTTGTACTATTTTTAAAATTGTAATATTAATACAGAAGAGACAAAGAGCCCTCTTTAATAAATAATGGATGATTACAATACAGAACCTGAAAATGTTGTTTTGCAACAGATTGACGAAGTATATAGAAAAACGCGATGGATGAATCAGTTTAGTTCTATGGCAACTCTACCAAAACATTTACAAGATGAGTTAAACAATAAAAACCATATAGATACGCCCACCCCAGTGTCAGAAAAATTGTCACAGACGAATAATACATTATCAAATATTGAAACTAGTTTATCAAGCTCAAATGATCCTATTATCGAGCATTCAGTAATGGAGAGAAGGAGGCAATTATTATTACAGAAACCTAAATGGCATGCACCATGGAAACTTACCAAAATAATTAATGGTCATCTTGGGTGGGTACGATGTGTGGCAATTGACCCTGTGGGGAATGAATGGTTTGTCACCGGAAGCAATGATACCACGATAAAGGTATGGGATATGTCTACTGGCAAATTAAAAATTACTCTTGCAGGTCATGCTATGGGTGTCCGTGGAGTAGCTGTCTCTGAACGTCATCCATACATGTTTTCTGCAAGTGAGGATAAATTAGTGAAATGTTGGGATCTCGAGAAAAACACAGCAATTAGAGATTACTACGGTCATCATTCGGGGGTCCACACTGTATCGATTCATCCTACCGTTGATTTAATTGCAACTGCTGGTAGAGATAGCGTCGTTAAATTATGGGATATTAGAACGAAAGAAGCTGTGACGACTTTGGTTGGACATAAAGGCCCAATAAATAAAGTGGAGTGTCTTCCAGTGGATCCCCAAATTATAAGTGGCTCAACTGATGCCACAGTGATTCTATGGGATCTAGTGGCAGGTAAAAGCATGAAAGTCTTAACACATCATAAGAGAAATGTTAGAAGTTTATCGATGCACCCAAAGGAATTTTCATTTGCGTCTGCCTGTACGGATGATATTAGATCATGGAGATTACCAGAAGGGTCCTTATTGACAAATTTTGAATCTGAGAGCACTGGTATAATCAATACTTTAAGTATAAACGAGGATGACGTACTGTTCGCTGGGAGTGATGATGGGAAAATGTCCTTTTATGATTACAAGTCTGGACATCTGTATCAGTCGATGGTCACGAAACCTACTAGAGGATCACTATCTAGTGAACGTGGAATACTTACGAGTACGTTTGATAAGAGTGGGTTTACATTAATAACGGGTGAAACTGATAAGAGTATCAAAATATGGAAACAATCCAGCACTGCCACACCGATAGAAGATCCTGGTTTACCATGGAACCCAATGTCATCATCACAAAGATTTTGATTCATATATATGTATGTATAACGGACTTAATTATTTAATCAAACGGTATACGCCTATGTGATTTTTTATTTCCTTCTGCAGCAGCAGCAGCAGCGAATGCACTAGGTACTTTAATACCACAACAGTCACCATAAGTACTATGAGCATGACTTAACTCTTCTTCCATTTCTTCATCATGAATGTTTCCCGATGAGGCATCATGAGGAGGGGATATTCCATCTGGACATTGCAAGAAGTTGCTGAAATAGAAATGTTGCATGATTGGCAACTTATTCAACACTTCGGCTTCGTACATCTTAACCATCCCTTCTGCGACTTTTGACCATTTTTTCACGCCACTGATATCATCTAACATTGGAGAATGCCACCTCAAAGAAGCCGACGTCTTAATCGAGTTAATGAAGGAAATACATCCGAAATACAAGTATTTATCCTTAAACATCTCTACTACTTCTTCATTATGGATTGATAATGGTCTCAGATGTTTATGTTTAGCTAGTTGGAAAGCCCCAAATAAAAACGGCAAGAAATGATAGTCATCTAACCCCCATACACCATGAGACCCCGCAGGTTCCAACCAATACTGCGATTCCAAAGTTCTCATAATGGTTAAATATTTGATGAACACAATCAAAACAATGTTTACGCTATCTTTCTCCAATGAAAATATTTTGTATTTGGTCAAACCAAACAAGAAACATAAAAAATTCAATTCATGACCTGATCCATAATCGATTCTGCTCTTATTCCCCCAAGATTCTATCAAATATGTTGACAATTGATTTATCTGATCGGTGGACAAATCAGGGTATGTTTGTCTGATCAAATCAACTGCATTTTTTTGTAAATCATCATAAAAATCTCTAAATTCTATCTTACCAAATCTTGATTTTGTATTATCACTATCAGCTACGGGGTGTTTCTCAATAAATTTTTCAATCGAATGTAATAATATTGTCTGTGTATTTTGTATCGGTTGAGACACCGGTTCTTCAATCTGTGAATTCTCATGACCTTCTACAGCTTCTGCCAAAGTCACGATGAATTTCATTAATTCTTCCCTTGTAGTACTATTTTCCCATAATTTCATATCATTCTCTGTAAGCAGTCTCTTTTCGGGGACCTCCTCCTTATATTGTTGTGCATCACTCATCTTTCTTTTTTACTATATTCAAACAGTTCCTCCAAAAGATATTCCTATAACAACCAAACCACAAGTAAATGTAGCTCTGCAGTATACAAATAACGAAAGTTCTTTGTCTGTTACACTATTACATAACATTACATAATATGTACTATTTATTATTGTCGCTTTCCCTCGCTAAGCCGAAATACCGAAAAGACAGGCAAAAAATAGCAATAGCAATAGTAATGGCAATGTACACACTGAACCGTCATTCCAGAAACTGGAAATAAGAAATTTCGGAACTGTCGAACAGTGATAGAAAACATAGATTGTTCTTGATTTATATATATATATATATATATATATGCGTGTGTGTGTCGTCATCATGTATGGGAATATATTCACCAATCATAATTACTATAGATCCTCAAAACTGAATGTCTGCACTCCATATAATAAGCACCCGTACATACGATGCAACCACACCACAACCGACTCCAACGAAACCCACCACCACCGCTGCATCCTTCACACTCACACTCACACTCCCGTTTTGACTAATTTTCTGACTTGAATGGCCAAATACTCCTTCATTTTCTGGTATTACTGCCCCCTCTCATTACGTTACGTTACCTGGGCAACCAAACACTATACAGAAAGAAAGAAAGACGCGTCAAAACAAGACACAAATCGCACAGAACCACCCGCAGTACCTGCCCCAAAACACCATAAACAGCGCCAGTCGCCAAAATCCAAAAATTGAAAATTGAGAGACGCCGACAGTGAACGAAAGAAAGCAACGAGAATTCATTTGGAATTAGTAATGGCATGGAAGAGATGCCGGATGACGAGGTTATGCGATCACATCTGGAAAGGCAGGTTTCATTGATCTTGAATATTAGTTTGGATTTTAATGTGGTGGTATATACTTTGATCGAGCTACAGGATCTTTGAATTAAGGAGATAACCTGGGAGAAAGTGGGAGAGAGAAAGAGAGGGAGATCACATATATCAGATGAATGTCACACAGCCTACACAACAAGCCACTCAGGCTACACAACGATTTCTAGTAGAAAAGTTCTCTCAGGAACAAATAAATGAAAATATTGTCTGTAGGATAGTTTGCACCAATGGTACAATTCCAATTAAAGACCTTACCATTGAAATTCAAGATGTCCTCAAAATTAAGACACCTATTAAAAAAGTTTGGACTTTTGGTAGAGGATCTTCACCGGCTGTAGATTATCAATTTGAAAACCATAGCCGGTACTCCAGTAAACATTTTCAAATAATGCTAGGGGAAGATTGTAATCTGTTGTTAAGAGATATATCCACTAATGGTACAATATTAAATGGGGAACGAATCCCTAAAAATACAAATCAATTATTATCTCAAGGTGATGAAATTACCGTCGGAGCAGGTGTAGCTAGTGATGTGTTGACGTTAATGGTCTTCATCAGTGATCGATTTAAACAAGCGTACGAGAGAGCGAGACTCGATGAAATAACAAGTGGTTCGAAATTGTCTCCAGGTAACAGTGCTGGTAACAGCAACAATGTAATTATAGATAATAAATATTCGAGCCCGATATATAAAGATTTCTCTATCGAGGACAGAGTGGTAGGTCAAGGTGCTTTTGCTACTGTGAAGAGAGCTGCAGAAAGAAAGACAGGGAAGACATATGCGGTCAAGATAATTAATAAACGGAAAGTTATGGGTAATATCGATGGTGTCACGCGAGAATTGGAAGTCTTGGAGAAATTAGATCATCCACGCATAGTTAGATTGAAAGCATCATATGAGGATGACATAAATTATTATATGGTGATGGAATTTGTCTCTGGTGGTGACCTTATGGATTTTGTGGTAGCTCATGGTGTAGTAGGTGAAGATGCTGGTAGAGAAATCACTAGACAAATCTTGGAAGCAATTGAATATATCCATTCTATGGGGATCTCTCATAGAGATCTGAAACCGGACAATATATTGATAGAACAAGACGACCCAGTGTTAATCAAGATCACGGATTTTGGGTTAGCAAAAGTTCAAGCCACCGAATCAGGTTTAAAGACATTTTGTGGGACATTAGCATATGTGGCACCCGAGGTTTTAAATAATAGATCAGGGACATCAAATAACGACGAACAGCATAACGAATATTCAAACATGGTGGATATGTGGTCCTTAGGTTGTCTAGTATATGTGATCCTTACCAGCCATCTGCCCTTCAGTGGCAGTACGGAACCTGACCTTTATGAGAAGATTATTCACGGATCGTATCACGATGCTCCATTGAGAGACTATAGAGTCTCTGAAGAAGCTAAGGATTTCATCGATTCTTTGTTACAAGTCGATGCCGCTAAACGGTTGACGGCAAAGAAAGCATTACAACATCCATGGATAAGGATGGGCTTACTCAGTACATTGCCTAATGGTAACTCTGAATTGGGTAGTCAATTTTCAGAAGTTTCATTATCTCAATCCATGTCACAACAAAGAGAATTGGAAAACTTAGACGATGCTCAATATGAACTGATTAAAAATCTTAGACGGGAAAACATGGTCAAATTGGAAGAAGAAGAGAGCCAGGAAGTGAAACCGGCAGGGTTTAAAGTACCTAACATTCAACCGATGAGGTTTACTCAACCTGGTACACAACCCCCAATGGCGTCACAACCATCTCATAAACCAAAAGTTCAATCATCCAACAAAAACAAGATCAAGAAAACTAACAACAGCGGTGTGTTTATGACTTTAACACCCGTACCCAACAGTTCTATTACTGATAATATTATAATGAGACAAGGTGTCAATCCATATTTCATTGGAAGATCACTCGATTGTAATACTACTATCGATGAAACCAGATTATCTCGTATTAATTGTTTCTTTATGAAGAATAGACACGTTGTTGGTGATAGTTTTTATGAATCACCTGCTCTAGGGTTGCAAGATCTATGGTATTGTCATAATGGTACTAACCCATCATTTGTCAACGGTATCAAGATAGAAAAAGGATTTAAAGTTTTAGTCAGGGACCACGATATCATCAAAATCGTAGAGGATACAACAGATAAGATAATGATTGGGTTCGAAGTAAAACTCGAAGACACAACAGGTATATTTATAGAGGATAATGGCCAAGAGAAAAGAAATATCTTGAAACAAACACCAGAAGAGAAATTACTTCCTGAGAGACTAACGAAATTCATGGCTATACGCAGAGCAGAGGCAATTTCCAAAAGAAAGGCAAATGACAAGCAGAAAAATATGAACGGATTGAATTCATCGCCAGATAAAAACACTGGCGAGAGTAATAACATTAATTCTCACGAACTAATCGACCCAAGTGATCCTAACAATAAAAAACGTCATGACCAGGTACCACAGGAGGAACCTGTTAAGAGAACCAAACGTGCGGTTTTAAACCAAGAAAATCTAGATAAACACAACACCCAATTTATGTAGAGCATTACATAAACATTTTTTAATGAACAATCATACCTTGGTATAGTATTTCTAGGATTATATATTTTGTAACTTATCAAAGACAGGTTCAAGAATGTTTAATATAAGTAGTCAATAGCTACGCCCTCGTGCACGATGACAACAGCCGTGCACAGGCACCGCGGAAGTTCAGCTTGACTAATAATATAAAGCAATTACCTAGAGTATATATATAATTAATTAACGGTAAAGAAATGATAATATATCCAGTTAGAGTATTATACTATTCTCTTATAATATGAATATCAACTAGCGAAACTTTCCACTTGCGTTGCTTTAGGTTACCCTGAGTATACTTACTTTAAACTCGTCACGTGCTGCAGGGGGACACCCAATTATCCGTCCTCAATTCCTTCCGCACTTGAAAACCAGGCCACTTTTTTTGTCTTTTTACCTCTTTTACCCGTAAAGGAATTAATGAGGCGATAGGTAAAAGAGGTTAAATGGTATCTAATTAATATAAAAAGGGGAAACCGAAAGAAGCATCTTTAGCAGGTAGCGGTCATTTTTTAGTTTAAAAGTTATTTTGCATTAAGAATTATTTTGAAAATATATATATCACTGTTATAAATAGCTTTATTGATTTAAACGGGTACTTGAACGATCCATATCTCTTTTTTTATAATATTAAAACTTCTATTTTCCCTCCTTTTTTTTGCGACCATTTTCAACAGACTACTATCGCAACTACGTTAGGATAAGAATTATATTATTGAAGATTCCTAGGTCATAACATTCGTTTCGTCTTAACCTGTTATCTATTTTAAAAGTTTCGTTTTCCTTTTAATTTTTACATATTTTTAGCTTATCACTATCAAACCCCCCTAATTTATCGATTTTCTACAAATGCAATTACAAAACCTTTTACCACTAGCTTTAATGCTAGTCAATAGTTTCAACGTTGCCGAAGCTAAAGTTCATACTGCAAAGCTTCACAAACGTGACTTATCGGAAGGTGCCAGCGAAATTAACTTCCAACAACATATTGCTCAACTAGGTCACAAGTATCTAACTACATTTGAAAGAGCTTACCCAGAAGTTGCATTCTCTAGAGAACATCCATTCTTTTCTGAAGGTTCCGGTCATAATGTTCCTTTGGCTAACTATATGAATGCTCAATATTATGCCGATATTACCATTGGTACCCCTCCACAAAGCTTTAAAGTTGTCTTGGATACTGGTTCTTCCAACTTATGGGTTCCAAGTTCTGAATGTAACTCTATTGCCTGTTTCTTACATTCCAAGTATGATCATTCCGTATCTTCTACTTATAAGAAGAATGGAACTGATTTTGCTATTCAATACGGTTCTGGTTCATTGGAAGGTTATGTTTCTCAAGATTTGATTACCATCGGTGACCTAACCATTCCAAAACAAGATTTCGCTGAAGCTACAAATGAACCAGGCTTGGCATTTGCCTTTGGTAAATTTGACGGTATCTTAGGTCTTGCTTATGACTCTATCTCGGTCAACAAGATGGTTCCACCATTTTATAATGCTATCAATCAAGATATTGTTGATGAGGCTAGATTTGCCTTCTATTTAGGTGACAGCTCTGACGAAAATGCCGATGGTGGTGAAGCCACTTTTGGTGGTATTGACAAGAGTAAATTCACTGGTGACATTACTTGGTTACCTGTTCGTCGTAAGGCTTACTGGGAAGTTAAGTTCGACGCCATTGGTCTAGGTGAAGAATTCGCCAAATTAGAAAACCATGGTGCTGCTATCGATACCGGTACTTCTTTGATCACTCTGCCATCTGATCTTGCTGAAGTTATTAATGCTCAAATTGGTGCTAAGAAGGGTTGGACTGGTCAATACACCGTTGATTGTGCAACAAGAGGTAGCTTACCAAACTTAAGTTTCAAGTTTAATGGTAAAGTCTTTACTATTTCTCCATTTGATTACACACTAGAGGTCTCCGGTTCTTGTATCTCTGCTATCACTCCAATGGATTTCCCAGAACCAGTTGGTCCATTAGCCATCATCGGTGATGCTTTCTTACGCAGATACTACTCCATCTACGATGTTGAAAACAATGCTGTTGGTCTAGCCAATGCCGTGTAGTTTAAAACAAACATCTAGATATTGGATTTCTTTACTTTTAATTCACATTAACGATTATTACTTGAAGTACACAAGCTATTCTTCTACTTCTCTTTTTTTTATCATTATTCTTTCTTCCTCTCTCACTTTAAGGAACGACTGTAGGTATTTGATCTACTTCTACCCTTTTATATTAGCTATTTAAGTGATTTTATATTATAAAACAAAAAAATACACACATTTATTTACATAAACTACTTTAATTGAAATATGAAACTCTTACAAAAATATTTACCTCGGACGAGTAATGCCCATTGTTATATTACATTTTCTACTGTCCTTATCAAGTTTAAATGTTACCTTTTGAATAAGAGAAAGAATGTTACTGTGTCCGTTTACAATATAAATGCAATACAAACAAATTACCCCTTATGGATACTTAGAATACTGTCATGCAACCAAATTAACTATTGACATTCCCTCTTTATTCTTCTTTCTTTCTCTTTCTTACATCTCTTTATATTTTGACAGCTCTTAATTTTTAGTCTCCGCAAGAGAATCATCTTCGAACCCTTTTCTTCCCTTAATGACACAAATCTCCACCTGTAACAACAAAATTCGCACATATATAAAGAAGGGACAGAATTTTTGAAAGAAATATAATTTAATCTTAGATGTTGAACCTTAACAGAACACACACATAAATCAAAACCATGTATCGTGGGAAATCGAACGGTTTGCAAAACACGAAGACTAACAGAAACATATTCTTGGCCATCTTACTAATCACAATATTTGGGTGGTTTTTAATGGATAATATTTACAACAATACTGAAGTGAAATTTACAGAGGAAGATATTAATTTGTTTAGTTCTTTTAGGAGGCATGGTGTAGTCTCTCCCGATATATACGTTGCCAGTAATGACAACGACAATATTGTTAAGAATTTAAAAGTTGAGAAGGAAATAAGAGATATAAGAGATAAAATACGTACATTACCTAATAATAAACCCCAGTCTAAAAAGAATATGGTTCAGAATGTTAATGTAGCAAAGAGAGTAACGTGTGATGAAAACCAAGTTGAGTGCAATTTTAAAGAAATTCTTCATAATTCCCCTGTTGTTCTTTTAGTACATTCTTTACAAGACGAATCGACATATATTCAAGAGAAATTACATGAAACATTTGAAATATACCCTCAAATGCTAGTTGTCGATATGGATAAAACATTACAAGGAAAAAATTTGTTCTCATATATGAAATCTATGAATAAAATCGAAGACTCAAAACTACCTTTGCTATTCATTAATGGTCAACTGTTTTCACCTTCTTTATTACCAGAAGATCTTGAGGATAATGCTAAACATTTAGGTTTATTGAAAAAACTCCAGGAATTGGGAAAGGATAATATTATAATTAAAAAAAAAATAATTCCATCAAATATATAAATATGTAAAAGTTTAAAAAAGCAAAAAGTCCGAAAGTATACCCTTATAGATATTCTTACGTGTTGTTATTTGTTATATCATGTAAAGTTAGTTTTTTATAATCCATGAAAATAATATATTGATGTATATATATATATATGTGTATGCTTAATTCATTAATGCTAGCGATTTAATTTTATGCGTCCATATCGTAGAAGGATGCAGGTATTATATCCTTCTGATCTGTTTCATCTTGATCATCTGTAGATTTATTATTTTCTGTATTATTAGTAGATCCATTTTCATAATTGACCAAAGCATCACCCCATATTGCTACAACTCCTTTCAAATGCCCATTTTCTTTAACATATAGTACTTTGCATTTAGCTTTATCTCCGAGTAATTTCCTTGTGACACTAGACAATTGATTTAAATCTGAATTTCTGGGTAAGAATAAAATTATATTCTTTGAGATTTTAAGCATACTCTTCAATAATTTTGTAATACCCATAGGTTGTAAATTTGTTTCTAAATCATACACATCTTTTTTCAAATAGTTTGGACCACCCCAAGGTGGTGATGCAAATATACAATCCACATTAATATCCTGAAAGTATTCCTGAGCACATATTTTTTCCCAACGGCCATACTTCAACCAAATTCTATCGTCTACTTCATATACTTTAGCATTCTGAGCTGTACAATAAAGATGTTCCAATGAAAAATCCACCCCAAAAACTTTTGGAAATTGCTTTGCAAATTGAATAGTATTACCGCCACCACCGCAGAATACATCCAATATCACCTGGGCATCAGGAATACATGCTCTAACAAAATTAGCGAAGAAAGAGGCAATAGATTCAGGGGTGACACTAAACCAAAGCTCGTGAGTCATGTAGATACCATTACTGTCGATCTTCGAGAACAAATTCCTCCTAAACCTCCAGTATTTAAACAATGTAGGGTCTGCAGGTTTCAAATGTGACTGGATCCTGAGAGAATCGTCCTTTATCAGCGGTTCCAGCCGTTTGTACCTGTTATAAGATCTTTTCTTCAATGTATGTTTGAAATGACTCGCATGATAGAATTTCTTACCCATACCTTCTTACTGACGATAATTATTGCACTAAGATTTCACAGTCTTCTCTACTTCTACCAGATAACAAGATACAACACCGAAGTACGAGCAAACTTACTAACTAATCGTGCTTATAACCGATGCTATCCTTCAATGGGTTCAAGTTCCTAGTTTCTTGCTTTAACTAAATTTTTCAATTATTTTTAATTTTGCGATGAGCTGTGCTCGTGTCCGTCCTGCTCTGTGTAGAAAATACCCAGCCATCACAATAATTAGCAATTTTCCCGATGGCTGGTTTGAAAAATCACTTTCACGCTGCCCTCAATTAACGAAGAGAAGACACAGAATATTCTGAAATAGGATAAGACGTCTAAGCAGAGGTTGTGGATCACGTAGATCAGCCATCCTTATTTCAAAGTATTTCCATTTCAAGTCATTGTCAATGTGAAAACATGATCATGCAACATTCGTCTATTATATATATATATATATATATATATTGGGTGAAAGGTACATGAATGGTTTTCGAGAATGATCTACTGTAATAATATTAGGGGAGGCTAAGAAGAATCAAGAATTGTTAAGTACTATATAATAATTCAACTCACATAACACACAACTACATACACATACAATGATTATCAGGACACCCACAAGAACGAAGACTAAATCGTTCAATGGCACTCAAGTTGATTTCAAATTTCCTTCCACTGAGAGTCTACCTAGAGATTCGATTGAAGAAGTGGAACTAAATAATCACCATTTATTAAATGTAACGCTAAAAAAAGGTAGGGAGCCATCTGCATCTGAATTGTCCCACCAGGAGGATAGTGATAATGTCTCTCAAATCTTATCAGACTATACATCTGCTTCAAATACAAATTCTAACGCATATACCAACTCATCAAACGGTTATTATTCATTTGCTAATATATCAGATAATACAACATCTCCAAGATTCTTTGCAGAGAACAAAGATGGTCCAATATCTAATTTGAATTTGGGATCGCCAGGTAGATTAGGAAACTATCCAACTACCTTAGCACCAGACAAGACAAACTCGGCAATATCGTCTCCATCATTGATTGACAAACCATCCAGTAATTCTTTGAGAAGTTCCATCACATCCAAGAGTAAATCAGTTACCCATTCTCAAATGGCTTCAATTCCAGAAAATAAATCTGTCTCTGCACACACCGTTAATGCATCGATACCGACAGCTGATAATATATCATATGAAATTATATCTGCCACATCGAATATATCACAAGGACAACCACGTATAGTATCAACGGTGAGTTCTAGCAGTGGATCCGACTCGTCGATGGATTCATCATCTGCATTAACCAAACAACCCACTGTGAAAAAACATCCAATGACTGTAAATAGAATTCCTTCGATTAAAAATGTAAAACCTACAAGAGGTATAACAAGATTATCGAATGTATCGAGAACGTCGTCATTGAGTTCAAAGAGAAGTCGGACTTCTCAATTGAAGAGATCTAACGCCATCCGCTGCAAAGGTGGTCTACTTGCATATTTCGCATCCATTGGTATAAAGATGAAAAGAACATTGAAAAAGATTAGAATTGTCATCAGGAGGAAATTATTTTCATTTAATGGTTCTCATTCAGTTACTACCCGCTCTTCTTCAATCAATCACAAGATCCCTGGTTCCAAAACTAGAGTCCATAGCATTAGTAATCAGGACAAAAAAACTATGAAGAAGAACATGAAGGGTAAACATAATATAGCTTATTCGAATTCTATTAATAATGGGTTGACCACCTCACACTTAAAGCGTACAGATGGATACGTGACAAATTTACGTAGAACCATTTCACAGTCTAAATCTCATTCATTGTCATTGTCACCTAAGCCAATTACAAAATTAACACCACCTGGGTCTATGTCAGAGACTATTACCGATAAAAACGACAATAAAATGACCAACCGTACTACAACATTGAGAAGAACAAATTCTTCGATAAGAAGAGCAGCCTCTATCTTAACGGCCACACCAAATGCAAACAGGTTATCTACAGGTTATCAACCTGACTCAAGAAATACACCAAATGGATCTAATTTTGGGGAGACACCTTCATCACACTTGACTAGATCTAATGGTATGTCGTCTTTGAATTCTGTCATCAGAGAACCTTCAATTGTGGTGAAGAATAAAGTCATTCCATTATCCATGGGTCAATATCCAATTAAGGAAGAAGATGAATACATCATTGATACCAATTCCATGTACAAGCGTAATTCCACAACTAGTATTGATACTGATAATTCTTCGTTTTTCGAAGCTAACCATGAAAAATCTTCAATTTATTCTGAGAGTGAAAATGATGATGAAAGTGAGGATGATGATGATGACGATGATGACTTTGATTATGAAGAAGTCAATCAAAATGAAACTTTGGATATATCAAAGATGACTGCGACACAATTAAGTGATCTATTTAGTCATTACTATAAGAATATCATTAGTAGAAGAATTATGATGAGATTACAAATGGGTCAATATCAGGATTCCAATAACTTGAATGAGGTGAATAACGAATATATGCATTTGCTAGAGAATTTTGTTAGTGAATACGATTCCGAATCTTCTGAAATATTTGATCAAGAATCTAATAATGATAGAAGATCAACTGAAAGCTCGGAAGATGATTCAAACTCCCAATTCTCTTTCAACGCTATGGATGGAGAACACGAAAAGGAAGAAGAGATGGATATCATAACCTCATTACAAACAGAGCACAAGAATGGTCTACAAGTACAAATCGAAACGCCTTTTGCAATATATTCTGCTAGTCAGAACGCAAGTTTGTTATCCATCCCGATCGTTGCAATCAGACGGTCTCTAACTTTGCCAATCGGTATAACCATCTAGATTAATAATCAGGTGAGTGGCACGGACATTTAATTAACACAATATAATGTAAATCGAGATGATCTGGATATGTAATTATAGTATATACACAGATATATTATATATAATGAATTAATGAATAGAGGCATCACAGCATACGAAATCACATATCACGACCAGCAAAAATTGTAATACAAATTTGTTTTCACTCGTTAAATTGCTCGAGAGGCTGTCACTCGTAACTTAACTTCGTTTTTTGCCTCCCCCGGGAAAGGAGGGAAGAGCCAAGAAGCAATTCGAAAAAAGCGTTAAAAGATATATATGTAAGGTTCATAAATACATTAAGTAAGTGTTGAATTTTTTGTTAAGAAGCAAAAAGAGTGTAGTCCCAATTTGTCAAGCACTTTGAGACTTGCTACCATAGTTATTATAACAAGCATAGTTTAAACGACTTATATCAGCGACAGTGGTGATATATATCCATCGTATTTTACGTTTACACTTACCGATATAGGCATACAGTTATTCATATTACAAGGTGTGAAATTGGTTCATATTAGTTAGTAGGAAAAAATAATATTAATATTTACACATATTGTTTATCCATTATATTATATTGGCGTTATTTCCAATCCTATTTTGACTTTAATATAAGAGAAACAAGACCGGTACGATTATTAAGATTTAGATAAAAGAAATACAAGAATATATTTACCCTTTTGCAAGATGTTGACTTCACTGAGCACACGTGGTGGTTTCATGAAATCTGCCTCTGTGATCTCACCGAATCAAATCATAACCAAAATACCAATGAGATTTCAATCTTCGTTTACATTTTTAAATAATCATAATTTGATACTCAAAAAACAAGCAAAACAATCAAAGAGAAGAAATAAACGTCTATCACCAACCGTGACTACGACTTCGAAATATCATCAACACACACCTTTTACCGATCTATCTGCTGGTTCAAATAATCCTAAGGTCTTAGCGGGACTAAGCAAGAAATACAAATTGTACTCATTACCAAGAGTCCCCAGCACAAGACATTTAGATCGTGAATCTATAAATTTATCTGCATTATATTCGGGTTATAGGCCGATGTTTTTCAATCCGAAACATTTGGATGCCTCTAATAATACTAATACTAGTACCTTATATGAGTTTTCAATGAATCTTGAAGAACCTAATTCTATGTGGTATAATTCTGCAGCAGGACTAGAAACATTCAACGAATGGGACAATATACCAACTTCTGTGATGAAGGAGTTGAAACCTTTTGTTCCGCCAGCACCTGTTAATATTAAAAAAACATCACAGGTTACAATTGATACATTAGCAAAAGAAGAAGAATCCCGTTCAACTACTTTACAAGCAGATCCTGCCGCATTGCTTGAACAAGTGTCTGGCTTATTACAAAAGAGAAGAGGAAGAAAGAAACCAGTGTTTACATTAATCCACACCAAGAAGTATCCCCATAACTAGATACACAACTTCATATTCATGACTTTTATATATATATATATATATTTGCAAAAACAAAAACATTATTTGCAATACCTCCGGTTACCAGATATTTAATCTGGTATCTTATTTATTTATTTTCTTTCATACATATTTATTTATCTAATCATTTCACTTATTCACATGTAACCTATGGAATTTAAAGATTTGTTGAGTTCATCAGTATCCTTAAAACATTGAATTACTTCTTCTTCTTCTTCTTCTTCTTCTTCTTCTTCTTATCTTTTTCATTAAACCCAAAAAGCCGGAAATCTGCAGGTGCGCAGACAAGGGACAGTGAATGAATGAATGAATTAGTGTGAGAGGTGGAGATACTACATGCAGCGCAACGTAACAGCTCATGATATATTCTGTTTCATCTATTTAAAAATGAACTGTTTCTTTAAATATTGTATATATGTTAAAGTTAACAATAACTGAGGATGGTTAAGCGTGTAATAGAACACAAACATCGTTGTTCTCAAGACTCATTATGACAAAACGTATACCGAAAACTGGGACATGCCAACTTTTAGGGCCCGTCTCCTTAGTCATTCAGTTACTGATGGGGATCCTTGTAGTAATAGTATTACTCATCAAAAGAGAGTACGAACATCCAAGAAGGAAACTGATCGTTTGGTGCTATGACACAGGGAAACAGATTGGTGGTTCGTTGAGTATTCATTTTATTAATTTGGGATTGAGTATTATAAAGAAGAAAAGACAGATTATCGTTAGTATTTTATTAAAGGAGAAAAGTATATATAATTTATTAGACTCTTCTAGCGATGATAGCAACGGTGATGACGATCAATGTGATTGGTATTTCTTAAATTTATTATTAGATACTACTTTTGGGATACCCATTCTGTGGTTAGCTCTTAAATTGTTACAAAGAATTTTAAGTTATCTCAAAATACAAAATGTTGAGAGTGGTAATTATTATTCGACAGATGATAGAAACATTCATAAAAAAATATTGTTTAGTGCATTTTTAAGACAATTATTGGTGTTCATCACTGGTCTAATCGTAATGAAATTCTTCGTATTTTTATTCCTGAATTTCTTCGAAGACGCAGCATATTGGTTCGCTAACATAATACTTGGCTGGGCAGACAAATGGCCAAACTTCCAAGTGTTTTTAGTGATGTTTGTGTCACCCGTATTATTAAATTGTTTCCAATATTGCTGTATTGATAACATTATAAAATTACATAGTGTGGATTACACTAATATTGATAATTTTGAACAAGAGACCTTATTTAGTGATGACGATTACGACCATCAGTCAAGTTCCCCCGCCAGTGATAACTTCCTAACGAAGTTCAGAAGATATCGTCGTGTGAGCAACAATGATTCATCACTCTATGGCAGTATCAACTGATTATTTTTTACTAGGAACTCTAGATATATTTTGGAGTTGACACAGCATTTGCTTACTAATGGAATATTTAGATTACTTAATTACCTTATATACATACATATATACATGCATACTTCAATATTTCCATATTCTTAACAGCGACATAGGAAAATTCTGTATTGTCCCCCACTTTCAACTACTATTTCTATAAAATTTGATGTTAATTACCTTAATGAGAGATCTCATCCATCTATAGCGATTTTATGGTTTTCTTCCCTCACCGCTGGGTGTTCGGTTGCTGTTAATAAAGTAAAATATTCGATGCAGCGTTGACAGGCTGAGACACAACAATGGAACAATGATCATCCACACTATTCAAACAGTTAAGATCATACTTATAGAAAGAGCGGTTAATTATATCAAATAGTTTACGGAAATCGTTAAATTGTCCCTCCTCTGCTTTAACATAGACATCATATAGTGCAGCATAGTATATTATGCATTCATAATTATATTTATGCCTGATTCTATCCAACTTTTAGACGCCGATGTACTAAGTAAATTACAATCTCAAGTTCATGTTATCTCAATAGCGTCAGCAATCAACGAGGTCATACAAAATTCTATAGATGCAAAAGCGACAAATATCAGTGTTTTACTCGATCTCGATACATTATCGTTCCAGGTCGAAGATGATGGAACTGGGATTGCACCTGCCGACATGAATCTGATCTGTAAACAACATTATACATCTAAGATTAAATTAGTAAAGGATTTGGCTGATGTCAAGACTTATGGCTTCCAAGGAATGGCTCTTCATTCGATCAATAGTATCTCAGATATGTGTATCATATCTAAGGCGAAAGATTACAGTGGATCGAGAATTAAATCGAATGCCTATATAACGAAACTATATTCCGAACAGAACACAGTAGATGACATTATAGGTTTACCTATTCAGCCTTTTGATAAAAAAAACTCTGGTACAATTCTCATTGCTCGAAATCTAATGTATAACTTGCCGGTAAGGTCAAATATGGCAAAAGCGGAACCCCAATATAGAGTATTCAATGCAATACGGGAGTATGTTTTAAGATTGCTGATCCAGGTCCCCGCCATTTCGATTTCTGTTTCATATGTAACATTATCGAAAGACTTGGATAATCTACTTAAATATCAGGGTCTAAATAAGTGCGATAATATGAGTTCCTTTGACAAATATGTGAAAGTCTTACGTTCGGTATACGGTTGCGTGGTTCCGTTTAATACATTGAAAGGACTTTCGTTAAAATATAAAGAATATTTTATTGAAGGTGTGATATCAAAATCTCCGGTTAAAGTTAAACATTTGCAATTTATAAACATTAATAGAAGAACTTATAATAATCCTGCACTGTTTAAATTAATAAATTCAATGTTTAAGGAATATAAGTTTGAACCCCAAGAGAACATGGTGACTTATGTGGGGAGACCATACAAATTTTATCCAATATTTTTCATTAATATCAAGGGTCCCAAGAATATTAATGATCTTATTCAAGACCCTTCTAAATGTGTTGTGGAAGCTACACTACAACATATAATCGACCCTTTAATAATTAGAACCTTTAAATCGTTTCTGATTACACAAGGTTATATGACTCCAAATGATAATACAGATGTAGTAACGTCGTTTGAACAAACTTTTTCAAGTTATGATTCTTGGACTAATAAACATAATGCAAATATTCTATTGGATTCTAATATAAGAGCAGGTCGATACCAACAACATGAAATAAATGGAAGAGGCGAAACTTTCAGCCTTACGAAATCTACCACATTAACCAAAACTACGAAGATAAGAAAACCATCTTTAAAACGTCTTAGAAGCAAACACTCAAAATCCTCCGTACTTAAAAAAATATCTAACGTAGTACTAGAGGTTCCTGATGATCATAGCCTAACAGAATCATACTGTAGTCATAGTTTGTATTCTAATCGAGAATTTTCCATAACGAAAGATGATTTATCGAAATGTTGTGTGATTAACCAAGTGGATACGAAATTTATACTGATGAAGGTTGTAACCGATTTAGATAACATAAAAGCAGAATTATATATTTTGGATCAACATGCATGTGATGAAAGAATAAAATTAGAACAATTCCTTTCGCAACTTTTGGCAGATGTTCTTTCAGATATGTTATATGTACAACCGATTGCTTCTTTAAAATTTGAGGTAAGTGCTGTTGAATCTAATTTATTTGAACATTTTGATCTGGAGTTACGTAGGTGGGGAGTACACACAAGAATTGAAAGAAATTTTTCCAATGAATCATCTCAAGAACTAAAACATACTGTTTTTGTCGATTCTTTATCTGATGAATTGCTAAATAAATGTGGGAGAGATCCCCAATTCTTGAAGGGTGTTCTACTTCAACATATGGACAACCTTTCCACAAGTAAAAAACTTCCTATATTACCATTAATAGATAGGCCCAATCAAACCCAAGATACGTTTGATTCTGAAAATACCCAGAATTGGTGGAAACTGTATAATTACATTCCTACTTTTTATTTAGAGATATTCAATAGCAAAGCATGTCGTTCAGCGATCATGTTTGGCGACGAGCTAACGAAAATGGAGTGCAAACTATTAGTCAGAAATTTGAGCAAATGTCAACAACCATTCCAATGTGCACATGGTAGGCCGTCTATTGTCCCTGTATCGGAGATCAGCGACTGTATGAATCACACTGATCAATTGTAGTAAACTTATTAATTGTCGCAGCGCTGACTTTGAAAAACGCAACTTGCTACTATGGGTGACTAAATTTTTGCTTATGGGAAATGAATTATGAGGTAAGCAAATTTTGCGGCAATTAAACGTGGAACTTTCTAAACTTGTAAGGAATCACGGAGTGAAATATTATTAAAATTTTAAAAATGAGATGTGCTACGTAATCATTAAAAATGACACTTACCTTTCCTGTAATACTTGGGAGTGGAAAATTTAAATATTCTCGAGAAAATTAGAGGATTTAATTGAAAAGAAACCAGGCTTGCGAACTATTACTTTTGGTTTTAGCTATATTTCAATATGATACCACGATATTAATTTAATCATGACTATCGATACTCCTTGCTGTACTGTTACCCCATTCTATGATATTAAAGATACCCCATGGGGTGGTAGATCCTGTTTTGCAACAGACGACATACAGAAGAACACAGTCATTTTGGAAGTAAACGATACAACTGGTTCCTCCATCCAATATGAGTTTAGAAAAGAAGTTTGTCATTACTGTTTTAAATATAATAATGGTAAGTCAATGAAATTTAAAATAGAGAGAACAGATATCGAAGGTTTTCTTTCTGAAGATAACAAATGGTTGAAATCACATCTGAAAAAGTTTCGTGGTGCAGGATTGTGGTTCTGTTCCTCAGATTGTATGCATAGCTATTTGACAATACCGCAAATAATTGATCTAATAGAAATCTATGAAATATTGTTAGATAATTATATGAATAAGTTAAAGAAGCACAATCCTGATGATGATCGTGAAGCAGAACTCAACTCTGTTGAAATATCGCAACCAATAATAGATTCAGTATGGGAAAATATTAGAATAGAATGGTTGCCGTTGATAGATACAATGAAATACACCAAACGTGAACAATATCTTCCAATAATATCAGAAGATGAGTATAATTGGGCCAGGTTTGTGAGCAATACTCTATTTCATTTACGTACATACAATAAAGATACCGAGACCGGTAAAAGTTTTTGGAATTTACAGTCAAACGAACTAAATAAAATGAAACAATTTCCTATTTTATTGCATTTTCAACAATTAGTTTTTAAAACATTATATATATTACTTCCGAAGACATTAAGGGTCGATTTCTGTATTGAAACTTTCCGACATATTATGGGGTCAGAATACGGTAATGTTTTTGGCATATGGCAAGAGGGCGAAACTGTAGATAGTCGTGAATCGTTGGGGCATTGGGTCTTCCCAAGGGCCTCATACTTTAACCATTCGTGTATGCCGAACATCACAAAGAGTAGAAACAGGAATACAATGTACTTTACGTTGAATGAAGACGTACATTGTGGTGATGAATTATGCATAGAATACTCTGGTATACTTGATTTAACGACAGCTAAAAGACGCCAATTTCTGAAAGAAAATTGGTTCTTTGATTGTCAATGTCGGAAATGTAGGTTAGAAATTCAATCTAGCCATTAAGGCTTCCTCCAAAGCAGATTTACTCACACTAAGACTGGAGGATATATCGCTATCTGATTCATTATCAGTATTAAGTTTTGTTTTATTTTCTATTATTTTTGCTGTTTCTGGTGTTTTATAATTTAAATTTTTGTTTGTTTGTAATCTTTCTACTAATTGATCAGTTACATCATCTTCTGTATGTTGTGGATCTTGGAAATTTACATTGTCAAGTTTCGTTGTAACGTTTGTAATAGTTGGTGTTAAAAAGGATGACTCAAATGTAGAATCTAATACATGATGTGTGAGTAATACAGATTCTGACTTTGGATTTCCTTCTAATATTTTCTTCTTATTCTCTATTTTTTGTTGCAGTTGTTCCAGCCGCATTGAAAACATCTTATAAGCCCTATTTTTTAAGAAATAGACAGGAGCAACAAATGTCTCAGATAATTGTTCCCAATTTATATGATCTTGTTGACTATTCAGTTTTGAGATAAACTTCCATAGTTGACTCTCTTTTTCATCGTTCCACTCGAATGGAATTGGATCGACAAAATTCGCAGGTCTAGGTCCGGCGACTTTGACATAGACAATTGTGTTATCGTTATTCATAATAAGGATTCTGAAAATTACGTAGCAGATATGTGTCGATTTACTGATAATATATTGCTAAGTAACAGTAAGTATGTGATGTTAGTACCGAATATATACGCTGGCATATTTTGAATGGCTCCTGTCATTGCTCAGTCGTTTATTTTTGGGGGCAATTATTATTAGATTTCTAAGCGAGATTAGATTCTTAACAATACTTTTTCACAAATATATATAACGATGAAATACATTCTGAGTTACATACACTACTTAATGTGTAATAGAGTTCAATATATTAAACTTCATATAATCAAACATAGCAACAGAACGTCGCTACTTAAAAATATGACATTTACTTAGAAAATGACATCCGAAAGTTTCCCACTGTCCAGCAGCATTTTATCCAGCTTATCTGAGGATGAGATTCATCTAGCTATGAATCATTACGATTTTTACATGACAAAGCCTACCATAATTGATAGATCTTTCGGCGAGAGTCTCCCCATCAACAGGTTTAATAAAGTTCCTGTTATAAGAATCTATGGGTGTCTGCCATCCGGTCACCAAGTATTATGTCACATCCATGGAATCTTCCCATATATATTTCTGGAGTATGATGGGTTAAATTCAGATACTTCATCAGTTATGAATCAAAAATGTGCTCAACTACATATTAAGTTAGAAAATGGGGTAATCCAACATTATTCCAAAGATAATCGGTCAAGTAATGCAAACACAATTACTGGGAACCTCAATCATATTGCAAACGTCTCGATCGTTAAAGGTGTTCCATTTTATGGATTTCATGTAGGATGGTCGGCATTTTATAAGATAACCTTGCTGAACCCATCTCAAGTTAACAAGATATCAGATTTACTGAGGGATGGAAGTTTGCTTTCTAAGAAAGTTCGAACATTTGAGTCACATATTCCATATCTCTTACAATTTTCTGCAGATTTTAATCTGTTTGGCTGTGAGTGGATCAATGCTGAACGATGCTATTTCAGAGAACCTGTTTTGAATACTATTTTAGATACTAATAACTTAATGATGACATTTGAATTAAAAACTTTCCTAAGTACGTTTTGTAAAACTGAGCACTGCATATTAAATAAAAATGAATTTCCACGAGTTGGAAATGGGCTATTAGAAATAGACATACTTCCACAATTTATTACTAATATCGATAAATTAGAGCATAGAGATACACCTAGCAATTTTCCTCAGTCTGGTGAAGATACGCTGGCCTCAATAATTAAATATCATGTATCTTCAACGAAGCGTATGGTAGATGATCTAAATTCTCAGAGAAGTCTATTCTCCTTGGACACCTATGAGAAACCTAGTACTATTGAAAGAACTAAGATCATTAAACAAACATGGCAGTCTGCAGAAGATTACACAAATTTTTTTAATAAAGCAAAGAATAACATGAAATTACATTCATATACTCCTAAATTTTCAAATTTTATTAAAAATGATCCTAGATTTGAAAGCATTTCTGACATATATAAGGCCATTAAAGAGTTGTGGCCAATTATTCCGAAATATTTGGTTTCTCAGGAGGGTATTGTTATATCTGAACAACTACAAGATACATCTTTTGAAGATTACAGTATTGTTAATAATATTGAGAGTGGTGATGAAGAATCAGAGGAAATAAATGATAATGGGGTAAATAACAAGTCGAAATCCGATGATGTTCAGATGGTAATAAATGAAAAGAATATGAGAAATGACCAATCACAAGAAACTTTGGCTATTGAACAATCAAATTCTTCATGGAGGGATAAAATATCTCAGTCAATGGATTTTGTTCTTACCCAAAATATGGCTAAAAGAAGGAAAGTTCTAAGTCAAAACATATCTCAAAAAATGTTCCCAAGATCTGAATTGAAAAAGGGTAAAAATGGAATTAGATTTGGGAAGAATGCATATAGATACAAGATGCCCCATTTTCAAGGTTTAGAGATTGTTGATGATTTGAAAGCGACTGGGTTTCCTATTATCGATTATAAGAACCTCTATTTTGGAAATCCTAGGGATTTAGATACAAAACCATATGTATATGCTGGAAAACGATTTGATATAAATTCTACTCATTTAATAGATCGTGTTCCCTTGACATTTGAAGACAATCCTGTAATCCTTGATGATATATCCAGTAAAAATTACTTTGAAACTTGGAGGTATAATAAAAAACCACCAACATTTTGCTCAGTTAAATCTGAGACAAATAAAACACATATTTTGAACATTGAGAAACCTCAGATTGCAAATGTTAGCCGGTCTAATAAATTCGTGTATAAATTTAAAAGTTGCTCTCCAAATTCCAAACCAATGACCAAAAAAATGATTCAACAAACGCTGACACATTTTAGTCTGGAAATACATGTTAATACAAGGGAAGATTTTAAGCCTGACCCAATATTAGATGCAGTATCTGCTATATTTTGGAAATTAGACGATAAAACATATCCATTTGACTTTAACATTGAAACCGAAGGTATTATGATAGTAAATCCAAATATTGACAACCCAAAGTATTCTCAACGATTCACAGATGCAGCAGGACAAATCCCAATCATGATTTACGAATCTGAATTTGATATGTTAGATGCTTTAACTGATTTAATTATCCTTTTCGATCCGGACATTTTATCTGGTTTCGAAGTAAATCTTTCATCTTGGGGTTACCTTATACTACGAAGTAGTAGAATTCACAAATTCAATTTAACGGATGAATTATCTAGGGTTACATTCAAATGGAAAAATAATAAATTTGAAACAAATTCACGTCTATACACACACTCGTCTGGAACTACAGTCACTGGGAGGTATGTTTTAAATGTATGGAGAATCATTCGTGCAAATGTTGCTTTAACTCAGTACACAATCGAGAATTTAGCTTTCACACTATTGCATGAAAGAATCCCTCATTTTTCATATTCTGACCTTACCGATATGTGGAATAATATGAGTAGTATAACATATCTGAAGTCTTTATTTCATTACTGGATGACTAGAGTTCGGATAAATATAGAACTGTTAAAAAAACAAGATTTTATTGATAAAACGATTGAACAGGCAAAATTAATTGGGATCGATTTTCATTCAGTATACTTCCGTGGGTCTCAATATAAGGTGGAATCATTTCTTATTCGTCTATGTAAAACTGAAGGTTATGTTCTGTTATCACCGTCAAAGAAAGATGTACAGGATCAGAAAGCATTGGAATGTGTCCCATTAGTCATGGAGCCAGAATCCGCCTTTTACAAAAGTCCAATGGTTATTCTGGACTTTCAATCTCTATACCCATCTATTATGATGGCATATAATTATTGTTATTCAACAATGTTAGGAAGAGTGAGAGAATTAAAAGAAAAGAACAACATAGTTGGAGTTGATAATTTCCCATTGCAAAAAGGCTTACTTACGTTACTGGGAGAAAATATTACTATTGCACCCAATGGAATGGTCTACGTTAAACCTTCTATTAGGAAGTCTACCCTTTCAGTAATGTTGAAAGAGATCCTAGATATAAGAGTTATGGTCAAAAAAACAATTTCAGAGTTAGGACCACGTAATGAAGCACTTAAGAAGTTATTGTCGAACAAACAATTGGCATTAAAATTGTTAGCTAATGTCACATATGGCTATACGTCTGCATCATTTTCAGGAAGAATGCCTTGCTCTGACTTAGCGGACAGTGTTGTCCAGACAGGTAGAGAGACACTTGAAAGAGCTATTTCAATGATTGAATCTAACGATAGATGGACAGCTAAGGTAGTATATGGAGATACAGATAGTCTATTCATATATCTCCCAGGGAGATCTAAAAAGGACGCATTTGATATCGGCCAAGAAATTAGCATAGCTATAACCAAAGCTAACCCGGATCCTATATTTTTGAAATTGGAAAAGGTTTATTTTCCCTCGATTTTGGTAAGTAAAAAACGATATGTCGGTTATTCATTCGAAAATCTGGACCAAAAGGTACCTATATTAGACTCAAAGGGTATAGAAACTGTGCGAAGAGATGGTCATCCAGCGCAACAGCAAATTGTTGAACAAACATTAAGGATTCTATTTGAAACTAAGGATTTGTCAAAAGTGAAGCATTATGTCCAGGGACAATTCTCAAAAATATATCAGGGAAATGTTTCCATACAAGATTTTTGTTTTGCCAAGGAAGTAAAACTAGGGAGATATAAAAGTGAAAGCACAGCGCCTGCAGGTGCTGTAGTAGCTAAACGAAAAATGGAAAAGGATAAACGATCTGAACCGCAATACAAAGAAAGAGTGCCATACCTAGTTGTGCGAAGTAAACTTGGAGAAACATTACGTAATAGAAGTATTTCCCCTGAGGAATTTATGGCAGATGAATCGTTAGAGCTTGACTCCGATTATTATATTATTAAAACATTGATCCCACCATTATCTAGATTATTGAACATTACAGGAATAAATGTTTCAGATTGGGTTACAAACTTAAAACGTACTAGGAAAGGTTTGAACGATAGTAAGGATAAACGAGTTAAGGTTTTAGGTGAATCGATATTATGTTGCAATTGTAAAAAAAATCATATATTTGAACGATCTTCTTCATTATGTCAAGAATGCATGATGGATGAAAGGAAAACTGCTGTTAGTTTATTAATGAATAAGGCTGTCTGTGAGACACGGTACGAAGATTTAAGTCTTGTGTGTCGTACATGCAGTTATATGTATACACATGATGCTGGTTTGATTGGTAATGATATTGCTTCGAGATGTGATTCATACGACTGCCCTATATATTATTCTAGAATGAAGAACAAAAAAAATCTTCAAAGTAGTGATGCCACTAAAAGTAACATGGCCTTGAAATATCTAGATAAGTGGTGATATTATTTGTGGAATACTGCTTATATACCTATATACAAGAAATGTAGTTACATTCTTACGTGCGGGTGCTGCTCAATTTTCTGTCTTGGTGTGAAAAGTTACGATAATAAGATATTAGTGGGATGAACGTTACTCCAGTTAAAAATAAGAAAATGGTATACTTATATCTGGGAAACTTCTTATTACTATTAGGTTTTTCGAACATCAACACTTCAGGAGAGTCAGTTATGTTTCCCATTAATTTCCAATTTTTATTTTGTAATTCCTTGAGTCTTTTCAAAACCTCTTCTGGAGTTATTGACGAACGATTAATAATATTCAATAAATCACTTTGTTGTAAATGTATTAACGAATGGGTGGTCTCGTTATAAGTCTCTACAGATTCTGAGTTTGTCTTGAGATTCATAAACAAATATTCACTTTCTTTTATAGGTTGTACTTTAGAATTTGAAAAATATTTATTTACGTAACTCATCCAGAACTCTCTATTAAAAAGTCTTTGGGGTTCCATTTCCACTGATATATTCTTTGAATTATAAGTATGGAGAGAATCGAATGAATGATTCCAGTCATAAACCTTCTTTTGTGCTTCTAACACTGATTTTTTTTGATCCTGTTTGTTTCTTATATTGTGTAAGTAAGTTTCTAGTATTTTTATATTTATTTGATTATTATCATGTTCAATGCCTAATGATTGGGATTTAAATTCCTGTAGTTCGTTAGACTCCTCTATAATATTGGATAAAATTTGGTGTAACTCATTAGAATGATTGTGATCTATTTCTAAGATTTCCTGAAGCAGATTATCAAACTCAGAGGTCTTTTGTGGTTTCAGATCTCGAGGAATTGGGTTCTTATGTGTTTTAGTGTTCTGTATTTTTTTTTTACTATATTGAGTCTTTGGAACTTTCACATTAACAATATCACCATCCTTTCGACTATTCTGGATTGCTCTATAAATTTCATTATCACTGACTCTATTTTGAAGTATTAATACGTATAATTCATTTGATATTTGTTTGGGACTCAAGGTGGAGGGGAATCTGTTAACAGACAATTGTTTCAATGCATCATTAAATTGGGTATCATTTTTAATAGGACCTTTTGAATTTGCCATAACATATATTTTTTTTTTCAATTGTTTCACAACAGTCAGTTCAGATGTAGATAAAATAGATTTGTGATCGAAATTCTGCTTGTGGGTAGCGTATCCCCTTAATCGAGCGTGATATGCAGCGCCGTTGACATGGATCCTTCTACCATCATTTCTGGAAACTCTTTCACAACATTTACCAATAAACCTTACTTGTATGGATATATTCATTTTTATCGATGCCTTTATTTGGTTTGTAATATTGTTTATATTATGTAGTTGGTGCTCAAAAATATTTCCGATCGTAGTTCTAAGGTTATTTAACAATAATTGTACGGGTCGTAAAGTTAACTAATTCTCTAAAATAACCAAAAATAAAGATTTTTAAATTGATATGCATAGAAATTATGGGAACAAATTAAAGGTAACATGCATTCATGTTTTGTTGGATTAGATTGGAATACATGTTCAACAGTGATAATATTAATGTATCGGATGTCGATGACCACAATTGGCAGGATTTTCAGAAGCTGACTAATGAAGTTCTGCATTCCAACTATCCAGAAGCATTATTCAATGACTGTGGTGCTCGAAAACATCTCATTCATTTCTCAAAGATAGTTAAGGTAAAGGGAAACGTTATAGCAGGTGCAAAGGCATATTCTGTTACTTCATTGTCTGGTGTGAAGAACTCGACATCGAATATTGTTCCGCTTGCTACCTATATAGAGACAATTGTAGTTGACAATCGCTACAGAGATAAAGGGATAGGAACTTATCTTATAGAACTGATCGAACAAGAAAGTCAGAACTGCTTCACTCCAAAAATAATATTACATACACCTAAGAACAACACGAAAGTCATAAAATGGTACTTAATGAAAGGTTATAGAATACAAAATACTGTAGAAGGTTATTATAGCGCTACAGAGTTGGATTCTAAATACTCGCCTGACGCTTTCCTCTTGGAGAAGGATCTTTAAACACAAATTCGTTATTCACTTTGAGCTTAATCTTTTATGAAATGTTTATTTGTGTATTTTTTGTTTTATTTTAAAATATTTATTGTATACATGTGCAAACTATTTAGTTTCTTCTTCCTCTTCTTCTTCTAAATCTTCAACTTCGGTATCAGTATCGATATCCGTGTAATCGCTGTCATCTTCACTGTCATCTTCGAGGTCCTCGTCATCGCTAGAATTTTCGTCGGAGTCTTCATCATTATATATGTCATCCTTAAGTTCATCAATCTTTGGTGGTTCACGTACTTCCATCATCATAGTTAAATCCATATCAGCACCGAAGTAGTCAGTAGACTTGATAACCACTCTCATATAGATACTACCTAGTTCAGCAGGAGCTTGTTGGCCTAAAGGTAATTTGATAAAGCCAATTTCCCAATCTTCTGGATTGAAATCTGGGCCAAGTTCCTTAACAACTCTCTTATCTAGATCTTTTGATAAATTCGATAATGATAATCTTTCCAATTTGTAAGGTGTTTGTAAGATCTTAATATCTTTTTGCAAAGCAATTAGACAACACCAGGTATTTCTTCTCTTAGTTGGGAATTTTGGTGCAAAAGAGGTTGGCATTATAGGTTCTTTTTCCATGGAGGCAAACGGGTTTTTTAAATCTTCGAAATCATCAGATTCTTTCAACATCTCAGCTGGAATTTTATCAGTTGGGATAGCTCTTTGTTTAGCAGAACGCATCAAAACTTTAATAGAGATATATGGAGTCGAGGATGGGGTAACGTATTCTTCACCAGGAACTACAAATTCTGCTTTTAGTAACTTGAATTGAGGTATATTGGAAGCAACAGTCAAGGTTTCCTTCAATTTAGCTTCATCTTTAATACCAAGAATCTTACCAATCTTTTCATCTTCAAATGTAAATAGTTTACCTAAGGTATGAATTTCATCAATAGAACCATTCTTCAAAGTTTCTTCGTCAACATTTGGTAATTGTAAAATTTGAGAATCTTTGGACATTGGAATACCTTGAACAATACATTTAAAAGTATCTGTACAGACAATTGCCATTTCAAGATTTCTAAAACCACAACAAACTTCAAGGAAACCGTGTAATAAAGTATGACATTTGGCGACGATTCTATATTTCATCATGTTTGCGTCTTTACCATTTATCTTACTATCTCTGTTATGGATATGATCTTGTAATAAAGTTTCAAAATCCTGTGGTGTTAGTTCTGGGTAGAACAATTTAAATTCTTCCGCATATGATAACCAATTGATAATTAAATCAACAGTGGCAATTTGAGATGGTTTATAATTAACTAATCTAGAAACAAAAGAACCGGCAGTCTTGATGTGTAAGTTATTTCTTGTGTATAGCTTAGTCTTATTCCACCATTTAGAAACAAAATAAGGTAACAGTAGAACAAAAGCAGAGATGTAGAAAATAACTAAAACTAATGAAGAAGTACTATCAATTAAGAAACTTGGTAAAGCGATACCATGAGAAGTAGATTGTGGACCATCTGGATGACCGTATTTCAAAAAATTCTCTCTAACGGCTTCATCAGTCAAAGCTTCATAAGCTTTTGTAATTTGAACAAAAGTTTCCTCCATCATATTCTTTTCAGCTTCAGATAAATCCTTTGGAACTTTATCAGGATGGAATTTAACGGATAATTTTCTATAAGCAGATTTAATTTCTCTTTCAGATGAACTCCCAGAGATACCAAGAATTTCATATGGATCAAAGATACCTTTAGCAGCATCGATGATAGCATCATTTGAGCTAATTCTTTGTACTAAGATAGCAATTGAAATCCAACCAATAATTATTATTAAATTTTTCCAAGAGAAGATATTGGAATTCTTCTTTGTTTCAAAATGATCACGAAATTCTTTAATATCATCAGATGTATATTTATCATTTAATGCAGATAATACATTTTTCTTTTCTTCTTCCTTTTGTGATTCATCAGTATCCTTTTGTAAAAATATTTTATAGAATTGTGAAATAGTTAACGGCACAACAATCATTAACAGGACAGTTAATAGAAAGAATGGCCATGTTTCATTTGTTTCATCATAATCATAATTTAAAGCCATTTTGTCCACAGTAAACTCTTTATGTTTAAATCTATAACGGTTACCTTAAAGAAACAAAATAAAATAATATATGAATTGATTGATTGATGTATTAACTTGCAATTCAAGTGAATAAAACCACGATATTTATAAATGGACGACTACGACGACTATACCTATATGGATTTTGAATGAAGGAATAGTAAAATCAAATAGGATAAAAAGAAAGAAAGAATCTTATAAAATCGATTATAAGCTTTTAACAATTCTAATATAAATTAAAATAAAAAATGCTGTATCAATTACTACTATATCGAAAATGTTAGTACGCAGTAGTATAATGTTAATCTCTAAGAAATTCCACTGTGTTCTAACTTCCTACCGTTTGCTGTCAAGTTCTTTACTTTACCTACCAAACGAGACGAAGAAGATGATAGAAGCTACGACCAAATATTAAGTGCACACGTATTACTATTATTATTCTTTGAAATTGTTCGAAATTCGCGTTTTATTTTTCTCTCTGTATGATTTTGGCCTCACAAAATTTTTCAGTTTGAATAATTTTTTTTCTTTTCACAAAACCGAAAAATTAAAATAACCCGGCCGGTCATTCTTCGTTAATAGTGATATCTACCACGGTAGTAACATCCTTTTTTTTCTTCTTTATTGGCGGCTAAATTGGGGGAGAATATACGATCAATAGCAATAAAAGAACCACTTTTCTTCAGTTGGTAGAACAACATCAGTTTATGGGTAACAGTAAGACAGTGAAGAGTTCCACAAATTGCTGTTAAATGGGTACAGGTAACTTGATCACATAGTATTGATGGGATAGGACAGACGTACAATGTTTGCTTCAATGGCGGTTAAATATAGTGGAATCTATAAATGATACGCATTTAATGCTCGTTTTATTTTCATATACTTAAAACTGAGGAACAGTTAGCTAATAGATTATCATTATAACACTGAACTGGTAAGTTGAAGGTTCAAGCCGAATAGACCGTTCCATTTCACTGTGGTTATAATGACAAAGAATTTGTTTCTTTATTCTGTTTCTATCTCTTTTGAATATAAATACTCTTTGAATCGAATTGGTATTACCCTCACTGCCATTTCCAATCAAAAAAACGAAAAATGCGTGTTGACTCTGTAATTAATGGTTTTTTGGTTTATTCGCCCAGTCACTGAACCGCGGGGCGAGGTTGGGTTTTTTGTTCGTTTTTTGGCACCGATTGAAAAATTTCAGAATTTCAGAATTGCAAAATTTGTTTTATTACCATGAATTTCTAAATAAGAGAATATGGAAACTGAATTTTGCAGATGAGAGAACTCATCTAAGGACAATAAATGACATAAGGTTACAACTGTTAAAAAAAAGAAAATCAATTTAACTGGGAAGACTAACCGACTATAGTTTAATATTTTGCAACTTTTTTTATTTTCATTTATTGAACTTCATTACTTAAAGACAACAGGAGTGTTCTCATTACATTCAAATAGTGTTTTCAATATCTGTTTTTGTTAGTTTCTCTATTATTCGCAATTTTAACAGGAATAAAAGACCCAATATTCAATTTTTGACATTATAAAATTTAGTATTGTTTGTTTTTTATTAATACCTTTCCATAATGAATAACTTTCATAATGTTAATAATATAGGGATGGTTGCCCAACAACAAAATATGCAAAATCGGATAAAGATCGGTGTGAGGAATTGGCAAAATGCCACCATGCAAGATTTACTAAACTTTATTAGTAGAAATGCTAGAGTTACATTATCCAATGCATCTATTGAAGGTCCATTAATTGTTGGTTATGTACAATCTAAAGATCAAGCTGATTCAATAATGAAATGGAATGGTGCAAATTTTGCAGGTAATAAATTAAAATTTGAATTATTGGATGGTCAAGGTGGTACTTCTAATACTATTGAATTCCTAAGACAATTTATCATTAATCGTTATGATCCTCAAACTAAGATGCTGAATTTAGGAGGTCTGGCTCAGGATCCAATACTGATACAAAAGGGGATGTTTAATAATTTATCTACTCAATCTAGAATGTTTCCTGCTATGATGAAAGTTGCCTCAAAAGAACCACAATTGATTGTGGAGAGTGTGAACTTAGCAGATAATAAATTGAAAGATATTAATGTTGTTTCATCATTACCACAAAGTTTCCCAAATTTAAAGAATTTATGTTTGGCTAATAATCAAATTATGAGACTTAATTCCTTAGAATCATGGAAAAATAAATTTAAAAACTTAAGGGAATTATTGATGACAAATAATCCTATTACTTCAAATAATAGTTATCGTAGTGAAATGTTAAGAGTATTTCCAAAATTGGCTATCCTAGATAATGTAATGGTTAGAGATGCAGCTAAACTGGATAGTATTTTCAATTTCCCAATTAAATTACAACAATTTTATTTTGAAAATGATCAATTGGGACAATCGTCAACAGATTTTGTAACAAATTTCTTAAATTTTTGGGATTCAGATAGATCTCAATTATTGAATCTATATTCACCACAATCACAATTTTCTGTATCTGCAAATACGTCTGTCCCTGCTTCAACCATTAAAGATGCCGATCAAAATGCTTCATTTGGTTACTATTTACCACATTCTCGTAATATTGCCAAGATGTCTAGTGAAAAATCTATTGAACAAAGACTGGCTATAGGTCAAGAACAAATCAATACTCTTTTCCAAAGTTTACCAAAGACAAAACATGCACTACTAAACGATCCAAATGGTTACTCCATGGAAACGATAGCGTATCCTCAAGTAAATGGTTATATGGTCATCTTGCATGGTTATTTCGAAGAAACTGATAAACCAGATATAGTACCAAATAGCAAAACTACTTCAAGGGGGAAAAGATTTGGTTCTCATACACCAGCAAACAATAGACTTTGTAAAAAATCATTCGATAGAATTTGGGTTATTGTACCTATGAATAATACTTTTGTTGTTGCATCTGATGAATTAACTGTAAGATCATATACTTCAAATACTTGGTCACAACCTGCTGCGCCAGCTCTTGTTGCTCCAGCTGCTACTCCATCTGCCGTGCCTGTAGGCATACCAACTGCACCAATGAATAATATGACGGCTATGAATCCTGGATTAGTACAAGGTGGTGTTCCTGCCTTGGCACCAACGTTACAACTTCCACCAGATGTTCAGGCACGTTTGACCCCAGTTCAATTGGAACTACTTAATAAATTGCATTTACAAACAAAATTGAACGCAGAATACTCTTATATGCTAGCGGAACAAAGCGGTTGGAATTATGACAACGCTTTGAAAGCTTTCCAAGCCAGTGTACAAAATTTACCAAGAGAAGCATTCATTCAATAGAATGACCAATATAATTTAAATAGATGTGTATCTTTATATCATATTTGATTTTCAAAAGAAAAATAAAACAATAAGGAACAAAATAATATTTTGATTCTGTTGATGGAAAATGTTTTACTAAGCGCCCATCCTTAATTGAATAACATAATATATAAATAAGTTTTTCGATATTATAGTCTTATGCAAAATTTTGTAAAACTTACTTCCAACGTATGATGGTTGGGTAAATGAGTTATGGTTTATTTCAAGGGTGCTATTAAATTTTTATTTATATAATTTTTATTTTTCAAAATTTCCAAATATGACATAAATATATAAATGTCACAAATATTTAATTTTAAAAATTTAAAAAAAATACTTACGTATAAAACAGATGAGACACACTTCAACTGCGGCAAATTAATATTGTTTTAAAAAGAACCAAATGAGGGCACCACCACCCCCAAGAGTCTCCAAATCTAATTTTTGGATTCTAGCTGCCTCTTATATTAAAAATATTTTCAATTATCACAGGTTAAGGAAAAGATGGAACCTTCATCGATTGAAGAAAAAGACAAAACAATCACCTTATAACATATCTCGGGATATTTCGCCAATTTCTGGGATTAGGATTGAAGATATGATGAACATTCCCACTCACTTATTACCATCTTCCTCTAAATCAAAACCTTTGTTAATTGCAACTTTCCCTAGAGGATGTTCTCATTCTCCTCATCTAAAACTATTAGAAAAAAATAATTTTACTACAAGAACAATAACAGGAAGAAAATACAAGACCGAGTACCTCAACAATAGCAGGATCAAATGTACATCGAATAAAGTAAAAATTCTATCCAAACATGATCCCAGTTTAAAATGTGTCAAGACCGTCCGATCTATCAGAGGAACAACAAAAAAATATGCTGATGTTAGGTTAATCTTTCATGATAAAAATGTAATAAAAGTTTCAAATATAACGAATACTAAGAATATCACTCCAACTGTTCTTGAGTTTGATGGAACAAATGTAATTGAACTTAAAAATTATGAGAATTTTCGGAAAACTACACTAAGAAATCATGTATCTGGCACAGAAATTACCAACCAACCATAGAACGAATTATAACACAATATCATCAAATATATTGTATCAGACGTAAAAAAAAAGGATAACATCTTTTTGTTACTATATCAGAAAACATGATTAAATATTCTTTCAAATAACATTCTTTATTAATATATAACAAAGTTCTATAAACCTGTAATAATATATGGATACATATCAAAATATAGGAAGTATAGCATACATGTGATTGAAATCACAAGAATCAAATATAAAACAGAAAAACAACATTTAAATACTTTTCATTAGTCGATACTTTATAACGATATGCTTTCCTCAAACTAATAATTCACACCTGCTTCAGGTTCAAGAGTACCAATACACGGATACTTCTTTGCAAAATAATCTTGCCATTCTCTTGCAGCATCAACTGCCTTTGGTGGCAAATCAGACAAATCATCAATAGGTTGGTCCCAATCTCTTACACATTCCATATCGAAGGAGTTTAGACCCAAACCTCTAGACGCATCTCTACCAGCGAAATTGGAATATGGGCCACTTGGTCCGTAAAAAGATCTACCTGCTGAACAATCATAAACTTTTCCCAAGACAGCAATAAATATCTTTTCATCATCATGACCGTTGAACTTGTATAATGTTCTTGGGTGGAAGACACCTTCTACTATTGGTTCATTTACAGCTTCATTAGCTTGGACATTTCCCGATAGTCCTGTGGGGTCATCACTTTCCTTGACACCACCAAAGAGCACGTTTGAAAAAAAGGACATTATGTAATTATACTACTTCTATTTGAATTTGTTATGGTATCCGGTACCAGAAATATAGAGCAGGTTATATTCACAAATGGAAGACATCGTTAAATTATATAATTCGAACAAGGACTTAATGATTCGCATTATATAATTTGTTAAATCTAAACGACATCGCTTGCCTACCCGAATAAAGCGAACTTCGAGAAAATACAAAAAATTAGTTGACGATTCAATGCATATTTCAAGGGGACATTATTTATCAGAATGGCTGAGGCTATTCGTTAGAGTTTATGTATTAATATTATTATGAGTTGTTTATATACCTGTGAATTTATAAATATAACATATGATTTATCTGCTGATGTATCAAAATCCAACATCATTGGTCTCTTCAATAAACACTGTTGCAGAATACTCAATAATCTTACCGATATCTTCAAGTTGATTCTGAGCACCATTCCAGTCATCTTGGTTTACTGCATCCTGCAAACCTGGGAATAACCAACTGTCGGATCCAGTCTCCCCCTTTGACCAAAGTGGCGGAGAGAATAAGACGTTCTTGTAGAATGGTCTACCTGGTAAACCAGATGCAATGCATTGTCTCCTGCCAATGTTAGAGAGTTTCTTATTCCAAGTCCATCTATGAACAGATATTAGAGATGGTTCAATACCTTCCTCATGGTCTAGGACAAGCTGCTCCCAAGCTTTCCTCCAATTACTCCATTCCATACCAATTCTTTTCCAAAGTAACAAACCTCTGGTCACCGAATTGAAATTCAATCTATTACCAGTCCTGTCATCAAAATCTCTAAAGGCTTTATCCAGTATAGTAATATAGTCATCAATATGAAATGGTAATAACGGAGTATCAACTAATTCTAAACTCGTTTGGAATAAATATATTAATAAATCTGTCGCAAGTACACCATTATCCGTACTTTTTAAAGATTCAGAAATCTTATCGAATGTGTCATATTTGGTGTCTATTGGGAATTCTCTATCCCTTACTTTTGGTGACGAAAATATAGAGACAGGTATACCATTAGCTAAAAATGGTAGCCAATCTCCATAATGATGAACATGTTCCACATTAACATCGAACCCCATTTTATTCTCGCTATTATCAAAAAACTTGTGTAACACAGGATGTGATTCAATATTAATTTTTCTATCTTGATCCCATATACCCAATTCACTAACATCCAATAATGTATAAACTTCGTCCTTCAACATTGATAACCTTTCTTCTATAAGTTCTGTAGCACCTGCATAATTAAATTCGGAACCACCATATGATATAAAATATATATTTCTCAAAGGTTTCCAATCGTACTTGAATTTCATTTCTTGGAATAATTGTAACAATGAAAGTAAAATTGCTGAACCAAACGATGGGTATTTTGCACCATTATAAACACCACTTCTAGTAGCTGCAATGATTATAGCTTTATCTGTCTGTTCTCTACCCTCAATTTTACCAATAATGTCTGTAATAGAATGAGATTCCCTAACTGCATTATCAACTTTCATACACACCTTAACGTCATCTCTAATACCACTAAATGTGCCGTCTTCAAAAGGAATACCTTCTTTAGATAATGCTTTTAGAAGTTTTTGACCCTGGTTATAAGAGAGTGGCATAGAAGGAATTTGAGGTAAACCTTTAGACTCCTTAGGACTAATTGGTTCAACAGTAGTTCCAAACCAACCAGGGGTTAATGGATCACCAGGAATAATCTGTGGAATACAAACAGACTTAACCTGTACAGCATTACCATCATCTCCATCAAATTTTTCAGTAACAAAAATGATTCCTTTAGCCTTATATTTTTGTGCAAGTAGTATTTGTTCACTGGGAAGATTATCGTATTTTAGCAACAAGACAAAGTCATTTTCTAATAAATTGATTTCTTTTAATTGTTGTAAATCGGCCTCTCTACCTTTAAATCCATATATTATATCCAAATTATCAATGGAACCATTATATGCCATAGGATTAAAATTATCTTCATGGAGTTGAATATTAGTCATTTTGTTATCATTTTTTGTATCGGTAAATGACAATGAAACGTTCCCAGGATATGTTGCATACACTCTATATTCTAATTCTTTGACAATTTTTAAGCCATTATTATTAAAGGATTCTTCCAAATAATGCCTTACTGCAGTATCACCTTTTGTCCCTGACATATGAGGCATACTACTTATGTATTCCAAATCTCTTTCCAATTTGGACAAATCAAATGACTTCCTTGCATAGTCTATCAATATTTCGTAATCTGCAAAGAGACCTCTTGAATGTGTAGCACGTTTGTTTGGTAAAAATCCACTTGACATAATAACCCAAGCAATTATTGACATCAAAACAATATAAAAGAATCTTCTTAGGATCAGCGGGTTACCTATTTTATTCAGATAAAAATCAAGTTGTTCTGACAAAATATTTAATCCTTGAGCTAATGGGTCTACTATCTTTTCTCTAACAGGAATTACCACACGATCATTAACACAGCCAAAAAATGATCCTATCTTTTTAGCGATAGGTACCGATCCTTCTTCATCTTCAGAAAACAGAGGATCGTCCATTTCCATTTGCTCCATACCAGCAGGTGTCGAATAAGTTCCATTATCATCTGCTTCCAAGTCATAGGAGGGAGGTGCTGCAGGTAGTTCATTATCGCTAAAATTTAAATCGTCTTCTACATCTGCATTATCCAATTCGTTATTAAGCAAATTCGGTGTCTCCGTACCACCAATAAGATGTGTGTCTTCTTCTGTATTTTCCAAATGATTTTCTAGATCGTTATCATCATGAGCTGCCACATGGTTATACCCTTTATTTCGACCTATTCTCATGGTGTTGTTTTTGTTCTATCTAAATTGGCAAAATATATATATATATATATATGCCTTCAGCTCAGAGATGAGGTTCAATATTTTGAACCGTGTTTTATACTTTCTTATTAACGTAAGCCTATTAACAATATAAACCTTTATGTCTTCTAATATATACTTGCAAAGTCTGTTTGAAACATGTAAACTCCTCTAAGAGGATATTTATAATCCACTGCCATTATAAATATCCTCTTTTAACAAAACACGCTCGCGCTGTACGACGCCATAATTTATAGAGGTGGTGATGGAAGAAAGAAGCCTAACCTCAATGATCACAACAACAATTTTTAAAAGAATGCACAGCAATCTGTTTGTTTTCAAGAAGATCAACTGTGATAGGGAAGTTGATCTAATAATATTCAGATCGATAGTGTGTCTGTGACGGAAACTTCATCTCGCAATTGCTATTAATTTTCTATCTTGACATTCACTGAACAGTCTCTCTAGAATCCTCGAAAACGCATCAAGAGAAGATCACATATTCCCAGTCAATTAGAAAACAAAAATGGGGTTTAATATTGCCATGGCATGTGATTATTTCTATCCACAATTAGGTGGGATAGAGTTCCATATCTATCATCTGGCCCAAAATCTGATTAATCTAGGCCATAACGTCATTATCATCACACATCAATACGGTGATCGGACAGGTGTACGACATCTATCTAACGGATTAAAAGTTTATCATATCCCATTGTTTGTGCTATACAGAGAAACTGTGTTTCCTTGTGTGTTTTATACATTTCCTATGATTAGAAATATATTAATTAGAGAAAATATTCAAATTGTTCATGGCCATGGAAGTGCATCTGATATTGCGCAGGAAGCAATCTTACATGCGAATTCCATGGGTTTAAGAAGTGTGTTTACAGATCATTCCTTATATGGGTTTGATGTCCTGGGATCTGTTCTTTTAAACAAACTCCTAAAATTTACATTGGCAAGTGTTGATAGAGTGATTTGTGTTTCAAATATTTGCAAGGAAAATATCATGTATAGAACAGGGTTCGACCCATCAATTTACTCGGTTATACCGAATGCTGTTGTGGCAGCTGATTTCACTCAACCCACCCCTGAAGAACAGACCCTTAAGAAACTGAACGGAAGAATTACAATCGTTTGTATCTCTAGATTGTTTCCAAATAAAGGGTGTGATCTATTGGTTAAAATACTTCCTACAATCTGTAAAATGCATGGCGATGTAGATTTTATTATGGTTGGTGACGGTCCAAGGTTTATTGAATTTCAACAAATGGTCGAAGCAGAACGTCTTGAAGAGAGGATTACTTTGTTAGGGTCAGTACCACATGAACATATTAGAGATGTCCTATGTAAAGGTGATATATATTTACACGCAAGTTTAACAGAAGCTTTTGGTACTGTTCTTGTCGAGGCAGCCTCTTGTGATCTATTAATTGTCACTACGAAAGTCGGTGGTGTTCCAGAGGTCCTACCTGAACATATGACAGTCTTTGCTGCAAAAACAGCCGTGTCGAGTATAATCGAAGCTACAAACAAGGGAATTGATTTAATTAGATCTGGGACAGTGGATACGTCATTATTTCATAAGGAACTAGTACAGATGTACGAATGGAGCGATATTGCACGCAGAACAGAAGATGTTTACTATGCGATCTACAATAATCCTAAAAAGATCAGTAAAGACTGGACCGTAATGCTCAAACGTGTCTACACACACCCCGGCTTCTGGGCCCGTCATCTATACATACTATGTGCCATAGTAGAGTTCTCATTGATCCTGATTTTTGATTTCCTGTATCCCAGAGACGAAATAGACAGAGCTCCCAAGTGGCCAACTCCTAGGGAGTATAATGAGAAAGTAACAGAATTTAACGATGAATCGGGGTATATTGATGACGACAACGTGGATATATAGCATATATAGCTCAGTTTCTTTAAGGTACAAATACTTTTTCGATGATTTCTATCTATTTTCCCTCATATATAGTAGTAGTATTAAACAGTTCGGCAAAGTTGTTACCGTGAAATTTCGGCTTAGCAAAATCGGTGAACCATACAGAAAACAGAAAATTTGGTTGAAACAACATTGTGAAAGCAAACAGAGAGAAGGGGAAACGTTGGATAAAAGAAGTAACATATAATTTGTGAACATTCTCAGTTGTATTCTCAGTGTACTAATAGTAGTGTATCATAACCATTCAAGATAATAAGCCCTTCTAACGCCCACTTACTACTATAATGTCTATTAATTTTAAGCACATTTCCAAGGCTGGTGGTCGTATCATGGATAGATTGACCCATCCACCTCGAGGCATGACTAAACATAATGCCAAAGAGCAATCGAAGGCATTACCAGAGTTTTTAAAACCAGATTTGCCAATTTTAACTGTTGCAGACAGATTCAAAGGCCCTCGTGACTGGCAGTTTCTCCCAGGGGATCGTGTTGTTATTATGAATGGTTCATGTCGAGGCAATATCGTTCATATTACCAAACACGATATTGCAACCAATGGATTTGTTCTGGATGAAAATGGGCCAACTAAATCTGTAGCTGTACCTAAGGATTTCTGGACTGAAGGTCAAACTACACATGTTGTTAATTTGCCTATTTTAATGGAGAAGAGGGATCTAAGATTAGTGGCCGATATTGAGGATACTGCTAATCCAGGAAAGATGAAAACAGTAGCCGTTGATCACATAACTTTTAAAGACCAATACTACGATGAAAACTATAAAAAGATGATGCCATACAGATGTGTGTTTGGTAACCCAGACCTTATCATTCCATGGCCCAAGCCAGAACCTATAGAAGATGGTGATTTGACTACAGATAGTGAAATCGCTAGGGAACAAACATTCTGGGTTGATAGTATTGTGAGAGGATCTATCCCAGATGCAGCTTTTACTACCATTCGTAACCCACATTCCAAATATAGAAGAGGTAAGATTACCCCATCTGATCTAAAGAAACTTGTAGCACCAAAGATGCCATTAACAGAGACAAAGAAGGCCTACTTAGAAGAACAAAAGATGCTACATGAGAGACCAAAGGAAATACTGACGGAAGAAGATAAGATTAAAATTGGTAACAGAGTAATGCAATTTCTCCAAGAAAAAGAAACCCAGAGTACTGTAAGACAGTGAATAAATACTCTATAGTCATATTTTCTTGTACGAAGCCACCAAACGAATCTAACCATGTATATAAATTACAGCACTTAAAACAATAGTAATGACCTTTGTTTTTAATCTCATATTCAAAGGTGAGAAACAAATATTTATCCAAATATGTATAAACTTGTATATCCCTTACAACAAAACTAAAATATTCTATTTTATTACTCAAAACTTTTGTTCACAATTGTCCCTTTTTGAAGTATATTCGTTTATAGGAATAAATAATTAATTAAATTCTATTTACATAACGTATTTAAATATATATAGGTATATGAGTATTGTTAATAATTTTCTGTATCCAGGGTTTATCTTCTATTATTTTTGCTATACTGGTTTCAATTTAGCATCTTTATTGAATAACCACTTCCAACGATCCTTTTTATGAAAGATTGCAAGTAGCAATACAGCTGGTAATTGCATAACACTGGTTAACATTGTCTTTCTTGCAAAAATATTTGATTGATGCATCCCTTTGTTGAATAACTCTTTATTTTCTAAAATTGCCTTGGTGTAATTTTTTCTTTGCTGCCAATAAAATTTAAAGGCCCAATATGCTAACCAAGCATTTGCAATAGATGAATCAATAGCATAGAAAGGGTCTGTGACTCCAAAATAAGCTAGGCCAATGCATAAGGGAAACATCAATAAAGAATATCTTAAGGCTACTCGAGCATTCAATTTAGGATTCTTCCATGCAGTCATAACATAACCAGCATTTTTATATTCGTTCTTAATATTATGACTCAAGGCATTAAAATGAGGGAATTGCCAGGCATATAATAGACTGGCTAGACACCATGCCCCTGGATCGGTCAAGGAGCTTGCTGCAGCCCAACCCATTAAAGGTGGGATAGCACCAACAATAGCACCAATCCAAGTATTTATAATATGTTTCCTTTTCAAAGATGTATAAGTCCATGCATATAGACCGATATTAGCTGCACCTAATGCAGCTACCAAAGGATTAACACCAATGTATAGAGTAGATACACCAATTGATCCAATTATGGATGCAAATTCAAACGCTTGTTTTGATGTAACAAGCCCAGTCACAACTGGTCTTGTCTGTGTTCTCGTCATTTGACGGTCAAATTCAGGCTCTCTCCCCATGTTAATAGCATTGGCTGCCCCTGAACATAATGTGGTACCGACAGTTAAACTGAGCAATTGTGATACCGATGCTGCGTTTGGTGATAACGCGTACGAACATATCGCACTTAACATCACTAATATAGTCAATCTTGGTTTAGTCAATTGAACATAAGGATCAACAACTTGTTTCTTTATTGATTTAAATGTTACTGGTTGAGCTGCCTTATGTTTTTTTCTTTGTAATTTACGAGCTGAAGCATCTAGGGGTTTCACTTCAAATGGTAAACTGACATTGGCTGCAACTGTTTTGGTAGTACTATTCTCCTCCGGGTCAGTAATATCATCTGTACAACGAATAGCCATTTCAAGAGCCTTTTCTTTATTTGACAACATGTTTCTAATGGATCGATTAGATTGGAACTCGACGGGAGCTGTATTAACGTGCGCATTATTGCTCCTGATAATAGATGTAGATATACCTCTCCTGAGAACATATAATCCGTGGGCAGTTGTTCTAACACATATGGGGTGTCTCAGTATTGGTGTTGAGGAACCACATAACATGTGGATTGATAGCATTTGTCCGCAACGTTGATTTTAATATCCCTTATATCGACGTGGTTTGAGATTGTATAAGGAGAAAAAGGGAACAAAACACAGATTGCAAAAGAGACAATGAGGTATAGATATTTTTTATTTCAGCTGAAGCTATCAATTCCACAAATTGTTTTTGTCGCCACTTGTATATTCAGAAATATGTATGTAGTTAGCGACTCCGTGTTTCGAGGTCCCTTACAGTTTATTAATCATATTGAAACATTCAACGCCTTTCTTTATTATCGATTTTTAGAATTTTTAATGAAATTTCAGAATATCGCCGAGCTCATCTTGACAGTTGCAACAACTACAAATAGAAGAATAACTGAACAAGTTTTTATGAATGCAACATATCGTTTTATTAGGCTAGAGTGGGTCTGTTTCAATGAGTTATGTATGTATGTCTTATAAGATTTAATATATGTATATGTATATATCAGTGTGATTGTGTCTGTATATAAGTACATCTTATTAAGTAGACTTCTTCTTTTCAGAAGTAGATGACTTCGTCGTTTCATCGTTTTCCTTTGTTGTATTATCTTCTGTTGCTTCCTCTGTTGTGGATTGTTCAGCATCCTTTTGTAATTTTTCTTGTAATTTCTTACTTTGTATCTTATTTTCAATTAGATCATCAAATGCAATGATAGCTCTAACCAAATTACTTATATAAACAATCATCAATTCATCATTGGTTTTTATGGTCAATGCTTTTTGTAAAGTGTTCGATGATGCAACTAAAGCAGGGCTCTTCAGATCCATTTCATCTTCATTGGGTTGTCCCAAATTTGGTAAAAGATTAAATACATCTTGTAATTTACCTAGGATAATATGGTTAACAGGTAGCTCTTTGTTTATAACTTTATTTAAATATACTGTGATATCTCCCAATTTCTTCTGTAGACCCTTCAATGATTTCAATTGATTTGTTAATCTAATGGATAATCCACCAGCGGCTTGATCCCGCACGTCTCTCAAAAGATGTTCGACACCGATTTCTTCTGCTTCCTCAGCTTCAACGCTGCATGGTAAATGTAAAAAGGTTCTTTCAGTAGAAGTACCATCATCTTTAACTTGATCCACAGATATGTATGCATCTGTAGGTAAACCTACACCTGATTGTTGGACATCGACAATCAACAACAATGGAGTTCTATTTTGTCCCGTGTACTTTTTAAACAATTCATTAATTTTTAAGTCTGAAGCTCTCAGTTTTGGTCCACTATGATACCAACCGATTAATTTTTCTTTAGCGTTAATCTTCTTACACATTTCGTTCATGTTCTCGATATAGTTCTGGTCCAAGAACCAGACATCAGAGTTCTTGTCGTCCTCCTCAAATGGTAAAGCAAACGAATTAGTGACCTTCACTGTAGATGTAGTAGCATCTCCTAAGATGACACCTACAACACGTTTCCCCTCGGGGGTCTCAGTACGTTTGTAATGGTCCAATACGGACAACAGCACCAAGGGAGCAATTGTGACTTGGTCATGAGGTAATGCAGTTAGAGACGCCATTATAATGATGATAGTATTGTAGCGAGGAATACCTGTTTGAGTCCTCTCGTTCGAGTTGCTTATGTGTTAATGTAACTTCTCACTCAATACACATATACTTATAAAGTAGTTTCGCCACCCAAAATACATAACTTGTTAATATAAAAATCGTTGTGTGTAGGTAAAGGTATCGCTCGGGTCTCACAGTGCACTTTTTTAAAGGACCTCGAAAAACAAAAATAACAGTGTTAAGGGGGGTAACCATCCATGATTATTAAATTAAGGAATATATAAAAGATGATTGCCAAGTTATGTATTATATATATATGCTACACTTTATAAGTGAGTACTTTGTTATTTTCTTCGCGTACCAATGTATGATGATGACCCTGAGCCCTTTGCACGGTTTTCTTGTCGATATCCATTGTGCAAGTAGGGATAGAATTGAACCATTCGTCGTTGTAGATATCTTCGAAGGTAGCTCTTGTAGTCGGGTCTATTAACAGGAACCTGGATAATATAGGACGGGCTGCATGTGGAAGTAGTCTTAGAAGACGGTAGGGCCCCTGTATGGTCTTTTTGTGATGGGAACTCTCAGATTTCTTCTTTCCGTTTTGAATGATTGGGGTCCCAGTAGTGTCATTATTTATTTGTAATTTCTCAATCTTAGGTTCTGCTTTATCTTCATCCTTGGTGTCATCAGCAACTTCTACAGTTGCATCCTTGCTTTCTTCAGGTTTTTGAACTACTGGAGTTATTGTTACTCCGTTATTATTATTATCATCACCATCATCATCATCATCATCATTATCATCATTATCATCCTCTTCATCTTCATCATTATTATTTTCCTTATTATCCGCAGTTGCATTTACAGCTGTTTCATTATGTTGTTGATTTTTACTTTCTTTTCTTTGTTTTATTAACTGTTCATGATGTTTTGCAGATTCAACATAATCATGTTCGATATTATCCTTAAGTCTATACAATCTATAATTATCATCGGAATCTCTAGGGACTTTCCAAGGGAATCTTTTCAACATCATACAACAAAAGATTATCCCAATTGACCAAATATCCACACATTGTGGATCATATTTTATCGAATGTTGTAATACTTCCGGGGCCAAATATGGGTCACTCCCGACAATTCCATGACATTTAATAATTTTATTTTCAAAAGGGTATCTAAATATTACGGCAGAACCAAAATCAATCAATTTTAATATCCCGAATTCATTCATACAACAATTATCTAATTTCAAATCTCTATGAGCCAGCCCCATCGAATGTAAATATTTGACACCGTGACAAATTTGTTTAAAACAACAATTGATTTCACCACGAGACATCTTCCCTGTCATCACTACAGCAAAGAAATCCACAGGTAAATATTCCATGACCTCAAAATATTTATTTTGTTTTGAATCACTAAAGACATCCATAGTTTGGACGACGTTTGGGTGATGTAAAGAGGAGCCGACTAAAAACTCCGCGGTACATTTCTTGGCGTACTCTTTAATCGATTCACTTGTCTTTCTTGGTCTAAATTCTTTAACTGCAAATATAGCATTATCTGAGGGTCGTACTAGAATCTTCACAGACCCACCTGCACCGGATCCCAAAGTTTTCCCCAGTTTCCCATATTTTTGGGCCAATATAGTATCATCGTGATAAATATTAATATTGCTTGCCAGGGATAACGCAGAGTCTGTACTTGGTGGGATCCCTGATTGAGTATGTCCGGGGTCGCTTGCGGGCGATGCAGATCTGTCCTTCTTTGAATGATGGTTCAACGTTTCTTTCATTGAGGAAGACAATTTATTTGGTTGTCTAGATGGAGGTGTATGTACAATTGGTGGATGGGGATGAATACTTTGCGGTTTCTTATGAATTGGGGGTCTAAAGAACCGTTTCAATTCCAGCATCGAATGCGACGCCTTCGGGGTGATCACATCCTCGTTATTATGGTGTGTTGTGCTACTGTTATTATTATTGTGGTGATGATCTTTACTAGCTAAAGAATCTGTCGATTTATTACTGCTATTTTTCCCAATGAACCCTAGAAACGATCTAGTAGATTTCAAAGCAGGAGGACTCTCTCTGTCTAACGAAGCTACAGTTGCTGCGCCAGCAGCAACTGTAGCACCACTATTAGTGCTACTAGTGTCATCATCGGTCACATGTCCATGGTGATTATCATGAGTCGAGTGATGGAACAGGCTTCCCGACAACAGTTTAGGCATTTTCCCGTGTATTTATGTGTATATTACAGTTCTAACGCATACAGTCAAGCAAACTCACTCCTTAGAATTCCTTCCACTGTCTCTACCTTGCTATATATACCGAAACGAAGTGACCCTACCTCTATGACTTTGCCCATTCCTTCTTCTATATATATACATATATGTGAATATGGATATGAAACTCCCAGTGTGTGCTGTGGCCCGCTGTGCAGCTGGGATATCCCCGAACCGGAGAACAGAACAGAGCACCCGATGGCTGCTGCCACCGTCTCTCCCCGTCTCTCCCCGTCTCCCCCCGTCACCGTCGCCGCCTCCTGGCGACGCCCACCGCGTGCAGCCCGCGTTTTCTGCGTTCAGCGGCGGTGGCAGCAGCGGCAGCAACGGCGCGTGGGGACAGCCAATCAGCGGCGAGCGGGGGACATTCAGCGGGAAAAGGAGAGGAATTTCGTGGGGGTGGCTGTCGTGCGGCGTGACGTAGAGGGTAACCCCGTTCCTCATTTATACGAAGCGACCGACCGGCAGACAGGGCGTGTGCCGTTACAGCCGCTATATCCCTCGAGACGGAGGGGAGGCACGGTGGGCATCGATATCGTATAATGAAGCACAGCTCATCGGTGAGCAGCTATATATATGGATACATTTAAGAAGATGAGAGCTGACTTCAGAGGTGGTAGCTTCAATTGAGAGACATACACACAGACACACCTACTACCATAATTGCATAACGATGTTTGTTACTTCTGCCCCTGGGAAAGTTATTATATTTGGAGAGCATTCCGCGGTCTACAACAAGCCTGCTGTGGCTGCTGCTGCGTCCTCGCTGAGGTCATACCTGCTGGTGGAACCAGTGGCCGAGGATCAGGTATTGGAACTGAATTGCCCGAATTTACAATTTGCTCACAAGTGGTCAACGGCTCAATTGAGTGAAATCACCGATTCACACGTTTTGGTGACAGAGTCACAGTCTGTGCTACTGTCTAACCCGTTGCTGCACACTATAGACACTCAACTGCTATCAGGTATAGATAACCCTCTACAGAGAAGTGCCGCTCAATGTTTCCTGTATTTATACTTAAGCATTGTGCCTTCACATATTCGCTCTGCTTTACGTTGTACTCTGATTTCAACATTACCCGTTGGCGCCGGCCTGGGGTCGAGTGCCTCGATATCGGTTGCGTTGGCTCACGCTTTCTTGAAACTCACTCAAGTTCCTTCCAGAGACCTCATCAATCAATGGGCCTTTGTTGGAGAAACGTGCATGCATGGCACCCCCTCAGGAATCGATAACACTATAGCCACCTTTGGCGGTGCTTTACAATTTACCAAGAACGATACAAACGGGCCCCACGAATTGCATCCAAAGAAACCAATCGTCGCAGTACTGACCTATACGAAGATCCCAAGGTCTACAAGGACTTTGGTCTCAGGGGTGCGCGATTTGTACGATTCGATGCCAGACATTATAGAACCATTGCTAGATAGTATGGCGAAAGTGGCATTGAGAGGCTCTGTGGCTTTGGAACAAGCTGACCTGGAACAAGTGTTGCAATTGGTGCGTGTGAACCACGGCCAATTGGTGGCTTTGGGTGTGAGTCATCCAGGTCTGGAACTGATTAGAAACTTGACGACAGAATTGCAAATTGGTGAAACTAAATTGACAGGCGCAGGGGGAGGCGGTTGTGCACTGACGTTTTTGAACGAGTCGGCCACTACTAACGATGTGGAACAGTTTAAAGATATGTTACAAGAGAAATACGAGTACCAAACTTTCGAAACGACTTTGGGTGGGCTGGGTTGTTCATTGTTGGAATTAGATCAATTGTCAGACCCAAGAGTTCAACAGATCGTGCAATTGTTTAGAATTCCCGGACCAAATGTAGTAATGGAACAAGTGGACAATATCTTGTTGCCTGGAGGCCCAGCAGATTTGCCTTGGGTCTTTTAGTATATCTAGTGAATAGAGCATTTTGTAGTGTGTGTGTATAACCCTAATAGCAAAAGAGTCGGAAGAGTTACCCTCTTGCGGCTTTACTTTTTTATTTTTTTTATTTTTTTTTCACAGTTCCGTAATAACATAGTTTGCTTTTTTCAATGTATAAAAGAAGCTTAAACAGAATAGATAAGTTGGAACTGATACCCACTTCTTGTTGCACTATTTTTTTTTCTTTTGTTTTTTGTTTTAAGAAGGGTGATACATATATTATGCATTCTATTCACTGTGTAGTCCGTGTAACAGGTGGACGAACAGAGGGGAAAAGAAGAGCTAGAACAACACCCTTTTTTGTACGACTAGGAAATTTATTTCTGTGGTTTTGCGGTTTAGGTGTCATGAGCGTACCTCATACTGTCAATAGCAAATTAATTTATACGTTTTTACACCATGGCTATAGTCGGTATCTGCGCAAGTGATATATATTTATTTTAATTTATTCAGCTTATGTAATTGTAGTATGGGATTTATATAATCCATAATGACCTTGATACAGAGAATCTACATTGGTTAGATATCCATTACCATCTAGTTCAATTTCAACATGATCCTGAGCCCATCCTTGTAATGCAATGTATTTAGAGATCTCCTCCACGGTGAATTGCACAATAGGTTGTGTACCGTACTTCAATGGACCAATGTTGATCCAATGGATGCCCTGTGATGGGTTTGCTAAATACCGTGTCATATTTTGAATCTTATCAATATAATCTAGCATGTTCGCAGAGGTGTCAATGAAGTATGCAGTAACGACAATAATCTCATCGTAAGGACCTTGCTTAGGCTCATATTCCAAGAAATCACCCCAAAGATGATTGAGATTACAGGGTTTCTCACTGGGGGCCATATCAAGTTTCACTTCTTTATTTTGTAATTCATGGTTCAATTGTCCACTGTAATATTGTGCAAATGGTCTTAGTACAATAGACTCGGCTTTCGATTCCTCCTGGTTTAACATATAATCCTGGCACATATACATCAATCCGCTCAATTCTATACTGTCTATAATATAATTGGGATATCTCTGTGATAATTTATACGGTATATAACCTGCACCTGCACCTGGTACCACTATTAATGTTTTCTTGTTCGGATCATTTGGTAAACTGTCAACGACAGTTGTAATGTATTCCATCAACGGTTGGATCTCTCGTTGATTGAACTTGGAATTGTAATCTCGACAGAGATGTGATAATGCTTCATTGACTCGTTGGACGTTACTGCTTACTGATGATATTTCTGTGGCGCAGCCAGTGCTTAGCTGTCGGCCTAGGGATTCGATCTCCTGTGGAAACTCTTGCCTTTGCAGACTGATCTGCTTCATGGCATAGTCAACAATGTTTTCAGCAACTATGGCATTACTGCTTATACTGTTTTGTACCTGAGCAATCTTATTTGTATAACCAATCTTACTTAATGCATCAATTCTACTACTGCTCAAACTTTGTAATCGTTGCATCAATCGATCATTATGATTCGATTCATAATCTCTGTAACGTAAGAAAGAGCCAAGAGTCTCTTGTAAAGTAGAGAGATTTGTACTGTTACCACTTTGAAACTGGGTAGGGATAAGTTTGGTCAATCTAAAACCTGGCGTATTGATATTGATCGATGATGAGGCATGCTTGCTATTTTCAACATTCAATATCAAGTTCTTGAACCACTTGGAACGCATGAAGTACGACATGAGGAACGTCAAGCAGATGACTACCACAGATCTTTCCATGATCTATCTTCTACTGGGTCGAGTTTGTCAAACGATTTTGTTTAAGATATGATGAGGTACAAAAATATCGAATTGAGAATAAAAATGTATCTCTTAATATGTAAAAAAAAAGAAAACATAAATTTTGCTTATTATCGATATGAGACTTAAGCTTTAACAAAAGTACTTTATTACATAATTGTATAGGACCAAATTACCAATATAATTTTAATTATGACATTTGGTGAATACTGGCACAATCAACTTACTGTAAAGCAGGTATCTTCGAATCATCATTTACAATTCAAGAACAAACAAGGCAAAATCATTGATTTCACAAAATTCATCGACACAAACATCCCTGAGTTTAAAACTGGAGCTAGCGATTATTTATCTCCTGTCTTATTTAATGGTCATATACAGACGTGCTTTACCACAGTTAAGAAGTTTGAAGATATAGATGAAGTAAACTATAGAAGATTTATGATTAAATACCCTGATGGTGGTGAAGGCGCACTGGACATGGTAGTGTCAGAACATAAACCCTCTTCCTATATACCGATCACCCAGTTACCATTTCAACCACCGTTAGATACTCATTATAGTTATGGTGAAAAGAACGAAGCTTTATTGAAGTCGGAGGATACTAAACCAATGCTTGTGGCATTGCATGGTCTTACAGGTGGATCTCATGAAAGTTACGTCAGAAGTATAGTGGCACGTCTTACAGAAAAATACGACTTTGAAGCTTGTGTTTTAAACTCTCGTGGTTGTTGTCAATCTCAAATAACTACACCTCAATTGTATAATGGTGGATGGACTAACGATATTTCATTTGTTATGAACCTATTATTCAATATGTACCCAAATAGATCGTTCTACATGATTGGATTTTCATTGGGAGCCTCCATTTTAACTAATTATATTGGTGAACAAAATCATAAGATCTCTGATCGTGTCAAATGTGCAATGGTCTTTGGTAATCCATGGGATATGCTTCGTTCAGACTACTATTTAAATTGTTCAAGGATGGGATCCAATATATACTCACCAGCATTAACTAGAAATGTCGTAAATTTAGTGAAAAGACATGCAACTGCATTGCATGAAAAGCCGGGATTCCAAGAGATATATGATAAACATATTAATGTTGTTAAAACGGCTAATGGATTCGATGATGTTTTCACAGGACCCATGTTTAATTATAAGGACAGCAAGGATTACTATGGGGATGCCTCTTCATTTAAAAGATTAGCAGGCGTACGTGTGCCCCTCATTGGTCTAAATGCAATGGATGATCCAATTGCGGGTGGTGATAATTTACCTGAGAAATATATTATGGCTAATCCGTATACTATGCTTATCGAAACAAATTTAGGTGGACATCTTGCATGGTTCAAAGATTTGAACGGTTCTCGTTGGTATTCTGAACCAGTTGGTAGATTTTTCAGTTTATTCCATAAAGAAATAACTAGCAAAGGGTATAAACCTACTGTATCAGAGGATCAGCTACCTCATGAGAAAGTTGTTAACGTCAAAACTACAATTGAACAACCACATGAATGATAGTAGTTTATGCAATAAAGATCATCTCTCGTATATATATATATATTCATATTCTGTAATAATCTGTAGCGTTCTTCAACTTATTAAAAATCGCTTACCAACAACAATAACATTTGGCATCTGTTTTTCCCTTTAAGCGATGAGCTGGAAATAATGATTTTTTTTCATTTTCAATTAACCACATCAATGTTGATAAGCTCAAGGATAGTACTGGTTTACACTACTGATTCTTCTAATCACAACATATTTATTAACATCATATACTTACTTCTATACAGCAGTGACCACTAAACGTGAATTACCATTGAAACTATGCAAGAAATAGTAACAATATCACTCTCCCATAGAGCTAATCATTTAAGCACACAATTTTATAATTGCCAAGAACAAAACCTCTATAATAATGATCCAAAGAATTCGGTAGACCCTTCAGTATTTTTGGATCCATTGATTGATAGAAGAACAAAAACTGTAACATATTATCCTAGAGCACTTCTTTGGGAGGCAAAAAATGGGAATGGTTCGTTGGGTATCTACCAGTACATACAAGATACACAAGATTACCATTTTAAAGATGACAAAAAAGAAATTATGGCTGGCGAATCCTCCCATGAAGTGGTTAGCACACATAAAAAAATTGAACGATCAAAATATCAAGAAGCACTAGATAATAATGAACCTTCTCCAAAATTAACGAAAGAAAATACTGAATACTGGTCAGATTATAATAAGTTAATATATCAGCCAAATTCTTTCAACTCATTAAAAGATTGGTACCATGATCCTGAATTACCAAATCTACCTGATTATCAAAATTTAAAAAGGCAAAGATTTATAAACAATGAGCAAGGTTTAATGGAATGGAAATCACAACACGAAGATTTTCTGGATGAAAATCTAAGATCAGTATTAGAACAATGTGATACGCTTCAAGGCTTCAACTTGGTAACAGATATAGATTCAGCATGGGGTGGATTTTCGGCATCATTGTTACAAGAATTGAAGGATGAAGTACCAAAATGTAGCTTATTTTCATGGGGGTTCTTTGAATCTGATATATTAACAAGCTCAAAACCAAGCATAGATAATAAATATCAAGTGAAAAATGCTATTCAGAACACTCTGTCTATGATGGACCATTCTGATCTTTTTTTCCCAATATATTCAGATTCTAAACTATCTAATTGGGAAGTTGGTGGCCAAACTTGTAGAATATATGACACAGTTAACTCAGTATTGGGTCACAGGGATAGTGATAAAAGGAAAACAATGGATTATATCACCAATTGTATAACTGATGGAGATTCTAAGCGGAATTTAATTACTTCAATAACAGAGATCGACAAATATTATGATTACAGTTATATCTCCAGAGTTATCTCATATGATAAAAAAAATAGAAGCAATAAAGAATATTATGAATTTTCTAACTGTGTGATACATAGAGGTCCTCAATTTTTAAAGGACAATAAAAAAAATAACGACATGAAAAACAAAGAATCTTTTAGAAATCTCGAAACAACTGTGTTCGAACCTTCAGATACAATACCGGAAGAATTTAGGACCTCCACCCAATATTCTGTTAAATTGTCATCTACTGAGAAGGCTAGAGACGTATTCAAACATTGGAATGATTACGTCCAGAAATATTTCAGATTTGATGACAATAGAGAAGAATTGAAAGAGGATTTAGGTACCTTGGTTTCTACATATGAACATGGTTGGTATTCAGATGAGGATTCTGGGGATGACCTTTAAGGAAATAATATGCTACTTATTAATTAATGATTATTTTTTAGAAGTAATTATTTATCGATTTAGTAATATATCTATATAATTTTATGAAAAAAAAAAAAAGTTGAGTAATAAAAAATAGAACTAAATGAAGTATGCATTAAAGTCGTTAAAATTAAAGTGTAATACAAAAAATGGCGTATTTGGGTTGAATAATAGCACTATGCAGTATTAAACAACATACCTCTAGTATCCATTACATTAACTTCTTCTTTTGCGTCTTGAAAGTCATCTGTTTCAGGAGATTCCAAAGTTTCAGTTATCCCCTTATTGTTATTATTCATCATTCTTTTCATCATAAACGATCTTCTATTTTCAGTACTAGCATTGCTTCCATGACGGCTCAGTCTAGAAGATTGTGATCTTGCCATATCAATTTTACCAAGACCGACAATATCATCTTCATCGGGGTCACGTATTCTACCTATGTCATTACCTGTATCTATACTTTTCAATTCATTCAATAAAAATGTGATATTTGTGACTCTTGATTTAACAGATTGCGATCCTCTTAAAGGAAGAGTGGAAGATTGATTGTACGTGCTTTTCTCATTAGGTGTTGTACTTTTTACTGCTTTCTTTAATTGTCGAATATTCGGAGTTTTACGACCCAAAGATTTCAAAGATCTTGTATCATCAGAGACATGTCTATAAATATTGTTATGATTTTGATAAAATCCGTTATTATTTATAATGGTATCATGCCCAGATTTATCTGCCCTTTGTTTAAGTACCTCTAACTTTTCAGCCTGACTATTGGTTAGTGCAACCAATGGTTTTTCTGGAACATCAATCATCGATTGCTTATTTTGGTTATCTGATGTCAAATCAATAACTGAGCCCATTGTTGACTTTGATTGTAAGATTTGGGTACCTCTTAGGCTGTATGGATTAGACCCTTCATCGGAGTAAAAATTCAATAAATCTTCCTTTGAAAAAAGTGCTTTATTTTCTTGTTTATAATTTGTTTGAGTAGTGTAATCATGAAGGCCAATAAACTTAGCAGCGTTGGCGTGATAACAGTAATAAATATAAGTTGGAGTCTCTGTTGTTTCCTCATAGAAATATTTCAATCCTGCAAAGAGCGCATACTTTTCGTATTTGTGAAAGATTGCCTCTATCAACTTTTTTTCTAGTGGTTCATTTCCTAGGGTTTCAATTGCTTGGAATAGTCTACCGAATATATACGCACCTGGAATTTGATTGTCAATTATTTTAAATAAATCCAATAGATGGGTGTTAAAGTATGGTATTAATTCCACATATAGTTCAATAGACATAAACTTATCTCTTTTGAATGAAGTTACTTCAAGAAGATCATCTATCAAAATTGATTTCTTGAGTTGCTTTGAAGAGGTTTTCGATTCTTCATTATCAGGTGTAATATCACGAGCAATAGAATTTATTCTGCCAACAATATCATATAATACATCAGTTGTTTGCCCCTTATAATATGTCTTGAATTCAACGTCCCTTAGAGTAAATCTGCATTGATCAACAATTCCTTGTTTATCGATATGGTTTAATTGATATTCAATTATTTTTCTTATGATATCCAATATACTCAGACCAACAATACTGACATCAGAAGTCAGTAAAGACGACATCAACCTTAGACAAATAATAGGATCAACATTCTTTTCCTCTATAGTCAGCTGTCTCATTATTAGGATAATAATGATATATCTTAATTGGACTTGAACACCGTTGCAAATGAATTCTAAAAATTCTTTGTTTGGAGTCTCTTGTAGACGTGTCAATAGAACCCTCAATGAGATATTCAATTTTTCAGTCTCAGTGGTATTGAAAAATTGTTGTAATGCATTCACGGATGTATCGGAATCGAATTCTGAACCCTTAACATTATCCAGGCCAATCATGCGTGTTTGAGTTCGTGTTAACCTTTTGTTTAAAAGTTGTTCGTGATCATTGTAGGTATTACCCAATATATTTGATTTACTGTACCTTGGATGACGTTCCTGAAACTTGGCCAATGACAAATTGACAGCTTCAGAAATGTAATGGTTTAATTTTGGGTTACTCGATAACTGAGAAATTTGAGAGATATCAACACACCAATTTAACACTAAGTCATCGTTCTTCAAAACAGTTTTAATGATTTTCAAGAATTGATCCACAAAACTTGAAAAATAATGGTTAAAATCAGTATCACTGTTATATAATGTACCATCAATATTGGAACATATGCTATGGAACACTTGATCCACCAATTCCACGATGGCTACATCATTATTTGCAGAGCTACTAGTCATAACGTTGTTCATAATGGTAAAGAAATCTTTGATGAAAACATTTAAATTTTCTTTACAATTATTCACAATCTTATCCATTAATTCTAATGTAACAGAAACATTACCTGCTCGCCTTCTACTACCGAGGTCGCTCGAGGTTCTCTTTTTTAAGTAGCTACTAACCTTGTCCAGCTTACTACGTCTGGAATTGACATAATACAATAGATATGAGGTCTCTGAAGATTTAGGTTTTTTGTCTGTAGTTCTGCCGGTGGGATAACATTGGTTTACCAATCTTTGGTGTTTCGGGGTGAATATCATGCGCATCATCATGGTTCAACAAGGTACGTGACACTTAGACTAAACTATACCAATGGGTTTTTTTAAATACTGTAAATGAACCTCCAAAAAGTTTTAAACAATCTGATTGACCAGGCCTGCTCTTCTTAATTATTATATGTACCGAGTGCAATTAACAACAATGTTAACCTGTATTCTAAAGGAAATGAAAAATAAAAAAGAGTGTCGCCTTGCTGGAAGTATGAAAAAATATCCAATCCAAAAAAGTGAAAAATTCGTTTGCGCAGCTAAAACAGTTAATTATGGTAATGATGATGGATAATCTCACCTCACAATTATTAAAAAAAGGTAAACAAGTATCTATATAGTGATATTAATAGTTAAAGGATCATTCAGATTCATATATTGAATTGTACTAGTAAAACATTTTATTTTAGAAAGTGTACAAGGTAGGAATATCCAGAGAGTTGACTAAAAAATTAGGATGGCTCCAACTCCAGTATATGTGAAAGGTGGTGTTTGGACCAATGTTGAAGATCAAATCCTGAAAGCTGCGATTCAAAAGTATGGTACACATCAATGGAGTAAAATTGCATCTTTATTACATAAGAAATCATCAAGACAATGTGAAATTCGTTGGAATGAATTTTTAAATCCACAGTTGAATTTCACTGGATTCAGCAAGGAAGAAGATGTCAAATTATTGACTTTGGCAAGAAAGTTACCTAATCAATGGAGAACTATCTCTGATATGATGGGAAGGACTGCCCAAATATGTATTGAACGATACAATATATTGTTGTCTGATGATAATGTTGGTAATGAACATGACGAACACGATGACTTAAGACTCAGTACTTCTCTTGATTTCAAAGTAGGAGATTTAAATCCACATGCAGATACGCAGGTAGCCAAGCCAGATAAAGATGAACTAGAAGACGATGAAAGGGAGATGCTAGCAGAGGCTCGTGCCCGTTTGTTAAATACACAAGGTAAGAAAGGTACAAGACGAATCCGTGAGCGTATGTTAGAAGAATCAAAGAGAATAGCGGAATTACAAAAGAGGCGTGAGTTAAAACAAGCTGGAGTGAAACTGGCACCCAAAAAAATGAAAAAAAAATATGCAGATGAAATAGATTACAATGTTGATATTCCATACGAACAAGTACCATTAGCTGGACTATATGATACTGCACAAGAAGATAAACGTTCTCTTGCAGATTTAAGGAAATATGAACAAACTGTACAACGAAAAGGTTTACATGAAAAGATAGATATAAGCGATAGAGAGAAAAGTCATGGTAAACGTAAAAATGAAGGTAAAGTTGATGAATCTAAGGAACCCAATCAAAAGAAACAACTTCAAAAGAAACGTCGTGATGATAATCTACATCAATTCAGAGATGGGAAAGACAAATTAAACTTATCTAAACCCGATTGTACAGCATCCTCATTGACTCCCTCTGATGATAGGTTAGTCGTTTCTAGACGTGCATTACTCGACTCAAAAAATGTCGGGGCTGTACTAACGGATAAAAATGATTATACTCGATCCAGAGCTAGTTCAATAGTTTCAGTCGGTAGTACGACTTCCCAAATGGAAGCTTCCACGATAAAACTGAAAAAGAGACAGTTACATGAATTGTTACAATCATTACCAACTCCTAAGAACGATTATGAACTTGTCCTAGATATATCCGATGACGAGGAACCTACCTTGATGAACTCAAATGTTGGAACCCCTCCAAGAGATACTGCAACTACAACCCCGGTAGATTTAAATATAGATAGTCTCAATATCCGTGTATTACCTACTCCCGGTTTTATCGAAAACCCAATCTCGAACTTTGATCAAGCTTACAATGAGCTTGTTTCTAATTCAATCAACACTACATCTTATAGGAACACACAACATTTTGCTGACGTATATAATGGGTTACATGATGCATTACAACGAATTGTCAGTAAAAATCCCATAGAAAACAAGGGGCCCCTTCCTGAGAATATATCGACTCAGACGTTGAAGTCAGGTATCATCATGAAACAGAAAGAAGTTGCTCGATTGCAAGAGGCTCTGACTTACATCAATCCACTTTCAAAGGAGAACCATACACTCTCTAAAGAGCTCTCCGAGGACAAGATCCCTGAACTCCGTGAACTGCAACAAGGTTACTATGTCAATTATAGGCTCTACAGAAACGAAACACAAGCAACTAGAGCACGGCTCGTGGGCCTCCAACGTGCACTCTCCTCGCTACAGAAGCAATCGATGCCACAAAAATAGCATAGTTGTGCCACCCCTTGTTCAAACATCCCTCATCGACTGACCAACCCCATCGATCTTTCAGGTAAATGAAGTGAAAGTTAACAGTGACAGTCAAGATGATAGTGACAGTGCTTTTCCTTCCTCGAACCAATTTTTTTACTGCGCGTAATAAAGGATCTGCTGCTATCCTCTGAAATCACCGCGCAACCTGTTCGTGTTACAGCTAATCGCGAGATTTTTCAAAATAAACAAAACAAAACAAATACGGTTCGATGTTTATGTAACAAAGAGAACCTAGAGGGAGGGAAGCTGGCATGCAAATTTGATCTTCAATATTGTTTACTTTAGTAAATGTATATATACGTAGACGGATTAATTTGTTGTTTTGTGTATATATCGATCGACGTTAAATTAATAGAATATTCTTTTTTACCTGTGACATTTTTCATAGGTTAGTTACTATAATTAAATACCAACATATTATCCATAATACATTCACCTTATTAAAATAGTACAAGGATGAAATTGAGCACAAGTGTCTTATTATCTTTACTGGCTGTTTCGCCTTTAGCGCAAGCTATGCTGCCCATTCATATCAAGCAATATCGTTTCATAAAGCCAAGTTCTGCTGATAACAACGCCACTTCCAATGAAGTGTTCTACATTAAGGGTATCGATTACCAACCAGGTGGTTCCTCCGGTTATGATCCAGATGGTGATTCTGATGTCCTTTCAGATGCCGAAAAATGTGCTAGAGATGCATATGTTTTCCAACAACTAGGTGTTAACACCGTTAGAATATATTCCTTGAATCCGGATTTGAATCATGATAAATGTATGACTATCTTGAATAATGCTGGTATCTACGTCATCTTGGATGTCAACAGTGGTAACTACGGTGAAAACTTGGATCGTTCCGATCCTTGGGGTACCTATAACTCTCAATATATTGGCAGAGTCTTCAGATTTATTGATGCCTTCAAAAATTACCCAAATATTCTGGGTTTCTTCTCTGGTAATGAAGTCATTAACGATCAAAAGAATTATGCTAGTATCGATCCTCCATATATCCGTGCTGTCCAAAGAGATATGAAGCAATATATTGCTAAACACTCCAACAGAACTATCCCTGTCGGTTATTCTGCAGCTAACACTGTTGATTTAAGACTTGCTACTTACCGTTACTTGCAATGTAACTCACTGGATGGTAAAACTGTAAACAAAGCATTAAACGAATCTAGATCTGATTTCTTTGGTCTAAACACTTATGAATGATGTTCTGGTTCATCTGATTGGAAGAGTTCTGGCTATGACGTTCTAAACTCTACATTTAGTGACACTGTCATTCCATTGATGTTCTCCGAATACGGTTGTAATAAGAATTTACCAAGAACATTTGACGAAGTCACTGATGGTCTATATCCATCTACTGGTCTAGGTAATTTATTCTCCGGTGGTTTGGTATACGAGTATGCTGAAGAAGCTAACAACTACGGTTTAGTCGATATGGATGACTCCGATGGTTCCATCACTTACAAAGAAGATTTTGATAACTTCAAGTCCGCTCTATCTAAGTTAAAGGACCCTACAGTCCATGAAAGTCAAATCAATGCGTCCTCTTTATATAGATGTAATGCCACTGACATTACTTCTGCCTACAAGGACTTTGGTGTCAGTAATTTTACTATTCCAGATCAACCAGATGATATCGCCACTATGATCAAGTATGGTGTTAATGGTACTAATGTCGGTAAGATCTTAAGTAATTATACAGCTCCAACCACTTTCAAATATACTATTAAGGACAGTGACAATGATACTGTGGATGCTACTATTTCTTACGATGAAAGCAACTTGCTAAATGCTTTGAAGGCCATTTCTACTTCTGACGATGGTTCTTCTTCTTCTACAACATCTGCCACTGGTACTGGTTCATCTTCTAGTGCTTCTCACTCTAAATCTTCATCCAAAAAGAGTAAAGGTGCTGCTGCCCATATCGCTGGTCCATTTGTTGAATCAGGTATGTTTGCAATCTTAATTTCTGCTTTATTGTGATTTAAGCCACATCGTTTTATAAATGTACACGATTTGTTTATTCTTTACAGTTCTTTTGTTAACGTTATTTCCTCTCATATAATTAATAAATATATATAATTCAAAATTTTAATATCAAATATTATCATTATTATGCTATATACTTATACAAATATAAATATATATGTATTTGTTTCTTTGTTTGTTAATTTCACTAAATTACAAATATTGCAACAATATATTATATTAGAAAAAGTTTCAGCGAGGTATTATGTATTTTCACCTCGCTTGGACTCAAAATAACAAATGCTTTTGTTTTAGTGTCTTGGATGGCCCTTCACTTCATTAGACCACCCAGTTATATCCTCACCATCACCGTACAGTTTTCTGTCACGGACAGTAATACTTTCCATACCAAGTGTGTTTCTTAACCAGGGATGATTTACTAACCCACCCGCATCAGCTCTTTTTCTTGGATCCAAGCATAACATTGGCAATAAGAAATCTGCAATCTGTTTAGCTTCATTAGAATGCATCTTATATTTTTCAGTCAAGACTTCCTCTAATGGCCAATATTTTAATTTCGATATATTTCTTAATTGTTTTTTTGAGTTGAACAATTTCTTGGTATATTTACCATTCTCTAAAAGATAATCAGGGAAGGGACCTAATAATTCTATTATTTGGGCAATATGATCATCATCCTTACCGTAGGAATGACCTTCATCTGGTTCAAATAAGAAATCACCTGTGATCAGTTCAAATATTAGACATGCAGATGACCATATATCAGCACTGGCACCCCATGGTGCTCCAATTAATACTTCAGGAGATCTATATTCCCTTGTTTGAATAGCATTTGTATAATGTTCGTCGTACCAACAAGAATTACCTAAATCTGCAATTTTTATAGCAATTATATTATTATCTGTATCATCAACGTTGAATTTCTTATGATGCGAGGCAGTTGAATCGACTGAAGTAATCTTTGAAAGTTCAAAGGATGATAACGATTGACTCAATTGTTTTTCATTAGTTGGCACAGATGTATTGGAGGAATTTTGAACAGATCCAGGTGAAGTAGTAGTTGCACCAGATGACAAGTCTGTATGTACTGTATTGATGGAATGTAAAAATGGGTTATCTGAAACTTGATTAATTGCATGTCCATTATTAGGTGTCACTGTTCCACTAGGGACTCCCATGGTACTATTATTGCTTGAACTGTTATGACTATGTGTCTTTGACGTGGATAAGAAAGTTTGCCATTGAACAGCCGTGGAACTATTAGAGTGAGAAGAATTCATTAAAAATTGGGTTTTCATTTCATAGAAATTTGAAGAACTAATAGGAGAAGGTAAAGGTTGAGATCCAGTAATTATTGTATTCCTTCTAGGTCTACGACTTGGTACTCTCTTTATAGATATATTTGTCTTTGAACTATTCCTTGAAACGTTCGATTCTGTGAGACTAGTATCTGGTCCTTGGTCTTGAAAAGATGAATCAATTATCGAATGTCGGCTATCTCTTGAAATGGAATGTTGATGTTTCTCCTGAGGACTTGTCACCACGGAGCTTTGTCTTTGTTGTCTCTTACGATCCTTCTTTTCTTTATCCATTATTTCCACCATTTTAACAATAGACTCTACATCACCTATTTCCATCAACACATTTTCTGGTTTAATATCAGTATGAATGACACCGCATATTCTATGCATATAATCAAGACCCAATAATAACTGTTTAGAGATCTGTTTCACATATATCAATGGTATGCCTCTATGTTCGTATTTTTTAATCAACGCTAATAAATTTTCACCAAGGACCTCAAAGACCATCACAATATGCTCTCCGTTAGGTCCATGATGTATGAAATTATCTAATAATGAAAGAATGTGTTTAGCTCCTTCATTCACACCATCATTTTCATGGGAGATTTTCTTTAGGAGTTTAATTTCATCCTGAGCAGCCTCAGTGTATACTTTATCACTCCTCACAATTTTCATAGCCACATGACTATTTGAATGATTATCGAAGGCAAGCCATACAGTAGAAAAATGTCCCCATCCTAACTTTCTCATCAAGATGTAACGGCCAATTTTATATTTTTCTCCTTTAAAAGCAGGATGATACCCACCAGGTTTATAATCTCTTACTGACTCCTCATTCTTTTCATCGCAAGAAGATTCACTGTCGTCGTCTTCTTCGTCGTGGTTGTCTTCTTTTTCCTGATCTTCTCCATCTGCCCGTTGATGTGTTGGAATATCATTTGCATTCGAATTGGAATTCTTCAACGCCAGAGACAATTTTGACTCTGTCGATTCAGGCGAAGTCGCTACAGATTCTCTAGCAAATAGTTCAGTATTTGATGTAGGAGGTACGCTGGAAGTAGTAGTATTCGCATCCGAATTGGTGGAGCCGTCACTTACCGGTCTCGATAAGAATGTTGGATATCTGAATGATGTTCCCATTCTTGAAAGATGTGTGTCAACTGTAATAGTTATCAGTGATGTTTAAGAATCAATCTAAAGAGGGACAACTTTCTCCTCCTTCTGAAAAAAGGGATGTGATATGGTGAATATTTTAAAGAAATAGTTTGATTTTCTTCAAACGAAATGCAAAATGTTGAAATTGGGATGAACTGCAGATATTACACTGATTATTAACTTATCAGCAAAGTAAAAAAAAAAACACTGTGAATAGTACGCAAAATGATAAAATAGGATAGCTTCCAGTATGTCAAAATAATAATAATAATAATCCGTATATTGTATATATTGGGATCAACAACTGATGTCTAAGGGAAACCCGCTAAATACAGAAAAATGATAGGGGTAAAAAAATACAGTACGTTCCCGTCAGTATCTATGGATATTTTATCTTTGGAACTAGAGCTAATATTATCTTGTTTCGATAAATACTTTCAGTCCTAGTTTCGTTTAGCTTCTTGTATTGACGATGGTTCTTTTATTAAGGATTGGGCAAAAAAAAATGATACCAAAAAAATCTAAAAAACAAAAATATTTTTGAAGCCTAAAAATATATATATAGTATTAAAAGTGTGTGAAAATAGTAGGAGCTCTCACAGCGCGCAGATATGTATGACAGGAAGCAAAGCAAAGGTACCTACTTTGTATCAACTGGTAACTCCTTTTCATACAAACGTGTAGATATCTACCTGATAGGTCAACCACCATCAGACAAAGTCTAACCTTTATAAACGGCACACCAGGTGAGCACACCCCTCAACAAACAATCTCTCTTTCTCGTTGCTTCTGCCTGAAGAGGTTCGGAACGCTCTTCCTCACAGTTACCGGACAAAAACGGAGAGCGGCCGAGCGAGCGGGTTTTCGTTCTCTTTGGCTGCGCTGCGAACGGTTCATTTGTTGAGAGGTGGGGGGCTGCTGATTCCATTGTTCAGTAATGTGGGTGAGAACAGAAGATCAGATGATTGTTTGATGTATGTATGGATATCTATATATATGGGTGTTTAGAGAACTAGAATAGACTCGTATTCGTTGGCTTGGTCGACACGGCTAGCTTCCCCCTGTAGATTGGTTATCTCTACGTGAGGCAGCGCTAAGTACCCTGTCTTTAACGGAATCAATGTCACTGAGAATGTATGCTTGTCATGCGGGATCATAAACCGCTTCTTGCCCTGTAACAGCCAGTCGTTGTTGCTCAGTATCTCGAATATGTGGTCAGTGGTCTCATCTGTGGTCGGCCGGCCCCAATTGTGGCTCATATTCTCAACTACAATGTCAAATTGTTGTGGAGTACCCAATTCTGTCGCGATGTGATCATCGGTATCCGATTCAATCTTGTTAAAGCTAACGTTGTAGAATTGTTCGAATTCAGGTAACGTTACTGGAACAATCAATTCTCGAGGGGTTAGGTTTTGGGTGTATTCACTGATATCCCATTCATTTATTTGGACCCCTTTAGTTAGATTCTCTAAACATTTTAACATTTTTGATGTAACTGTCTGATCAGTAGAGATTTTCTTGCAAATGATCTTGTTTAATCGTTTAACAATATCTGATCCATTATCAATACGTATGATCTTCGATTTGTTAAACAATTCATAATCATAACGTAATTGAGATAATATATTACTACTCCAAAATATCTTCCATTGATAGTATTTTTTAAACCATTCAACATTACCTTCTACAAGGATAGAATCAGTGACAAGGCAATCGACTTGTTCCTTTAATGTATTGTAACGAACATGTAAATTGAATATATCAGATGTATTGAACTTGTCCTTCGCATACAATCTATAACAATTCAAACAAGTTTCCTCCATCGAGGGTAATAATACAACAGGATTCTCTGGTTCAAAATTACCAATGATATCGTACTCGTTCTTTCGAATGTCTTCCTTGACGGAAAGTTTTGAGCTATGCAGGATAATGGGTTCTTCTCTCAAGGACGAGGATAATAAAAACTTAAAAAAGAAAATATCTTTCTTGAAGATATCCTCAACTGATACAGACACTGGTAAGAAACATTCTATTTCAACCGATTTCCTCTCAGAGAAACTTCCGTCTTGGTCGTTACGTTCAAATGAAAATTCGAATTCTAATACAAATGAAGTTATTTGCTCTTCTAAATAATATGGGATACTGAAACTACCTTCAGTAATATTATTAATTTCCTTCTTATGAATAATTTCATTATTATTAAAACTAAAGAAACGAGAAATTGAATTATTTAACATTTCTAGTTTCAAGGTTGAATTTTTAAGTCTATTGAAACTATCTATCTTAACCTCCAATAAATTCTCACCAAGTTCTAAAGTCTTTGCTTGTTCCAATCCGATAAATATATTATCAGTAATATATAATTCAAATATTTCGACAATTGGAGCATCACGATTTATCTCGTCACCAATACTTCCTATATCTAATCCAAACTCTTGTAAGAACATCGTATCATGTATCATAATTTCTAAGGAGTTCACTTCAAATTGTCCAAATGTAATATCTTTGGTGGCCAATGTATATTCATAAGATCCACGTTTCAAATTCACATCTTCCAATAAAAATATCACTTTACTTTCTTGACGATTATACTCTCTTAATGTTAATTTGATATATTTTGCCTTTACATCCTCAGGAAATCCAATATTATCAATTTGAAGATTAATAGTATAAGTATTGGCCTCCTTTAGTGAAACTGTCTGGCCAATATTTATATCAAAAAATCCATTTACATTGTAAGTGATATCATCCATTACATTTAATTTTTTCAAGTTCAAAAATTTCTTCCAATATAAGTCTTTATCCTGTAAGTTTGATGATAATTTGATTAAATTCAAGTATGAATTGCATAAGATCGACGATACACTGACAGAAGAGCTATCTAATTCAATATTTTCAAGATTTGGGCAATTCTCAAGAGAATTAGTGAAAATCTTTAATATATGAAATCCGATGACATTCCAGTTAGATTCGACGTAAAATTCATAACATGATATTAACAATGAGACGGCATTCTGGTATTCTTTCTTTTGGTGGTAAACCATACCGATCTCTAATGAAATAATATCAGTTATTCTTTGTCTTTTACTGTCACAATTTTTGTATAAGGATAAAAGTTCTTTGTTATATTCTATAAAACTTTCATAAAATGTATCTTGGTCTTTATATGATTCCTTTTTGATGCTAAATTTATATTTCATTTGAACTTCGGGGTTATCGAACTTCTTATTTGGGAGAGTATAATCTGTTGTCTCTAGAACGCCCCTAATCCAACTATCACGTTTCATTAACAATAACTCAGCTTTCACTTCCGATAACAAAGACATATCACTTATTTTAATTTCGTTCAGATATTTTATCACGGATTCTAAAAACAAATATTTAAATATCAATAAATTTTCACTATTTCGAAATTTGGTTTCAATATTTATCAAAAATTGTTTCGTGAGTTTATAAAGTTTCAGTATCCTTGTATTAATGTTAACCTCCAATGCCAAAAAGAAAAAATCTCTTATAAAGAAATACTTCAACAAATAATAGGTAGTCAATTTATTCTCTTCAGAATCAGCCATTAATATCGAATCATTCTCTGGAATATCAAATGTGAAAGGTATTTCTAACTGTCCCTTGGGTATTCCTTCATCAATAGTACCGGAAACATCAATTTTAATCTCTTTAAGTTCGTTGGATCCTTCTTCCAATAAATTGGCTTTGAAATACAAATCAAATAAATTTTCCTTTATAAATAGCATATCTTTTGCATCTTGTTTGGATTCACCAGTTAGTTTCATATATTTCGTAAGCATAGAATTCAGATAGTTTAATCGTTGTTGGAATATTTCCAAAAAATGCATCTTAAGTTTCTGAGATATTCGATTCCAAAATTCTTCTTTTTCCTTCAACGATTTGTATACAGACTTCAATTCTAATGCCTCAACTTCGGGAAAGTCCTTATTGAATTTCTCCATTATTGTTACAGTTTTAAACAAATTTGAATCTACAACAGTCGAATTTGAATAAAAAAATATTATAGGCGTGCTGGTAAATATCAGCTTCACACCATTGTTTCCGTTGGTAATCGTTTCATTGTGTTCAATCCCAGGTAACCATTCCCTTAGTAAAGGTCTTACTTTAGATCTATATTCTTCAACGGAATTACAACTCACGATGATAGTCCTGACAAAAGGAATATTACTATTTTTTTTATCTTGTTCAGATTGCTTTTCTGCTTCTAAGGATACTGGTAAGGATGTGATTGTTCGTGTTACACCCTTTGTTGATTTCCAATGTATATTTTCTAATGGGAGGATCTGTGAAAACTCATTCTTAACTGATTCAAACAGATCGAATGGATCAAAATAAGAAATATATATTTTCTTTCCTTGTGATATTGACATCTTAGTATACTATTGTAGATGTTAGTTTAAAAGATTTAATTTTAAATTTGTAGTTAATTGTGGAATGGTTTATTAATATTGATATTGATGTTATCAAGTTTGCATTGTTTCCTTGCACGGTAAATAATTGAATTGTATCAATTTCTTTGTTACACTGTAGGTGATTTACTCAATCAATGGTTTACTAACTCCTTCCTTAAATATATTCAATTGAAGTCCCTGAATATGTTCTGATCTAATTTCTAAGAAAGCGATCATATTCTTTTAAGAAATCTTAAGCTGTATCTGAAGTTGTTATTCTTTATGTGTTCGATCAATATATCTCTAACACGACACGTTCGTATTATGTGACGAAAAATAAGGTCATGTCCACTAAGCGATGTCAACATTTGTTTACTATAAACTTAAACTTGAACTATATAAACATGTCAATAGCAATCAAACGAATACAGTAGATAAAATACAAATAAAAAAAAAACAGTCCCTGTATAATAGTTACTATTATAAAGCAAGTGATAGTGTATTATTAATTGACGCAAAGCATTAGAATTTTATGCTCATGAACAATGTCCAAAGATAATAGTGAAAAAATAGAGAAATTGAAATTAACAACGCCAAGACGACATGTTAAGAAGTATATCTCACCATTCCAACATAGAAAAGCTAGTGGGCTAACATTAATGAACAACGGTAGATCTTCTTACAATAAAAACTATAAAGTTAACAAGCGTCCTTTGTCGAACGGACAATACAGACAGTTGGCCAGGGAACGGCAAATAGATAATATCCACCATGACAGTTCGCAAACCTTAAAATGGATGGGATCCTTTATATCTAGAGCTAAGAATGTACTAAAGACATTAAGAGAAGAGGATTTGCAGCTACAAGAACAATTATATGAAAATTCTAGAAGAAAAGAACTACGCAGCATGCATATTCAAAGTATCTTGGATAAAAATATTGATAATTATGAAAGTAAAAGCACTACAGCTTCTTCAGATGTAAAGGAAACTATTGAAACTTCTGCTGATATTAGCAACGACATGAATGAGTTAGAAAATGAAATAAACATATCTGCAAATGATAATGCGTTGGTTATATTGACTGACTCAGAACCTGAAGAAGATCAAATTATAGACGAAGATCAACTTGACATTGAGGAGGAAGAACAACATGCTGCTACTGATGAGAGCCAACCAGTAGAAAAAGAAGAAGATGTGGATATATTTGGTGAAGAAAGTGAATATAATTCCGATCTATCAGCAAATGAGACACCAGAGCTGACCAATTCTATAGAAGAAGCTAACGAGTTACTATCTAGTAACGAGTCAATAATTTATGAAGATGAGGAAGCTGCTGTTCAATTAGATTCGCAAGCTTATGTTTCTCCAAAGGAAGCTCAAGAAGATTCATATGTTGAACATAAGACATCGGAAGAGGGACAACCATCGGAAGAGGAAGATAATATATCTATTGTTGATTCGAACAACTCAGATATGTCACGAGAGGAGGGCGAGGGCTATTATAACGAAGAGGATGAGGAGAAGGAGTATAGTGATGAAGACGAACCTACGTCTCAGCAATATCAAATCAATATAAACATAAATGATAATGCAATGCAATATCCAATGATGTCTCAGGAAACAGTTAATAATAATGACCACTTTTTACAGTCAGATATCCAAAAGATTGCTCATCAGGCAATTTTTGGAAATTCCCATGGACAAGATCACCTTGGTTATAATTCTCAAACTGGGGATAATGGTATATCTAATGAGGAAATATTACACGGAAGTGCGCAATTTTCGTATTCTGAAGGAAATCATGATACCTCCAGTGCAAATTATGAAGATGACTATGACGAAAATGTTTCACAAAGTGATAATAGAACCAACATCTCAGACGAAGACATTGAGGAAGAACCTGAAGTAATATATCAGGTCCATCATGATGAAGAGATATCAAATGTCAGTGGGAAAAATAAGGACACTGAAAAGAAACATGATGATGGAGATGAATCAATTGAAATTGATGTTGAAAGTGAAAACGAAAGTAAGGAAGGCACTAGCATGTCTGATGAATATCATTACGATAGCGATAGTAACCAATTAAATAATGAAATAACTGAAGTATCGAATGAGATACCACATGGGGGTCAGTTATCAGGTGGTGTGCACTCCATTGCGGACATCATATCATCCATCCCCCACAATATTGTTCTTCATTATGATAATCCTTCGATTCCACTTGAATCAAACGAAAGGGAAACAAACACTGAGGAAAATATTGATGGAAGTATAAATATTGGTGAAGATAGAGTTGTTGACAACTTACCTCTCTATAGTGATAAGATATACCACGAAGTTCATGAAGAACATCCTGAAGATCATTTAGAAGAAGATGACGATCAACAAGGATATTCTAATGTCTTATTAAATAATATTTCGAATGCAGAACAAGAATCACAGAGTTTTAACCCTGTTGTTAAACAAGTGGTGGGAGAAAGAAAAGGAACTAATGGAAATAACACCCTCGGAAAAGCTGAAACTTCTAACCAAACGCAGGATATATTTTCCAAAAACACATTGGAACATTTTGATGTAGAAAACGATGAAATTATGGAATCTACACATGAGCAAAATGAACAAAAAGAAGCATCCCCTGTTTCTGTTGCTAGAACCCATACGCATGCTAGTTTTGTCAACGATGACACTTCTATGTATTTTACGGTTGACGAAGGTAATACCAGTTTATTAGATACACATGTAGGTCCAGTCGTTGAAGATCATCCAACAAATACAGAAGAAAAATATAAAATTGAAATTTCAGAGTCTATTTATGACTTGTCTGATGTTAACCAACGTTCTGTATTAGGTGAAAATGACCTTAAATATTCATCTCCCTTTGGTTCAGATCCATTTTCAGTCCGTAATAATGTGAGTGATGTGAAATCACTTATAAAAGAAACATTACGTTCGATTACTGAAACTGAAGGCACTGCACAAACTCACGTGAGCCAAATGAAGGATGACATTCAGGTAAAAACTTCTATTGAAACATGTGTTATCAAGGATAATGGCGATATCGCTTCCAAAGACGAAGTTAACAACACCGATGTAAACGAACTTCCTCTCACGCAATATAATAAACTGGAAGTTGATAATTTAAATGAAGGACATTTTCAAAATTTCACATACATTCCTCATGAAAAAGATGATTCACAAGTAGTAGAAAATGCGATTCCTCAAGATGAAAATGTACTAGTTTCTTCTCTTTCCGATAAAGAGGAAGAAACCCATGGTATATCCCCTCAGAAAGATATGCTTATTTTGTTAGCGGATGTTGCACAAAACGAAACAGCTGAGAAAAAGCGTCTAGCGAATGATTCAAAAGCTAAATTAGAAGCCCATTCACAACTAATTTCAGTGGAAAATTCAAAAGGTGTAATTCAAGAATCTGATGAAGGTGATAATGCAGCACATTCTGTAACATCAAGAAATGTTATTTCGGAACAAATCGAATATGATAGAAGCAGTGACATTAATATTGAAGAAGATGAAATAGATGATACTTCAAGTGATGCAGATGATGAGATGATAACAGCTCTACAAGATGAGGAAGAAAATTATGATATATCACATTCCGAGCACAATTTGGAAATTTTACCTGGCGAAGGTCAAGCTATGAGTCTCTCGCCTGAACATTTGAACTCACCGGCGTTTCACATTTTGGGGGAGGCAGTACATGCCACGAATATTCTTGAAGCTCAAATTGAATATCCAACTCCAATGGAAAGTGCTGCTTCTAGCGATATAAGAAATGAGCCTGCTCCGTTGGAGGATAACAATGACGAAGAAATACCGACAGCAGACAATGGTATTATATCCGAAGAACCAATTGAGGAACGTGAATCATTTACATCTTTAATGTTTGAAGATGAGAGTTCTTCTGGAAATAAAGAAGGTGGTGATGATATTGATGTTGAAATGCTAGACTCATCCGATGTTGATCTTGGTGAAGAATTACATGAGCAAAAGAAACAGAATATTGTACAAAAAATATTTAGAGCCCCTTTGAATACAATTAAATATATTGCTGGTAACTTTCACCGTATTACTAATGTTACAGGGAACTTTGTTGATGAACTCAATGCTTACCCATCTGAAAGTGATGCTAATGGTAGCAACAATGAAGGTTCATCCCAAAATACAGGTGATAGCGATAGTATGGGTGGGGATGATATAAACGGCTATAGTTCTGGAGAATTAGACCCAAAATTGTTAATTACTTATGGTTCAGTTTTAGATGTCAAGGATGATTCATTGCAAATTGTAAACCCAGACAATACTCATAACAGGGATGCTTATGAGGATGTTGAAATTCTTGACGATACAGTAAGCGCAATACCTGAAATGTTATACCAATTGAATAAACAAGACACTTCCAATAAAAATGGAACACCCATTGCAGACTTTACAGAAACTTCTGAAAAGAATACTAGTCCTCAGTTATCCCATAAAGAATTAACAATACATTCATTTGAACACTCTGAAGGTATTGACAATGCAGCAATATCAACTGATGTTATCAGTAATGATAATGGTGGTACCCAATCTTCGATGGATTTAGACTCTAACCCTCCCTCGGATGTGGAATTAAAAAATCGTATACAGATCTTAGAAAAGGAAACAAAAGATGAGTTGATACAGAATAATCAAGACAGCGTTATTAAACCTAGCAGTGGCTTTGAAAATACGTATTCCAACGATCTTAAACAAAGTATTAATATTCACAGAAGTAATGTTGATAATAATAAGGAGCTGGGTGATCTTAACCCAGGTAGAAGTGTCATTGGTGATGGTACATCGGTGGAAGGCCCATTTGGCAATCCAATAGATAACACAACTACCGATGAAATTGAAAATGAAAACATTAATACTAGTCACTCTACAGAGGAAAGTACAGCTCATGAAGAACTAACAAATACAGATCTTAGAATAAACCAAATCTCCGACGAAGATACAGCACATGAGAACACAGCTAATGAAGGACATGTATCTAATGCCGAGGATGAAGATATGGAGCAGGCATTTGTAATAAATCCTAACGTTACCGATGATAGTACTGCGAACGAAGATAATGTTAATGAAATTAACCCTAATCACAATCTAGAACAAGGTAACAACCAAGAGATGGAGAGGGAAAATACTACTTCACATGTAACTACCTTACCAACTTCTTATTTGGAAAGTGATATGGCAAATTCTAATCAAGAACAGTCTGCTATTGTTTCGACTGCAGAAATGTCAGCTTTATCAGATGTATCCGGCGATGATTCAAAATATTATGGCACCAGGAATGTTCGAATTACTCTCAGCTCTCATTCTAATGATGAAGAGTGCAAAAGCGACAACAGTCAATATAAGTTAGAAAAGGAGCCAGAAGTTGATATGGATGATTTTGCAATCAATAATCAACAAGAAAAGAGATTAAATTTCTCAGCTCCGCTAGCTAATGAAGAAGAATTAACAAAAAATAACGATGAAATATCTAACAACCATATATCTACTGACGATCTAGAGGTGATGAGAGATGTCAAGGAACAAAATGTAACTGACGCATCTGATACATTACCGAAAGAACGATCTCTAATGGATATTAATGTCATACATCTCGATGATAATGAAAATCAGGTTCAATCATTACCAGAAAATGTATCTAATATACTTGAAATTCAAAATGGTGATACTGATCATTCAAATAATGATGTAGATGATAATGATATGCAAGATAAACCAACTAAGGAAGAAAATCATGAATCAAAAGAGCTGGATAATATACTCGCCCCATCTATAGGCAATTATTTGATGCATAGGACAGAAGAACTAGATAATTCAATTGACAAAAAGGAAAACGAAAGGTCTATTAATATCGATGTAGAAACTAATCAGCCTGATAAATTAGAGAAAAATGAGAACGAAGAAGTAGATGTTCAAGTTTATGAACAAGTAGATGAAGAAAACGTAGAAGAAACGAAAACAAAATTACCACAAGAGTCGGAAACAGGACAAATTGGAGCACAAAAAGATATTCATGATGACAAAGTTAACCATGAACGTGAAGGAGAGCACTCTCTGACTACTGAAGATTCCAAAGAGGATAAACCATCCAAAAAGAAAAACAAAAGGAGAACAAGAAATTTCCGGAAGAGGAAGAGAGCCATAACTGATAACTCTTCTTCTGAGGGGCCATTTAAACGAACCAGAAGAGGCGTTCTGGAGAAGAAAAATGTCTTTGAAAGAAGAACAAGATCCTCGAAAAAATGAAAATGGACTAGAATATATAATTTGTAATAGTTAATTAATTAATGTACATGAATTGAAATATTAACATATTTTTCTTAGAAGGTTCTTCTACTAAACAAATATCTGCGTGTTGTATTATAATTGTATAATCAAACGACATTCGAAATTGGAGCATACATCGTATTAAAAAAACTAATTTTAATATTGAACATGAACAATTTCTCCCTTTTCATTTTAGCCACCGGAGTTGTTATTAGTTTCAACAATATCGTTTAAAATAATTTTGATTTAGGACTGCTAGTATCGGGCGACTCCTTTCGTATAATGAACTTTTCTAAATCCGGAAAAGCGATCGATGAAAACGAATTTCGAGAATTATCTTAAAGATTTTAATTATAAAAGAACTGATCTTTCAATATTGAAATAAATGAAAAATCAGTCTTAGTGGGTCAATGTGTATTGACAACAGTTAATTAAGAAAAGATGAAAGGCGTGAGGGCTTTCAGTGCTCCAGGTAAAGCATTGCTAGCTGGTGGATACTTAGTATTGGACCCCAAATATGAATCATTTGTAGTGGCGCTATCAGCACGTATGCATGCGGTTGTGTCTTCGACAACAGTTCCAGATAATGATAATAAGTTAATTATAAATGTTAAAAGTTCTCAATTTAATAATAATGAATGGAACTATTCTGTATCAAAAGATCAAGGTTATGATCCTATCGAGAGAGATGGTAAATCCAATCCATTTATAGAATTCACAATCTCCAACGTTTGCAATTATTTTTCTGATAATGAATCCTTTGATAACAAAATCACGATTGAAATATTTTCAGATGCTGAGTATCACTCTAAAGAAAACTCATTGATTATGAGTAACAACTATATGTCATTTCCTTTCCATAAGAAGAATATTCAAGATGTTCCCAAAACTGGGTTGGGATCGTCCGCAGGGTTAGTGACAGTACTGACAACCGCCTTGAGCTCTGTCTTTTTAAAGGACTTGGATGTGTCAAGTATAAAATATCAACATACAATTCATAATTTAGCACAGATTGCTCATTGTCAAGCTCAAGGGAAAATTGGAAGTGGATTTGACGTTGCTGCTGCTACCTATGGTTCCATTATTTATAGGAGATTCCTGCCAGAAATAATATCTCAATTACCTGAATTATCTGTGGATAATTTTGAAAGATATCACAATGCGTTAAAGGATGTAGTTGATACATGTAATTGGAAAATGATAGCATCTCCAACTAATTTACCTAAAGGATTTAAACTTATTATGGGTGATGTAAATACAGGTTCTGAAACAGTTAAACTTGTGCAAAAAGTCAAGAAATGGTATGCCAATAATCAACCGCACAGTTTAGATGTATATAATTGTATTGATGAAAACAATATGAAGATTATTCAGCTTTGCAAAACATTGGATTCTTTGAGTAAGACCGATACAGTATATTATTCACAACTGTTGGAAGGTCTTTATAATGGATATACTGATGACTTCAAGGAATTGAAAGAGTTTAAGCATGCTTTTTTGACAATTAGAAAGAACTTCCGTTTGATCTCCAAGGAATCAGGTGCAGATATCGAACCCTCTATTCAGACGGAGCTTTTAGATAATTGCATACAGATAAAGGGTGTTTTGGCCGGAGTTGTTCCTGGAGCAGGTGGTTTTGATGCTATTTCATTGATTGCAAGTGAAAATACAGATATTGAATCAGAAACTTCTGGATTAACTGCTTTTTCTAACGTTTCATGGATGAAACTAAAACAGGCAGAATGTGGGTTGATGGAGGAGGACCCGCAACATTATATAGGTTTACGAGCTGCTCATTAATAGTATTAATATACATATTCGTATTTGTTTAAGCACTCTTAAACTGTTAGATTTACGGCAAATGAGGTACCATCCAAAAAAAAAAATATTATTAAATGTATGTATGTTAATGTGAATGTATAAGTTTATGGTATGTACTCCAAAAGAAAGTCATTGGTACTTAACGATTATTCATCGAAACTTCGCAAAATTTGTTTCATCTGCTTGGTATTGAGTAAAGTTTTTAATGGAGTCGGTATAAAACCGAATTCTTCAGCATCTGGTAGAATATCTGGTCTGTATTTGTCTTCGATAGTTGTTAAAGTCCAATCTGAATTTCGAATAGGGCGTTGTATAGGAGGAACTAGACTACCTGTTAGTTCAGTGATAGCCAATCCAACATCCTCGTGAACAGGTGCACCTTCGATATTCTCGTTTAAGTTAATTCTTGGGTTATTTGCTATTCTAGTCGAACGTCTTTCAGAAAGCCTTTTCTGTGAAGCAGATTCCGTTATATGATGTTGTGTAACAGTCTGCCTCCTTCTTTTGTTTGGTGGTGTGAATGGATCCATTTGACTAGAGGAGTCTTGCCATTCATAATATTTTTCATGTTTCCTATAGTAATCCTGATAAGATTCATATTTTAAAATAGATATTTCAGAGGCCATACTTTGAAGAGCTTTATTAATCATATTCGTTTTCCGCTGCAAACTATGCAGTCGTACTAGGTATCCACCATCACTCATTGAAGTTACAGTTCTTTTTAGGATTTATTTAATGTTGAGTATGAGTGGGGATATCTTCTGTTCGTTATTCACTTTTCAAACTTTGCTCTTTATATCCATGATATGATATATGTCTCAAATGTCATCGTTAATTATCTCTCTTCATTTTACAAAAGCTGATTTCTAAACATCGCTTTTCTCGTAAAAAGGTAATTGCGACAGTAATAACATCCAAAATGAATTTTAGAGATAAATATATATATAATGAATATTTAAATAATAAAACAGTAAATAAATAGTAGTATTTATATCTTTAATTATTGTCTAATAGAACCTGTTCATCTGTTTCAGTTGCGCTCGCTTCTGTAGTTCTCTGTTTTAATTGATCTTGCATGTATTTCTTTAATGCCCATCCGAATATTATAGTCATAGTAACTAACATTAGATTAACTGGACGAGGGTCCATGTTAAAAATCTCATGAGTCCATTGATCTAATAAATTCTGTGATATAGAAAACACACCACATAGACATGTTAATAGTCCGTAAACTGTACCAAATGTGGTGAATCCAAACACCTTTGAACAGTAGTCAGACACAACTGTATAGTAAAACGGTCTGTAGACGGCAAAAAGCATAATTCCAGATAAATTAATAATAAAAGAATGTGTTATTACTCCCGACAAACCTACGAGGGCACTGATGTAAACTAAAAGTTTAATAACATTTATAGTTGTCGTATTATCTAGAATCAACCCAATAAATGGAACTGCTCCAACTCCTCCTATTGGTAACAAAATATCAAATATATGATTTAGAGTTACAGATCTTTGTTTGTCATCCAACAAATATTCCTCCTGTGCTCTTATGGTTGCTATGAAGTAGTTGATTCTAACCATTATGATGGCTGCAAACAGTACCATTAAATAAAACCAAGGAGATTTTATTTGTTCTAATGCGGTATTCTCATGTAAAACTCCAAATATACCGCCTGTGCTTTCCTTAAGTCTTGATTCTGCAACAATTTCCAAGTTTGATTTGCGACGTTCAAGAAGCGGTTGATCTTCATTGAAAACTTCGGTATAATTATCTGGTGTTACCTGTCCAACTTCAGTCACAGTTTCATCATTGATCTCATTACCGTTTTCGTCTAATTCTTCAACTCCTAATTTTGCTACGGTTCCAAGTGTTTTATACGAACTTCGAGGCATAATTGTGATCTGACAGATAAGGATAAAGCATGGTACTATCATATATAATTTGAAAAATCTGGACAGAGAAAATTTATTTTGAGAAGTTTTATATACCAGACGATACATCAAAAACAATGCTGATGAACTGTCAAAAGAACCTGTTAAAATGGCTAGAATCGAACCAGATCTCTTTGGGAAACAGTTGGCTAACTGGAAGCATGATATGAATACGAAAGGTCCTGCAATTGCAAGTGCCATATAACCTAGTAAATATGGATCAATGTAAAATTTTAATATACTAGCATTCGTAAACATCAAGCAACCTGTAAATAAAGTAAATGACCCAATCAAACCACATATACGGGGTCCCTTTCTATCGAGGATATATCCCACAGGCAAGGCCATCATATTAGTTAGGGCAGAACTGATAGTAAACATCGAGTTCAATTTCATATCTTGGTCTTGGCAAGGTTCATCATGATTCTTACTGTATTCCGAGGGACACAGATCGGCGTATACTCCCTCTTGGATCAACACTGGTTTTAGGGCTGCAAAACCAAAAATAATCCCTGAAGCCAGTAAGCACCAAATACAGGCACAAACTATTTGGATGATATGTCTCGAATGAGGTGTATTCATACTTCTAGAGCTGTTAATCTCCTTACTTCTGTTTTGAATCCATCATTCGACACATGTTATATTACATAATGTAAGCAGCTTTCGCTTATTTTTTAGGTGAAATATTTTCAACTTTAAAATAATAGCAAATTTGAGCCATACGAGTTTTTATTCTATCTATTTATGTAGTATATATATCAAGTGAAGTCTACGGGAAAGGTGAGGAGATGTATATGGATGATGGCCTATTGAGGTATTACGTCAATTTAATTCTCCACTTTCGTTACTATTCGTACCCATTCAACGACTTTCTTAACAAACCCTCTGGAATTTGGAATAAAATGGCCACCACCATGTACCAGTATTGTTCTTGAGTCTTCAGAACACGAGTTATATAAAGCCTCTATCTTCCAAGGTTCAGTAATTGTGTCTAATTCACCTTTTACGTGTAAGGAAGAAATGCCGATAATATTATTGTTATATTGCTCTTGATAAACTTCCGGTACAAATCTAAAACCACTGAAGGACATGAAGAATTTCAGTGGAGGTTGTTCGTCAAGAGTCAGTCCCAGTAAACTATTGAAGTCCGTCATGAGATACCCTGTAACACCTGCACCTTGACTAAAACCGACAACACCTTCGAATGGTCCATTTTCACAAACATAATCATGTAAAAAATCAATTGTAGTTTTAGGTAAAAAGTATGTATTATTCACTTCGTCATTTTCAATCCAAGCAACTACTTCATTAGAATTGGGTTCAGTGGCAACAGATTCTAGCAGGTCAGTAGGTACATCTGCAGCTGGGTATCTATTTGGTGCTGTCGGGTAAAATAATTCGTAACCTAGTCCTTCTAGTGCTGTACGAAAGTTCTTAGTTTTGGAGTGAAAATATGGACCCGTCTGAGCTAGTCCATGTAACATAAGTATCCTTTTAGTCATTTTTATTAGTGTTATCTTGTTGTATTGTTATATCGGTTTATTTGTGTTGTGATTGACTAAGATTCAATTTTTTACATATGCTACTTATTAGAAATGACCTCTTTTTTGTCGTGTCACTTCAAAAGCATTAATTGATAATAGTTTCGATATAATTGTCATTTTGTTCTGTCATGAATATAGAAATTACAAAAGAGCTCTAATGCAACCTTGGAGTGTTTATTAGGTCGATATATGATGATATATATAACTGTTATGAATTATCTTTTTTTACGTGCTAATAACTGAGCTAAGACGTCTGTTTTGGGAGTCTTACTAGATGTTTTTGATTTAGGTTTGGCCTTCGTTTGAGAGACTGTCCTCTTATGATTTTGTTCATTCGGTTCAGATCTGCCCTTCTTCGATAGATCTCTTGGGGAAAATTCCGAATCCTCATCATTATCTTCAGAACTATCTGCATCTATTATTATAGCGTCCTCGTCACTATCTTCTTCTTCAGATATCACAATTGAATCTGATATAGGGGACTTTTTGGCCTTAGTATTTCTTTTGGGAGTTGCTATAATTTCTGTTGTACTTGTCTTTAGTCTAGCGTCAAAGGAATGTTTGAAATCATCATTCGTATCATCCATGATATTGTCTAAATTTTTAATATTTTGTTCAGTTGAACGTTCAGTAGTGGACAGTTCGTGTTCACCCGTTTTCAAGTTTAATGATGAAGAGTTATTTACTATGTTAGCCTTCTTAACTTCCTTGACTAAACTTTTAAAATCATCAATATTTTCGTTCTCAAGAAAATCCTTATTGGAGGACAATATCTGAACCTCATTCTTTATTTCATTATTAATAAATTCCTTCAAGGCAGCCTTTTCATCTTTGTCAACAAATTTCTTAACAGCCTCATTCATTCCCACTTCTGGTAGTAACGATAATTGCATCTTCCCAAGTAACTCAGAAATTAGAGTATCTACATGTAATTCACCACCATTTGCATTCAATACTCTTTGGACATCTGATTCATTGAATGATATATCATTAGAAGATTTCTTTTCTATCGTTGAAATTGTGTTCTTTTTCTTATAGAATTGTACAACATTGTTTGTATTTGCGACACGTCCCACAAATCTGTTGCTAAACCTTCGAGGGTTTTCAACTTGGTAATCTAAGGTGGATGCACCTTTCTTACCGGATGCACTATAATTAACACGCAATCTTATCAGCGGTAACGGCAACGTCGAAAGCAAATCTTCTTCTTCTTCTTCTTCTTCTTCTTGATCAAATGTATTACCTAATCTAAGCTTAGTCTCTTCATTAGCTTCCTCGATCATTTTTTCAACTTCAGATATCAAGTATTTAGAAATAGCATCTTTGTCGTGGGGTCTTAAATAGTCAACATCTTGTAAAGTAATATTCTTCATTTTAAAGGTTCTGATAGTATTTAATGATATTTTTGTCAATTCAGGTGGTTTGCCATCTGTAATCTCTAAAATAAATACAGATTTTGGTTGTGCTTCTGCATCACATAGGGAAGTTGCAACAGATGACCCCGGTTGGAGAACGTCGAAATTCTTTGTTGGATTGTGTACTAAATGCGGTATACATTCGTGTTCATGGCCCCATATGACCATATTAAGGAAATCTGGGAGAAATTGTTCTGGTAAGAAAGCTGTGTTTGTATGACCTGTGTGGTTTTGGTGAACACACATTAAATTGAACCATTCCGATTCACGAACAGTCGGGACTTCAAATTTAACACCACCTTCTTTAAATGTCCTGAATAATCTTTCATCTCTGACAGATGCCAATCCATATAAGGCTAGTTTTGTATTACCCTTCTGAAATAATAACGGTGATATCGTAATTTTATCAGATTCTAATACTTTACCATAATGGTTCATTAATCCACTAACATGTAAAATATCCATTGGACACAGCAATGCATCACCTGTGGCATCGTCGTGGTTACCTGATATTCCAAACATAGGTATGGATATATTGAAATTGGGATCTTCATAATTCACGTTGGAGAATTCGTTGTAATGAAATACCCGTGCTGGATCACTCAGCAATTCTAACTCGCAGGGACGATCACCCATACACGCCAATCTCAATGACTTGAGAACTTGATATAAAGATTTCTTGCTAGGTTTATTAGTGTGAAACAGGTCACCAGATTGTAAAATCATGTCAACGTTGTGGGTTTTGGCTAGCATCATGATTTCATGAAATGTCTTCCAACTGTCATCACCAGTGATGGGGTCGCTCTCGTTGTAACCTACATGGTTGTCGGTGGTAAGAAGGATACGGATGGTGTCTTCACTTGGGATATCCATTATTCCCAATATTATTATATCTTTATGTTATTGGACGTTCTTGTGTTGTATATATAGTGTACTGAATTGGATCGTTTTTACGATGCCCTAAATAGTATGGTGCAGCATTTATTTAGCGCTCTATTTTCAGAATGTACTTCCATTAAAATTGCGATTACAAGATTACTGAATTCTGAACCTGCAGGGTCGATTATCTCGAGCTACATAAAATATCGAAACTGGGAATATATTGATTACAAACTCGTATATATCCAGGTATGATCAGAGTATTTCATCACGAGTTGTCATACTTGTGATTCTGCGTATTGTTTAGCTGAATCTCAGGTGTATTTAAAACGATGAAAGTATTAATATTTGATATTCTACAAAATAGTTAATACTAGCGTACATTATTGAATGATAGAGAATTTTGTCTTGTTCTAAATGATTTTTACTCTCACGAAATGATTTGTAAACCATGTCATAAAATTACTGAAATTTTTCTTGCCTACATGAAAGGTACCTTTATTTTCCTTTGCGACGTCGAACGTTGTGGTTATAAACAAATGACACATCGGATATTAGATAGTATATCTTTTAAAGTGTTTCGGTTGTTTACATAGGATATTGACTAATTGTATTGGTTTGTAATAGAACTTATTAACAATTAAGTGTATTTTAGCCTAGAAATGCTTAGATATACCATCCTTGGGACTAAGGTCATGTTTGCTCCATCGAAGATACTGGTAAGGACTTTATTTGAGTCGCCTATATTAAGAAATAATAGTTGCAAAACATATACATTCAATGACATCAAGCATTTAATAGAAAACCCTTTATCAGATAAGATACTGGTGGATGTTAGAGAACCAGAAGAACATTTAGAATATGCAATCCCAACATCTGTTAACATTCCAGTGAATACAGCACCTGGTGCATTGGGTCTTCTGGCTGAAGAATTCCAAAAGATGTTCAATTTCGGAAAACCTGAGACCTCGAAGGAATTGGTCTTCTATTGCAAGAGCGGAACTAGAGCCAAAGCTGCAGAAGAACTGGCCAGGTCATACGGATATCAAAATACCGGTATATATCAAGGTTCTGTAACAGATTGGTTAAAGAAACAGAGTCACAAACTCAGTTCAAAAAACTAAGTAATGTTAACCTGTTTTATCTTTTAATGATAGAAATAATGTATCGATAGACATCACAGAAGAGAGGGGAAAGAAAGACTAATATATACATGTTGATAAAATAATTTATAGATATAATTTACAATGGAATCATTTTCTTATTTAATGGATGTCCAAAAGGAACAAGGAACAATGTCAATTTCCCTAGTCAGTATGAATATGTATGTTGTTGTTTTAATATTCCATAGGTTTAACCTATAGTTGAATATAAATGGGAATAATCTCAGTGGTTTTCAATTGTTTCCTTCAATCTCAGTTGTCTGGAGTGACCATCTAATTTATTGGCAATTTCCATGAAGGATAACACTCTTGGATCGACACTATCTTCTTTCTTATCCTTGTACACCACCTTAATTATAGGTTCCTTGGTAGATGTACTATTCAGTAATTCATTCTCGATCTTTGTACCCATTATACGTTGTCTTGGAGGTATTGATGCCAGAAATAACCTTGCTGTCTTGGCTATTTAAAAAATTGAAAAGGGGATAATAATAGGGAAATAGATTGTATCGAGTGGAAATACACATCTCAAATATCTATTCATATATCCTCATAAAAATAGTTAGTAAATTTATCAAATAACTGTACCAAAAGGATGGTGAATTGGGGGGGGGGGGACGGATATAGAGTGTATCTTTCCTCTTCCCTCATACGCTTTCGATGAACATACCTTCTTTTCCGAATGGATTAAATCTAACCACCACTTTAGTAAAATATTTTGTAAGCATAACTATTTAGTATATACTTCAACGGGATCCTCTAAGAGTTTGTCTACTTCTTATTTTTGAATCTTTCTGTCTAGTTATAGCAGACCATTTATGATATTCCTGTGTATATAAAGTTTATTATATGTCCTTCCTCATATATATTTCAAATTTGGTGATTCTATGCGCTTTTTGAGTGGTCCTCGGGTTCTTAAGAATTCGCGATCACGTGCAGTATGCCCAATTGGTTTCGAATTCATAGGTACATAATTGAATAATTGCAACATGAAACAAAGAATATATAGGTTTAAATGATCATATGGTTCTAGTGTGAGTCGCATTAGGTCACTTCTTAATATAACTGTCATTATATTATTTTAATTGCAAACAATATATAGATATAGATATAGATATGTATATAAATGAAATGAAAAGGTACTGAAATTTAATTTCCTGTTTCGTATCTTCCACCAGCAGTGACGAAAGTCTTCAAAAATTCATTGATCTTAGTAAACTCGGCATCTGTAATCTTAGTCTTAGATTCATCGAAGTTTTCAGTTACTCTGTTCACTGTAGAACCACTTGGAATTGGAATGAATTTACCTTTTGGATAATCAGCAGAGAAGGACCAACGTTTGATCCAACCTAGAGCTAATTGTGCTAGGGTTAACTTGTTTGAAGCATCTCTCTTATCGACAACTTCATTTTGCAAAAAGTCAATCAATTCAAAGTTTTGTTTTAAGGAATCACCTTGAAATCTTTTCAAAGCCAAACGGAAGTCACCTGCTGGGATATCCTTTAACGATTTGATGTTACCAGTCAATAGACCTCTACCTAATGGAGAATAGCAGATTGTGACTAAGCCAAGATCATTATTGACTTTGGCGACGTTGTTATGAAGAATATCAGTACTAAATAAAGACAATTCAACTTCAACACAGGTCAAATATTTACCCCAATCCTTAGCAATGGCTTGAATTTCTTCAGCAGTGACTTCACTCAATGAAATACCACTAATTATACCTTCTTCGACCAATTCAGAAAGAGCTTTGAAGGATTCGTATGGATAAACTTCACCTTCTTTACAGATTGTTTTATCTAGTCTAGCGACTTCAAAGATATCAATAACACCACCAATTGCATCAACAGAATCTCTTACACTAGAGATAACATCGTCGTATGAACCTTTTGCAACCAAAGAGACCTCGTCGATACCACCTTTGCAAGAGACAATAACTTGAGATCTCAATTCTGGATATTTTTCAAAAAATTCTTTAACGTAAATTAGATTGATCTTATTTGGACCATAGAATTCACCGACATTGAAGAAGGCTTTACAATTTTGTTTTTGGGCAAATTCAATCACTTTATGCATGGATTCAAATGCAACTTCAAGTGGAGTGGGTTCAGCTTTCCAAGTTAAGGACATTAGACCATAACCGGTTTGGATCTTATCTAGATCGGCCTTCAATTGTGGGACTTTGGACATTGTAGAGGTGAACGAAAAGAGGAGAGTTTGGATAGTAGTAGTAGTGTGTATACTTTAATACGTATTGTTTTATTACTTTATAACTATAATGGAAGCGATTGAACGAGATGGAAAAAGGAAAAGCAATATCATCTCATACCTCCCCTTTTATATAATCCAACTTGAAAATATTTCACACTTCTCAAATGAGTCTCTCTCTGTTTCTCTCTTTCCGTCTCCCCTACAAAAGGCAGAAATTTCACGATGGGCAATGTTTCATATCTCCGAAGCCAGAAATCGGTCTTCGCTTTCAAATTTCAATATGTCGGCCGATTCGTAAATTTCAGTATATTTCGGGTGGGACATTGTGGGTCAATTAATATTGGTTGACTGTGAGAGGCTTCTCATTCGGAGATGAAAGTATGGCTTATATTTTTGGTCGAATTTCGTCCGCGTGTGGGACGGAAATTGCTTATATGATTAGTCTCGGCCGACTCTTCAGATTTGGAAAATACATGTTAGTCTTATATCCGTCAAACGCAATATATAAGTTGAGATGGCATTTTCGGCCGAATATAGAACGAATAAGAATATAAAAGATCTTATTTAACCATTGTTTTGTTCATTTTGTAGTTACTATCAAATTGGTAAGACTGGTGTCTTATCTATCGGTTTCCATTCTGAAGTTACGTGTGATACATAGACTATTTACTATTGTTAAGTATCACGGTGGACGTGATAAGGAGAACCTTGAGTAGTTGGGAAAATCAAGACATCTGCAATAACAGTGTTCGCCTTTCTGGATGTAGTATATACAATTAAATCAGCAACATCATCGGCATATAATGGGTGTGCACCGGTGTAAACTCCAGAAGCACGCTCACTGTCACCTTTGTATCTTACCAAGGAAAATTCGGTCTCGACGATACCAGGTGCAATTAGAATAACTCTAATGTTTGTATCGATTAATTCCTTTCTTAAACTTTCGGTGAATGCACGAACTGCAAATTTAGTAGCACAATAAATAGATCCAGTTGGGTATGCCTCTCTACCTGCAACAGAACCTAAATTGACAATATCCCCAGAATTCTTCTTTTTGAAAATTGGAAGAATGGCTTGTGTAATGTTGATTAGACCAATGACATTGGTATCCATCATACCTTTAATATCATCAATATCAATATCACCGACTTTGTCAGAACCTAATGCCTTACCTGCATTGTTAACTAAGATATCAATGTCCTTGAATTCCTGAGGTAAATTGTCTAAGAATGGTTTGATAGCTTCGGTGTCAGTAACATCCAATTTATTGATGTATATCTTGGCATTTGGATATTCCTTCTCGGCTTTGGTTTTCAATTCTTGCAATTTTTCTAATCTTCTAGCACATAAGATCAGTTTAAGATCACCATTCGAAGCGTCTAAATATTCTAGTGCTGTGGCTTGACCAATACCAGCAGATGCACCAGTGATGAATACAGTTTTTCCAGCTAATCTTTCAGCAGCCCTTCTACCTTGAGACATATCGTTCGGGTTTTTTTTAGATTATTATTCTTCTTTGACAGACTTAATTACGTTGTTGTATTGATTCAATTGCAGAAGTTAGTCTTCCTCACCCCCTCTTTTTATATATATGTTTCACCACCAATTGTTAATTTTTTTCCTTTTTTTTAATTTTTCAGGAAATTTAGATTGTGTAAAATCGTTATCACAACAAATATAGAAAATGATAAGATAGCATAACAAAATACCAATGGTAAGATATGTAGAGCATATATTTGGTGAGACGACTCTACAATAATAACCACATTACAGATTATACCAAAAAATGATTTAAAAGAATAGTAGTAACTATATATGTTTATGTAAATGTTATATTATTGTTTATTTATCTAATATGTGTGCTTCTGCCCAGTGGGTTAAGTTATTCCTCGCTTGGCTTTATGGATGTGGGTTGCTGTGGTTCTTCAGATACGTCAGGAACAACAGTTGGAGCTACTGGTTGGATAATTAATGGATTAGAAGAGTATTTTTCATTGAATTCAGTGAGATCGAGTGGCTCAGAATCATCTGTTAATTCCTGATATTTCTTAATCAAATGCTCCTCCAATTCAAGTGCGTCCTTGTAAATTATTGAATCTTCAGTATTGTAGATCCTTGCATTGGCAAAAATTAAATGGAAATCTTCAACAACTTCCTTTATGGAATTGTATGCAAAGGTTTCGATAAAGTTGTTGACATCCTCATATCCTAGTGGATATTTAATTAAAAGATAATAATCGGGATATAATAGTCTTGACGGCTTAACCAAAAATATGTCAGACAACCGTCTATCATTTTCGTCAGTATAGTCTAATATAAATTTGTACAACTCTCTAGCTTGTTCGCTTATCTTTTCTCTTTCTTCCAAAGTTGTCTTTTCGTTGTCGGCAACTCTAACGTATTCCAAACCATTACGAATCTTAGGTGGGCGTCCACGTCCACGTCCACGTCCTCTGCCTCTTCCACGTCCACGTCCACGTCCACGTCCTCTACTTGAGGTTCTTGCAGATTTAATAGATGTCTTACCTGCAGTGTGAGGTTGAATGGTACCAGAAGTATCTGTGATGGTTTCACCGGTTACGTTATCACCAGTAGTAGTGGTATCTGCAGCAGGTTCTTCGACCCTAATTTTTTTAGGTCTACCACGAGGTCTAGGTGCTTTACGTTTCAATGACTCGGGTATTTCTTCTGGTTCGTTTTTGTGAATATCATTATGAGTTTCATTCAGAATATCATTATGTGAATCATTATCTTCTAATTTAAATTCGTCATTAGTCTTTACATTATTATCTTCATCTTCATCATTATCATTATCATCGAAAGATGGTTGGGGTTGTCTTCTTCTTCTTGGACGTTGACCGTCGTCGTCACCTTCGTTATCACTGACTTCGAATTGTCTTAACCATTGTTCTTCCGAAACGTTATCTGAATATGTCATTTGTTTATGTTCTCTTGCACCCCTGCCTGCATTATCAACTTCTTTTTGACGCTCATCCTCTACACGTTTTAATTCAGCACCGATATCATGACTATAGATTTCAGGTAATTCTGACTTTTCCAACAATCTAGATGTAATACCATTTTTTTTGTCCTTTTCGCCTCTTTCTTCATCAAGTTTAGAGAAGATACCAATTTCATTTGGACTTCTTGACAATAAAGCATTTAATTCTTTATCTCCAATGGCTTCATCTACGACGGTACCTTCTTGTATCTTCTTTCGACGTTCTTCTTCGGCATCTAACAATGATCTCAACAACGCTTCTTGTTCTTCAGATGTAGATTTGTTATCAAACTTACCAGCTTGGATAACTTTACCATCGATATCCAATTTTTTATGAGCTCTCTCCAGAATAGCCTCTTCAACTGAGTGTTCTGTAATTAATCTCAAAATACGCACTTCATGTTTTTGACCAATTCTGTGAGCTCTATCCTGAGCCTGTAAATCTTGATGGGGATTCCAATCTGTATCGAAAATAATAACTGTATCGGCAGTTTGCAAGTTTAAACCTAGACCCCCTGCTCTCGTTGATAAGATAAAACAGAAATATTCAGAAGATGGAGCGTTAAATAATTTCAAAAGCATACTACGCTCATCTGACTTGGTATGACCGTCCAATCTTAAGTACTTAATGTCGATAAGACGAAGAAAATCTTCCATAATATCCATAATCTGCGTCATTTGGAAGAAAATCAATACTCTGTGCCCTGTTGCCTTTAATTTTGGTAAAACACGTTCTAATAGTTCAAACTTACCAGCTGCACGCCAAATATTTGGGTTTGTCTCTCTAGTTGGGTTAACTTGATCTTCCACTTCTTCAAAAACAAAAGGATGGTTACATATCTTTTTCAATTGCATGATTTGGTTATTAAACCCACGAAGGCCTACCATTTTCTTGTTTACTGTATCACCAATAAATAGACGACGATGGGTTAACATTTGTTGGTACAGAATCTCTTGCAATGCGCTCATCTTACATTTAATAACTCTTTCAACTTTATCAGGAAGATCCTTTTCGACATCCTTCTTTAATCTACGTAATAAGAAAGGACGTAAGACTTTGTGTAATCTTCTAATAACCAATAATGTTTCTTCTTCACTCAGTTCAATCTTGTCTTGGCCACCAGTATTTTCGAAGGGAGTATTGAACCATTCGTCAAAAGACTTAACGGAGTTGAAAATTTTTGGTAGAACGAAATTTAATAACGCCCAAAGTTCAGGTAAATTATTTTGCAAAGGAGTACCTGTTAAAATCAATCTATAATCGGAATGGTAATATGTATTCAGTGTAAGTGATAATTTAGATTGGGCATTCTTCATTCTGTGACCTTCATCGATGATCATATGCACCCATTTAATCTTGGATAATAAAGCTCTTTCTTTAATAATATACTCGAATGTGGTTAAAACAACATCAAATTGGCCAAGTTTTATGGCAGCTTGCATGGTTTTTCTTTCGTTTGGTGGACCCTTAAAGGAAATAGTAGTTAATACTGGTGCCCACTTAGCAAATTCCCCACTCCAGTTAGATAACGTTGATAATGGAACAATGACTAAAAATGGACCCCTCACATTCTTAATTTCATACAAGTAAGTCAGTAATGAGATTGTTTGGATGGTTTTCCCAAGACCCATTTCATCAGCTAGAATACCATTCAAATGATTATTGAATAATGAGATCATCCATTGTAAACCTTTCACTTGATATTCTTTCAGTGTACCTCCTACAAGAATAGATGGTTGTTTGGTAACAACCTCTTTCACCCTATGGGCTACATTATAATAATCGATATTTAGTTGTTCCTCTTTATCAATAGGTTCGTCATCAGAATTGAAATCCGGTTTCAACTCATCAGAGTTTTCAGAATCCTCTTTTACGTGAGATTCAATCATTTCTTTAGTATATTTTTGTTGATCTTTAACAGCTTTCGTCAAAGAGTCCAAAAATGCATTAGTTTGTTTCAAAAGATGTGTAATTCTGGTATCCTTAGTTTGATCCAATAATTTGATATATGCTTCCTCATCATTTGCCTTAAGAGCCTGTAGACGTTCTTTTGCCTTCCGTTCTTGTCTTTTTTGTTCATCTTTCTCCAAGTTCCCATGTAGATTAAATACTCTATGACCAAATTTTAATCTTTTATGTCTCTTTTCATTACGTTCATTATACGACGTAACCGAATGATCCGTTATCATTTTTTGTCCCATTACTTCTTTGTTTTTCTTGATTTTGTATTGTTGCAATTCGTGTTTCTTGTATAATTCGTTGGTTAACATACTATCTTGGGTATTAATGTTTCTAATCTTTGATAAAAAGTTTGGGTGTGTATTATTTAGGAGTGAGTTTTGATACCATTCATATTGTAATACATGACCTCTAACAGCCTTTTGGAAAGGTAGTAATTGCAGGGCATAATAATCGTACAATGAGTTCTCTTTCTTTTGTGGGTCTTCGATCTTCTCATCCAGCATATCCGACAATAAGGTATCTACAGCAGTATCGAGATTTAATGCAATAAGAGTTTGATAAATTTCCATTGTATTGTGAATATCGATACCCTCTGGTAAAAGACCTGGCTGAATACTTAGCTTGGGTTCTTGTAGACTTGGGAATAAGGAATTGTAGTTTATATCTTTGTCAATTAATTGGGGTAAATAATATGAATCCACCATTATGGCAGGATTGGAGTAATCTTTGACTTTTAGAGCTGTTGGGTTCTCTTTTTGGAAAACTTCCAATAGGACTGGAGCAGCATATTTAGGTGGTTCCTTGTCTCCGATAAATACGGGACTTTTGGGCTTAGGGATTTCGATTGGCGCCTGATTCAACTGTGTTGATGTAGTTAGCGAAGCTGTGTTAACCTTTAATTTTTGAGTAGGTTGTTTTCCCAAAGTTGAATTATTGATTGCTTTGTTCTCTTCGATATCTGCAGGAGTTTTTACAGAACTGATCTGTTGGACATTCGTATTGTCTGTTACAACAGTCTCTGATTTATTAACACTTTTTCCAATTGCAGATTTCATTCCGATTTCATTTACTTTGGGTGTAGGTTGCACCTGTTGTCGATGATTTTGTTGATTGATCAACGGTTGTGATGATGATGTAGGCGATTGACTACTGCCAGTTACTTGATTGTTATTATCTGGACTACCACTCGATGTAATTCTATTCTTAGCTTTAACAAAATCACCCAAGCTGGTCAACATTTTCCTGAAGTCAGGAGGGTTATTCATTGATTGTTGAATGATTGATTGAAAATCAAAAGGAACATTTTGTTGGTTAACCAAACACTTCAATGCACTTATCTGTGCTTTTAATAAATTCGATTGTTGGGGGGTAAATATGTTCTTCATATGTTCTGAACTTCTACGATATTCTGATCTACGGTCAGAGTTTGGCATGTTACGCATACCTTGAGGTGTTTGACCGGCGTGATTTGACCAATTTCCTGGTGTTTGATTGCTTGGTATATTTTTCTCTTTTGCATCATTCTTCTGGAAATTGTTGTTACCATTAGGAAGTTCAGATTGCCCTTGCAACGTCGATTTATTATTATTATTTGTCATGTTTTCAGTATTTCCTTGTGGTGTGAATGATGCATTTGGTGTGCTATCGAAATTCGCATAATTATTGGTATTATTACTATTACTACTTCCAGGGATGTTTCCTGATATTTGGTTTTGTATAGGGTTTGGGACATTTGTAGTATTATTCTCGTTGTTATTTGGCATTTGCTGACTATTAATAGTTCCATTCATAGGGCTTCCATTATTCGATGTTCCAAAGTTTCCATTCAATTGTTGAGAATCTGTAGTAGCTTTCGAATCAAATTGGTTGTTACTTGGAGATGTATGTTCTTGTGGGTTTCCACTTCGCGTAGGAGCCTTATTATCAGTTGTATTCGAATTGGGCAATTGTTGTTGTTGTTGTTGTTGCTGTTTCTGTTGAAGATCTTGTTGTTGTTTCGCAGCAAGACGTAATACTCTTGTAAAGTATACAAATTCCGGAATATTTGGAGCGTTCTCCCCATGCTCGTTCCTCAATTGTTGCCATCTAAGATAGCAACGATTGATTTCTTCCTTTGTAAATTGTCTCTGTGGGACTTCCATGTTTGCTGTAGAATCCATGATGTTGTATGATTAATTAGACGTAAAATCAAAGGAATCAATTTGTAATAATATGATAAGTATTTTGCTTACAAAATGTTTCAGTTTTTCCTTCCTCTTTGGTACTTTAAAGAGTTGAATTATGGTAGGAGTATTGTAAAACTGCTATCTATTCAAACTTTCTTCCAGTTTCCTCAACTACTATATTATACGGTAATGCACGTAATATTAGTTGTTTCTTAATAGCAATATCTTGGAGGTAGTATCCAAGAACGCCAAACTCTTAAAAAATAAAATATATTAAAATGTTTAGTACTTCTCCCTTCCGGTAAGTGAGAAAGTCAACAGTAAATGAATATCTAAAAGAGATAAAAAAGATTAAATAAGTCTTCGACGTTCTTCTTTCCACTTTTATTTGGTAAAAATAATGTGTCAACAGAGCCTTTTTTTCTTTAATACCTTTATGTAGGGCTCTCATGTAATGGCAAATTGTTTATTCTTTTTAGTTTTCCAATGCAGTTAACTGATGATTGACAAATCCATTTTTCCGGCGCTGTTTATTCTATTTCTTTCCATTTCGCTCTTTTTTGTTGTTTTTTCGTTCCGTCACCGCGAATTGCTAAGATATTTAATGGAAAATCACGTGCCTGTCATTCTAAACGAGGTGTGAAATGGTAATGAATAGATACCTAAAGTTAATACATAAGTGAATGCACAATAGCAACACACTGTTTTTTGCTAATGGTTATTATCATATTGCGATGGCAATTGAAGTTGGTGTATATATCTGTTCTTTTCCTTAGTTTGGGGTACGAATTTAAACATAAATAATTTAAAAAAAAATAATTCACTTTTCAAGTTTATTGTTTAAAGCTAAATATTAAAAATTATTAAAGGTAAGATTTAATTTAGTCAACACTAATCGACTACTAGACGTAAACAAATTTAAATACGACTCAGTACCCAAGCAATACTCCTTGTATAATATTTATATTGAGTAAAGATCCATCTATCTATAGTGTACGAATATGCATATATGACATTTTTATATAAAATATGGATGTCCGGTGTGTTAATCATCATCAGCATCATCGCCTTCGGCACCAAATAACATCATCATGTCCAAATCATTTTGATCTAGTTCTTCTTGATTATCAACTGTTTCTTCTTGATTATCCTGTTTCTCATCATCGATTTGTTCCCCTGCATCTTCCAGGACATCTTCATCACCGTCGTCATCATCTTGATCATCATCTTGATCATCATCGTCCTGATCATCATCGTCGGCGTCATCATCCAAATCTTCCTCGTTGTTTTCATTTGTTTCTTCGTTATCGTTTTCTTCACGAGTTTCAGATCCCTTAACTGGTTCCTCATTGACTTTTAATTGTTTTTTCTTTAATTCAACTTCTTTTTCAAGTTTTTTAATACTATCAAGAAATCTTGATTTTAGTAGAGGGTTCGTAACCTTTTGGGATTTCTTCTTAGTGTGTGATAATGTCGATTCTAACTCACGAAGTTCATCTTCCAATAACTTAGTATGCTGCCTACTTTCATCCTTTTCACCTGTTTCGTCTTCGTCATCGTCTTCATCATCGTCTTCGTCTTCATCATCGTCTTCGTCTTCAACATCGTTATCTATTTCTGCGTCAGAATATTGTTGTGCATCTCCTTCCAAAACATCATCAAGTTTGTTAATTTGTCCCGAAGTTTCATCCTCATCACTTTGGAATGCAGCATCTAAGTCTAATTCGTCTTCTTCATCACCACCCAAACCATTAGGAGAATGTACAGCTGGTCCGGTAGTTTCCATATCAGCTACTAGAGTCATCGAACTTGTAGTCTTAGGTAATACTTGGCTTGGATCGATCAATTCATAATTTACTTCTTCTGAGCCTTCATCCTGTTTGAGTAACATTTCTACAGTTCTATCCACATAATCTAACTCGGCGGGTGCCATTTTCCTTCTAAATCTCCTATTTCTTACGTTGTATAATGGGGGTGTTAACCCACTTGTGTAGTCGTAGTTCTTCTGGGTGATCTGTTGAATAAATTTTTGTTCTACTTCACTTAATTGATTACCATGCTGACTCTTGAAAAATGTTTTTTTGTTTTCATTTATTTCATCCTGTATGCCTTCATAATGCTTCGATACTATATCTTCTGTATTGTGAGGTTCTAAAAGAAATACGTCTTCCTCCTTTTCTATTACTTGAACACAGAGTAACATCTGGTCAACATCGAATGTCTTTAATAAATTCTTTCTATCAACACTCTTGTTTACTTCTACTATTGTTGGTAAATCCACCAAAATTGCACCATACATTACATCATTTATCGATACAATTGCATGTCTATCTCCTTTCCATTTTATACTAATACCAGAATAATCTCCTGATTCGATAGAGTTCCTTATAAATTCTATTTGTATATCTGGTTGAACCCTTAGAATTATACCTGATTCAATCAAAGGGTCATCTTCAATATCTGATGCCTCTGAGTCATATCCATCTCCAGGCACTCTAATAGGTTTTAATCTTAACCGTGGTGCTTTCAGTTTCGGGGTTTCTGTACCGTTCTCATTATTTCCTTTCTTAAGATTTAGTTTTACTTTAATTCCTGCCGAAGGCTTTTCGTTTGACTTTAGATTAATCTTTATTTTGGGCGTTCCAACTGCAGGGGATCCAGCCTTCCTGTCACTAGACTTTGTCTTAATACGAATCTTTTTCAGTTTAGGCTCAACAACGTCAACTTGGTTAGGATCCCTCGGTTTCTTTATCTTAATAATGGCCATTTTTGTTTTTGAATTGTTACAGTAAACACCACTGATTGTATTATTAATGACACTAGAAGAATAATTTCAGTAAAACTTGTTATGACCAGTGTTTACTCGCTGAGTTTGTTGAGTATCTAGTTACTTTTGTCCCTCATTATGATATTTAGGTTTACATCTATATAGTTATTATATTTGTTCCATGTCCTCTGTATTGTAAAATATTTCAAACTTCAAAACATTGAAAATAGTTGTACCGACAGCGAACTTAAAAATGAAAAATGATTCCAAAGAATTCTTCGTAGAGCCAAAATATCTTTAAGCTGAGCATTTATAAGTAATTATAAATAATATTTTGAAAGGATGTCACAGACATATATATATGTCTGATATTTTGTAACGAATGAGTTCTCATTGATTTTAAGTAAGCCATTTTGAATAAATATTTAAATCAAATAAGAGGCATCCGATTTCGCAGGGGTTGATTAAGGATTAAAAACAATCGACATTATAACTAGAACGATGTTTAAACCTTTGACAAGTGCGCAACTTTCTGAAATTAAAGTATTTTACAAATTTAGATATGTTATATCACCAGCAGTGTTAAAGACTATCTTTGATAAACTTCGATTGGAAGACACATACGGCGATTGTAAGGACCTGAAAGTGTTAGATCTAAATGCAGGCCCGGCTCAGCAGTCTATCGTGTTCAACAACAGGTTTCATTGTAAACAACATCTTCTTATGGACAATAGACCTCAATTTACTAATTTTTGGGAGAGAAATCTGAAGAAATCACATTTCCAAATGAGCTCACAAAATCCTTATGATTGGGAGTCTTATTTGATGTTAATAGATCATCAAAAATTATTTGTCCCAGAAAAACAATCTAGGGATCATATACATAATAAATTTCTGATAATGGGGAATCTGACTGATAAAAAGGAAGAAGGATTACTGATGCAATGGTTCAATTGTGTTGGTCAAAAAAACTGGTTGCAAAGATTTGGTAGAGTGAAAATGTTGCTGTGGGTACCTACCAGTAGTGCTAGAAAACTGCTTGCACCAGCTGGAACAACTCAAAGGGCAAAGTGTTCACTTGTATGTGAAACATTTACAGATTCAAAGATAATAGCCTTAACACAGGATGAGGAGTCTGATTTGTTTGATCAAAAACTTTTAGATAAATTCGATCCGATATGGGTTAATTATGCTTCTACACTACCACAGAAATTTTCAAAAACACAAAAGAGTCCAATGTGTTTACTGGAGATCAATCCACTGGACTTCGAACTAAATAAAGGTAACTGGGACTATGTAACTCAACATTTAATGATTCAAAAGAACACACCCTTCTTGGATGGAGTAGAAGCATTAGGGCCTGGTGCAAGAGATTTTTTCACAAAAGAAATCAATGACTCCAATTTCATGAAGAGATCCCCATCATCATTTTCCACTGAAGAGTTCATTTACTTATCAGATATATATAACAGATGGCCATTCAAACCAGATATGTTTATGAATTTATTCAATGCAAAACAAGAGGAATAGGATCATTCTTAAATAGTGGTTAACTAGTTATTTCATATGTTTCTTTTATACAGTAATGCATTATCGTGTATATATAACTACCATGCCATATTTGTTTACTAGTTTCATTGATTAAAGTTGACCTCTATATATTTCTATATCTTTACCATTCTAAAGGTTATCATTAGTGAAAGGAAATAAAAATAAATATTTGTGACTTTCAGAAAACACCCATACATTGTGTGGAAGTGTGGGTTTTAACAAAATTTAGAAATTTTAATTTTTTTAAAAAGATTGAAATTTCTAAATGATTTATTTCAGTTAGCTTTTTCACGTCGTTGAAATTTTCATTTTGCCCCGCGAAATTAATTCTCGTTGCGAAGTCTTTGAATTTTTTCAAACTGGAAATAGAGTGAGTCCCCTTCACTAGCAAAGGTGATACGCATAGCACCAAAACCGTGTAACATTGGTCCATACTGAGTATACTGCAAGGTCTTAGGTTGTCTCACGTTACATTGCAGGTATCAAAGGGTTAAAAGAATTATTATCTTGGGTACTATTTAAAGGTTAGTGTTCTTTTGAAATAAAACGAACAGAAACAAGTTTTGCAAGTACACCATACTAAATTAGCCAAAATGTTGATGCCAAAGGAAGAAAGAAACAAGATCTTCAGATACTTATTCCAAGGTATGTTTAACGAATTTGATATTGAAAGAATTTTCTGTTGTTACACCGAAAGACCAATGTGGAAGTAGTAATATACAACGAGTTATGAAATAAAGGGTTATATGTTTGATTTTTTGAATGATATGAAAAAGGAATATTTTATAGGAGAGATTGAATAATAGGTGTTGAAGAAGACACATGATGAAACTGTAAGAGACTTTATGAAAATTCATAAATTGAAAGTATTAGTTCATGTTGAATGAATGATTTAAGCTAAGTATTTAAATTTCAACCTTTTTGAAAGAAGTGTGGAACTAATGTCAGGACCTCCTTAAACAGATCAATCTGACGATTTCCAAATGGTAAAATATAGTCACAAGAACAATGTTCATATACCCTTTTTATCCTCTCTTCGGTAACAGTCAGAAAATGAAATGCCATCTTTACTTTTGTCCCAGTTTTACTAACAATTTTTATATGCTGATCCATTGATTATTACTGCTACGTAATTTATTATCTTCAATGTTAACAAATGCATAGATATTTTTTAATACAGAAGGTGTTTGTGTCGCCAAGAAGGACTTCAACCAACCAAAGCACGAAGAAATTGACACCAGAAACCTATACGTCATCAAGGCTCTACAATCCTTGACCTCCAAGGGTTACGTCAAGACTCAATTCTCATGGCAATACTACTACTACACCTTAACTGAAGAAGGTGTAGAATACTTGAGAGACTACTTGCATTTACCAGAACATATTGTTCCAGGTACTTACATCCAAGACAGATCTCAAAACACTAGACAAAATGCTAGACCAAACAGAAGATACTAAGAAGTTAATCATGAATGATATCTTGATTTGATAAACCTCATGTATTACCTTTTTTATTCTCCATATAACCTATCTTTTAACTGTATACAGTTTTGAATCCATTTCAACAATTATTATGTTGTTTTAAATGGTATACATATTGTGTAATTTGTTTAATAAGTCCTCAATCAATAAATAAAATAAATAATAGCTCATTGAATTAACAATATTTAAAGAATCACTTTAAATGAAGTCACGTCAGTAATACATTACAATAAAGTCGTACCTTTAAACACCCACACACCGCACAACTAAACAATATGACCTGAAATTAAAATTTAATTAATAATTTGATATTGCTATAACAACACAGTTTATTCAAGAATGCCTGTCAAGTTAAAACAAACAGAACCTTAATATCATACACATATCAACGGGACTCAACCTTACAACATATTTCCGAATACTCTATTATTATGTGCGTTAGTTCTTGGATGCAATTCCAATTCTTCGAGAACATTCCAATTAGGGACCCACAATTAGGGAGACCTTCCCAGTTGTATTCTGATCCAACTTTATCGGCTGCAACCTTAATCAACTCAAATAAACTTTTAATAGCTGTCAATTCATCAGTTATTAAAATTGTCGACATAAAATCTTCAACTGTTTTAAATGAATTTGAGGCTTTCCCTGAAGGATTCAGAATACTCTATTTGAAAATAATAAATAACACCTTTATAGTTGCTGTAGCAGAATGCTCAGGTCTACCGGCACAATTCAAACTATTTCGTTTAGATAAATTACCTAAAACAGTTAAAAGTTTCCATACCTTAGTAGAAATAAAAAATGGCGATAACACATCACCTATATCTGCAATCTCTATTGCCAAGGATTTATCTTGCTTTACAGTCGGTTTCATAAATGGTAAAATATTATTAGTCAGAGGTGATCTGATCAGAGACAGAGGTGCAAAACAACGAGTGATATTCAACGATAAAGCTCAAGAGCCAATAACTTCATTGGCGCTTAATAACGAGGCTACCTTTTGTTACGTGAGCACCACATCTAAAATCTTCCTCTTTAATACCACAGGGAGAAATAACAACATGCCTGACTTAATCCTAAATAACAACTCAGGCTTAAATTTAAACTGTGGAGTTCTGTCTATAATTGGTGATGAATTTATATGTTACCGTGATGGTAACATTGAGTTCTATCAGACAAATGGCGAAAAGAGATTTATTGCAACTGACCTGAGTGCAGTTAAAAGAATATATCCCATTGATAACGAGCGTATACTGTTTGTAACAGAAGAAACTGCCTCAAAGGATTCATCATTACAAATAAGTGAGCCCGACTCTACGCTAATGAGTAGAGTTGTCATAATTGACATTAAAAATAAACTTGTTGCCTTAGATTTTATTGTCTCGAATTCAGTGATAGATATCCTTGGAAACCCTGATAGAACCGAATCGACTATTTATTTATTAACAAGCAACGGCATTTTACACAGTATTTCTGAAAAATCACTTCATGATAAACTTGCAATTGTAATACAGAAACAATTATACCCCTTTGCATTAGATTTAGCCACAAATTATAACGTAGCCAGTGTAGATATCCAAAACATACACAAGCTGTACGGTGATTTTTTATACAAGAAAGACCAAAAGAAAGACGCTGTTGCTCAATACATCCAATGTCTAGACGTGGTAGAAACTAGCGAGATAATAGCGAAGTTCAGTATTGAAGGTACATCCGATTTAAATGGTATAAAAAACCTTTCGGACTATCTATGGTCTCTGATAAAAAAAGGAATTGCAAGTAGTGATCATGTCACCTTACTTCTAATTGTTCTAATTAAACTAAAGGACAGAGAGGAAATAAATTTATTTTTAACTCACTTCAGCAGATTGGGGAATTTCTCATCAATGGCTATTGAAGATGATATAGATGATGAGACGTACTATTACAGTGATAAGGATTTATTCAACTTTAAGCTGATATTGCGTTTATTAGATGAATCGAACTTCCATGAAGAAGCTTACAAATTGGCGAAAAAGTTCTCTAAAGATGCCGTTACTATTGTTGAGGTTCTATTAGATATTATGAATAGCCCACTGATAGCACTTGAATATATAAAGAGTTTGGATATAGATGATACTCTCAGAGTACTAGCGTTATTCTCCAAGAAATTATTGGATCTTTTGCCAAATGATACAGTTTCTTTGCTGATAAAAGTTTTTACAGGAAGGTATATTAGCGAGAAATACGAATATAATAATATTAAAAACGAAGAAAGAGAGGATAAACCAAACTTCAAGAAAATTTTCTACAGTTATACGTCTTTCGTCGACTATATGAACGATCCCTTGTTCTCAAAAGCACAAACAACTAATCCTGAGGTCAATGAAAGGATACCGACATACCATCCACCGAGACCATCAATTGTGTTTAGCTCTTTTCTTGATAAGCCTTTCCAATTTGTGGTTTTTCTTGAAGCCTGCCTGGATAGTTACAAACGTTATGAGGGCTCAAATGAAGACAAACAAGCCATTTTTACAACTTTATATGGTCTCTACCTGACTCTTGCAGAAGAAGATTCTGCCGAAAGGAAAAATGAATGGAGGAATAAGGCGAAACTAATTCTGAACGAAAGTCATAAATTAGTTCAAACCGCATCCGACGATTCAACCTCATTAAATTCCGTCAATAATAAACGAATTGATAATTCATTAATGACCTTAATATCTCATATTCACAAGGTCGATCCATTTTTATCTTCCAATGATGAAGAACAAGGCCTAGAGAATAATATTAGAATTGGTGAGTATAACACATCAGAGGAAGATATTTCAAGGTCAACCCTAAACAACTTTCGGTCACTAACACTAACAGAAGAACCTATAAATTGTATGAGATATTTTGAACGTTATTCTTCAAATGATCGTAACTTATACCGTTCCGCTTTAATATACTTTACTTCATCTAAACATATATTGAATTCAATTGGTGGTGAGACTGTGGTTAAAGAAAATATTATAGATAAAATAACGAGTCAGAATTTGCTATCAACTATAGAAATAATCCATATCCTTTCAAATAGCAATTGTGCAACGTACGGATTAATTCAAGATGTCTTGGTTTCCCAAGTAAAATCAAAAGAAGAAGAAATTTCGAGGACCCAAAAACTCATACAATCTTACGAAAATGAATTATATAACAAGAAGGAAAAGATCAATAAAATACTGAATACTGAAGATGGAACCTCTATAAAACTAAAGGGAAAGCTATGTAATAGATGTGAAACAGCAATCGAATTACCTATTGTATATTTTAAGTGTGGCCACCTATATCATCAACGATGCCTGAACGAAGAGGAGTACCAGATTTCAGGAAAGCAAGTATACAGATGCCCAAAATGTTTAGTAGAACAAGAAAGATCAAAAAAATTACATGAAACACAGCAAGAAATATCTAAGAATGATGAAATGCTTGCTATGGCGTTAGGCGAGGAAGGTAGAAATGGTGACAAGTTTAAAGTGATAACAGAATTTATTGGAAGAGGTGGGATGGAGTATTCACATATTATCATTTGAAATTCGTTTGAGATCATCTTAAAACATTTATGACGCGCAGTTCATGCTACGCGAATTTCTGAGGGTTTATTGAACAATAAGAAAAATAAATCTGATGCAATATAAATTCATATAAGTATCTTTAAACTAAAAGAGTAAAACATATAAATATAATTGACTGAAATCTTTTGATCAGGAAATTTGATCTCGAAAGGAACTTATTTCTTTGAATCTTTTATTCTTTCCTACTTTTAGCTTTCCGGACTTTTCAGACTGCCTTCGAATAACAGAAACGAATAGTTCATATATTAAGTAAAAATGTTTAAAACGTCAACATTATTTGACCAAATACATTACCAAACCTCAAATAATTTAACTCCAATACGAGACTACAAACATGATTATTTCCATGAACAAGATGACAAGTTACCAAAATTTGAAGGAACTAAAGTATGGAGATTACAATCACTAAAGTATGACAAGTCACATTCGATAAAACGCCCACTCAGCCTCGAATTAGATGATGTTACGGAACCATTATCCATATCCATCACTCCGTCATCCTCTTCAGAATATTCTTCGAACAGTACCATAAATTCTAAAGAGAGACATGAATTTTTTAATTTAATAGAAAACTTTCACGATTCTGAATTTGAATTTTGTACAAGTTTAAAACTCGTTAATAGCGTATACCGTGAATCGTTACACCAAAACAAACAACTTTATACTAAGTTTATTAAAGACTGTTCAACGGATGAATTACTTCTATTTGGTAACATTGATACAATATGTTCAATTAGTGAAATATTCGTGACATCATTACGTGACATTCTGACAATGAATGATATATATGATTGGAATCCCTCTGAAGAAAAAAATCATTCAAATTTCCAGATCAGGTACGAGCCAAAGAAGAATGTTGACATTGCTTCCGTATTTGAACAACATTTGTTTAGATGTAGTTCTACATACATGAGTTATGCTGCAGGCCATTGCAAACAAATGAAACTTTATGATGAATTAGCAGCTAATAAAAAATTTCAAGAGTGGTACCAAAGTTGTATGAAGAAAGCTCATTTTAGAGCTCTAAGAGATCTATTGAAATATCCACTAAACAGAGTTGACTCATGGCTTTCAAACATTGATAGAATAATAAAATTAATGCCCAACGTTCTGGATACAGAAGAGTGTGATCAAATGGGCAAAATCAGGGACAAATATGTTCTTTTTCAAAAGAAACTCACAATTGAAATCAGTGACTACGGTTCCAATCCTGATTTTGATTTCACTTTAACTCCAAGTGAAATTATTCAGAGCTATGATAACCTTGGTGAAAGTAACCCTGATAATCAAATACATACAAGCGGTAATTGGAACTCCCAAACTAACGATAATCCGAGGCTAACAACTTCATCAAGTTTTTATTCTGAGAATTCTTGTTCAGAGTCTACTGATCAATCAACTTCTAAATATACTACTGAAAAGAATTGTACTGAAAATATAGCTTCCCCAGAAATCCAAAGGAGTTTATTAGACTATATTATTGTCTTCAAGAAGATGTACCGTAAACTTCAGAATTTACATTTTTTCATGTCGAAATTAGACCTTTTTACAATACTAGATACCAACCTAACGACTCTGACACTTTGGGAAAAGTTGGTGAACTTTGAGAAAGATGGCTATCAATTATTCCCTTTTGACGAATTAAAATTATATGATTTAAACAAAAATAAACAAAACATTGTTCATATGAAAGAACAAATCACCGTCCTATGTCTGACAGATTTAGAATTAGGAGTTTTAACTCCACTAAACACTATCCTCAAAAACTGTAGTTCGATAAGAGTACAACTTCGAGATCTCAAAGTCTTAGAAAAAGACTATGTCGTTTATTTGAAGGAAAAGAAAAGAAAAGTTCACGATATCAAAAGAAATGTCATTGGAAAGCATTATGAACTGTTACAATTAAATCTGAAAAAAGAATTACCTATATTTATCGCGTTAGCTGAAAGTGTTCTGACCATATGTCTCAGTCGTTATAACAAAGCTATGATCGAATATTTCAAAATTCTTTCCGGAGGTGAAACAATACTCAACGAGGATAGGGAGCATCGTGGACCGACTTATGATCCAAATGTCTCATCAAACCTCGACTTACTTCAAGCATATTCAATTTCACGGTCTCAAGTCAAACGATTAATACATGCTAATTGGCCATATGATGGACAAGCTATCAACAGCAAGATTGTAAGAGGTTTGTTTGAGTTGTGACACAAAATAGCGAATTTAGTCTTTCTATTTGCTTCGGCATTTTATCGTCACGTGCTTGCTGAAAAATCGGTGCGAAAATTTTTTCTTCTTTTATTATGCGATGAGCCTAACTTGCGATGCCAGGATGAGACAATAATGACAGAGATCCTATCTCACAACTCCACTAGACCGATGGACTTACAACTACCTTAAACTATTTACATAGTCTTTAAAAACATTTATATCAACATTACATATATTCATATCCTTTAAGTATAAACCAAATTCATAAAAATACTAGAAAACTATCCCATAGAAAGAACATCATGGCTACCAACGATTTCAAAAGTTTACCAGTTACTGTGGAGAAACCTATACCGGTTGTATATGACCTAGGTAACCTATCTGTCTTTGATTCTAATGTTCTAGATAGAAATAACTTTGACTCTTCAAATGCCAAACGTGAGGAGCATCTAAAAAACCTTACTCGTGATAATACACAACTATTAATTAATCAACTATTGTCCTTACCAATCAAAAGTACGACTGATTCAACTGGTGGTACAAGTGGTCAAAGTTCCACCATGTCTCTATTGAGATTACCAGAACCAATGACTGAATTGCCAAGAGAAAAACCATTACCTAAACCAAAAGCTCCAACCAAATGGGAGAAGTTTGCTGCCAAGAAAGGTATTAAGGCCAAGGAAAAGAGTGGTAAGATGGTCTTTGATCAAGCCAGTGGTGAATGGGTTCCAAAATGGGGTTATAAAGGTTCTAACAAGAAGCTTGATAATCAATGGTTAGTCGAGGTGGATGAAAAGGTTGAGAATACAGACAAAGAACTGATTGACCCAAGAAGTCTAAATAGACAAGAAAGATTGAAATTGATCAAGAAAAATGAGAGACAACAAAAGAAGAACTCCAGAACCGCTTGAACATGTTTCACTGAGCAACAAGTTAACATAAAATATCAATACTAAAATAACCTACTACCAGTCGAATATTTTCTTTTAATCACATTCTACATCTATATAATCTCTATATATAAAGTTAAGCCGCATTTGTATATTATATAATATTATTAAAGAAGAAAAAAAAAAAACAATTTCATTAGTCTTCGAAAAGGAATAACGTAAAAACAAAAAACATTAAAGGCTACAGTATAATTGTATCAAGAAGGGAATAAGGATATTTTGAATAAACGTTAAAGGAAGGGTGACAAAAGCATTCTGAAGTAATAACAATTGAGGTCATAGTATTCCTTTTTACACAAACCCTGAGGCGATACATACTATTTATCGGTTAAAGAATGGTGGATCCTAGTTTGGAAACCTTGATCCCAATGATTGATGCTATCATCAGTTCATCTAATCCAGATGAAGTAAGCCCTAAGAAAATAAGAAAAGCATTACAAGAATTATTCCAAATGGATCTTGACTCTAAGAGGAAACAATTAAATGAATTAATTATTGATCGATTTGAAGAAATACAAGCACATCCACGTATGCTTGTACGAAAGGATGAAATGATGAAACGTGATCAAGAATTTGCTAAATTACTTGAAGAGATGAAGAATGCAGGTGTTACAGGTCATAAGATAAAAAACATAACAACAAGAAGAACAAGTGATTCTGATAGTAAAAAAAAGAAGAAGAAGAAGAGAAAGAAAGAAAGAGCCACTCCTACGGGAACTACAAGTATTGCAACTAGGTTATTGCAATTGAGTGATCCATTGGCTGAGATTGTTGGTGCTCAGGAATTACCTAGAACACAAGTGGTTAAGGGTGTATGGGATTATATAAAGGCTCATGATTTACAGAATCCTGAAGATCGTCGTGAAATTCTATGTGATGATAAAATGGAAAAAGTATTTGGTAAGTCAACTAACATGTTTCAATTGAATAAATTATTAGTAAATCATATGCATTATTCTGATACAGTAGATGATAATAAAGAAAAGAAAAAACCCAAAACTGAAACTACATCATCTTCTGAGAATGGGAAATAACCCAAATTGTAACAACTACTAAACCGCAATCAACACGAACGTCCCTATTTACGTTCCATGAATTGTCACATAGTTCATTATTAACACATAAATATCAACGCACTTTGAATATGTTATTCAGGAAATAATACTTCCTTTTATGCTTTTTTCTTTATAATTATTTATTACATATCAATAATGTACTATATAAAACAGGGATTGACAGATTGAAAGCTGAAAGGGTCTACATAAAGAACCTTGTAATGTATATAAACACATGTGTATGCGTTCATTTACTCCTGTTCAACATTTAAATAGAGGCTTTTGCTAAATCAGCAATCAAAGAGTCAATTTCTAATTGCGATAGATCCTTCTCTAACAGATCTGTCTCGACACTCTGGAATGTTTCATTTTCATCATCTTCCTCATCACTCTCTTCCTCATCACTATCTAATTCTTCTAAATCATCCAATTCCAAGTCATCGAACATTCCTTGCAAAGTATCAAGTGCTTCAGAGTCCTCTTCCAAAACATTACCATTAATTTGTAATACTTTCAATTCCGGCAATTTCTTAGACTCTAAAGCCTTCAACAATTTCTCTTCAATAGTAGATTGAACAATTTCATTAAATTCTAGTTTCAAAGCCTTCAAATGTGGGAATGTTAATTTAGTGAAGACATCCATGATTGCATCAGCACCATCCTTTTTCAATAAACAATCATTCAAATTCAATTCTACAAGGACATCCTTCCAAATAGGTAAGTTTTCAGCAAGCATCAAAGATGCGGTCTTAGTCAATGTATTATCTTGTAGATCTAATACTTCCAAATGAGTATTATATTTAAACCCATAATGAATCAAATTCATAATACCACGAGGTCTGATACCATTTTGATATAATTTAACAGTTTTTAAACCTGCAGCATGAGCCTTTAAACCTAAGGCTAAATATAAAGAGGAACCGTTCTCCAATCTATTTCTACCACAGATAAAAGTGCTTAATAAAGGAGCTGGTGGAGTTAATTTTAACTTATTCTTAGCTAAATGGAACAAAGCTTTCCCAATACGTTCGCCTGCAAAAGGACCCATACCATTATTACTTAGAATCAAATGTTCTAAGGCAGTTGCATTTGAAATATAAGATTCTAGAGAATCGATTGTTCTTAAGCCAAATGCATTATCAGATAAATTAACAATTGTCAATTTAGGACATTTCAAAAATGCAGGTAACAGAACATTTAAGGATTCGACCACTTCATCAACAAGACGAGAAGTGTAAAGATCAGCAAAATTGACTTCTTTTAAATTGTTATAAATTGATTCATTTGAAGCAATCAATTTAGCTAAGGCCTTTGAAGCATCTATACCTAAGGTATTACCAGATAAATCTATCTTGTTAACGGCAGAAATCTTGAGAATGGCATCAAGATGTGGTGTAATATCCTCTTCTGTAGTAAGTTTAAGTGCTTGACTTGCAATCGAAAAGCAATTTTCTTCAGGGTACACTGGAATGAATGATAAAGTTGCCATATTGAATGAAAACACAGATTTTACACACTAGTAGTTAAAATAGTACAAAACAAACAAAACAAATACAACAAAACGATGAAATGTATAGATATAGATCAAATATATTAATATGTTAAAAATAAAGTATAACTAAGACTATTTACGTGTTTCAAAAACAAAACACTAACATAATCTACAATATATATATATATTTAAAATGAAAAAAAAATAAAAAGTATATTAAAATTTCATTTCATCATCACTATGAAAACCCAAAAAAACAAAAAAATTCGAAAAAAACAAAAAACACATTCAAAATTTCTATATGCGTGGAATGGTTAAAGAACATAGAAGGGATAGATAGTAAGAGAAAAAAAAAGGTAGATGATATAGTAACGTTAAATTATATCATATCATGTCAATTATTTCTTCTTACCAAACAATGGTTCACCAATGTTCTTACCTCTTAACTTAACACCAAGAGCTCTTTCGATCTTACCCAAAATTTGTTGATTTGGGATGGCTTTACCAGATTCATATTCATTAATAATTTGTGGTTTTTCGTTAATCTTAGTAGCTAAATCCTTTTGTGACATTTTCTTTTCTGTACGTACTTTAGAAATAGTCTTACCGACAGTAGCATCCAACTTCTTAGGCTTAATAATATCAGTTTCACGATCGACCATCGTTAGACGTTGACCTTCATTATCACCACGGGTATTGGTAGTACCGTACTTCTTATCGACAGATAAGACATTACCTTCACGACGGGCGGCATTGATTTGACCTTGAGTTCTAGCAACGTTAGCACGAGGACCAGAACCACCAGCATGAGCTCTGCGGCCAATAACAGTAGTAGAATCCCAGTCAGACATGATGTAATATGTGTAAAATGTAAAATGTAAATATAAAGTGTAAAAGTGTAAGTGTATAAGTATATATACTTGACTCTTTGCGTTTGTACTTCTAATATCTTGTGTAATAAATATGAAATAGGTAAAACGGTGGCAAAATACGAACTGCAAATATATATACGTTTTACTTCTCCTTCAACGACCCCCCTCTTCCAGTATATATATATTAACGCTATACTGTATCTGGGTATGGCCAACGAGATCGTGAAAGCGCAGCGAAGCGACGGACAGAAAAACTGAAAATGAACATATTTGTGGTGTCGTACACAGTGACGGGAAATATAGGTGACAGAACACTATAAGAAGGTTTCATCAGTCAGAATAGCGACAATAATAATAACAAAATGTAGAATAATTGAGTGGTCATGACTTCTCATTCCAATATATGAGAGACAATATTTTTTAGTTGCACCTTCAGGTATCTTACGTACACCGACTCGGAAAGAAAAGATACAGATATATGCACATTATCTATTTTATTGGATAGAATATATAAATAATACAAAATAGGACACTAATTGTTCTACATCTATCTTTAATAAGTCTTTTTAAGATGATATAATTTTATTTATTAAGAGTATTTATATCTCGTTCAAATGATAAATTCCACCCTCTACTATATAAAGAATCGTAGTTGACCCGTACGCCGTCGGATAACTAAAATAATTAAGAATATATTATATGCTTTTTTATATCATAACATACCTACTCACAGGCTGATATGAATTATTTTATGAGTAGACATCTAAACCCTAGACCCCGAAAACATTTCGCCTTTTTTTTAAATTTTACTTTGATATTGCTATAGCTGGATTATATGATCTTTTATAACTGATAATAAATGTTCTAGTACCATCTGTATCACATATATCTTTTGAGATTCCCAGGTTCAGACACACCCACAGCCTTTGATGGTTATGACGATATTGTACAGGAACAAAAGGGTAGTCCCATAGTCCACACTCAAATTGAATCTTTTAGCGCTATCTAAAACTTTTTTAATGGGGAGTATGTTTCTTCTCATTCCATCACTCTTGATAATAATAATATTTTTGTAGAGATTTGTTTGGGGTACTTTTTGAAATTGAGAAGAATACAGAATGGAAATACAAATCTTTGTTAACAATTCTTCACTTTGATTCAATCTGACTCTCTGGGGAAAACAGAGTATTTTTTTTTTGATGACATATAACACTGAACATTTAAAGAAAAACGATAGGGACAGTATCACTGTATACAATTCGATGGTCAGACATATTATACTTTTAGATGTACATCAAAATATATAGAAAGGTGAGTATGAGGAATTCTTTTACTGCCTCTACGCGCGCCGTGCCTCTCCCTTATCGTGTCACTCAGATTACCGGATCTAGCGGGAGGTGAACAGATATGAGAGTGAGAGGAGGTGGTTTGACTCAACCAACCAATGGATCACTGTGACGATGCAATATTGGGATAAAGGAAATACACATGGCAAATGATGGCCACGTTAAAATAAAAAAAAGAGGCATCGAGTAAGAAGTATACTTAGTCATGCTTGGTTGGGTTTGGGCATCCGTATTCAAGGTAACAAAGGTTCGAATGTATTAAGAAAATCTAAATAACTAATATATTCATATACAGGTGAAATAGATTTTATTTTACAATATCCACCACCCAAAAAGTAAATAACGCAACGGCCAAAGGTATACATATATTATGGCATTAATGTAACCATCAGACTATGTGCTGTTATTTCCATTGATGATGTGCTAAACCTAATTAGATACGTCTATATATATATGATATAATATATACAGTACGGTACAGTAATATCAAGAAACACTCTTTAGTACCTAATATATTATATCACTTACAGCGTCGTCTTTCGTGATTTTGCATCTCAACCTAACAAAGTTTCGTTCGGGCGAATTTCTTTGTTTCTCTTTCATTCCTAAGAACATATTGCAAATACATCCATCCATACGCACGCATCGATATATATAAATAAACATATATAGATAAAGGTTTGTTAGCCAAGGGGAAAATAGGAAGTTCTTGTTGTGATCGGTGGCACAGATACTGAACGAAGAAACCATTAACCATATAGAAATCATGACAACAAGTGCTGCTTCTGCCACAACGTCAGCATCGTCTGCTGCCCCAGCAGGCATAGATACAACACCACAAGAAGATACTCCTCGTGATGTACGTCTATTACATTTATTGCTGGCATCGCAAGCTATCCATCAATATGAAGATCAGGTACCTTTACAACTAATGGATTTTGCTTATAGATATACGCGTGGTGTATTGAAGGACGCTATGATGTATAACGATTATATGGGTGCTAATTTACATGTAGAGAATAATAGTTCTACCAATACAACGACGGCGACAACGACGACATCGACAAATAACAACAATAATAATGCATCAAGTGCATCGAATGATGGGAATGATACACAGGGCCATGACTCTGGGAAGAAAGGGAAGAAGGGTTTGACTGTAGAAGACATACGGTTAGCCATTGCAGCAAGAACTCAATATCAATTTAAGCCTACTGCTCCAAAGGAATTGATGTTACAATTGGCCGCAGATAGAAATAAAAAAGCTTTACCTCAAGTGATGGGGTCATGGGGTATTAGACTGCCGCCTGAAAAGTATTGTTTAACTGCAAAGGAATGGGATAATGATGATAACCATTCATCATCAAATTAATAAACATTAAAGATATATATATATATATTTATATATATATAATTAATATATTATCTGATTTTTGAGTGATGAAGATAATACCATAAATCCATTTTGTCGCCCTCTATTAAATTCTTTTTTTAGGTAATCGGACTAAGCCCCATCAAATTTATATATATATAATTTATTATAAAGTCATTGACTGTAATTTCATAGTTTTGTTAATCATGTTTTCCTGTACAGAGAAACAGAATACGAAGAAACAGGACTACAGCTTAGCAACGTTTAACTGCTTGTTTAATTTATTGATCGATGACTATGATTATTCGTTTATGGACTGCAGTAATCGCAGCTTTATATTGCAAAATTTCCCAGGCAATGGATATAGATACATCCGATGCCACTTCCATTTGTTATAATACTGCCTTGATCCAAGCTGGTATGCTTGATTATTATGAAGGTAACAGGTATGGTGGTACAGTAGGGATGTTTCAAAGTCCTTACTACTGGTGGGAAGCCGGTGAATCATTTGGTGGTATGATTGAAAACTGGTTTCTTTGTCAAAATGATACATACTTATCCTTGATCTCGGAAGCATTATTATACCAGGCTGGTACTTCATATAATTTTATTCCAGATAACCAGACTATGGTGGAAGGTAATGATGATCAAGGGATCTGGGGGCTTACAGTGATGGACGCTGTAGAGAGAAATATGACAGACCCAACAGGTGACAATGTTCCCGGTTGGTTATCGATGGCTCAAGCTGTGTTTAATACTATCTGGTCTAGATGGGATTCTGCTAATTGTGGTGGTGGTGTTAGATGGCAAATTTTCACTTGGAATTCAGGTTACAATTACAAAAATACCATTTCTAATGCATGTTTATTCCAGTTGGCGGCACGTTTAGGTAGATATACTGGTAACGATACATATTTGGAGGTAGCAGATGAAGTGTTTACTTGGCTTGTAGATGTCGGATATGTTGTTTTGGCTGATACAGCCAATGTATTTGATGGTGCAGACATTGCAGATAATTGTACAGATTTAACTAAATTAGAATGGTCTTATAATCATGGTGTGGTGCTTGGTGGTGCTGCATATATGTATAATGCTACAAACGGTACGTCGCAATGGGAAACTCGTGTTACACAACTATTGAAGGGTGCCACTACTTACTTTTTCCAAGATGGAATTATGTATGAGATGGCTTGTCAGGATTATAAGACATGTAACAATGATCAACGGTCCTTCAAAAGTATTTTCTCAAGAATGTTGGGTTTTACAAGTGTAATGGCTCCATTTACTGCAGCTACCATCGATCCATTAATAAAGACAAGTGCAGAAGGTGCTGCAAGGACTTGTAATGGTGGTTCAGACGGACATACATGTGGCTTAAATTGGCAAGCTACTACACATGATGGCTACTATGGTCTGGGTGAACAGATGTGTGCTTTAGAGGTTATGCAAACATTATTGATCCATGATAGACCTGCCCCTTACAAAGCAAATAATGGTGGTGCCTCCGAAGGTAATGCTAATGCCGGTCTAGACTCTTTGACTACGAACGTCTTAAAGAACGAGTTAAATATACAACAGAAGGATCGTGCTGGTGCTGCTATCATTACTGCTATAATCTTAGTAGCATTGACTGGTGGTGCTATCTGGATGTTGTTTTAACACACACAATAAAATAAAATAAACTATAAACGCACACAAGTATACATACATACATCTATATCTTTTAATGTTAAATATTTTTCATATGTAATAATTTATCTTATATTCACATAAAGTTTTTAAGCTCATTTCCAGTATTATTGAATTTAAAAGATATTATAACAACTGCAAATATATGCTATAGTTGGCGTATATTGCATCTCGAATAAATTTGGCTATCCAAAAATGTTTATGTTTTCACAGATTCAACAGTTTAGTTAGTGAGTATGGACTATCGTTGCCGCCCACCTCTTCGTAAAACGTGATTTTAAGCGGCAGATTTAAAAAAAGTAAAGTTAGCACTCACACTGGGGGTCGAACCCAGAATCTTCTGATTAGAAGTCAGACGCGTTGCCATTACGCCATGCGAGCTAAATTTACGAAAAGTTTTGAAAAATAGATCTCCTTTCAAGAAAACGCATATGTAACATGCTTTGGAAGTGTTTTAGGAATATATGGCTTAAACAACATTATACTTGTCAGAAATTAAGAGTAATATGCACAACACTTAATTTCAATAGGTAAAGAAACACCTTTATGTAAATGTAAGTTTGAAATCGAGAATATACGATTAGGTAGCAAGAAGAAATGATATATCGGTAAAATTAAATAATATATAAAGACAAAGAACTCTGAACTTACATCAGAAGTTAGATTCTATTCGTTCTATAAATTATATATAATATAAAGAGACCGATCGATTATCGTATTATAAATGTCCGAATTAAATAAAGTAAACCTTGAAGAGACTAATAGAGGCCAACACTCTATATCAGATTCTCTACAACATTAGCTTAACCTATCTGAAGGAGAAGGTAGCTAATATAAGTAGAAGTTAGAGTGTGATGCACTGCTGTATATAGAATAACACATGGTATATACTGCATAATATAGTATTCGTTCCCCCTACACTGGGTTTATTGGAGCTACCTTGTCCAACGTTACTATGCACAAAAGATGAGCAGTTTATTAACAGTAGCTCTGTTTAATACAAAGGAGCGGTTGCTATTAAAGTTCTCTATTAATAAATACTTTTGCATCGTATGTTAATGAATGAAGATCATGATAAATACATGTAATAAAACTGATTATTGTTAGACATAAGATGATATGTGACTATCATACAGCTCATAAATCATACCCTTATTTATAGATGCACCTCTCTTACCAACTTCCATGTAAGATATATCTCATCGTCACAACTATTGCAATGATCGAAACAATAATATAATATGTTGTCAAGAACATCATCAAACCATTGCTCCGAGAGAAATTAAAATGGGGGCGAATACAACAAATGTATCAAGGTATGACGATATCCATAAAAGTGAAAATATTTCAAAAGTTGGGCAAACTTACGAGACTTAAAACTCTTAATCAGTATATCCCTCGTGCAGATCGTTTGCTTATTGCCATTTACGTCATATATTAAAGAAGAGAGGAACCCACGCGGTCCAAAATAATATTCCGCCGATCTTCCCTCGGTATAGTGAGGCACGCGGTACTGCTGTGTTGAAGAAAACACGTTAAATTAGAGAGACTAATTGTACTCGCATCTGATGCAATAGTTTCAATAAGAATAAGAATAAGAACACCCACAAACACACATCCTCATATCTTATATATATATGTATAGTATATAATAGTAACTAATTATCCAGGTTATATTTGGGTAACATTGCAATAAACGATTTAAAGCAACTTTTTCTAAGTATAGGTCTGTTAAGAGACCATTATGCCATCTAAAAAATATAATGATAAATATTTAACTAGAAGGGACATTTTCGGTAGAGATTACTCCTGTATACTGAGTTCTCTACCAAATGTTGAACATTATAATGAGATAAATCCATATAGTAACGATTTGGAAAATGGTTACACACCACTTCATATAACTTTGAAACAAAATCAATTAAAGAAAGCATTCAAGATATACAAGATCTGGAAGACAGAAAAGTCATTCCCGTCTAACAAACAAAATAGTCATATATTAGATGAAAAGGATCGTGAAGGCTTATCACCTATAGATTTGTATAACTTACAATTTCAAAACAATATAAATCATTTCCCAAAACTGTTCAAATATACGTATCCCCATGAACCAAACGAGTCATTCCTAGAATGGGAACAAACAAAAGAGAATTTCTCTTTTGATCTAAAATCGAATATGATGGCACTTCCTAAATCAATAAAAGATGAAGAATATTTAAAAGAACAAAGGGGTTCTCATGTTTTGACACTTGGCTCAAATACAAATTACCAGTTAGGGACAGGGAATAAAGATGATAGGCAAAATTTCTTTCAAATGCATATTAATCAACTTAACGGAATGGTATATCCCCCTAGTAAGAATAAATTCAAAGATATTAAGATGACAAAATATCATTGTATCGTAAGGACCACGGATGATATGGTTTACAGTTGTGGTAATAGTACAAGAGGTAGATTGGGGAATGGCTCTACTGAGAAGCCTTCTTTCCTTTTCTCCAAAATATTGGATTTGGATGTATGTGGTATTCAAAGTCTACAGACAAGTGATAGTCATAGTGTCCTCCTAGATGGGGATGGAAATGTGTTTACTTGGGGTTGGAACGCCTTTAACCAATTATGTTATACAACTACAAATACTCCTTCAAAGAAACATGATGAAAAGAATATGGATACCTTGAATAGTAGTATCCCACGAAAAGTCCATTTTTTTGAAGGTAAAAATGTTTCCAAAATTGCATGTTCTCCAATTCACACTTGTGTATTGACTACAACTAATATGCTGTATATATGGGGGTTGAATGTTGGACAGATGGGTAACACAAAATTATCTCATATTAACCCAGATGCGGAATATATGGGTGAACTGGGTCACATAATGATGAAACCCATTGTGGTCAATTTATCACATCTAGAGATTGAACAGATCGTTGCTACCGAGTTTGTCACATTCTGTAGATGTAAAGGAAATACACTGGTTGTATTGGCGGATCACACTATGAAGACATTTAAACTTTCAGTACCTCATGCAAAAAATTATAAAGAAATCGATACATTTAACCATTTTGCTCACAGAGGTATTTCAAATGATGTCATTGATATCAAATGTTCAAATCCCTACGGAAATCATCTCTGTGTGAGATTTAGTTGTGGTAGAGTCGGTATGATATCATCAAAAAATGATTCAGTAAATAGATGGGCCAAACTCCCCAATAATTTACCAATATCTCTGTACTGGAATCCTAATAGAACAATGCATAATTGTCTAGATTTTGATGTTGGTTCAAATGGTGGTTTGATTATCTGCACATATGGTGGAGAAATCTTTATGACGAATTCAATTACTGAAAGGTTCACAAAGATGCATAGCAGTAAGCTAATTACTGGTAGAGCTGTATCAGTTTCCTGTGATTCATCATTCGACTCATTTGCTATTATAAAAGATGAATTCAACTCAACTGGGCTATCGCTCGATGTTAATGATGTTAGGTCTAGTTTTAAGCAATATTCGCCTTTGAATATTGTAAAAGGTATTCCATATGAATCAATAATACACGGTAGTTATTACAATGAAGACGATTCAATAATTGAAGATACATCCAAGGAAATTATTTCAGAACACATAATTCACAATAAGTCAAAACAATATGCGTTTGACGTTGAATTTTTTAGTGATTCTGAGCCAACCGGGATATGGGGTTGCCATAAGATTATTCTAAACAACAGGTGTAATACTCTTTTGAAATATTTAAAAGAAACTGGTACTTTCAATATAAAAGACGGGATTTTGATCTTTAAATTACAGAACAAATTCTCAGATAAGGTTTGGAGAATTTCAGTCTCAACCTCAATCGATTCAGTATTCCTTAACGAGGCGTCATGGTCTATAATACACATGCTATACACAGACGAGCATCCAAAAAATCAACAAATAGCTAGATTAGCTACCTATATTATCGAGGACTCTATACATAAGTTGGACATTGCCTCAACGATACATAATTTGTGGGATGTATGTTTAGATTCCTCTACATCCATTGAATCCAAAAATAGTATTCTATCAAAACCGGATGTTCTAATTAGATTAAAAGATGGTGACATAATTAGAGCTCATTCAATTGTAATTTCAAGTAGATCGATATTCTTTAACATTGCACTTAATAATAATTTCAAACATGAGATATTAAGTGGGCATATGAGTGTGGAGCTACCACATATTTCCAAATTTCTGTTTGAACCCATATTAAAATACCTTTACGGTTTCCCATTTGAAAGTATTTTTGATGTCGATACCTTAAATGAATCATTTTCTGAGACGCTAAACTTTTTTTTCGAGCTGCTAACATTTACGGAGGAACTCAGTTTAATTCCTCTCAAAATATATATTGAGTCAGTTTTGTCACAGTATATCAATGGCAGCACCGTTATCCCAACATTACTTCATGCTGTAAACAGTAATGCATCGATTTTAAAAGCAAATTGTTATATTTTCCTCTCTCTACATATTGGAATTTTGTTTTGCAAAGAAAATCTAGAACTAATTGATGATTACTTTGATGATCATATTTGGAATAGTCTTGAGAATCAATTAATACAATTTAAAGTTGATAGTATTATTTCTACAAGTCATAAAACATGGTATAATATGAAAGAAATTAATTGGGTAGAGATGTTCAAATGTAACATAGCCAAATTTAACGCAGTATTTATACATGGATCTCAGCAATTTGAACCATTATTTGACCAGAGACCAGAATCTACTAACGGTAGGAGACGGTCATCTACTAGGAGATCATCCTCTTCCCGTAAAAATAGTATCCGCCGATCATCTGTCTATAAGGAATCTAGACAATCAAGTAATGGATCATTTAGTGATGCTTCTCAGTTTCCTATTGTTTTGAAGAATCCTTGGGGGTCGACAACTACACTTGGCTCACAGAATTCAAATGCTATTGAGGACGACCCATCAGATTTTGTTGAGGTGGTCAGAAAATCGAAAAGGAAGTCCGTTGTTGATAAGAACAGAAAAAATTCCGAACCTTTATCTACAGGGTTATCTTTGCCGCCAACAGAAATTGTGATAAATCCTGATGTATCAGGTCCAAGTAATAGTCTACCCTCATTGTTAAGCAATAAAATGATAGATAATAAAATAGAAAAGGAAGATGCAAGTATTAAGATTACTGGGACTTTTAAGAAGAATACTCAAAAACAAAGAAGGAAGGAATTCAGCCATCACACATTGGATTATAAAGAACCAGATAATAAACCTGTATGGAAGAAGTCGGTAACTGTTAACAATAATTCATCTAAAAGAAATGAGAGCAATGGTAGTGAGAAATTGCCATCATTGTTTAATGCGGCGGTAAGCGAAATTAAGTCAGCCCCAAAGAGAAGTAAGAGAAAGAATACACACAAAGAGCATGAGAAAACGTTGTATGCTGAATTTGTAAGTACCGGTAACGGAGGTGGCATCAAACCATACATGGTATCTACAAAACAACAAGCAAATGAAATTAGTTCTGTTTTTGGTGACAAATCTGGAGAAGTGGTAAGCTCACTCGAAGAACAGATAGCAGCTCTTGAATTTGAAAAATGGTTTGCTCAAGAGAGTGCTAAAGTTCAAAAGACATTGAAAAGAAAAGATTCAGCAGGTTCAGATATTAAAATACTTTATAGAGATACAGAGAATATGCCGACATTAAATGGCAACCCAAATGGAACTTCCTCGAAAAGAAAAATTAGAGGAAATTTTAGAAAGAGGGATGGAAAATCTCTCGCAGAAATTCTATAAAAAATTGTATCTTGAGAAATTATAATAATGCTCTTGTTATGCACAGTCTATATGAAATTTATCTAAAGTATATTTATAGATATACATCTTTTAACTGAATATTTGATGACACTATTGCATTTGAAGTTCCCCGTCAGATCCTAATACAACTTTGCTCACACTACTAGATATTGGGGGATGAGATCTTGTTAATCCATTTTCGCTATATTCTCCACCAGAATTTATTTTAGGAAATTTATTGGCTGTAGTTGATGCCTTTGTAGACGATTCTGATCTTGGAATTGCAGCCCTTTGGTTCGCATACTTTTCAATAATATCTTTTTTATTTAATACATCCTCGGCAGCTTTTAAACCTGCTAGTTTTGTATTTCTAGCTGTTCCTGAACCTAAAATTGTGCCATCACCAATCTTACAAACGACAGTCGTTTCTGGATTTTCACGAGATGGTCTTTGAACTGTCTGGTAATGTAATTCTAATGCTGCGTAGCCGATTAATGAGTATAGCTTTCTTTTAGCATTTATGTTTAAATCATTATTATCTTCAAATATACCTTTCTTTGTATTTGTACATTCATTTATGGTAGGTAGAGCCAGCTTCTCCAGCCAATTTTGGATATCACCTAGAGTTGATGATTTATCCTCAACTAAAGCACCAACATATGCTTCAAATATATCAGCTGTCATTTTCTGCTTCCCAGAAAAATACTTCGCCCCACCATCTTGAAGGACATTACTTTTTAAATATTTGTCCATGTCATATGCTTGTGAAAATTCTTTTAATTTTTGATTGTTAATTAACTGGATTCTCAGGCTTGATAACTGACCTTCATCATAATTCGGAAACATTTTGTAAATAATAAGTGTCATTAATGTATTTAAAACAGAATCTCCAAGGAACTCTAATCTTTCATTGTGGGTATGTAGCATTTCCTTCTCAGTTAAGTATAGCTTGTTGTTCACCATTGACTTATGTATAAATACTTGTGATTTTAATGCAATGTTTTTAATTGGAAGAAGTTCGGGAGGCCAGTTCTTCTCCAAAGAGGTCGATATAGCTTCGTTATTTTCCTTGCTTTCGCCAAGAATATCATTACTATTGACAAGTTTGTTGTCGTTCGTTATGGCCAACGGTTTACTTTGTTCTAGCATCCTAACATCTTCTGTGGCCAAATTATTCAGGATTGGTTTTATTTCGTCCTTATCGAATTGGGTTTCGTATGTTGCGAGATCTTGGAGGTCTAATGGTTTATGTAATTCACTGAGTGATTTAATCTCTGCAGCAAATTTCAGCTTATGCCTGGAAAATGATGGTACTAATTGGAAATCTATTTTATCCTTATTTGTATCTATTTGTTGATAAGTTTTAAAATTTGGTGATAATTCAATGATCTTATTATATGATTCCATGAATTTAGTTACCGCATGTTCAAGTTCTAATGCCTGTGAATAATTATAAAAAATATTGAATGGTATTTCATCATTCTTATCATTCTTATCATGTGTATCTAGTTTCTTACTCTTTTTATGCTTTCTATCTTTCTTCTCTTTTTTAGAATTGGAATGTTTCTTACTTTTATGTTTACCTGAATCATCCTTCTTACTTATGCGACGTTTGTGGTGGTTTATAGATTGATCATCAATTTCAGGAGACTCTATTTCATTGTGTTTTCTTTTATTTTTTACCTTTTTTGACGATCCCATAATGAATAGTTATTATAGTATTTCGATTGGATGAATCACTTTGAACTGATAATAATAAGTCTGAGTTGTATGTTTTATTTTTATTGATAATGTTACTTCTATTTAAATATGATATTGCACAGTAAAAGATTTTGCGATGAGTTTCAAAAATTTTCAATATTTCAGGTAAAGGCGATGCGCTATTGTAAGAAGATATATAACATCAATAGACTGAAAATTAAAGGATTAGGTCGTTAGTACGTCCTTTCCTTCTGACGATATATTATTATCGTTATTACTTATGTGGGCTTTTATGTAAATTAAAAAGTGTATACAGAGGTACATAAACTATGAGCTGAGTTGAATTGGCGTGTCACTCAATATGTCTAGAATTTAAAATTCTGGAGTTCTTCCTCTTCGGATTGATCTTCATTATCTGTTCTTTCTTGGGAAGTTAGATATTTTTCTTTTTTACTTAATCCATGGAGCTTGTATGAAGTAGTAGATGCAGTCAAGCTAGATTTCTCACCAGAATTCTCTGTTTCGATGACTGTATATAAGGATTTTTCGTTCGTAGATTCGTTCGTAGATTCGTTAATTTGATCACTTCTCTTTGGAACAGCTTGTGTTGTTTCAAATTCTGTCAGAGGAATCGTACCATTATTTATTTTGGTAGTTATTTTATCCACTACAGTAGGTTGGTTTTCTTCCTCTGTAGTTTGTGCTTCTGGCTCCTTTACCTTCTTTTCATATACGTTTTCTAATGGATCATTTTTCTCAAACGATATAATTGATCCAAAATACTTTGTTTGACTCTTATTGTTTTTATTTCCAATTTTTGGTAAGTTTGTGACTTTTGCATACGTTCCGTCTTTTAAATTTGATATATCCCAATTTATCCCTGCGACTTGCATGCCAGCATAAGCTGGTGGCATACCTATTTCATTCATTGTCATACACCAAGGTGGTAATTGACCATCTTCCAATCCCATAGCAGTTCTTAAATTTGTGCTCAATTTCCCGGGAACTTTATCCTTTATCATTTTCCTCCATTGGGCTTCATCATTTAAATTTCTATTTTCATAATACATGTCACCAAATGGTAGTAGTAAATCTTGTTTCCATTGTGCACCAATCTTAAAGAAAATATTATATGTTCGTCTATAATCAATATCTAATGTCCCAGTTTTCACTTGTACTCTTGCTCTTGATAATTCTTTCAAAGATTTTTCGTCCTCCTTTGTTGGTAAAGTTGATCTCATTTGTTCGATATCCGTCATTTTAATTATATCTGGTAATTCAAATGGTTTCTTAGATAGTAATGATCTCCCTGATAAATATTCTCTTTTCGTTTGCCAATGAGAAGGTACAGGTACCATATTTTTCGAAGCCTTAATGGATGCCAATGTATAAGGATAAGGAGCGTCACAATCATACCATTCAATAACCTCGGGGTGGATTACAGAACTTTTCAATTGTGATAATGATGGTTTATTCATAATTCGTTGTTTCCTCTTTGAAAGTCCGGTCGTCTCTTTTTCATCTTCAACGTCATCTTCGATTTTATTAGAGTTAGTCTCTGCCACTGTAGCTAATTCATGACCTATCTCATTTTCATTTTCCTTAGACTGATGATTGATATCTTTGTATGATGGTGTAATATTTTTAGTTTCAAATTTCTTCATTACATTGGTAAAAGCATCCTCCAATTTTAAATTAACATCTCTGGCAGGTTTTGTAATCTTATTCTTGTCTTGTCGCCTTGTATCTAATAATTGAGCAATTTGTGCTTTATTATCATTACTACTAACATTGTGTATACTCTTCTTTTTCCCTTTCCTAGTTCCTGATCTTCTAGCCATCTTTTTATCCAACTATATATATATATTTCTATATAAGTATATGTAGTAGCCTATGACACTTTCTTTCAGAGTTTATCTATAGTCAAATAGTGTGACCACTTATATATACGCCTGTCTATTTATAATAAGTTTTGCAAGTCGCTTTCTCCACCTCATCAAGCTGATCTCCCTGTTTATACTATTAGGTTCCTGTTTCTTAGGTTCCCTGAATGTGACAAATTTCCATTGAAGATCCATTTTTTCTTTAAAAATTTCAATCTAATCCAGAACCCTAATATACTAACCTATTTAACCCTAACCCTAGCCCGTATTCCGGTGGAATTGCACAAGTAAAGCAAAATGAGTGCAATTGATGGTGAAGATGACGATCGGAAATTTCACTGAAAAATATTTACAACTTTTGCACCGCAAACTGAAACTTTTTTCAGTGAAATATGCATGATTCATCTGTGAAAAACTGTGAAATCACTGATGGACTGAGCAAGTTACGGACATTATTGATAAGCAAAGTAGGTAGGTGGTTACTCTCAACTTTGATAGAATTTTTGGTGCGTTTTTGACCATTGTCTGTATGGAGAAGGCAGTCTCGAGGTGTTCCTATATATATATATATGCACGTATATTAATGAGTTTATATTTAAGATTTCATTATCTGTGTCTCTTTACGTAAATTGCATCTTGCTAGATTGCATCCATTTTGATTTTGTTCAAAACAAATAAATATATTATTATCTTATACATTGCTACCGGAATCATACTCTTTACTTGATAGATTTAAGATAAACACATATATATATAGTAACGGCATTAATTAATACTATTTATTTCCTTCGGTTAAAGTTTTAAAATATAGATCATCAAAACAATGTCTGCTACTCCTGTTACACAACCTGAACATTTGAAGAAGAAGCCAGTGTCCTTCTCTAACATCCTGCTAGGTGCAGGTCTAAACATGTGTGAGGTGACTACTTTAGGTCAACCTCTGGAAGTCATCAAGACCACTATGGCTGCTCATAGACAATTGAATTTCCTAAGTGCTATGAAACACGTATGGTCCCGTGGTGGTGTCTTTGGTTTCTACCAAGGTTTGATTCCATGGGCATGGATCGAAGCCTCCACTAAAGGTGCTGTGCTTTTGTTCGTCGCTGCTGAAGCAGAATATAAATTCAAATCCCTAGGGTTTGGTAATTTCAGTTCAGGTATCCTTGGTGGTGTCTCTGGTGGTGTTGCACAATCGTATTTGACAATGGGGTTCTGTACTTGTATGAAGACAGTAGAGATCACTAGAAAGAAGACCGCAGGTGCGGCAGCTCAATCCTCTTGGGGTGTCTTTAAGACTATCTACGCTAAAGAAGGTCTAAAAGGTATATATAAGGGTGTTAATGCCGTGGCTATAAGACAGATGACTAACTGGGGTTCCCGTTTTGGTTTAAGTAGATTGGTGGAAGATATTATTAGAAAGACTACAGGTAAAACTAATCCAGAAGATAAATTGACTGCTCTAGAGAAGATCTCTGCCTCAGCTATTGGTGGTGGTTTAAGTGCTTGGAATCAACCTATTGAAGTCATTAGAGTCGAAATGCAATCTAAGACTGCTGATCCAAACAGACCAAAAAACTTGACTGTAGCAAAGACTTTCAAATACATTTACCAATCTAATGGTATTAAGGGTCTATACCGTGGTATCACCCCAAGAGTTGGTCTAGGTGTCTGGCAAACAGTCTTCATGGTCGGTTTCGGTGATATGGCTAGAGAATTTGTCGGTAAGCTAACTGGTGAAACTCCAGTTGCTAAACATTGAACATTTGTATAACGTTTTTATTTATCTTTCTATATTTGCAACCTTTCAATTTATACAATATTATTTTTGCTTTGCTTTCGTCGAAATAAGAAAATGCATCAGTTTATATTTCATTGTTCGTATAATTTTCTTCACTTTATGTCAAAATATTGATATAATATTGTAGATGATTGGTTGTGTGTACTTTTTAAATTTCTATTTTACATAAATATCATGATACATAATAATAACAATTACAAAACCGTGATGTTAGAAATGACTATGACTAGATAGTGACAATTTTTTTCTGTTTTTCTTTTGTGATTTTTTAGTTTTCAATATTCTGTTGGAATAATTGTATCACAAATAAGAATGCTAAGGGTAAAAAATGGGATTACAAATGGTGAGAGAGTGTTAAAAAAAAAGAGGAACATATGTCTTATTTCTTTTCTTTCTTAGACTTTTTGTCTTTTTTATCTTTCTTTTCCTTCTTTTCCTTCTTTTCCTTCTTTTCCTTCTTGGATTTCTTGGACTTCTTAGAGTCTTCATCTTCATCTCTCTTTCTCTTTTTGTCCTTCTTTTCCTTCTTCTTTTCTTTCTTTTCATCTTCATCTTCAGATTCATCATCAGAGTCAGCAATTTCAGCAGCTGGTTCGGTGACAGCATCAGCATCAGCATTGTAAGCTCTAGCTTCAGTCATCTCAACCTTCTTGGCTTCACGGACAACCTTTGGAGTAGTTCTTAGATCTCTACCTTCAACTTGTGATAATCTGTTTTCAACCTTGGCTCTAGCTTCTAGACCAACGTCACCAGAGTCATCTCTGTCTTCAGCCAAAGCATCATAACGTATAGAGACAGCGGCCTTAGCAGCTAGAACTCTAGCAATCTTACCCTTGTTCTTACCGGTAGCTTGACCGACTAAGGAGGCATGGTACAAAAGACCGTATTTTGGTGTATCATGCTTAGTCTTCAATGCTCTGAATAAAGCCTTCTCGGCACCAAGAATTTGGATGGTGGAGGCTGGAGCCTTAGCCAAGGATATTAGAGAACCAGAGTGGGCAATTAATCTAGCACCAACTAGTTCACCGACTAATTGGGTCAAATTTGGAGCAATAGCCTTCATTCTAGCAGCCAAATAGTTGGATAATTGTTCTCTGTATGCAGCAAAGTCGACAATTTGGTCAGCTAAGTTCTTAATGTTGTCTAAATCATCCTCTGTAATTTCGGTACCCATGGAAACTTCAGCAGCGGTCTTAACACGCTCTTCGACTTCTTCTGGTAAGATTTCACTCAAGTCTGTGTCAGCAGCCTTGGATCTAACACCCATGGTCAAAATAATTCTAGCGTAAGCGACTGAGTCAGTGACGATCTTAGCTAGTTCAGGGAAATGCCACCCGTACCATTCCTTACATCTCATAGCGTATGTATTCAATTCTTTATCTAAGTCATCCAATAGAGCAATAGCTTGGATAATCATAACATCGACCTTATCAGCAGAAAACTTCAATTTATGACGACCAATGGAGTGAGCTAGACCTAAAGACATTTTGCTCAAATCAGAATCGTTTAAACCTGGTAGTAATTCTGGTAGATATTCCTTGACAGCTCTATAGATATCCAGAGTGACAGCATCGGAAACAACATTAAAGTTCAAACCAAGCTTGTTAATGGAGTTAGCTAGTTTAGTTTCACTAACCACTAAAGTGCTCTTCTTATCCTTCTTGATTTCTTCCAAAAGTTTCTCTAATTGTGGAGAAACTTTACCTTCAATAATAGAATTAGCTTCTTCCAAAGCATTTGCGGCAGAGTTAAACTTAGAGAATGCAGCAATCTTGAACTCCTTTAGGACCTTGTCTGAGGAGTTTAAGTCCTCCAATAGAGAGGTTGACTTGTAGATCTTCTTGTCAGAGGCCTTCAATAGAGCGTAACCTGCAGAGGTTTCGGTTAAAACGTAGGACATCTTCTGATTAGGTTATGGTTCTCTGATGTGAATTACAAATAAGTTAAATTCTTAAATGAATAATTATCTTTGTTTATAGGGACGGTATCCTCCTTAATATCATCATCCCTCTGTACCATATTGCCCATCATCGCTTACTTTGTCGCTAAGTTATTAGAGTTAAAAATTTTCGATGAGACTGAAAATTTTTTGAAATTTTTCAGGCACGTGATCAACCAATGAAAAATGGTAGTAATTATCATTTAACTGGAGAGCTACGAACAAATCTCAACAGTTAACTCCATTAAATGTTAATGTTGTTTACAAATATTGGGGAATGATACACCTTCACATATGTTTAACTCCAATCCAGGTAGTTCTAGTAGGTATATTTCTTGTAGGTTTATTTAATATTATCGAAATAAGAAAATGTAATTGATACGTAATGTGACTAATTAAATTTATTAAATTTTACAAAACTGATTTATATGAAAAATGTATATAATATGTGTGGAAACAAATGAATAAAAACAATAGAATTCATAATTTATCAGATTAGTAGAAGGTGGATGGTCTCTTGTAAGAGAAAGTCTTGGTAGACTTTTGGACTCTGTGAGGCAATGGGAATTTTAGGTCCTTGGTCAAGAATTGCTTGACGTATGGTCTCTTAACATCAGCAGTCTTTTCAATTTCAGCAACCTTTAGAATATGGATAGATCTGAATCTGGTTCTGTGTCTGGCAGCCATGTCTTGGTACAAAGTTTCAACAGCATTGACTCTGGAGACATCTCTGACTTCCTTGTACATGTTATGGGTACCGGATCTAGAGTCGTATCTGACCCATAGACCGAAGTTCTTAACAGTAGTTGGGTGAGCTTCGTGAATTTGGTTGATGGAAACAATTTCACCAGAAGCCTTCTTGACCTTGTGCAACTTTTGCAAGAAATACCAGTAACGAGACTTAGCAATGACTTCGTTAGAAGCAAAGATTCTCATTCTGAACAACTTTGGTTCTGGAACGGATTCGGTTGGCAGACGACGGCCAATAACTTGGTATTCGTTGAAATGAGACACTGTAATAAAAGGGGTAGATATATCTTCATCTTAATTTCATCAACTTCTTGCGGGAAGCAAAATAGTATATTTGATAAGAAACACGATTAAAGATAAATATATAGTATTGTTAGTAAAAAATTCCATGAAATGGGTGATTGTTTGTCGGAGTGAGAAGCTTCAACATGAAATTGTTCCAAACTGTCTGTTTATATGTTACGTATCCTATTATTCGACGCATGTGGTAAGTTTATATCTCTTTCATTTTTATATTGCCATATCTGCTAATTATTATACTACTATTTGGTATTTTAATATTCATATTTTAATCAAAGTATATTTTCTGGATCATATCATATGTGACATCGCCATTTCTCGTTTCTTATGGTATTATTCTATTCATTTTTTTAATATATTTTGTCTAAACTTCATCTAATTCGATGTATTCTTAATCCAATGAACATATCTCATCATTAAACAACATGTAAATCATCTCCTCTACTCATTACGACATCAGGTAAATATGTACTCACTTTTTCGCGTACTGTTTTCGATCTTCTTTAAATTAAAGTAAAAGATAAAATCTAAACCAAACCTTTAATTATAAGCTATATGTTGATATATATTAACTATTTACTTCATTTACTACTAACTAACCATTGAAAATTCATTATGGTGAAAATTCGTTCACTAAGCTCCAGTTACTAAAGGTTAACCAGAGTCTGCGCACAGCTTCTTTGACATGCAGCATAGACCTATCGAGGACTTCAAGATTTCGAAAATTGACCTCATCATGGTGTAGTGCGACAAAGAATAATTCATTTCATTTTCCAAATTTGTGTGTCCTTCTGGAAAAGCTGTGCGGGCAATTCTTTGAATAAAGTTTCCGATATCGTAAAAGGCGAAAGAACCATACATAATTTTGAAAAATGGGAACGGACGCAGAAAATAAATATTTAAACATGAAAGATATTCAATATAGTCGGGTGTACAGATGTTTAATAAATGTCTGGGTTTAGTAGTCTCTATTTTTTGATCACAGATTATAGATTATTGAACTATGTTGGCGCAAGTAATGAAGAATGATAGCATTTTATGTGATAAAGTATATAAGATCTATTAATGTGATTATGAATATTAAATAAAGAAAAGTAGGTGTTTTGAGTGGACTATGTGGAATGCGTATTTGTTTCATTCCTTTTTCTGAGGGTCCTGTTAGAATAATAAAAAGTCTATACCTGAACGTAAGTTCTGCTTGGTTTCAAGCGATATTTTGGGTATAGATTAAAGGTTGGTAAATTATTGGAATGTATATATATTTCACAAGACCATTTGATAGATACAAACTTTCTTGGTGTAGAAAAATTCATGAAACTATCATGTGTGATATGCTGATCTGGCATATATACCATTTTAGGTTCATTTGAGGAATTGATATTTGTTTTGCCATGTGGATTAATTAACCAATATAGAATCAATGATGCGTATAAGCAAAATATTGAGATGATAAAACTTATAAAAGTGTTTATTACCAATGCAGTGTTTATTATAGGAGATATTATCATGTTTTGGCAATGAGCATCGATACTATTTTTCTGTAATGCTCTATTTCGAGTTTGATTTTTCTTGACCATTCTATTTAAACGATTTATTGGTTGAAATAATATCATTATTGGTAGCAATGTTGTCCTTTTCACTTCTTTAATGGATACAGTTCTACATGTCGGAGAGAATTTTAATGGATACAGTACGAATTTGGACAATAAAGTATCAAATAGACTAATTATCGGTCTAATTAATTGATATAATTTTAGTTTGCTTATTGTTTCCAAAATCGATTGTATGATAAGAATTATCCTTTGTAGATAATTCAGTTGCCGTGTATAATATATTAGCTGTTGAAATATATAATATTGACGAAGTGCGGATAATGTTTTATAGAATGGTAGAGTTTCCGTAAGATGTATTTTCAATTGTAATTCATTTCTTAATGGTATCCTTTGGATCCGATCCCTGATGTTATAGTTCTAGTAGTGGCGTGTATTATCATATTTCCTTCTATATTGCAATTCTGGTTTCAATCGTATTTTATAATGGGGTGCCATCCAGTCTTCTGTTGGTAGGGTCCATATATGATCCAAACAATAGTTATTGTGTTTTATAATACCGTATGATTTCAAATAAGTCAGTCGTTCACTATATATATATATATATATACAAGTAGTTTATATTGTTATTACAAGAATACAACAGAAGATACACACCTTCTACCCTCATTCTATCAGTGCATGAACAGGAACAAATTTCTTTGTTGACATCCAGATCATCTTTGTTCAGATCAACACTAAATTCAGATTAAATATACATCATATACATATATCTGAAACAAAAAACACGGTCAGAAACTCTCGTAGCGAACACTCGATCCCACAGTGAATCAGCTAGCAGTGGCTCATTGGCATCATCGCGTTTTCGATCCTTTAATTATGTAAAGTCGTCCCAAAAGGAGACCTGTTTGCAATATAAATATTGAATTTTTCAGTGAATTTTCTGCTGATTCGTGTAGTGAGCGAGTGACAAGCGCGTGTCGTTTTTCTAAATTTCATTTGTGGTTTTGGTGTTGTCTGTGGTCTTTTAGTAAGATCCAGATGGAACGCGGCCATTGCCTAGGTTTGTTTGGCTTTTTGTGAGACGATACGTGATATTGTCTATGTTCTACTAGGACGACTCCGCGGACTACTAATCTTACTTACTTTAATTGTGGGAAGCGATTCGATCCGATCATGAGAGAATTAGTCCCTTGCATGGTCTTTTAACCAACGAGAATATATAGTATGTAATACTGGATTAAGAGTATCGTGGGTGATGCCGTTTATTTAAGAATATAATCGTAAAAGTAAACTAGAAAATCTGTTTGCGTTTATGTATATGTATTATATATTTTATTTTTGATCTGTTTATGTAATTTGTTACTATTGTACGAGTAGTTGTGTGGAAGGACGAAGAACAGCTGTTCGAAAGGAACATTTTTTAAATGAGAAGGTTTAGATATATTTATACCTTAATTTCTATTCTTGCAAATAAGTTCCCGACATTTTCCAATCCTTATTTATTTTATTCTTGTTGTTACTTCATAAAGTCTATTTGCATCTGTCAGAGTAACAATTGGCTGCATTGTCCACCAAACAATCGGTGTCCCTAGTGGTAGAACCATATGCAGTGCATGGTGTAGGACTATTATCATCTACACCTCCTGCAATGATGGAGAATCTCCTACGATCTTGGGCAGAGACTTGATCTGAAGAGAATTCCGGTTGAACAGTAGCTGAGTGGACACCGTGGTTATGGAATATATGTCTAATCAATTTAGCTGTCGAAACAAACTCTTCGGGACTGATATCTAGCTTGACATGTATGGATGCAATCGTAGTAGCCTCCGTCAAGTTCCAGATATGGAAATCATGGACAGCTAAGATACCTGGGATCTCTAAAATCTCATCACGGATCTCATCTGCAGATATACTCGATGGAGTAGCTTGTAAAAGAATCTTAGAGGCTTTACGAGATAATGGCAGTGCAGAGGAGAAGATGATTAGCGTGATGAATAGAGAGACCAATGGATCACTGTAATATCTCCACGAATAATCTGTCTTCCAAATGAACCAAGCAGCTGATATCACACCGATATTACCTAATGCATCACCCATGACATGTAAGAACACACCACGCATATTTAATGATTTAGTTGATTTTTTTGGTTTCTTAGCACTTTTCTTCTTACGTTTAATCAAAGTGGTCTTCTTTACCAATGGTGTATCTTCATTGTTATTACTCTCGTTAACATCGTCATTACCACTTCTTAGTATATCAACAGTGGTATTAGTTAGAACATCATTAGGGGTGGATTCTACAGAGTGAGAATGAGTATGATCATCACTCTCTTCGGCATCGCGACTAGTGTTTGTAATCATATGTTGATGACTTGAGCCAATACCGTTTCCAGCTTCTTCGTCGTGAACACCATGATCATGGTCATGTTCGTGGAATAAGAATAATCCCAGAATATTTGACACTAGACCAGCAAAACCAACAGACATGACCAATTTAGGGTTCTCCACTACTTGTGGTTGAATCAATCTTTGGATACTCTCGATCAAAATGGAAAAACATAATGCGATTAAGAAGACAGCGTTGATTAGTGCACCAAGGATCTCCGCTCTTTTCCAACCATAGGTATACTTGGAGTCAGGATCACGTTCTTTGGCGACCTTCACGGCCCAAAGAGCCACTAGTAATGAGATAATATCATTTAGCATATGGAAGGAATCTGCAATCAGAGCTAATGAATGAGACATGTAACCAATCGTTAATTCTAAAATAAAGAATATACTGTCTAGCACTAGCAAAGACATAATTCTAATTTCTTTACCTTTCATCATCTTGGGCAAAAGTTGTTATATGCTAAACACGGTGTAGTGTTAGGGGATGGCTATTTGTATATAACTTTATTATTGTTATCTGATTAATCTATCTTTATACTAGCAAATATTGGATACTGTTAAAGTTTAATGCAATGAAATATATTCCTTTCCAAAGTGTAAATTAACGTTAAAGTAAAGGTATCTTAATTCTAACCGAGAATAATTTCGATTGATGATTAAAGATCTGTAAGTGGATTATTATCAACAGGACCTATCTTTTTCTAGTTTTGCAATAAGATATGTATATGCTAATTCGAGTTGTTTAAACAGTGTTGGGAGTTGTCACAGTTGAGATAAGAACCAGGTTATGTATTTGTTTATAATGATTCGTTAATGAAAATGTTCTTCAAATTGCATTAGTAACTTACTCTCAATTAGTAATTTCCCTCCCTTTTCTTCCTTCACCTTTAATTTTCTTAGAGACAGGGAAGTAAGAAAAAAACTGAAACAGAGCGGCCGATGTAGCGAACGAATACACTAACAAAAAACTCGGGCGAACCAAAAAATTTCTCACCTGCTGTACGACTGTCCGTGAGTGTATAGAGTGAAATTGCCATCTCTTTCTCTCTCCCTGTAAAAACTCACTTGATGTGGCCATCACGGATTATATGAACTAGAGGGTGCACTTGTCCTAATGGCAGCGACGGTTGATATCCCATTGCCAAAAGTGACCATTTCTTGTCGAATATTTGCAATTTGCAGCCCTATGAGCTAAGTAGGGTTAGCATCAGTTCTAATGTTTGAATGTGAAGAGAATGATTTACTTATTAGTTTAACGATGAGATAGACCGGACTTTGTCCTCTTTATTTGTGTCTATTGCTTGGAGATGTCATTTATTGAAAGGAGTGTTAAAAGTGTATAGTGATGTAAGAAATTATTAGAAGACAAATGTGTTATTGATCTCCTTTGTCACGTTACTTGCCACCTCATTAAATTGTGAGTTATAAAGGTCTTATTATTAATAAAGGAGGTGTTAGTTATATAGGCTCTAAAAATTGTCCAGTAGTTTTGAGAACAATGTACTGAATGAATATCAATTTTTTGTTACATATTAGGTTAACATTCAAATGATGTTAATTTAAATTGGTGCATAAAGCAAAAAATTAGTTTTGATTGTTAATGCACTTTACAGTGACGTTCGTTTTTATCCTTGATTCTTTGCTTTCTTAATTATACGCACCATATATTCTTACTATCGTACATAACGTTAGCGAAGTCCGGATATATATGTTTTATATTTAATATATATATGTCATTACAAATAAGCAGTATTGAATAACTGTCACCCCAGCATTATTAATTTTATTCTTTTTTTTTTTGGATACCATTATTTAGTGGCATCACTTTTTATTTGGTTCAGATTAATTTTGCGATTCTCGGAATACTTATTATACATAATATCTATACAACGTTCAATAATCAAGCCACAACCCATACATTATCCGAGAATACTATACTTGCATTTTGTATTTGTACAGTTATCTTTGTTTAAATTTATTTCTTAGTATATGTACCAAAAATATCATACAATTTAACGTATTTCATAGATATATATGTGTTTTCCAATAAAGGTAATTTCATATGATATCTCCATTGAGAAATTCCGGATTGATCGGGGCTTGGCCACCCTACCACAATACTTCTTTAGACAAAATAAGGCACGATAACATTAGAAAGATGTTGCTTTATAATTCTAATTAAAAAGTAACCATGCGATTCTAGAACCGTTATTTCGATGACAGTAGATCGTACAAAAGTATAAAAAAGAGTCTATTTAGTTTAATAATATTGTAAATGATACAAACGCCGTAGTTACTGATTACCGATGAGTTTCTAGACCTTGTTCCACAATAGCCACGATTTGCTTTTTCCATTTACTTTCTTTTTCTTTTCTTTTTTTGCCAGTAATTTCTCTGTAGTTCGAAGAGCTGATTTGCATAGACGGTATGTCAGTTTCTTTTTGTGGTAATTTAAACCTATCACTTTACTTTTTTAGTAAATTAGGTTTTGGGCGGGTATGCACCGAACAAACGCGGAGAGAAAATAACAAGAAAAAATAACTTTATATGTTCATCCTCAGGTTATTTCAGGGCCCATACAGGAAGACTAGAACCATTTCTTTTATTTGTAAATGATGTAAAATATAACAATGGCCAGAGAACTTTCGGATTAAAGTCAAGAATAATAAAGTAGACTGCACATTTCTTTTCAGCACAGTTGCTTTTATACTTTCTTTTTTCCGGATAACAGTTTCTTTTAACACCTTGCACATATGAGATCTAGGATATTTGTTAGTGTTATTAGTTTCGATCAGTAATAAATGACACTACATTGGAATGATCTTGTTTTTCGATGAATAATTCATATAAATAGCAGCTAATTTAAATATATTTGATATTCTAATTTTATGTTTCCCTTGTTAGTTAATAATTAACTCTTATATAGTTATATATAATACAAATCATATCAAAAATAAAGTGTTTACCAACTTATAGTCACTCCTTTAATTTAACAAAGCAAAACTACTACTTTCCTTAAATAAAACTACAAATATGATTTCTAACACTCTTTCACTCCTTTTATTGAGCACTATTGCTAATTCTGCTCCTATTGCCGATGTTGAAATTCCATCCACTTCGGATGTTCACCATGAACATAACCCATCTCAACAAACCAAACGTGGTGGTACTTGTTCTTTCCCAAACTATGATGGTATGGTTGCTGTTCAAACTAGTGGTAAGAACGCTGGTTGGGCCATGCATGACGATCAAGAATGTACATATGGTTCTTGGTGTCCATATGCCTGTAAGCCAGGTCAATTAATGGGTCAATGGGATCCATCTGTCACAACATACTCCTATCCAGGTTCTCAAAATGGTGGTTTGTACTGTGACTCCGAAGGTAACTTACAAACTCCAAACAGTGGTAAAAGCTACTGTTATGATGGTGCTGGTACATTCATTGCCAAGAATAAAGTTGGAAAAGATGTCGCATTTTGCCAAACTGTCTTACCAGGTAATGAAGAAATGTTAATTCCTACATTGGTCGGTTCTGGATCCAGTCAAACATTAGCGGTCCCAGACACAAGTTATTGGGCTGGTACTGCCTCTCATTTCTATATTAACCCACCTGGTGTCAGTGTAGAAGATGGTTGTAAATGGGGTAGTACTGCTGAGCCATGGGGTAACTGGGCTCCATATGTCGCTGGTGCCAACATGGATGACAGTAAGAACACATATGTTAAGATTGGTTGGAATCCAATCTATTTGGAAGACACTAGTCCATTCAAGAACACCAAGCCAAGTTTCGGTGTCAGAATTACATGTGATGATCCATCTAAATGTGTTGGTCTACCTTGTTCCATTGATCCATCTAGTCAAGGTATCAATCAAGTAAACAGTGCTGAAAGTTCATCCGGTGCCGGTGGTGCTGATTTCTGTGTAGTTACTGCACAAGATGGTGCCAAGGCTAATATTGAAGTCTTCTCTGTTTAAGATTAATACTTCTGTAACATTACATAAATATATATATTCTATAGTGTCGAATAATATTAGTTCTTCGTTTCTTTTTTGAATTATTGTTTACATGAGTGAGTCTACTTGAAGTTCAGTGCTAAAGGTCAAAACTACAAAATTTTTAACTAAACTAAAAAAAAAAACACTCAAAAAGTAGTAAAAGATAATATGAATATAAAAGTGTTGATATGATAGATAGAATAGCACTAAGACCTAATATATATATATATATATAAAATCCAAATGAGTAATGAATATTTACAGACAAACAAATAAAAAAAAAGAACCAACTCAAAGGGATCTGCAATTTTTTCTCTTAGTGATATGAGTTATCGAGAATATCTCCGAGGTGTCTAAATTAATTATTTCTGTTGTAATTGATTTTGATTTTGTTCATCTTGTTGCATTTGTTTTTGAATCAATTCATTTCTATAATCTGTTACTCTTTTCTCTTTAAAATAACTTATCCAACTATTTGCACAATCATTTTCAAACCCTTTTTCTTGATTGCTACAATTCTTTTTAATTTTAATTTTATTTTTTGGATCTAAGGGACTAATAACATCGATCTTATTAAGACAGTCAAAATAAATGTCTCTTGATTCCCAGCATTGTTTTCTTGCTTCTCTATTATTTTTAAATTCAGGTTTATTTCCTGATACAAAAGGAAACCAAACCATGATTACGTTAATATACTATGACTTATTGTGTATCTATTTCTCTTTCCTCTTTTAACTTCACTTCTTAATGTGAATCCTGTTCTTCTTCTCTTATTTTTTTAAGTATATAAGCTTTCTCTCCCTTAATTAAATCGATCTATATAAGTGACGTCGTACAAAACTACATAAGAATACAGCCGGTCACGTGCGACATCACAATACACGAGCACTAGCAGCTCAATAATACAAGAAAAAAGAGTACTTTTCACAGATAGCACATATATTAAGTTGCCCTTGCATTGTGCATTATTAGCGAGATGAGTGTATATAGCCCTATTTAAGGACAACTTATAGCACAATATATGCATAGAGACTTTATTTTACTATTTATGTCAACGTGGTCCGATCAGTAATAAATTAATGGAATGCCACCCTTTCTCTTTTACATTAATACAATATACCTCTATTTAATTGGTTAAGGTGTGTGTGTGTGTCACATCACTCACAATTTTGTTTCCCCTCCATCAACCGAGCCGCTATTCTCGCTGTCCTCCAAAGATTGTCATTTTCGGTGGGCGGTTCAGTTTCGTCAACAATTTTTTTTTGTTGGATTTTTGTAACTACCCAACAAATTTCGGCCGAAACAACTAACAAAGCCGCACTAACAAAATCCAATTTGTTGGCGAAAAACTCCATATTCTACACTAAACCCGATGCCCTACACTCACGAAATTAGGGCTGGAGCATATTCCCCGACATCGACTCATAGTTAATCTTGCAATCTCAATCTAACAGGACGAGACAGACAGAGACAGAGAGCCGATTGCTATCTCGTCTTTATTATAGTTAGATCAGGGGCAGATGATCCCTGTCACACTCCGTCTCTACCGCTCCACTCGTCTCTATCTCGTATAGCCTATAACCCTAATATCGGGCATGAGTTCCCTCTTCTCCCAACAAAAATTTCAACAATTTTGGTTTTCCACTTTCACACTGACAACCTGCGCAGAACCATTTATTGGTTGACCCGAGTCGCCCGCCAACCGAAATTCCTTAAGCGCTGAAAATTAAATTTGTTACTGAATTGGAGTCCTGATTTGGGTTGTTGGTGCGGGGGTTTCTGTTGCGACAATACACAGCTGAAAGAAAAGGGATTCATTTCCCATATCGTCAAAATCACCACATTGATTAAAAAAGGGATTATTCTAAAGTAGTAGCACCATTAACGGTTATAAGGACTTGGTATGATTTTTTGATTTTTATTACAATCAAAAAAGACAACAACAACAACAGCAACAGAAACGGTGGCAAGTTTTTAATATATTCATATATATAGTGGGAGACGTTAGAGATTAGATTAATTGACTTCTTGGGTTGTATATATATATATATATATATTTTGATTTACACTCTTCTCACAAAATAGTTTTGTAATTTCATTCTCTTATATTTATTCTCTTTTATATATCCGTAAGTTGAAAAGAATATATTATACTACAATATTTATAGAAATTCATTATACAAAACAAAAATGGTAGAACAATATAGTGTTATTGTTGGTAAAGCCGAAAATGAACATGAAACTGCTCCAAGAAGAAATAGTAGATTTAAGAAGGCTCCTTTAACTAGACCGATTGGTATGAAATGTAATACCGTTTATGAATTTTTAGTGGAAATTTTCACTAAAAATGGTAAAGGTAGAGCAATGGGTTGGAGAGATACTATCGATATTCATGAAGAGAAAAAAATTATTAATAAAGTGGTGGATGGTAAAAATATCCCTACTGAAAAAATATGGCAATACTATGAAATGTCGCCTTATAATTATAACACTTATGAGGAATTAATGGATATAATGCATGATATTGGTCGTGGTTTAGTTAAAATAGGGTTAAAACCAGGTAGTGAAGATAAATTACATATCTTCGCCTCTACGTCACATAAATGGATGAAAATGTTTTTAGGGTCTCAAAGTCAAGCTATTCCAATCGTGACAGCTTATGATACCCTTGGTGAATCGGGTTTAACCCATTCAATGGTTCAAACGGGTACTAATGCGATCTTCACAGATAATGCGTTATTACCAAAATTGATTAATCCATTAAAGAAGGCTACAGAGATTAAATATATTATTCATTCTGAAAAACTGAATCCAAAGGATAAAAGACAAAATGGTAAAATATTTAATATCCCAAATGAAGCTTTGCAAAAGATTAAAGAAATTAGACCAGATATTAAAATTTATACATTTGACGAAATCGTCAAAATGGGCCAAGAATCAAAACATGAAATCGATCCTCATCCACCAACTGTAGACGATCTGTGTTGTATCATGTACACCTCAGGCTCCACAGGTGATCCAAAGGGTGTTGTTCTAAAACAATCTACTGTCACCGCTGGTATTGGTGGTGTCGGTAGTACTGTGTATGGTTACATGGGACCCGAGGATAGTATTATTGCATTTTTACCGCTGGCTCATATCTTTGAGTTGGTATTTGAGTTGGAATCCTTTTATTGGGGCTCTTGTATCGGTTACGCTTCCGTCAAGACTCTATCGGCTCAATCCATGCGTAATTGCCAAGGTGATTTACAAGAATTTAAACCTACTCTGATGGTTGGTGTCGCTGCCGTCTGGGAAACTATTAGAAAGGGTATCCTAGCTCAATTGAGTCAACAACCTGCTGTGGTTCAAAAAATATTCTGGACTGCTTACAATACAAAGTTGACCTTGAAAAGATTGCACTTACCAGGTGGTGACGCCATTGGTAGGATGATCTTCAAGAAGGTTAAAGAAGCTACTGGTGGTCGTTTGAAATTCATGTGTAACGGTGGTTCTCCAATTAGTTCCGATGCTCAAGAGTTTTTATCCAATATCCTTTGTCCAATGCTAATCGGGTATGGTCTAACCGAGACCGTTGCTAACACAACTGTCACTCAACCAGATCGTTTCGAATTAGGTGTCGTTGGTGATCTGGCAGGTACTATCACAGCCAAATTGGTAGATGTCGAAGAATTAAACTATTTCGCCAAGAACAACCAAGGTGAATTGTGGTTAAAAGGTGCTTGTGTCTTACCAGAATATTATAAGAACCCAGAAGAAACTGCTAAGGCTTTAACAGCAGATGGTTGGTTTAAGACAGGTGATATTGCTGAATGGACTGCTAATGGCCATTTGAAGATCATTGATAGAAAGAAGAATTTGGTCAAGACCATGAACGGTGAATATATTGCATTGGAAAAATTAGAATCCCTTTACAGGTCTAACAAGTATGTTATGAACATTTGTTGTTACGCCGATCAAACTAAGGTTAAAGCCGTTGGTATTATCGTTCCAGTATTCCCACAATTAGCTAAATTGGCTATTTCTCTAGGAATAATGAAACAAGGAGAAGATGTTGAACAATACGTCCATAATCCTAAATTGGCAAATGCTGTACTAGCAGACATGTTGAAAACAGGGAGAAGTCAAGGCCTAAATGGTATTGAGTTATTACAAGGTGTTGTCTTATTTGATGACGAATGGACTCCAGAAAATGGATTTGTCACTTCTGCTCAAAAATTGAAGAGAAAGGATATATTACATGCTGTTCAAAAAAGGGTAGACAATGTTTACTTAACCAAATAGAAATATCAACAACATGTTTTATTTCTTTAAATGCATGACTTTTCCATTAGCCTATTACGACTTCTTCTATTCACCCTAAATCATTTATTCTCATCATTTTTTTATTTATGTTTGATAAATAATGTTAACATTATTGAACTATAAATTGTAACTATTTTCCTTAGATTTGCTTTATTATTATTACTCTTTAGTTCAAATTATTTTCAATTTGCATCCACTTATTAAGCAAGAAAAGTACAATAAGTTGTTATTACCATACATATACATATATACAATCATAAAAAAGTTTAACATAATGTTTACAATTTTTGCAATTTATAAAAAACAAAATATTATACACTGAACTTCAAGTTTTGATAAGAAAGACGAATTTCTCCCCATTTTGAAACTACATGCTATTATTACTTCAATAGATGAGCGATTAAAGGGGATATTGACTCTATGACTTCATTGACCATAGACTATTCATACCGTAATTTCATAATTCAAATACTTTCCACCCACATTCAAAGAGATATTGACTCGATCGACTAAACTAACAATCTTACATTCATATCTTTCCAACAGCCTATACTGAATTAATCACTTTGAAAAACATAACATTCAAAATAGTCCCAATCACATAAATATTAAAACCACCAAAAAATCGTCCCCATAAATATATGGTAAAATCCACATATACGCTTCGAAAGAATTATGATATATTAAAATGTAAAATCCAGATACAAACGACTGATAATTCTAATTATGCCAGACACAGTAAATATAATAATCAGTAAATAAAAACAACCAGAATTCTAAGAGAAAACCTTAAATTTGACTCATAACATTGCATCGTTATGGAAGTAGAAACGATGAAACAACGTCAACAAGTCACAGTATTCTCAAACTCACAAACATTAGATTGAAATACTCAAAAAAATGAAGCGTAAGCAAATTCTGTCTGATCACAAAAATCACTTTGAACAGGCATAAATAATGAAAAATCATTCTCTCCAGTTCCAACAAACATTAATAGATATAATAAAAATTCACGCATATACTAATTCACCTTTATAGGTACAAAAACTAATACTCTCAATATTTACTTAACATGAAAAAGTCCTCTCAAAGTATGTTTAAATAAAATAATCAAAAAATGTAGACAAAAAAAAATTTCAATAAAATTCCAAATTCAGTTGGAATTCGAGTCACTCATTAAAGGAGACGTTCTAAAAGAAGAACCTTGCACAGAATATGAGACATGAACTATTTATAGAACTCCATCAATAAATAATTAGTTGATCCTTTTAAATGTGAAAAATGAAAAAATAATAGTTGTACTTAAAAATCCAACCAGAAATCATGAAAATATAATTTGTAATTTCTCTTTGTTTATATATAGTGGCCATCACAGAAAATGCGCTTCGTGTTTTTCTTAAAAATTTTCTTAAAACTTCCTGAGGGTAACTGTTTCTCATAATAATGAAGTTTCGATTAGGTTTGAAGTTCGATATAATTTTGAGATACGATCAACTTTACACTATTATGTATTATAATCGACTTATTTATGGACTACAGATTTTACGGTTGTCTAAATACGTAGTATATACCGAATTCCACAGATCACAGGCTTCTGTATCTTGCTCGATGTTCTTAGAATGTTTCTCGTCGACTTTACATTCGAATTCTGAAATCGAAGCGTAGTTCCAAGGTTTCCCAATAGGGTAATCAGAGAAATGTATATACTTCGAATCATCAATAGATGTATGCACATCCGTTTCCAATTGTTGACCCGATTCGTCCAATCTCTTATAACCTAAAATATCATTCGTTATCAAATCATGATGTTGTCTATTCTTAATAGAACCTGTCAATAGACCATATCTAGCAAAGGGCAAAACTAATACTTCAGGTTGAAATCTGGATTTCATTCTTCTGAACAAATCAAACTGATAATATATAATTTTCTTAAAATTGTATATTTCTTCATTGATTAAATCCATATCGTATTTAGTTTTCTTAGACAATACTTTTGGTAATGCTTCAGTGATAATTGAATTGAAAAGTTCCGCAGATGGCCTAATAACCATTAAATTAGATGCAAACTTGGTCTTACTGGCCTTTTTATTGATATGGAAATTGAATAATGGGGATGCTGACGATGTTGAATGAATAATTTCTTGTGCAACATTCTTAGAATTCATGAATAGATAGTTTGGTAAACTTGGTAAATGATTATATATCATCTTATTGTTTTTAATTCTCAAATCTAATTTCTTAGTATAAGTTTTCAGATTGATCGAGTTTTTATCATCGTGCTGTACTTCTTTATAAGCTTCCTTCATATCCTTTTCGGATAGGAACCAATATGTAAGTGGAGCCGCAAATCTAATGTAATGTGGTAGGAAGAAAAGTTCATCCAAATTGTTCCTTAATAATGCATCATTATCTAGATAGATAATACGGTCATAATCAGTTTCATTAAACACTAGTAGTTTTGTAAGACTTTCATTCCATGGAGTGTAATCATCTGGTTTAACAATATTTTCAATGTACTTTATGACTACTTGATTTTCATCTAGACTTTGAATCTTATGCAATTGATACTTTATGTGTTCAATATCACCAGAGGTTTCTGGGTCTAATAAATCTCTTGAAATCAATAATACCAATTTTGCTTCAGTTTTAAATTTATTTTTCAAATCATCAAATATTATCAAGGTATTACATAAATATGCTGAATCTGTCACATAATTGATGTAGGCATACTTTGACCAGTTAACAACCTTACCTTGTTCTTCTAATCTAGACAGTTGATCGGTATATAATCTATCAATAGTCTCACTCGGTATCTGTTTTATCTCTAGAGGATTATACATTCCTTCTAATTTGTCTTTCCGATCTTTGAAATACTTTTTGTAGTACTTAATTTCTTTGTTCAGTTGGAATTGTACAACACATCTTACAAATATGACAACTGCTGAAACTGCGAAAATCACCGTCAATAAGAAACGAAGTCTTCTTTTAGATAGGATTCTCATGATCGCACTGCAAATACTTGTTTCTAATCGATTTTGTACTCCCAATGCTTATCCTAATTCTTTATTTGCATAAAACGTTGACTTCAAATTATGCAATTAACACGTATAAATAAATGTATCTGAATAGTGATATATGCACATTCTCTACCATGTATGCAACTCATCGTAATAATGCTCATAGAAACCATTAATGTTCCTGTTTGATTCATCGCAACAAGAATGCTTGCTTATTTTTCATTTTATTGCGAGGAAGGAGACGCACTGTGTACGTTGAGTGACAGCTGCCAGTTAAATTATAGAATAGGAGTAACTACTGAGACGACTAGTATCTTACAAAGCAACAGTAATCCAGATGAAACTATACCAATTTGGTAATGACAAATTGAACATTCTATAAGTTATACATGTTAGAAATTAAAATACGTAAGGTTTATGTATGGTAAAAACAATATAATATGCAACATCTATTTTCTGAATGGAATTTCACCACGACATAATGGACAAGTGTTGTTACCAGATGATCTGAACCACTTATATAGACAAGCACCATGGAATCTGTTGTTACAAGTTGGACATATCTTTGTTGGTAATTTTCTATCAACTGCATGTAAGATTGAGTAACAGATTGCACATTCTTCGAAACCGGAAAATTGTAGATGAACGTTTTTGGTAAATAATTCTAGAGAGTCAAGAACAGAACCATTCATACCTGTTATGACATGTTGAGTAGACATAATCCATTGTTTCCATTTCTGTTCTGTAATACCAACTCTTGAGACACCTATGACTTCTACATTGTTCAGAGGGTAATTACTTGGTAACTTAAAAGAAATAACCAAATTTTGTTCGTCAATCAGATAACTTGCCTTAACTTCATTGGTAACTTGGTTAATCTTGATAGAAAGAGCATCATCTTTCTTTTCCATATCGTCAACCTTTTTAGAGACAGCGTAAATTTCACTAGATATTAGTAATGGAGATATAAATTGAGAGACAAATTTATCGATTTTGTTTTGTAATGACCTATCCCTAATATTTAAAAACCATGCACTAGTCAATGACCCGACATTATTGAATAGTTCATACATCAAATGGGCCATCAAATATTTAGACTCATTAGATAAATCATCATTATATGTCATGAATTCATTTTCCATCTTGGAATAATGTCCAATATCATAAAGAGCTAGTTGTTCTTTAAAGAAATTGATATCATTTAGATTAATTTGGTCACTGACGAAATCAAACATCTTGTTAATTAAATCGTGTTCCTTTAATTGCTCGATATATAATTGACGCATTTTATAAGATATATTTTCGAAGAATTGTAAAGTTAAATGCCAATTCCATAGGTATGTGATAAACATAGTATTTTCACAATATTCTATATATTCAGTTGGGAAGTCATCGTTTAATTTGTTAATCAATTCAATAGGAATTTTAAAGTCATCATCATTCTGTGGATTATCATCTGAATTATCATCTGCATCTTCACGAGCGTCGAAAAACATATCTTCGTCGTCATGAGAATGTGGATGAAGTTGCTGCTGTTTCAGCTCAAATTCAATTACTTGATTTTGCTGTCTCTCCTTAATAATTCTACCTAATACTAGAGTAATTAAACGCTTTTGGCTTACAGATTTAAACTTCTTTGAGTTGAAGGATAAGAAAGCTTTTAAAAATCTATCATAGTATGACAGAAGATCCTTAGATTTAGCATAGGAGGAAATATATTTATGGAGCTGTCTGTAAAAAGATATCGAGACTTGATTATTCGACTCTAACTGGAATTCAATAAAACATAACTCTTGAATCACACTCTTAATATCACTTCGAAACTCCTCTTCAAATGTCTCGGTGGGACGTGATTGTTCAATGGTGCTACATAGTTGCAATGAGGATGTTCTTAGAGATAATAAATATGGTGTATCGTCTAATTGACACATCGTCAATGAATCGACTAGTAATTTACCCGCAATATCCAATATGGACCCGTTCATATCTACAACAGAGGGATACTTCATGATCAGACTGAAGAAATTTAGCAATACTAAACGCATCCCAATAAAACTTGGCTCGTAAATAATATCACTATCTAACCATTTTTCAATTGTCTTAATGACCATATTCAGACGTTGTGGTGAAATAGGCACAAAATCATTTGTATTAGAGGAGGTAATATCCAGTTTCAACATGTTTGTCAACAGAATTAATGATTGCTTCGTCTTATTCTTTTTTTGTAACAACTCAGACTCTCTAATACCTATACAGTCTGCGGCCAAAAGAGTTCTTAACTTAGTACACAATTCATGTTGCGGAACCTTCGATAATAAAGATAATAAAATGGAACTTAATAGATACCTTGCAGTACTGGTATCCTTTGCCCTTACGGTTTCGGTAACATATTTCTCTATTGATGGAATAAAAGAAATTAGAGCAAGTTTTGATATATTGTCATTTTCATTCTCTAGAGCCCTATAAAGTACTCTAAACTTAAAGAAAGTAGTGACATCATTAATGTCCGCTAAAATTGTCGATAAAATATTCTTACACTCTTCATTCTTATTAGTTATACTTTCCAAAGTATTTCCAAGACATATATCCTTTGATTTTTCTGATTTTGGTAGAGTGTGTATAAAATCACACAATGCTGGGTCCGGATTATCTGATATAGAGTTGTAATCGTCTGCCAATTCTGCTATTATTGAAAATAGAACCATCAATTCATCAGATAGTACGTCTTCATTTTCTAAAACCAAATAATCTAGGAATAAACCAAATTTAATAACTTCTAACCACTTTGAAACATCTTGATGTTCATCATTCATTGGAAGTAAAAACGAATTAATAGACATGGCGCTAGTTATAGCAACTCTACTATCAATATGCGGAACGTAATCTAAGAAAAACTCATCGATTTGAACAGGAATAAAATTATGTATAGCTTTTGGGTTTATCTTAATTATATCATTGGCGATCCTCGAGCATTCAAAAATGTCTGCATTAGCAGTTGTCACAATTACTTTGCAATGCTTGACGTGATTTATAATGATCGAACATAACTTCTTAATAATTAAAGTACCATCACCAGAAGTGGATGCACTAATATATGGAGATACCATATCATATACTTTATTAGTTGTTTCATCAGATATCGAGAACATTGTCTTCGAAAGAAATGATGAATCAAAAAGCACATGTTTCTTTAGTTTTTCTGACAATAATGGAGCACATTGAACAAATTCCGGTATTTTCTGAGATTTTTCTGCGTTTGTGAAAATATTTAACAATAGTTCTTCATTAAGAAGAGGTGATTGAAAAAGTGTCCTTAGTTGATCAATGTTATCAAAGGAAAAGTTATTAATGTAATTCGTCACATAACCCTTTATCGTCTCATCGGAGGATATCAACTGTTCATAGCACTCTTTGTTTATAGATGAGATCAAACTAATCATTTCGGAGGATTCAATATCAAGGGATAAGCAGACTGTAAAAAAATCTTGTAAAGAGGATAACCAATTATCGTTTGTTTCTAGGAATTTTGAATTAGAATATTCAACAATTATATCCATGGCTGATTTATAATTTGATTTTTCTACCCATGTAGGTAATTCATATACGATTGTCGAAATTTCATTCTCCAGTACTTCAGATTTGGAATCTATTAATCTTTTGCAAACATGAAATAGTTCTTTTTGGGCTAATGCAGAAGGGTCTTCTGACAGCTTATTAGTTGTAAATGCAGACAGTTTTTTCAGAGAAGATTCATTTGAACGACATAAGAACAATAGGGTGAGTACATTATAAATATAATGCTTTGGCAAAGGTGTACTTTCATTATCCAGTTCAGAAATGATTTCTTCGAATAGAGTCTCTAGCTCATTTGCACTCACGATGTTCTGTAAAGTCTTCTTCAAGTCTGGTAGTGAATCCATTGAATTTCCATTTTTTAATGTTTTTATTATACATTCCTGTAAACAGTCTCCATTATCATCGGTTGTTTGTTCCAAAAGCTTGCAAAAGTTTATCCAAAACTCATTAAGCAATTTCGCGCCAAATCTACCAAGAAATGGTTTATCATTTAATTCATCAAGACTTTTTTCCCAAATTGGTAACCATTCTTTCTCAACGTCTAATATATCTAGGGATTTTGTTGCATCGTAAAGTTGAAACAATGAATCATAATAATGAGGGGTAACGTTCTTAGAGGTTACAGATAAGAATCCTTGTAATTTTTTATCAGAGTCTTTATCGTAAGACCAAATCCTACCATCCTTATATTGTGATAATTTAACCAATGTATCTAATATCATAGGGACAAGAGTATTCAAATTAGCAATATTTTTCTTGTTTATTTGAGTCAATGATTTAAACATATTCCTAACTGCAACTTTAAATATATCTTTATTATATTTGAAAAAATTGGTTGAGTAAAGGATATAAATTAAATTCAATATTGCTTGATATTTCTTCATATTAAATGTAGTCAAAAGATTAAAAGATTTCCAAAACGCTTCACTGGATAGGATATCTTTATAAGTATCCTTGAAGTCTCCCTTCACGTAAGTATCAGCATTGGAGTTTATTGTCAGAATCAATAGATTAATTGAACTGGTACTCAATCTATTATATTTAAATCCAGCTTCCTGTGAATCGATATACCTTTGATCGGAAATAGTATCGACAGATTCATTAATTAAAATTTCTTTAATTAAAGAGATGATTTGTTCTTGAAAGACTTTCCATAGTGCATCCAATTTCGATTGATCATTATTGAAACAAGTTTCAAATTCCAACTTACATGTCTTACTGACCATTGCATCTGTATCACATGTGCCTAATAATAGGAAAGGTATGAAATCCTTTAAGAATTTAGATATTGATTTATTTAATAATGATATTAATTTAATCGTAAATGAATTACTTGCAATTCTAATGGATTTCGATTCATTTGTTATTAATTTCGCAAAGACTTGAGACCAACAAAGCAAAAATATATCATCATTAAATTGAGATTCTTTGCCCACTTGCTTTGACAGATCAGTATCAATCAATCCGTTCAAATCATTCAATGCCTTTTCTTTAGTGGTGTCATCTCTCTTTAATAAAGATTTGAAAATTAATCTTAAATCATTGCTTACTAAAGAGCCCAAAAGACTTTGTTCAGGTATACCGTCAAAAAAGTTCAATGATATCCTAGCACCGTTATGTCCTAGCCCAAAATCATTGTCATAGGCCTGAAAACTGTTACTAAGGTTACCAAAAGACATATTCTAAAGATCACACAGGTCAATGTCAAAAAAACAAAAGTGAAACAATGATAGCGTTGTTATGTTTATTAGCCCTTTAAAAGAATTAGAAATAACAGAATTGAATTCGTAATTCTAGTGTAACACTATTAATTTAAAGAATCAAGATGTGAGCATGTTGTATGTATTTTGTTACTAGGTGGGCAAACTCTTTTGTTTTTATTTCGACTCCCATATAAATAATTTTTCACGCTTTGTCTTACTGAATTAAAAAATCGCTTACTACCAGATCCCAAGAAATCATTCATAAGCATATATTTAATTGCGTTATTAGCAACGTCGTTACATATCAATTTAAGACAACAAAGCTATCTAGACACAGCTAACTTGTGCCGATATGTGTGAACAACTCTTGGTTAGCAAAACCGTACATATATACACGTAGCTATATTAATATATCTACAATTTCCCTATCCTAAGAAGTCAGATCGATATTTTCAGCATATATACGCAACTATATAAATCAGAATACAATTGTCAAGTAATAACCCTCCTACTAATCAATCGCACAGCCACGCTATCTCATCTGCGAATATGCTGGCCCATCATCACCCTCAAATTGCCTCTAAGTAGCCTCTATCTACCATCATAATGATAGCTAGTTGTCAGTTAATAATATGTCAAAAAGACTGAAAATTTTTTCATTTTTCAATTCTGATTCGAAATGCGTCAAATTGACACAGAAAATGCTACAGAGACGCAGGCAGCGAAGGCGATGAGCGTATTTGATATTGAAGCTGCAAATCGAATATTGAAACATCGAATGGGAGAGCTCAATATGTAAAGAGAGCAAATTTCATTGATCATTGATCGAATTCAAGAGGGAGGGACGAAGGGAGAACCTCAAGCATCCGTATATATAAATATAAATATAAATATAAATTCATCTTGAGTACTTGGTTCTTTATCTACTTCAACCTTTTATCAAGCAACAATCTTGAGGGAGAGGAGAGGAGAGCCGAAATTCATTTATATTTATATACATGTATCTTTAGATATTTGCGAAAAACTCACACTAAGCAGAAATTTCTTAAACCCCGTTTCGAGAAAATTTAGTGAGCGTTTTTGACCTGAGAGAAGTCTTCGAAACATTATTGTATTATTACTATAATCTACATACATCATTAGCGAACTAAGGATATTAAGAGCAGTTCCCAATAACTTAACCTTCATCTACAGATATTTTTTTACCTTTTTTTTATCGCAATACTCTTTTAATTGTGCTAATTATTTGAATCGCATAACAACAATATTGCCATCGCCATGACTATCACTATTAAAGAATTGACCAACCATTCATACATCGATCACGAACTGAGTGCAACGTTGGATTCTACTGAAGCGTTTGAAGGGCCAGAGAAATTATTGGAAATTTGGTTTTACCCAGATCCTTGTGCAATCCCAGATAAAACAAAAACATTAAGATCGATCCCTGTTCAAATATGGACCGATATCTTAAAGCTGGTTAAATGTGAGGTGTTATCCACGAAGTCTACGAAATGCATGGATGCATTTCTATTAAGCGAATCCTCCTTATTTGTTTACGATCATAAAATAACTATGAAGACTTGTGGTACTACCACCACTTTATTCTGTTTAGAAGAAGTCTTCAAACAAGTAGAATCTTTGTTAAATTGGAAATGTAATATAGATAATGATAAATTTAGTCCATATAAAGTTTTTTACTCAAGACGTTCATTTATGTTCCCATCAAAACAACGTTCTATTCATCGAAATTGGAATGATGAAGTGGACTATTTAAATAAATTCTTCACAAATGGGAAAAGTTATACAGTGGGGAGAAGTGATCAAGGAACTCATTGGAATCTATATGTAACTGACACAAACAAGAGTTCTTTAGTAAACGATGATACCGAATGTCATGAAACTAATAACTACGAATATGACAATGATGAGACCGTAGAGATTCTAATGACTGGTTTGAACCATAAATGTGCGGATCAATTTGTCTGTAACAGAGAAGTCAAATCCGCTACATCTTCCATTGATGAAAAGGATAATGATGCAGACGATGAGGGCCATCTGTTGGGTTACAACATGACTAAAAAGACAGGACTGGATAAAATATACCATGAATCAAAAAATTCTTGTTTCCATCATGATGCGTTTGCATTTTCTCCATGTGGTTACTCTTCAAATATGATCATTGACGAGAAGTACTATTATACTTTACATGTCACTCCTGAAAAGGGTTGGTCATATGCATCTTTCGAAAGTAATGTCCCAGTCAATGCAGTCTCGGATAATAAACAGGATAACGTCGATGTTATGCAAAAGATTCTGAAGGTGTTCCAACCAACTGAATTCTGTTTGACATTTTTCTGTAAGGATATTCAAAACTCAAGATCTTTCCAAAGATTAATTAGTGATATTGATATTGGACCAAAATATACAAAAATAGACAAGATAATTTATGATTTAGATGATTATCAATTGTTGTATCTTAGATTTGAAATGAAAAATTCCGAAAATATATGATATTATGACGTGAATTTCAAATCATTGACTCCTTGATTGAAGTCAATGAATGAAATGGAAATTAACTTCATTTGAGGGTAGAGGGACAAGAGAATCTTAGCTTTAAAGTTAATTGCAACTAAGCTCGTGCTAGAATTTTTGAATCCACCACACATGTATCTCATCTATAAACGTATATATACATTATTTGCCAGCATATAAATAAGCATTATCGTTCTATAAGTTTCCTCAACAGCTTGCATCGGAACTTATTCTTGTTTAGTCGGATTTGATAATGGTACGGCTATAATATTATATTGTCCGGCAAAAATCGGGGTTGGGATCTGCAAAAATGCATTTGACGAAGGTATCTCCCTTATTTTATAAGTATAAATAAACGGTAAATAAAGAAGTTATATAACACTTTTTTTCTTAAATGGTTTTGGTGAGTAGTATTTTAAAACTGTTGTTACAAGTGTTCTGAGAAACGACATTCATATTATAATCGTCTAATTTAAATATATAAAAAAATGTTACATACACATGAAAAAAGAAGAGGTAGTCTACAGTTATCAGAACAAGAGTTACTATCTGCTGTACCTGAAACTACTCTACTGTCTACCAATTTGCAAGAACTTACCCTAGCCGATGAGTCCAGGAGTTCCTTGGCCGTAGGAACATCCACATTAAAGGATAAGTTTACTATTCCTACAAATGGTTTACCTGAGGAACTTACTTATGAATTAATTCATAATGAGTTAACTTTAGATGGTAATCCACATTTAAATTTAGCAAGTTTTGTCAATACATTTACCACCCCAATAGCTGACAGATTAATTCGCGAAAATATTAATAAAAACCTGGCAGATAATGATGAGTATCCACAATTGATTGAATTAACTCAACGCTGTATTTCAATTTTGGCACAACTGTGGCATTGCGGTCCTAATGATCACCCAATCGGTTGTTCGACTACTGGTTCATCTGAAGCCATTATGCTAGGGGGGTTGGCAATGAAAAAGAGATGGGAGCACAGGATGTCGTTGGCTGGTAAAGATATTTCAAAACCAAATATCGTGATGTCTTGTGCTTGCCAAGTGGCCCTTGAAAAATTTACACGTTACTTTGAAGTAGATTGTAGAACTATTCCAGTAAGTTTCAAAAGTCATCATATGCTAGATCCAGAAGATTTAAAGGACTATGTAGATGAAAATACTATTGGTTGTTTCATTATTTTGGGTACAACATATACTGGACATTTTGAAAATGTTGAAAAGAGTGGCAAAGTTTTGGATGAAATTGAAGCAAAACACCCAGAATGGGCTAACAAGAATATTCCTATTCATGTTGATGGTGCATCTGGTGGTTTCATCGCTCCCTTTTCATTCGAAAGTAATCATATGAAGAAATACGGAATGGAAAGATGGGCATTTAATAATCCCAGAGTCGTTAGTATCAACACCAGTGGACACAAGTTTGGCCTAACAACTCCTGGTTTGGGCTGGGTTTTGTGGAAGGATGAATCTTTCTTGTCACCAGAGTTAAGATTTAGATTAAAATATTTAGGTGGTGTAGAAGAGACCTTTGGGTTGAATTTTTCAAGACCTGGGTTTCAAGTTGTTCACCAATATTTCAATTTCATTTCTTTGGGGTCTATTGGTTACAGTGAAAGGTTTAGAAGATCATTATATGTAGCAAGAACTTTTTCTTATGGTTTATTAAACTTACCTTCCTTAGCTGGCCATTTTGATGTTGTTAGTGGTATTCATGAACGTATATTAGACAACTCTACACCAGATGATGTTAAGGACTATTGGATTAATCAAGATATGTATAAACCTGGTGTCCCATTGGTTGCTTTTAAGTTAACTAATAAATTCCGTGAAACTTATTCGGAGATTCCACAGGTCCTTATTTCTTCAATGTTGAGACAACGTGGTTGGATTATACCTAATTACCCATTACCAAAATCCACAGATGATTCTGATAAATATGAAATTTTGAGAGTTGTTTTCAGAACTGAAATGAAACTTGATTTGGCAGAATTATTATTGTCGGATATTCAAAATGTAATTTCAAGATTGATTCGTTCCTATACTAATTTAACAGAAAGGGTTGAATCCAGATTATACGAGTCTACAGAGAGTAGACGTGATTATGTCTACAATATGCTTTTGGAATTGGCCTCTCCCGTTGATGATTCTAAGCAACCTACAATTAGTCATGAGAGAGCCAAAGAGGCAGAACAAAGAGCAAAGAGAAATTATAGAGGTACTTGTTAAGCACTCATATTTCTCGGTGTCTTTTTTTTTCAATTATTAATTTTATATGTATTTTATTTAGTATTTAATATTTGACATTATTCTACTTTGTATGTATATTATTACTATAGTTGCTGTATTCGAGATAGATCATCTATGAGTCATTACGTTAGTTTTAATACCTGTAACTATACAGCATACCACTTATACATTTTTTTTGCTATTTTGATGGTTTATGGAATATTAGATGGTTTACGAATTAGTAACCTTTTAAATGTACTATGAATGAATCTATTTTCTTCTCTAGCGGCAACTGATTGTGCAATTATACTTTGACCAGCCTCTCTGGCCAATTCCTTGTATATATCGTTGTAAAAAATACCAAAAACTGCTGGAGAGTCCTCAAATTTATCCATATCAAGAGATAACATTTTCAGAGATAAATTAGTTTTGGATTTTGGAAATTGTTTCTTGTAATTTTTTACAAATTCTTTAATAAATTGTTGTCTCTCAGGTAGTTCTAACTCTGCCCAACTCTTATAATAAGATTTGGTTTCAGTGCTGTTATATCTAATAGATATATTATTGAAACTGCATAACTTCATCCCAGAAGGTACCACTAACCTAGTGGTTTTAAGAAGGGTTCTAACAGATATACTCATTTAATTAATTTGAGATTTTCAAGTGTAATAGTAATCCCTCAGTGTACGTGACCCTTAATTATAACGATGTTATCCTCAATACTATTCTATTAGTAATATATAAAGCTTTTATATATGTCTTAATGCAACAGTTCCTAAATATGTTAATTTAATTTCCCAAAATTTAAATATGTGTAAATATAGTATTTCTATTAACCTTTGTTGTGGTGAGTTATCATTCAGTCTTTATTCGTGATTCCTTCAAAATCTCAGCTATTAATATTAATACCAAAAATATTATGTTACCTCCTCTATAAGCGAATCCATCAAAACATTCCGCGATGTCATCCACGCAGGGAAAATTGAACTATTTATAAATGAAGAATCTAATATTACAGATTTTGATAGGTGTTCATTGTATTTAACTTCTTAATTAAATACATATATGTATATACTGAGTTTATAAAGTTTAATTAGTTACAGGTTAATCAGTAGAATCGTCAATATTGAAGTCGTCCATCTCTAGTGCTTCGTCAGGATTCTGTAGAGACTCGGGATCCTTAGCCGCCGAAGTACTCAAATCACAATCACCATCATCATCACTAGGCGATTTGAATTTAAGCACAAATATGGTACTACCAATAATAATCACCATACCTGCCCATGACCAGATAGGTGGCCAATGACGATATAAACTGACATCCCAAAATATAGAATATATCAATTGTGTATAACCTACTAAAGAACCTCTACCGGCCCTTTCCTTTTGAATACCTAACGTCAACATCAATTGGAAAATAAATCCACATATACCTAGATTTGTAAATAGTAACCATTCTAACTTGGTATGTGGGATTTGGAAATGCATAGATGGAATGAATACAACACCGATAGTAGAAATAATAAGGGTTGTTAAAGAGAAATAACTGACGTTGATGATAGCATGCGCTCTCTTCCCAATGAATCTGATTATAATGTATACACCACTCCCGCAAAGAGCACCCCATAATGCTACCATTGTGGCCATTAAACGGTCACTGGGGTTACTAGTTTCTACTACATTGTTAATATCGGAGTTACTGTTTATATTTGAGCCGAATAAGAATGGAGGTCTAATGATCAGCACAACACCTATGAAGGATACCATAGACCCTAGAACTTCCCAACGGTTAATCTTTTCTCTTAGTACTACCCAGGCTAATAATATGGTTAATGTAGGTGATAAGAAAGTTATCAACACAGCGTCACTAATGGATAAATACATCAAAGCGAAGTACATACCAAAGACACCGAAGAACCCACATGAACCTCTTAACACCAAATATTTTCTTACAGCTGGGTCACCAAACGGGGCATGTTTCACAGTAGCCTTGTTGAATTGCATATATATCAATGTACCTATCCACGTTATCAACATCCTTACCAATAGAATCTGTAAAGGCTTTATATGTGTCCCAGAATTAGGGTTAGTTTCCAGAATTTTGGTTGATACAACCATGAGCGAGTTGAAAAACTGTGCTATGATAAGAAGTATGATTCCTGTATTCGGTTTAACATGTTTCTCTATGAAACTATCCTGTATTCTCAGGGGATGGTTATCTATCGTGAAATCAGGATCACTAGAACTCTGTAAAGGAGAATTTAAGCTCCTCGTATGCACATGGTAATCATCTTTGATGCTTACTGTCGATGGTTTGGGTGTTGGTGTTTCACTACTCATAGTTGTCCTTACCATTATCGAATATAATTTATATCGTAAAGAGGCTAAAGATGAAAAAGTTAATTTTGAGGGAATATATGAGATTAGTCAAAAGATAACTCGATATATTAATAATCAGGGTGCCTTAAACTATTAATGGATTGCCAGTATTATTTAATTATGCCTAAGTTGATCTTCAACATCATTAAATTAACAAAATAAAAAGGAATACTAGGAAATATTTATTGTGACAAAAATTTAACTTCTCATCGATAGAGAACCAAGAACTTTTCTATCCTAAGGATTACAATATCTAAATAGGATTGAGATGATATCTAATCCACGTACAGGGACATACTATAACATAACGAGACAAGAAATTAATAAGCTAACGAAACTTGTCAGACAGTAAAATGGCGCAAGGGACTTTTTATTCCGTACCCGAAATCATATAGAAAAGAAACGTTAACGACCGACAATTTCTTATCGAAGAAGACCGCAGTTCAGAAATGAGTCTTACTCTCCGTAACATAGTAATACTGGGGGTGGGGGAGAAACAGCGACAATTTGTGCGATGACATAGTGAATGCCAATGTCATTTCGCCCTTCCTCTTATTATTTGTGTTTTTGAACAGAACAAATGATACCGTCTAAAGAGTGGAAGCGATTAATCCATCAAAGGTGTGGAGAGTTTACATAATCAAGAAACGTAATAAATTATGATGGATCATTGAGCTCAACGTATAAGTTATAAAGAAATTTGGCAAAATTGTAAAAATACACACATTATGTATTGCATTTTAATACCTAATTTACTCAAGATTGGTGACCCTGTATTTTTTGCACTAATTCCCATAAATTCTCTTGTGATTTGATTATATTTAATAATCTTTTTTTTTAACCTTGCGGGTAATACAGATTTGCATCGCTTTTTCCTACCAAGATCAAAACAGAATAAAAAAAAAAGCAAAATCTTTATGGCCAAGAGTTTATTTGAATAATGAGCCACAACGCATATGATTTGAGATGAGGTTATTATTGATACTAAGAAGAAGTATATAAACTGATACTAGCATAACATAATCATATTGCCAATGGCATTAGAATCTAGTTGGGCAGATGCACCAGAAGAACCGGATGTAGTGATAAAATCACCTTCTAAATCACATTCAAATTCGAAGAGAGGTAATCGTAGCCAGAGGCACAATAATTATAATAACAACAGTAATAGTGACAATAACAATTATAATGAAAGGAGATCTCCTGAGAGGAACACCATGGATTTTGATAACTATCGTGATAAATCAATTGATAAAAGTAGTTCTCCCGTCAGAGAAGCTATCAGTTTTGATCAGTATCGTGATAAACCAATTAATAAAAGTAGTTCTCCAGTTAGAGAAGCTATCAGTTTTGATCAATATCGTGATAAACCAATTAACAAAAGACAACCTTTCGAAAAGACATCGGGTAATACTGATGTACATCAAAAACGTGAAAACAATGCATACTATACACCTCCTTCTTCAAGAGGTAAACCGAACTTAGAACCGAATCCCAGCAACAAAACAACAAAACAACCTGTATCACCTTCCAAACTTGAGATTATTAAGAAAAGAATTGAAGAACAACAGAGTATTTTTAAAGTCACTAAGCATAAAGAGCAACAAAAGCAGTTACTGGATGACTTCTTAAATGGTGACGATGAGATCAATTGGGAAGATGAATAGGTACTGAAGTGAAAATGTTATAATAATCATATTATTTTCAATTTCGGAAATGATACATATGGAGAAAATACTCTAACGAACTCTAACATTTGCCATATTTAGGATATTTATAAAAATAGTCCATTGGTAGTGCTATACGGACAGTTTATATACACATAGATAGATATATTGATATAGAGTTGAGAAGTGTCTATTTCTTAAAGGACAGAAATTTAATAATTATAATATATAAAAAACACATTTTACTTGATAAGTTAATCTATTCGTTGACAAATTGACTACATATATATGTATATATATAATTTCAAATATAAGAGTTACTTTGTTCGTTATCATACTGTAAGTAAGCTCATAATGTGCACTTCAGGTTTTATAAAAACAACGTCAAAGGTATAAACTTCAAAAAAAGTAGAAAGGGAATATAAATAATTTTATTATTAAATGAAAAAAAATTAGAAAATTCAGTGAGTTTCAAACCCACACACAACATAAAGTACATAAGGGAAAAAATGGAAATAGGTAACTTCAAAATGATAATTTGAGTAATTGATTTTTTAAAAAGGGAAGTTCTCTTGCAATATTCATTATTTATTAGTTCTTCTTAGCCTTAATACCCAAGACAGCATTTGGAATATATAGCAATGGGGCAACAACAGCGACCGTCAATAAACCATAGAATGGATATAGATAGAAAGCAGATCTTGGATGTCTCCACCATAGAGGCTTTGTAGAGTTTTGGAATAGTTTTTGTAATTGTATCACCTTGTTAGCCATTTTGAATGTATTATGTGGTTTTTGTTTTGTGTATTATTTTATCAATTAAGATCTTAATATCGAACTTTTGTAATGTTTTAAAGAAATAACAAAAAATCACCAGAACTTAAAAATAATAAAAATATATTTGTTTAATATTGTTTATATATTAGCATATTATCTGAAAGTACCTCGATTGTCAGTATTTTCGTCTCTATATATACATTTGAGTATGCATGCAAACCGTGAAGTCGTTCTGCCTGTTTTTTCCCCTTTCGATTATTTTTTGTCTGTCAGCAGCACGGAGTAAAATATTCAAGATTAAGTGGTTCCACGGTAATTTCTCACAGACCTCGGCGAATTCGGCGTTTGCAAACATGAAACGTCCCCAGCCAATCAAAGTAAAGTTTACTCTTCAGCTCTCTTTGGGTTTTAGCTATTCCATCATTAGGACTTGTTCGTCTGGAATGATCCATCAGTGAAGTAGAATTTTATCTGAATATAGTATAATAATAGTAATAATGATAATGAATAAAGATTTATGAATAAGTTTATATATAAGTATACCATGTTTTTAAGTTAATTACTAACTGACCAAGTAGTACTTTTTGTATTTACAAGTTGATATTTGCTCGGTCAAGTAATTAAGCTAAGTAAAAAAAAAAAAAAGATAACCTGTGATATTCTTGCACACTCAACACTTATTCTAAATGATTATATTTGGCTATGAGTTCTTCACGTTTAGCTAAATATTCTTTCGTTATTATGCTCAACCTTCTTTTAAGGACACCTTGTAGGAACTTGCTTACCGTATCCATATCGTTCAAAGTATTGATTTTATTCACACCATACCTTTGACCTAGTTTCATTAATTCTGCTTGGATGTCTTTTTCATAAGTATCAATTGATAATATTTCCTCTGAAGTTCTAGTCATATCATTTTCCTTGATTTCTTGGCGCTTCTTCATAAATTTCAAAAACTGTTTTAATTGTTTCAGTGTATTTACTTCAAGGAAAGAAGCTTTATTATTAACATTCCAATCTTTTAATACAGAGTAAAATTCCTCCCACTTAAGTGCTTTGCAATGCGATTTTAAAATAGTAGAATAATAAATCAACCATTCTCTCCTATCATCCTGATTCATCTCTATAAATGCATTATTTAACACTCTGTGACAGTTCTCAAAATCGTATATTCCAGAATAGATATTTGCCAATTGTACATAATTCTGAAATGAAGGGGTACTATTCTTGAATCTTGTCTCGACTTTGACGATTTCGTCTCTTTTATCGGATTGGGTTCCTTTCATTGATAGCAACTTCTTTTTCAACCATAATAATTGAATTTTCATGGTCATATGAGAATTAGGGTGATATATGTCCTTTGTCATCTGATCTATCATTGTTGCTAAATTGATATATCCACCATTCAAGCACGTTTGAAGTAAAATATAAAACATGTTCACATGAGGCATGACTCCATCACGGCATCTGCTAATTAATAAAGTTTTAGCTTCAATCAAATCGTTGTCCTTTAATGCAAACTTAAATTTTGTGTATGTAACACTATCAGGGTACGATAGATTGCGTTTATCCCTCCAAAATAGTTTACTTTTCTTAATCCAGGGGAACGCATGCACATAAACAGGTACAGCTTTTAAAACTAATAACATTTCATTCCTATACTCTTGTGATATTATATTATTGGCATTATTGAAACACCTATAAAGGGATATGAACATTTTCTTTTCACTTAGTTTTGAATGTATTTTTAGTAACTCCTTGTAATAGTCAATTAGATCCTTTAGTTTACCATTTTTAATAAAATATGATATTATTCCAGCATGAAAGTCACTATCAAGTTTAATATCTCGATCTTTATCAACGTATTCTAAAAGTTTCTTTATTTCTTGTATGTTATTCAATCTCGTATATGCTTTGAGTAGTGTTAAGTAGAACAACCGGCGTTCCTTAACATTATCCTTCAACAATTCGGAATATTTTTTAATTTCTTCTGTAATCTCAACTGGAATATCACTAACTACCAAGGTATTATTCTTAGTTTTGGCAAGGGAAAACAACCTATAGTAAAAATTAGTTAATTCATATCTAATCGTAGAAGTGAATTTGCACTTTTTGACGCTTTCATTATTAAGAAACGTATTAATTCTTTCTTCATCTCCGGATAATAAGTATGTTCGGTACATTAAAGAATTGATGTTTATATTATATTCTGATAGATCAACTCCCCCGGGCCTGTAATGAATCCACAATTGATAGAAATAGTTCATAGTTTTGTAATTTCGAACAGTATTCAAAAATTTTAAAAGTTTATAAAAGTCCCGCGATGATAAAGGAAAAGTTTCCTTATTAGTCATTACCTGTATAAAGAATTCTTTGGCTACTTGAAGGTTATTGTTTTCGATAAATGACCGAAGACCTAATAACGTAACTTCAGATTTTATTCTGGAATATTTGATATAGTGGGAGAATAATTTTTCACAATTTTCATAATTTGAAAGCTCTTCCTCACATTCCATAAATAGTTCCAAAAGTAAATCTTTATTAGTATCTGTTATACCGTTTATATTATTCTCCAGGAAGTATTTGAGATATGAGCTATAATTGGTATATATTCGATGGATCTGAGTGTACCTCTTTAACTCTTTTAATGATATTAGTAAAAGTGTTAATTGTTTCGCATTGAATATTGTTCTTCTGTTACTAATTCTTTTAATAACAACTTCGATGGTCTGAGGATCACCTATGCAAAATTTATATTTCCAAATAATATTAAAAGTGTCATCATCAACTGCAGGTATTCCAGCAATGAAGCCTCCTCCGCTTGAATCTAAATTATAAGTCTCATCATATAAACTCACAACTGGATGAGTCTGTCCAGACATAGTTAAGGGTGTTTCTATATAACTATTTCTGATCCATTTCGCTAATTCTTCATTTTTTTCATTTATCTTCAGTTTATTAAGATTGGAATTACTATTTAAAGTAGGTGATATATTGTTTAAAATCATTTCATTGGAATTAGATTTATTCACATCTTTTAATGTAGTACTTTCTTTGTTTATTGATGTTGTATGATAATGACATGTATTGTTTAATGGTTCCATATTTAGCAAAAATAGTATTCTTGTCTGTCGATTCAATATTCCACGTCCCACAAAAAGCCGCCTTCGTATCATGGTAGTTTGTTACTGTATTAGATATAAGGGAAAGTTAAATGAGAAACAAATGCAATGTTCATGTAAAATATGGTAGATTAATAATAATATTAAAAGAAGAAAAAATATGACTGAATATTGGTGATAATACAGGTAAATTTATCGTAGAGGGGGGAATTATGTACAGTATTTTCTATAGTCCTAACGATTCTTGTGAATATAAACAAAATGAAGTTGGTAGTTGTATGTTTGGTTGGATTCTTCCCTGAAATGGAGAATGGAAAAACAATTACACGTTTGAGTTCAATCTGATATCCCTATCCAAAATAGATGGAGAGATGATTAAAAAAAAGGAAAGATCTAGATGACGTGCTCCAAAGCACAATTAAATATTTACAGGGCCCTTATTAATTCTTTAGCTGGTAGTCTCTTTAACCGCTTCAATACATAAATAAATTCCCCTGTTACGTACTTCCGAAAAGTCACCGTTCTTTTATTTAAAGATGGATTTTTAACGTTAATACCTTTCGGTGCTCGAGCTTCACGAGAATCCCCGGCGCGATGCACGGGCGTTATTACACAGTTGTAACTAATTACATAACATTGATCTTATACCCAAGTAAAGGAACGTTATATTACGACCCTTATTGGTCGTAAATACATTTGTAACGACGTTGAATACCATTATACAAATACAACTCCTTATCAGCAATAGTGTAGTAGAAACCTGATAGCATTGCTACTTTCAGACTTGGAAGGAATGCCACTAAATGATCCATATATCCATTAAAGAAATGAGCCACACATACCAACAGAGCATGGAAGATATTCTCATCGAAATTACATTTATAATTATGAAAATGATGAATTTGTTCATATCCATGAAAATTCCAGTATATATTTACAGGGTTATACTTAAAACAATTCAAATCCCAGTCAATTTCATATCGATTCCTTTGATCTAGCATGTCACCCACATATCCGAACATTACTGGAGGGATAATATCTTCATAAGATCCTGTCTCTCTAGAGTAATATTGGTGGTTCATTAAATATTCATCAAAATAGGGTAAATATTTCTTACAATGTGAGCAAGTGCAACCGTTCCACAATAAATCACAGACAATTATTTCATATAAACTAATTGACTGTAGCATTCGTGGTACAATTAGTTTTTCTAAGGATTTAAAATTAGGTAATATTTCTTCATAAAATTTTCTTCTCCTATAGTAGTTACCTTCAACAGTATCGGTACCTAATCCATTTAATGGCGGATCATGTCTTATACATAACTCTTTTAGTTGCGTTTCATAGTTTGGTAAACATAATAGAAATTTCCCAACTGATGCATCAAAATGTTCTTGAAGGGTATTATCACCTTTATTTTGATAGAGAGAATCTGCTAAGGCAATCTTATTTAATTTCTCCATTTGAGGTGCTAATAATTCTAAGAAATTATCAATGCAATTGCAGTATTCTATATGACAACAAAAATTAATCTCTAACTTTTCAATATTATTGATTTCAAATGTTTGAGAAAAGTAATCATATATTAATTTACCTGACGTATCGTCCTGAAAATGAGTAAAACTGAATTTCAACGCTCTTACATTCTTGAATAATACTTTATTTCTATTTAACAATTCTAAAATTTCCATAAAATTCAGATGTTCATCAGTTAATAAAATTTCTAATGTGTCGAGTTGGTTGATTAATATATTCATCAGAGAATCATCAATAATAATTGTAGGGTCAAAACTAGAATCAATGTTAATTTTCATGCTAGTGACATCTGATGCAATGCTATCACCTTCGAAGAACATAAAGTTGTATAGTTCTAAATATTTTAAGGATTCTATTAAATGTTTTTTTTCTGTAAACTTACTTGAAACCATAGGATCCCTTATTAATATCTTTTCAATTGTTTGAATATTGGATATGATGGATATCAGTTGGCTAACTAACTGCTGTGTCCCAGATATATCAGTAAAAATAGAATCATCAAGAATGAATTCTTTAACTAAATGTGAATGTTTCTCCAAGACAGATATAAACTGTTCAATTCTATCAAAAAGAAAAAGATCATTCTGGTCGTTGGTCTTCTGAATCGATCGATAACCACTTATATATGTAGTATTGCAATCTAGATAACATCCTTCCACTCTCAATATAGGGTTTTTAGTTATATGAATCTTATTATACAGTTTTGGTAATGCAATTTTGTCGTACAGTTTCTTGGAAACTAACGCCAGGTTGAGAAGTTCATTTTGATTTAAAAAATAACTGACGTTCGACCAAACAGTCAGGAAATTGTCGGTCTCAGATATATCAAAAGTTGACATTTGTTTATGATGCTAGATAGTCTGATGAAGGTAGAATATATGTTACTTTTTTGTATTTCTTGAATATGATCTAAAAGTTATTTATGTTCTTATTGTCATCCCAAAATATAAGGACAGCTTTAATGGGCGATAAAACTCAACAAATTTCTGGCTAAGATTTGTGCATCGCCGTGCCTCGAATTGAGAGTTCGTTATTAGGGTTTTGAAACAGGGCGCGAAACTAAAATTGCTTGCCCATCTCAAACCCTAATTTAGTGGTATCAGGACTTTGTTTACCTAATTTCTTGTATTTTTACTATATTTTAAATCCTTACATCTGTAGTCATACATATCCCTCTTGCTAACTAGGTTAAGTCTTATTTGTAAGAACAAAATCATGTATAATTCTATATGTTAATGTGGGAACAAGTGAGAAAAAATATAGATGTCTAAATCAGATTAAAGAAGCTGGTCTTAAGCCATAAGTCACTTCTTGTAAACAAAAAGTAAAAAGTAATGAAATAACCAAAAATACATGAGGTATTTTAGAATACATTCCGGTAAATCAACTAAACTTAGCAATACTGATTTGGTTGTATAAGAATATATAAGAAGGCGTTAAGTAGTATAAATATTTATATTTAATGTACATACATTATTGCTATGTTTAAATTATGCATTTAGGAAACCTGATAAGATCCCTAGGAGATCTGAAAACCTATCCTGAAAAGGGACTAGCTCTCGCCCCAACCATATTCCTAGTTTCTAGATGAACAAACTCCATTAAAAACAGTTTAAAATTTTATAAATTGTTTAATTATCGATATATACATATTCTGAAACAATTGGATGTACGTGGCAACCATTTAATATTAGGTTTAATTCCTCCGATTTGTCTGGCATAAACAATTCAACAATTTTTTGTAACAAAATTATGATTGAAAATGGGAACGGGCTCGAGAGCCATCCTTGAGGACCATCAACTATTTTGTCTTTGTTGATATTATTACTTAAATCAGTTAAAAAATCTTGGCAGTAAACGAATAGCTCCTCTGAAACGTCATATTTTTTTAAAATTGAAATGTACTCAGATATTAATTCGATATTATTCCTATATTGATTATCTTCTTCAGCGTTGAATAAAATATGTGTCTGTTCAGTTAACTGCAAAAATATATTGTTACTGGAAAGATACTTCATCACCTCTTTACTTAAACATTCCTTAATTTCCATGTCTGTGCAATATTTACTTAACAAATCATACAGCTTTGAAGATGTTACAACAGCACTTATCTCTAATGGAGGTTCCTCTTTATTGAGTAATTCCTGATTAATAAAACGAGCAGCTTCATTCCTAATATCAATATCATCATCGCTCAACATTTTATGAATAAGAGTCAACACCTTTACTTCTTGCGTATTTTTTGAAAAATTCTCCACAGAACGTAAAACTGATAATCTAGTATCCTCACTAGAAGAATCCTTCGCATATCCAGCTATTATATCCCAGTATGAATCAAAATCAGTGGCGGAAGTTGTTGAACCTAAGATTTCTAGCACAGCTAGTTTCATAGTTCTTGAATTTTCTGAATTGATAAGTGATAGAGCAAGATTTTTGTCAATACCTTGTTCGACTCCTTTTAGAGCTTTCACTGCAGAAGCCTTGACATTTGGAAGAGTCTTATCTATTTGTAATAACTGGAGTAGTTGTTCTACAAGTTTATTTTTTTCATTGTCATCGAGCATTCTCAATAAATCATAGTCAATAATAAATTGAATGGCAGTATCTTGAACTTCATATAAACTTGAGTGGATACTGTTATCGCACAACATGAAGACTATTTCACTTGGTCCATAAGCCAAAAGAATGTCAAGTGCGGTCGATAGACACAATTGTTTACTTCCATCTGTTTCTGGAAAGGAGTTATGATATAAGAAATATATCTTTAGGTTATCGAAGAAGTTGGAAGATATATTTGATATTGTGTCTGGCGATTTCTGAAGTACCAACTTAATTATTTTGAGATAGGTCATACTTGTTTGAAAACATATATTTTCCTTTGTAAACAAAGAGGATTCTTGAAATAACATATTGACAAGGGTAGTGTAACTCTTACTATCATTGGTGTCATCATAAGTAGATATATCGTTGATAACGTAATAGACAGTAAACAATGAACCATGTAATAGATTTTGGTTTGATAGCGCTGGCTTTTTTATCAACGATAATGCCTTCATGAATGGATCCTGATGCAGAGATGCTATGACCCTGGCTGCAACATCACGGATCTTCCAATTGCCGTCACAAAGGAATTTTTCAACTTCGTTTAGCATGTCATCCAATTCGCCTGAACCAGGATTGGATTTTATTGAAAGTAAAATGTTTAGTGCTAGGAAAATGGATTCATATTTGAACTGATCTTGTGATCCTGGAGTGTTGCATGCATTAGTTGATGCTAAAATTTCTAACATTGACTCCTTGATACCTGAATACTTTGTGAAAAATAGTCGAGCACTTAAGGCTTTACCAGACTTTCCGAAAATTCTATTTTGAATAGAAGTAAATAGCATTAAAGAACAGTTTCTAAGAGCCCATATGTCGGAAGTAAAATATTTGAACGATAATTGCAGAGCGGCAGCGACATATGGTTGACAAGAATCAGATAAAGTAGATTCAATAAATATAGCTTTAATACAATTAAAAGCATTTATTTGGGGAAGGTCCAATTTATCCTGATGTTCTGGAATCTTTAAATTAGCCATCTCAAATAGGGTAGAAAAGACATTCTTTAATTTGGGTCTTTGTTTGTCTGTCTCAGCACGTAAAATATTTGTTAATAAAAATGGCAGCCCACCCGATCTTCTCGTAATATGCTGCGTTTTTGTTTGGAGTTCCTCTAATATCAAAGTTAACCACATTTCTAGTTGAGCAGGAAGATTCTTTTCACATCTTATGCAACATTCCTTAAAACTAGGCAGTACGGCTTGAAACGCACCACTATGACGAATGGAAAATAATTGATCGATTAACAGGTCACCAATTGACATCAATATATGTTCTGAAAGAGGATATTTATCTAGTAGGACAATTAATATAGCAGATATTTCTTTAACTGATCTATATGCATAACTAGATAACACTTGGTCTGATACACCGCTATTTAGAAACTGCTGCGGAACTAAACTATCTGATGCATCGTAGCATAATATGTCTCTAACTAATTCCCAAACATCTAATACGATATCCCAAACATGTTTAGTTATTATTTCAATAGTGATAGTAAGGGCATTTAAATCTAATTCGTTTAAAATTAGACTCAGCGATGATAAGTAGCTACTAATTTTATTGTTGACATTAGATATGTAATCACGTTGCACTTTTGCGACTTCCAGATCTATTTTCTTAAGAAGATTGTTTAAATAGCTTGATTGGTCTGGTATAATATGAAATAAAAAGGACTCTAATGTGGCTGCAATATCCACGTTTTGGTAAATCTCCATATTGTTATGCATTACATCGGTAAAATGTGGGATATCAATTTTCGCTAATATGGATTGGGATGTTTGAGATTTGTTGAACATTAATAAAGTTTCTTTTGATAATTTACGAATATCAGGAATGTTGTCAGAAAGATTATCTACTAGAAGCCTAAATATTGTTTCATCCTTGCTCAACGATACATCAAATGGATATTCCCTCGGTTCTTGTTTGTACAGATATTCTTCCGGGATATCTTTGTCGATACCAGAACAAATTAGTACATTCATGATTTGTATTGACATTAATTTTCTATGGTATTGAATACCTGGTATCATTTCACTTTTCAAGAACTTGACGATCCAACTCAGAAATGACAAATACTGATCTAAATATGTTTGCAAATCAGATTGTTCCTCAGGAAACTTCTTTACCTTTTGGAGTTTTAATAATTGTCTGTTCAGAGCATAAGCAGAATCTCTTATTCTTATAATAAAATTCTTGAAAGAACTTATGAAGTAGTTTCTATTTTCTAATTCTACATCCACGAAGAATATTCTCAAGTTCCGTTTAATAATGTCGAAGATATAAGGTTGTACAGATTTAGATTTTTTACTTGCGAAAGTCAGAATTTCAAATGTAGCAAGTTTATATTCATCTGTTTGAAGAAAGCATTCTAGTTGTTCCAGAGAAATTAATTTACTATCATGGAAAGGTTCTTCAACTGAGATATTTTGACCAATTTTCAATAATGATAACAATAAAGCTGGATTATTTTGAAAATCCTTGCTTTGTAGAAATTGAATAAATGCCTCGGAGGGCATACTCTTAAATAACGGCGTTAAAAAATATAACGATATAGGTTTTGTATATTTTATCTTTTGAAGGTTAGAAAGGGTGGGTTCATTCCACAATGATGTCCATGGCAGAATATTTTTAATCTCATTTCCAAAATGCATTTTGTATATATTGACTAACACATTGACTAAACATTTCCCGATGGCATTGGATAAGGATTCCTTAGATATTTCATCTAGGGCACTTTTTATAAAATGAGGTCTCTTCTTCAACATAGTGTACATATCTAAATCAATTGCAAAAATTTCAATCAGGTTATAATGAATACGTAACAACGAAGGGACTGTTAAAATATTATCAAGCCAAAATGACAAATACGCATTATATTGTGCATCTGAAAGAATAATCTTTAGTAAGGTCAATAGTTTGTTCAATAAATCTCTTAATGCATTGCTCAATGTGGGTGTACTATCTGACCAAAAATCTATGATATATCGAAGAAGTGCATTGCGGTTCTCGTTTGATAATAGTTCACTTGCAATTACATTGGAAAAGCGTACACTGTTGATCTTTTTATTTTGAATAATTTTTGTAGATCTCACCATCCATATTGAAAATGTATCAATTAAAATTAATCTGTACGAATCACTTAACGTAATTGAGTTATCCTTGATAGGCTTTAATAAATTTTCAAAAATAGTTATCAGTGTATCGACGGTTCCATCACTATTATCCTCTTTAATTCTATTGACAATATCTCTCTGTAACAGATATGCCTTTGCTTCTTTTATAATTTGATCCATCGTACTAAAACGCCACGTCTCTATTTTAGATTATGTAATATCCAGCTCTGATCAGAGTAGTAACATTATTGGTATGTGCTTATTCTTTCTGATATGTCGAACTTTTCAAACATTTGAAGATTGCTTATCTTAGTCGACCTCATCGCACAAATTTTTTTCGCACACCAAAAAAATTGTGTAGTAGTAATTATCAAAATATCTGAGGACAAAGTTAAATAGCGAAATAAAAGTAGATCAATTGAATACGAATTAGATATTTTATATTTTATATATTATATAGTATTATTAAGGTACACATAACCTTACCGGTTGTCGGTGTTTTAAAATTAGTTTTTTCTCTTTTCATAATGATACAAAACGATGCAACAACAATGACTATGAACTCATGCATAACTTCTCAAAATAGCCGTCACAAGAAATAATTAGAAAGCGAAAATAAATCATAAAGCATTTAGAAATAGACTTACTGTACGACTTTTCGATAATAAGATGCATATCTATAATTTTTTTAGTCTTGATAAATGGAATAAATTGTAAAAGTATGACAAGGTATATTAATGGGAGTGGGTGGAATAAAATATTGTTTCCAGTAGAAAGTCATTGGTAAAATTTATAAAAGAGCAACGGACTTTGCAACCCAGAACAAAAAAAAAATTAGAAATGGAAGAACTATTATATTCACATCTCTTCGCTTAGATATCATCGATATCCAATTCATCATCGTCATCTTCTTCATCAGAGTCATCGGCGTTACCGAACTCGAAGTTAACATCTTCATCAGAGTCGAAACCGAAGTTTTCACCTTCGTTAATCTTGGCGTTCTCTGGAAGTTCACCTTGGTTCTTCAAAGTTCTAGCTTCATCTAGATTGTACTTGTGAACAACATCACATTGGTCGTCTTGGAAATCTCTTAGAGAAACCAAAATGATATCACCTTGGCCCATCCAAACCTTCTTTCTCAATTTACCTCTAATGTGAGCCATTCTCTTTACACCATCGAAACAACTGGCTTCGACTCTACCGTTACCAAGCATCTTGGTGATTTGAGCATACTCTTGGCCATCTTCCTTGTAGTAAAGCTCACGCTTTGGACCATCGGATTCGTTCTTTCCTCTTCTACCTTTTTTACCACCTTTGGTGTTCTTCTTACCCATGATGTACTAGTTCTGGATGTTTAGTTTATTGACTAGAATCTATATATGATAAATATAGCAAACAAAAAATACGTAATATTTAAACTCTTCTTATTACAATGTTACAAGTGAAAAATTTCATTACTTTTTCGTTGCTTATATATTATACGTTATTGACACTCTAAATTTGTTATTTAAGAGAACGATGCACGCAAAAGCGAAATCAAAATTATCTCTTTTTCTTTTCTGGTATGTCTCTACGTTGTTTGTCTGATTTTCTGAGGGACGCAAAATTTTTTCTTTCTTCGTTTTACCGTACACCTAGTTATATTCGTCTCTAGTGATTGAAACGTCTAAAATGACAATAGTACGGGATCAAATACAAATAAAATGTCACAATTTAATACTTCTTTTATTTAAGATCATATATATATTTGAATAGTTTCTTCTTTTTTCATTTGTTTAAGAATTAGATATTCGGGACAAGGAATTCAACAATTCATTAAGACCAGTAATATGTTCCTTTGCAAATGTGGAAACAGAACCTCTACCGTAGGTAATGGTATGTCCAAACTTGAAATCGCCATTTTTACTACATTTGTTTATTACATTAAAAATAGGTTCTAAAATGGGGGATGAAGAGCCAGCAACTAGCATGAAATCTATTGGTATCATTGACATCTTGCCTGAGTTATCGCTCTTAGTCTCTGTGTCTGTTTTTGGTTGAGTGATCTTTGTTGTGTGTGACAGTAATTTCTTAAAATTTGCAGCAACACTACTAACATTATTAGTTTCATTGGTGTTGTTATTAGTTTCATTATTCATAGTAGCACTATTGTAAAAATTTAATAGAAATTGTAAAGCTTGGACTGCCAACCCTTTTTGTTGCACGTAAATGATATCGTTAAGAACATAGGCATGAACGTCTTTATCTTGAAAAGTTGAGTTTATATGTGTAATAATATCACCAATTGTTCCTTTAACACGTTCTTTATCAATTGCATTTTCAGTATGAAATTTCACCAAGGAATCTGAAACTTTGTAATATGACCCTGGTAATCTTTCCATTTTATCATCAAAGATTTTGATTACATCAGTTCTCCAATCAATTTGATCAGCCATATTGTACCAATTATCATCTATTCTGATATATGCACCGTTTTCTGCTAGTAATCCAACATTGGGTGACCTATTGTAAAGAATTTCTAACACAGATTTTGAAAATGAGCTTAAAACAAATACAATATTTGCCTTATCTGATGCTAACTCGTTTAAAATATCTAAAGTTCTTGCTAATGGTGGTTTTGAAATTTTTAAAATAAAAAATCTCTTTTCAGATTTGTTATATTGAGTTTGCAAAGAAGTCAAATTCATCTTAAACAATGTAGATCTTTCCTCATTAGCCTTCCAAGACATATTAATTGAATTTAAATTTCTTTTGATCCAATTATCGGAATCATAAACAATAATTGTTTTCAACAGATTTTTCCAATTGGATCGTTTTTCAATGTTGGGTAATTGAATTCCTCTCTTAATTGCTTCAGAGACACACTTAATATCCCATGGGTTGATTATTAACGAACCATCTGCTAATTCTGAGGCACTACCGGTGAATTCTGATAATAATAATGGTGCATTTTTCTCTAATGATGAAGCAATAAATTCATGACATGATAAGTTCATACCTTCTCTTTGTGAATTCACCCAAAATAAATCAGCTTCAGAATTTAAAGCTAAATACTGTTCATATGAAAGATCTTGATATAAGAATACTACCGGTGGTGTATCGCCAATAGATACTGTAAGTTCATTGATACGATCACCAATAATTGCGATCTGTTTCTTCAGATTTTCGTCATTGGAGGATCCAATACATATTTGAATTAAAGAGACTTCGCCAATATATTTGGGATTATCTAATAAGAATTTCTCAAACGCAGTCAATTTTTGTACTAATCCTCTTACTCTATCAAATTGATCTCTAGAGACAATTAATTTTGTATCATTCCAACGTTCTCTAATGGCATTTCTCCATTCTTTAACTGTTTCATCTTTAAATAATTGCAATTGTAGATCTAATGCATCTATCCCTATTGGGATATTCCCAATTTTAATAAAATTTCCTTGATATTCAATCACAGTATCATTTTCTATAGTATCTGCCATTAATAGTCTACTACATGTTTGAATAAAATGTTTTAAATATTCTTTAACTTGGAAACCAATAAAATTTGCACCTAATAGACCATCGAGTATGTCTTCTCTATGAGCTAAACATCTAAAAACTTCACTACTAGGAAAAGAAATATGAAGGAAAAACCCAATTTTAGCAGTTGGTAACTTATTTCTAACCATCCTTGGTACTAACATTAAATGATAATCATGAATCCATATTGTATCACCAGGTTTATATTGTTCTATAAGTGTTTCTGCAAACAATTGATTTACTCTTTGATAAAATTTCCATGAATGATCCTCGAAGGCCTTTGATAAAGGATTATCAGGAATTTGATAATGTAAAGTAGGCCATAATATTTGTTTACAATAATTTTTATAACAACCTCTAAATGTAGTATCGTCTGTTACTACAGGGAAACAATTAAAATCATAATTATAAGTAGAAACAATACCGTGAATTGTCTCCTCCGACAATTCATCTGTTGCAATACCCATTGTACCAATCCAAGATACATGATTTACTAAAGGATCATCAGGAAATTCTTTCATTGTATTTTGTGTAATAAAACTATTAATTGCATTTTTTAAGGATCCATTTCCTTTCATATCATTTGGAATTAAATTACAAGGTAAATCTTCAAACAACGTATGTGAATTATCTAATATTTTAGCCTTTAATGTAGGATCTTGATTTGAAATCCCACCAAATGGTGGAACATCATATGTTGTTTCATTCATAATACTTTTATTATCATCTAAATCAGAATCAATTTGTTGTATATGAGGTGGTAAAGAAGTAGGTACAATTTTGGAAGAAGAATATTTTAAAGTTGAATTTAGTCTTTTCAAAGAAGGTTGTTGTTGCTGTCCAGTTTTTTGTCTATTTTGAATACTATGTTTTAATAACGATTTATTAACACTTTTCAGTAAACTTTCTGTTGGATCATCACATATTGAAGATTTCAAAGGTTGTGGTGGTAAAGATCTAGAAGGAGAAGCCGATCTATTCATTGTAATATTAGTAGAGCTACCAAAAAAATTCTCTACTGATGAATTAGTTGGATAAAGGTTAGGAGGTGGTGATCCAATATTAGTAGGAGCATTTGATGTCAAACTTTCCATAACTTGTTCGGAAGATACTTGCCTATCGATTGCCGTAGTTGATTGATTTCTTTTAAAGTGTTCAGTATTTAAAATCAATGAATCCTGAGATAAATTATCGGGATTTAATACATTTTCCCTATAAGGAGTTCCCACTGGAGAAATTACTCTATTAATTGGTCGAATGTTTTCGATAGTATTGCTCTCTTCTTCTGCATGCTTATCCTTCAACAGGTCCTTTGTAATATTCTCTACATTTTCCACATCAAATTGAGGCTTATAAGGTAAATAGAGTGATGCAACCAGTAAAGTCATATTAACAAAAATTTATTATTTCGTGTAATATATTCAAATATTAAGATACTTCTATCTGTTTTATTTTGTTTGTTTGTATATATAAGTTTACTTTTCAGAATATGCCATCCCTTCTTGTACCCTTAAATATTCAGATTCATTTAAAAAGAGTTTTCCTATTCCAATCCTTCCTCCATATATATATATATATGTATATATATTAATAAGAAATACTTTGAATATATTAATAGATACGGGATGCTATAAATTTGAAGAAAGGAAGGATAATTAATAACCGTCTCCAGACTTGTTTGTGTCATTATCCCCCCAAAATATGCAACTTGTACGTATATATGACTTTCTTGACCCCTCAATGGCTAATATAGTTTGCGAAATAATGTTTGATTGCAATATTGTCTCGCTCGCTCATTCGTTCCCTTTTGAATCTTCGTCCCTCGCTGTCTGCTTCCACTTTTTGTTTCTCGCTGTGGCAAGTTTCTGCTGCGGTGCGGTGTGTGGGTGTGTGTTGGCCCATTTTATTACTTTAACGAATTCCCCCCTCCTTTGGTTGCAAACCCTAAAGAGGGCTGAGAGGGGTTTGCTTGGGGGAAGGGGCGAGGAGATGAGGGGAGAGGGGGGGGGATTGAACTAGTGGGTGCTTTTATTGATTAATAGTGATTTAACGGCTAAAACTCTGAGGGTTTTTTCACTATTTATGACATAATTACAAGTAGAACCATGCAGACATGTGAGAAGTTTGGAAAAAATGTTACGAATGAATGAAGAAGAACCGGTTGTACCATTGGTAGATGCACATTGCCATGTCTTGACGAATCCCTCCAAAGTCGAACCAGAACATGAATTGTCCAATCATAGGATAAGTAGAGCCTTGATGTCTAACAATCCTTATGATTGGAATAGATTACAATCGACTCAGTTTGAAGGAAACGATAGAAACTTGCCTCAGTATAAAGGTTTTGGTATCCATCCTTGGTATTCTCATTTATTTACATTAGATCATAACAAAACATTAACTAAAGATGAACATTATAGACAGGTACTAATTTTCAAACAAACAGATGATACTATCTTATCGAATTTAATTCAGAATGTATTACCGGATCCTGTGTATATAGAAGATTATATATCAAAGATAGATTTTAATAAGGTGGATCTAATCGGAGAGATTGGGTTGGATAAATCGTTTAGTGTACCATCTAATGGATTTTATCAAGGTCATGATAGTAATAATATAATTACAAATACAAGAATAAAAGTCTCAATGGATCATCAATTGAAAATATTTAATAGAATGTTACAATTAGCATGTGTTCATTCATTGAATGTTTCTTTACACGATGTGAATTGCCATATGAAATTACTTGATACTTGCCAACAACATTTATTAAAGAATCCAGCTATTAATATATGTCTTCATTCTTATACAGGATCGATTGATTTCTTATTAACTCAATGGATTAAAACTTTCACTGAAGATAGAATATTTCTTAGTGTGTCTCAGTACATTAATTTTAAAAAAATTGAAGGAAATATAGATTATTCACAAGTACCACAGAAATGTATCCTGACAGAAACAGATTATATTGTCGATAGTAACAATATAACTGATATATTTTTACAAGATTCTTTGAAGAATACTTTGGAAAATTTAACAAATGTAATACCATTAGCTTCATCACAAGACACAAGAAAACTTGTATACGAAAATTTCTGTAGATTTATGCATACGTGATATATGTATATATATACATCTGAAAAGAGGTATACATAATAATAATTATCTTCTTATGTATGTACACCTCTTTCTGTATTTATTGAGCTTTCCTTGAAATGATGACTTCTGAAACCTTCTTCATTTTTTCTACGGTTTTTGCAATCTTTTTATAAGAAGAAAGGAAAAATAGAAAATCTATATCAGTTTCCATTTCTTGAATATAAACAGTTAAGATAGACCTGGTAAAGAGACTTAAGGGAAAGGTATTGATAACAATACTTAAATATTATATTAATTATACTTCCATTGATAACATTTTTTTTTCCAAAATCACAAACCAAGACCAAATGGCCAGAACTACAAATTCAAACAGTGAGTCGGATTCGAAGTCCGGTAGATCAGGGAAGACTAACTCGGGTAATTCCAAGACTAATACCAATGGATCAGGATCCATCCAAGGGAATAACCAAGGTAAGCAGAGACTCACTGCAGCACAACAACAATATTTAAAGAACTTGGTCGCTACACATATCACCGATAATCATCCAAATATCGTGAATCCACGTACCAATCCTGCGGATTTTGAAAATTATTCAGATAATTTCTTACGTAATTATAAAGATCATTTCAATTTAAATACTCCAGATAATATGACGTTTAGAGGGTACCTGTTGGGTTCGAAATTGGGTTCAAAGACTTATTCATTTGAAAGAAATATGATAGGGAAACCTGATGCAAGGATACACAAGAAAGAGTTATCGAATGAAGTAAAAAAACATTTTGATTCTGCATCCATAAAAGAAATGGAATGTATTCCACAATTTATTTACAAAGTAAAAAGTCAAAGAAAGAAATTCAGAATGGAATTTAGAAGTGGGAACCATCAATAAGTGGATGTAAATCATATTTCTTTGGAGGTTTCTTTTACATACACGATTGGAATTCATCATGCCTATAGTTTTTTTACAAGAACGTACATCTCCTCATATAACCAATTGTCAACAGGCATTGACCACATTACTACATAGCATTAATAATATTGTAATATATCAAATACATATCGAACTAATTATCTTTTTTTTATATTGTCTTTGCTTTTAGTCAGCTGTTGTTGAGTTGAAAAAAAGAGAGAGACAGAATGGGAAAAAGGGCCCTCAAAGGAAAGAGGGCGAAAGGATTGTATTATACTAATAGACCGTTTTTGACAGATAACTATTTACAGAATAATATATATTTATATAAATTGATAAACGATAGGAACGAATACTGCCTTATTGTACAGAAGAGAGAGACAAATTAGAAAAAACGTATTAGTTGTTTTTGTCATTTCCATATCTTCAAATACAATGATGGATTCAAATATATTATCAATTATTATAACCTTATTGTTAGGTGTCTTCATACTGAAATGGTTCTTACAAAGCGATGCACATCCTTCAACCGATAGAATAAACAGAACACAAGTGAGAGGCAGGGGTTCCACAGGTCAAAGAGCCCGAACCTCTGGTAATGGACGTAATGAACATACTGTGACTCCCGATATGATACAAGCCGTGCAGAACGTCGCACCAACAATGGATGTCGAACAAATCAGATATGCTTTAAAACAATCGGGATCGGTGGAAATAACTGTGGAAAGATACCTTAGAGGTGAGAATTTCCCATTCCCACCAAATTATACGCCACCTGTTGTTCCTAATGGAGGTCGTCATTCAAGAGATGAAACCAGTAATGATCCAAGAAAGAGAAGTAATATTAAGAGTGATAATTTATTGACAAAATTTAAAATTAATATCAATGATCCTAATTGTGATGCTGAGTTTGAATCCGTAGAGTTTTCTGATTTGGATATGGATCAAAGAAGAAGATACATGGTATGGGAATCAAGAAGAAAAATGGAGAAACGTTTGGAGACTGATTCTGAATTGAAGTCATTATTAAATGACACGCCTATATCTGTATAAGCAATAATTTAAAAAAAAGATATATATATATATATATTAATAAATATTGTTAAAATTTCATTTTAGAATAATTTCCAAATGTTGTATCTATCGTAACTGTATTTTTTAATGGTGTCCACGCCATTCCATTTTCTCTCATATAATCATCATCAAAATTATAATGAATATATTGATCTGGAGGTTTTTCCGTTAAATGACCAATAATTACCAAAGAAGCACCTGCTTCAAAAGTAGTTATAATCTTTGTTGATCTATCTTTAGGTATTACTTTGAAATATACCAAACCTACTCTATCTCTTTCCCTTGATGTAGGAATTGGTTTAGAAACGTAATGAGTCACTATAAACTCTACATTCTTTCTATGCTCTGGGTTCCTTTGATTATAAAATTTGTTTAAGAATTCCAAAGATGTCGCGGCATTCTCATGATTGACATACATTTGTGCAATTGTATTTAGTGATATGGATTGACCTGGTTCACAAATTGGAACATACATTGGATATTCTGAAATATTGTTGATTTTTTTGAAGTTACTTAATTTTGTGAGTCGAAAGGCCTGTTTCAAGATTATCCGTTGTGATTCCATGGTTAAGAAAAACCCTGTACATTTAGGAGTCCATTTAATTTCCAAAAGTTGTTGGTTAGTGGATCTTCTTTCGTTACATTCTTGAATTACTCGATGTACTAACGAATATTCTGCCACGGGATCCAGATTGATGCTTAGTTGTGGTACCGGTATTACAAACCATTGAAATCGTGGTCTTGGTCTCATTTGATGGAAAAATGATTTGAATTGTTTAATATGTTGTAATCTATCGTCATATACTGTAATTTCTTCTAAATTCGGATAATTTCTAATGAAGTCAGCTATCAATGAACTTTTATATTGGAAAGTTGGTAAATTTGATGCTTGTCTACTTATACGTTTCTTTAAGCATACCGCATTAAATTTTAAAAAATTCGAATCCTTTGACCATTTGTTGTAAAGTGAATCATTATCTTCTGAAGCAACAGCCAACTTTCTTGTCACCGTCAACATCTTCTCCATCAAGGAAGAAAACGGCTCTTGTTTTCTTCCTGTCAACACTATCGAAATCGTTTCCGGATCCCGATAGGATAAGCTTGTCAACGAGAGCATTTGTTCGTTCCAAAACAGTTGCTGAGTGTCCGCCACGCACATTTTGAAGGATTCCTCCAAGAAACAAGGCTGATCATACCAGCCCCCAGTAGTCATGACATCGTTTGTCAAGAGGTTTCGTATTGCTCTATTTGAATACAGGATTCTATTGGGACTTGGGGATTTATATAGAGTGTTGTCGAAGTCGTAGATATGAAGTCGTTTCATCCCCGAGACATCTTTCTGTGGTATATTCAACTCCCCGGGACAACTATTCCATTTCTTCAGAGTAGCGTGGTTCATCGTGAGTACAGTGATGATATTGTAGATATGTATGTCGATGTATATATCGATGTATATATAGTAGGACTAATTTAATCTACCTAGTGTCAAAAATGGCATTACCAGTATTTTCAGTATTTTCAGAGTGATGAAGCGTGCGTGCCGCAACCGTCATTGCCATGGTTAAAGTATAACAAAGCCAGAGCAAGAACACAATACACCATTCTAAAGAATGTCATAAATATAAGTATAAGTACCTAAATATGAGTTGACCGTATGTGTATGGGACAGTGGTCAAAGAGAGCGGAGATACAGCTCAGCACCGTCTACTACGTCCGTGGTTATACCCAGGGTAACCCAAAGCAACGCAGGTGAAAAATTTCGCCAGTCGCCGTTCACAGAGCAGACCAACATACGCCAATTGCATTGTATCATTAGTCAATCACAACGTCCACACTGACATCACCGCCATCGCCAACGTCACCATTACTCTATCAACATTACTCTGTCACCTGCTCTGTCGCCTGCCCTCACTGAAGCTTTTTATCGCTGCCGATGCGCCACACGGAAGTTGAAATTCTTTTCGCTGCTGCCTGCGCTGCTGCTGCGGTTGTTTCTCTCGAGACCCACAGCAAAAGGATCGAATCGAGAATGCTTTTTGCGACTTCTCCGAGGATTTGTCACAGGATTATATAATCACAACAACAATAACAATACCACAGTTGCTGGTTGTTCGTGGTGCGTCAATAGAGGGAGCGGGAGTGGGAGTGGGACGGGGCAATTGCTGCAAAGTGAAATATTGGGATAATAGACGAACTGGAAGGAGGTCGGGAAACAACAAGGAATGGACAAGCCACTCGTTGTGCTCATCGTGCGTTCCTATTGTTCCTGTTGCAACTGAATAATTCTTGCAATACATATATAAGAGGGAGTATAAAGGCGATGAGCTCAGGGTTTGGAAAGTTTTTTGTATTTTATTTCTTATTCTTTTGTTGCCGTGTATATAAGAGTGAATAGCTATCGTTGTTTACTACACACACAGGTATGTCAGATACTACTAACACGACTAGTACGTCGACTCAACAAGTAGTCACGGCATTGGTCTCTAATAGTGTTATCTTCGGTGTGTTCATATCATTATTCTTACTGTTTAGAATCAAATTAAAACGTATCTATGAGCCAAAATCATCCTTTCAATTAATCAACGAAGAAAAACGACCCGACCCGCTACCAAAAGGGTTGTGGCAATGGGTCATGCCACTATTAAGAAAATCGGATAACTTCATTATTCAACAAGCAGGTTTAGACGGGTACTTCTTCCTAAGATATCTGTTTATCATTTGTGCATTTTGCACCTTTTCACTGATTTACATGTTTCCTATTCTGTTTGCTGTTAATGCTACGAATGGTGAAAACGAATCTGGTTTGAATCAACTGGCGTACACGAACGTTAAGGACCCCAAAAGGTACTACGCTCATGTCTTCATTTCATGGTCGTTTTATTGGTCGTTCATGTATATTGTCTATCGTGAACTATTCTTCTATACGTCAATGAGACAAGCTGTGTTGGCCTCGCCAAGATATGCTAAAAAATTATCGTCAAGAACCGTGCTGTTTCAAACTGTTCCAACGCAATATCTGAGTGAAACAGAATTCTCAAAATTGTTCGATGGGGTGAAAAGAGTTTGGATAGCGAGAGGTGCCAACAATATCGAAGATCTGGTGAAGGAAAGAGAAAAGATGGCTATGCAATTGGAATCTGCGTCTGTTTCTTACTTGAAACAAGCCATTACAAAAGTTCATAAAATGAGAAAGAAAAACCCAAGTACCATTATCGATGAAGAAATATCCACTTATATCCCAGAAAAGAAGAGACCTCACCATTCGAAAAACTTCTGGAATAAAATCATATTCAGAAAGACTGTGGACACCATATCTGAATTGAAAGAGGAATTACCAAAGATCAATCAGGAGATTAAAGATTTGCAAGACGACCATATCAATGGAGAACCATTCAACTCAGTATTTGTCGAGTTTGAATCCCAATACCAAGCTCAGGTTGCTGCTCAAGTCACCACATTCCATGCTCCGTTGTTCATGACCCCTGCATACATCGGATTGGAACCCAAAAATGTCGTTTGGTTTAATTTGAGAATGTTTTGGTGGGAAAGATTAAGTAGAGAAGTAGGGACAATAGCTGCCATTTGCGCATTGGTCATATTGTGGGCTTTCCCAGTGGCTTTCGTGGGTATGATTTCAAACATCACGTATCTAACCGATAAAGTCCATTGGTTACGTTTCATCTATAAATTACCAAATCAATTGCTGGGTTTGTTGACTTCATTGGCTCCAACCATCGCGTTGGCTGTATTGATGAGTTTCTTACCAAGAATTATTAGAGGTATGGCTGTCCTTCAAGGGTCGCCATCTAATCAAAAAGTAGAACATTTCACTCAAAATGCTTATTTTGCATTCCAAGTGGTTCAAGTGTTCTTAGTGACAACAATTACTTCTGCTGCTACATCCGTGGTGACACAGATTGTTTCGCAACCAACGAAAGCTATGGAATTACTAGCAACAAATTTGCCAAAGGCTTCCAATTTCTATATCTCATACATTATCCTACAAGGTATGTCCATTTCATCAGGTGCTCTGCTGCAAATCGTTCCTTTAGCAATATATTATGCGCTAGGGAAAATATTGGATTCCACTCCAAGAAAAAAATACAATAGATTCGTTAATTTAAGTTCAATGCAATGGGGGACAACTTACCCAGTGTACACTAACTTGGCAGTCATTGTCTTCTCGTATTCTATCATCTCTCCGATCATTCTATTATTCTGTGCATGTGGGTACTTCCTGCTGTATGTTGCATACTTGTACAATCTAACGTATGTGTTCAGTGAAGCTCCAGATGCTAGAGGTATCAATTATCCAAGAGCGCTGTTCCAAACAATGACAGGGATGTACATTGGGGAGATTTGTCTGTTGGGTCTGTTTGTCGTAGGTAAAGGTTGGGGTCCGGTTGTTCTTCAAGTGATTTGCATTTGTATCTCCGTCATCTTACATTTACAATTAAACCATGCATTCGATGATTTGATGACCGTTTTGCCGGTAGATACAATGAAACCATTGGATGGTAAGACAGATACTCCTTCGTTTAAAAATATTTATGACGGTCAAAGGAATCATGGAAAGGACACCATCAAGGAATTACCACAATTCCCAATTCCTAAATATCAACCAAAGAATCCTTTCAATAACCCTAGTGACTCAAAATCAGGACTCAGTGATACAACATACCCTTATATGTATGATGAAACATTGGAGACTCCAGAAAATAACGTCATTGGAGTGCCATTGTTAGCTGATGGGGATACAGTGAGAATCCCACCGGCTCCATTCTACAAAAGATTTTTCAAACCACATATATATTGCTCGTACAAGGCGGTCAAGACAAGATTGCCTGAGATTTATGGGTTAATCGACCCAGATGAAGTCTTGGATGAATCACAATTATTACATGCTTATGATTTCCCTGCTGTAGGAGCTCAATGTCCATCCTTATGGATACCAGAGGATGAGTACGGTTTCTCAAAACAAATCATTAAAGAATTGGAAAATGTAGTAGATATATCGGATCGTAATGCCAAGATAGACACTACTGGTAAAATAACGTTCACAGGTGTCCCCCCAAAGAATGAAGGGGAAGAAGATAATGAAAATGATATATTTATGAATCACATCAAAGAGGAGTCCGAGGAACCTAAGGATTAAAACTTCCAAACTAATAACTAATACAATAAAACATTTTAAAAAATACATTATACTATACTGTAACAATATATACATATATCAGAACTCTTTATATTTAATAAAATTCATTTGCTTAATTAATCAATTGTATTGAAGTTATTGAAATTATTTAAGTCGTACTCGCATCTACTTCCAACAAAGTGGAGGTTTATTATAAAAATTAAAAAATATACATATAAATGGAAAAGGTTGTTCCCTTTAAAAGGGCAACTCGCTACCAAGATTAGCGATCACAACAACAATTAAGCTCAGTCAAAATATATATCTTACCTCAACAATGTTACGTATTACTACTCGGTGTGTAACAAGGTTAAATTTCAATAGAACTTTTGTTTCTCAATCAAACATATCAGGGTTCAAAACTATAAACCAAGGATCAAAATACTCCCCGAATTTCAAGCAATATCTTCGTATGCCAAATGATGAAGCAGGATCTTTCTTCCACGATATTCCTCTTGGATTGGCTCCTGAAAATGCTACAGTGAATATGGTTGTTGAGATTCCTAGATGGTCGAATGCAAAGTTCGAAATATCTAAGGAATTGCAACTTAATCCTATTATTCAAGATACAAAAAAGGGTAAACTAAGATTTGTGAATAATATATTTCCATTTAAAGGTTACATGCATAACTATGGTGCAATTCCTCAGACATGGGAAGATCCAACTACGGAGGAATTTGAAGGAATTGGACTGAGGGGAGATAACGACCCTCTAGACTGTTGTGAGATTGGTTCAGAAGTCTTAAATATGGGTGATATTAAGAAAGTGAAGATTTTGGGCTCTTTGGGCTTGATAGATGATGGTGAACTAGATTGGAAAGTTATTGTTATCGATGTTAATGATCCCTTAGCAAATCAGTTGCAGAATCTTTCTGACGTAGAGAAATATATGCCTACGCTACTCCATAATACAAGAGAATGGTTTAGAAATTATAAAGTACCGCAAGGTAAACCTAAAAATGAGTTCGCATTTGATGAAGAATATTTAGATGTCCCAAAGACTATATCCATAATCCAAAAATGTAACAAATCTTGGGATAAATTAATATCGGGAAAGGGTTTGGAACCATTTGATTCGATACCAATGACTCAAAGATCATCCAAAGATATTCAAATAGAGTCGAAGGCTGAAGTTGATTCACCTATCCCTGTAGAAACAAAGATATGGCATTACGTTTAATATGTACAAATGTCAATAGTTTGAAGATTACTTGTAAATAAACAAATTCTGTAATAATAAGATACTAAAACAACTTCTCGTCATAATAGGGAGATCGGATTACGGATACTCTAAATACATGCAATTTTATATAAATTAATTACCAACGAACATTTTTCTAAAATCATCATTAGTCATTTCCGGTTTTGATGTCGACGAAGGTGAATATTCCTGTGTGTTATCCTTTGGTTCATTCTGTTTTAACAAAATATTTAAATCTTTATGGCTAGATATCGTATGATTACTTTCTCTTTGGGATGTATCAATTTTATACGATTTCAAATCAGATATTGTTCCAACATGTATCATTTTATTCATAAACTTGGTCTTATCTAATTTCACACAACATTTAGCTGCAATGTGTCTGTCACTAAAATGAACCAACGCACCATTAAGATCGTTTGCCAAAAATATCTTAGTTACTTCACCAGAATTTATCTTCAAGTTCTCTGATATATATGCTAAAATATGTTCCTTTGATATTTTATCTGATATAGGATATATCGACACAAAGAATTCTTTCTTTCTCTGGTTTCTTGAATTTAATATGTTGAGTAACTCTTTTCTCTCCAAATAGGCTTTATTATCTGCTAACTGAACTGATATTATTCTTTCATCTATCTCTGTTTTGTTAAGAGAAAGTGCATTGTCTGTATCCTCCTTATTAAGAAATGTAATAAATGCACATCCATTATTGATATCAGAAGACGATTTGGGGATTGTTATATGTTCTATCGTACCAAATTTACCAAAAATACTCTGTAGATGATCTTTCTCAAGGGATGATGGATTTAAGTTTCTGACGAACAGTTCTCTTCTTTCCAATAGGCCTGCATCGGAACGTTTTTCCTTTTCAGCTGGGTTTGATATCTTTACAACTAATTTGTAATGACCAAGTTCGATTCCATTCAGTTTTTCTGCTGCTGTTTCACATTCTTCCTTTGAATATACATCAATGTAGCAAAACCGTCTATTTGAATTATATCTATGGGATGGTAGTCGTATACTAATTGCTGCAATCCCAATATTCAATAACAAGTTTCGTATGTTTTTATTTGAATAGTTTGGTGGAAAATTTGTCATCCATAATGTGCTATCTTGTAATAATTTAACCTCAATTTCATTAGAACCAATTTTTTTGTATGTCTTCGTCAAGGCCGCTAATGCTTCATTATGGGAAGAAAATTCCAACCTAGCAAACCTTGATGCATGATCAATAGAATCACAAGTTTCTATGTTCTGCATACTTCCACAATCTTGAAATATCTTTTTAATTTTCCCATTATTATAACTTCGAGGTAGATTCTTGACTATCACTGCTTTGAATGATCTATCGGTCACATCTGCACCCCTGGATTTTTTTGTACTTTCAATGTCTACCGAATTGGGATTGTCCAATGGCCTCTTTTTATGCTCATCCATTGCTGATATAACAGCCTTTCGTCAGGAATTTATATAAGTTTTCGATGTTGCAATGACACGCTTATATTGTTTTGGTCTCTTCTTGTGTGTTTCTGTATGGATTATTTCATTAAATAACCTTTTTCATAGTATGGGACCGATCGCTTCATTAAGATAAATGAAAAAAAAATTTGCGATGAGCTTCAAGTATTAAAACTTGCAACTGTATTTAACTGAAACCACAATATGAACATTGGTAGCAAATGCAAGACATAGAACAAGTTAGATAGACATAGCAATGAGCTTAACTAGTATGAATAGTAGTGAATACCTGAAATCATATGGGTGGGAAGAAGGTGAAGCCCTAAAGGAAGGTGGTCTAAAGAAACCCATCCTGGTGAAACATAAGAGAGATAAAAAAGGTTTAGGTTCTGCTCCAGGTGGAGATGATAGTGAAGCATGGTGGGAGAGGTTATTTGATGGACATCTTAAGAACCTGGAAGTAACTTCTGGCTCTAAAAAGGGTGGACTTATCTTTAAACAAAATAAAGTAGTGGCAACGGCAGTATCTAAACAAAGTTCGCCGTTATATCAATGGTTTGTTAAAGGGGAGGGTTTAAAGGGAACAATAAAAGAGAAGGAGACTACTATATGTGTCGAACAAACTGTTGTGTCGAATATATCGAGATCTAAGAAGAGATCAAGATCTGATGGTGATAAAGAAAAACACAAGCATAAGCATAAGAAATTAAAAGTTAGCAAAAAATCGAAAAAGTCTAAAGATATAAAGACTAACGACAAGAAATCTAAAGATAAGAAATCTAAGCATAAAAAATCTAAGGATAAGAAATCAAAGGATAAAGATCATAAGCATAAAAGATCCAAGGATAAAAACTACAATGAAAAGAAACCGAAAGACAAGATATAATAATATAATAGAGAATCAGATGAGTAAGGATATAAACAACTTATCCCAATGTATATACACCCACCCAGTATACCAAAATTTCTTCTTGAAGTTCATGCCAGGAATATTATAATACAACTGATATATAAATCATATATTTAGAGTACATAGAAATGCAACTTATGGCAGTTTATTGAGATCCACTGTGTAATCCTCTAAATCATAAGCATCAAGATCATCTACATTTGGTTCTATAGTTTTATTCACCAATGATTTTTTATTCTTTGGGAAATTAGGGAGCACATAATTATTGGAATCTATATTGTCTATGAGCCTTTCATCTGCAGCCTTGTAACCCCTCACCTGAAAAAAGTTTTTTTTATTGAGACCCATCTCCATCTCTTTCCTATTTATATCTCGTAAGTATTCTCTATCTTTCCATGAGATTGCATTATTTGAAACAAGTGTCTCTAAAGAGAAATAATCATCTTTTGCGTTTGGATAAAGAAATTTTGGTAAGGATTTTTTCCCTGTTTCCTTATTATATTTATACGTTTTTAATACCTTTTTAGGTAACTTGAATTCATGTTTTTTAAATGTATTAGGAACATCATTGAAGAGTTCTAATGACTTCATATATATTTCTTCCATGTTTTCTCCCATCTGACAGCCACGTTCAATTATATCGTGATACGTCAACTTAATGTATTTATTAGCATGAGTGCTCTTATTTTGTATCTGGATTACGGTTTGACTTTCATCAATTTCAGGTGTGATTTGTTTACTCCTGGATACTGTTATCTTATTTTGTTTAGCAACTTTATGATGTAAACCTAAGAAAAAGTGATCCAACTTATCGAAAACTGAACGAGATAAATCATTAGGTATTTCTGTTTTATCAACATCCAATTGCAACCCTGATAATTTTGATGATTGTGAAAGTAAATGTTGCCATTGACCTGAAAATTCAGCATTTAACATATTTGTTGCATGACGTAAGGCATTAGCGGAAACTTCATTAGGAGAAATGTTAATTGTTTCTTGTGTGGATGACTTATTATTCATAAGTTCCATATCTTCGTATATTTTGTCAGTCTGGGGGTCTATAATTGTATTTGGATTTGGCCAACTCACCCAACTATCTTTAATTTGTGTCTTAATAAAATTATTTACGGCGTAGAAATGTTTCTTTTCATTAGCTTTATAAAGTAATTTCTTCAATAAGAATGAAGAATAGAGATGTAGTGTCAAATCTGTTCTATGAATATGTTCTAATGAATTCAAAATTTCGTTAGCTGACTCGATGGTCTGCTTATCCTCCTGAGTTAACGATTTAGTTACGCGTGATTCACTATTAGAATCATTACCTATACTCTCTGACACGCTAGCATTGTTTCTCGTTGTGCGCTCATTTTCATCGTCACTCATTGAGTTATCATATATCGGATGTCTTTAGGAGTAGAGAATTTGCTTTAGGGAATTGAGATTAATATTCAGAAAATTTGTCTTTAAGATCACCTATTTAGCTGAGATATTAAAAATATTAGAGTTTGTTTATTCTTCGATGACTTTTTTTTAATTACAGTCAGCGCCATACAAAAAATGGAAGATGAAAAAATTAGCATACAAATTTTAAACACGAACTTCTACGAAAGACTAAATAAAAAATTTGTAGATAAAGAAGATTGCCTCTGTTACACATCTGCTCTAAAATCGTTCCAGTTGTTGTGCGTATTTCATTGATATTACTTCTGTTTGACATTTGAAAAATTTCAGTTGCATGTTATAACTTTGTGTTTTCTTTCGATGAGTTCGAAACTATCAAAAATAACAAGACAAAGATGAATCGACAAGGGGATCATCAAAATAAAGTGAAGAATATGAACTCGGTGCTTACAGAGCAGAAATGTGAACAGATATGTGAACAGATATGTGAACAGAATGGTAAAATCTTGCGTTGAAAAAAGTTAAAAAATAAAGGTCCTACCCGGATTCGAACTGGGGTTGCTCGGATCAGAACCGAAAGTGATAACCACTACACTATAGGACCTTACGAAAAAAAATAAAAAAAGGTGATGTTTATATAGCCATTACAATTATGATTTTTAATTATTTTTGTTACGAAAATCTTAATTATAATTGTGAATTTTGAGCTGATATTTGCATAGTAGAGTTTGCTCTGGATTTATTCATACATAATTGTTAAGGTAAAAGGTTTTGTAGCAGCAGCATAAGTGTAAATGATAATAGTAAAGCAAATGCTTTATGTTAACCCTCTCTTATATTTGTAAGTGATTTTTTATATTATATATAATTTATAGAACGAATAGAATCTAACTCAGAATGTAAGTTCAGAAATCTCTCTCTTTATATATTATTTATTTTCTCAAAAAAATGTTTCTCTAATTCTTTCTTAATAAAATTGTCAGAAATTAAGAGTAATATGCACAACACTTAATTTCAATAGGTAAAAAACTACCTTTAAGCACAGTTATTATGAAGCGTGTTAAAATATGAAACAAAATATGTGGCAACATGAAACAAAGTTAATCGCATTATGAAACAAAACATAATTCGAACCTCAATTGAGATTAGAATAAAAAATATATAAAGACAAAGAATTCTGAACTTGCATTCGAAGTTAGATTCTATCTGTTCTATAAATTATATATAATATAAAGAGACTGATCGATTATCGTATTAAAAAATGTCCGAATTAAATAAAGTAAAGCTTGAAGAGACTAATAGAGGCAAACACTCTATCTCAGATTCTCTACAAAAATATTACCTAATGAATTATTAAGTAAAAACCATTATTACCTAATTTTTTTCGTAATGAAATTATTAGGTAATAAATTACTAATTAATGGGAATGTTATTACCTAATTATTACGTAATTCTTCATTCTTATTTGGACATTTTAGATATCTCGATTCGACATAATTTCTGTCAGTTCCCACATAATTTCTCTCAAAAATATTAATTAATTACAGGTCAAAAATGATTTTACTGGTTTAAACGAAGGTTTTCATCATAAGATGAATACAGTATATGAAATCGACTTATCGTACAAAGTGTTAAACAGAGTTGCTGTTGTTAAACTGCTCATCTTTTGTGCATAGTAACATTGGACAATATAGATCCCATAAACCCAATGTAGGGGAAACGAATACTACATTGTGCAGTATATACCATGCGTTATTCTATATACGGCAGTGCAGTACACTCTAAATTCTACGTATATTAGCTACCTTCTCCTTCAGATAGGTTAAGCTGATGTTAGCCTTTTTAGTGCTGCCGCTACATTTCAACACAAAGTGGGGGGTATGTATTAAATATTTGTACAAACCTGGACATATCCTCTAAACATGTTTTTTGTTTTATTATAATATATGAAAAGAAACTAAATTAAATAAATAGAGGGAAATATGATTAGATATATAAATTTATCAAATCACTCATACTTCATTGGAGATACAGGAGAATCATTATATAAGTAAGTACCAAAGACATTATCCCAGAACCACGAAGTGATACCAAAAGCTAATTGATAATTTTTATAATGATGTTCTAAATGGAATTTCTTTAATTTTCTCATGAATTTTGGCATCTTAGAATGATGTAACCAATAATGGCATTCATCATAGTAGACGTAACCAAACAGACCACCAGCGAAGCCTGCATAAGCCCAGTACAAAGGTAATGATTTGAATACGACCCAGTAGAAAGGAGTACATAACATGACGAATAGAGTTGGAGGCATGACTAATCTGTTTGGATCCATTGGTAAATAATGATGACAACCATGTAGTAAGAAATGAATAACGAAAGCCAAATTATTTTGAGGTAAATAATTATCGAAATGGAAAACAAATCTATGTAGAGCATATTCAATAAAAGTCCAGACAAAGACACCGACACCGAATAAGAAAACGGTTAACAGATGGTTTTGATTTCTCCATGCAACGGCAAAATGGTAAATGACAACAGGTAACCAAACAATAGGAATAACCCACCATGGAGTCTTAGTTAGTGGTTCTAGGAAATTCCCGAATAGAGGAGCAGAAGTCTTACCGAAATGTCTTGGTCTGTTGACTTGATCGACATAAAAATCAACAGTGAAATCACTGAATAAAATTTGTTTTAATAAAGGTTTTTCTAAGTCTAAGAAATGATGTTTTTCGTAATCGTTTTTATAATTAGTGGCGATACTGAGTTTATCTTCAGTTGGTAAATCCTTCACAAAAGTAGTTGAATCAAAGTTTTTTTGCTTGCCATTATTAGTTTTTGAATCGACAATATTAACTTCCACTTTATGATTTTTATTAGACAACAATTCTTCTTCTTCTAAAGTTGTTGCTAAATAACCAATTAAGAATTTATCGGATTCGATTAAAGAATTGAAAGTAATTAATTCGTTATTTAAAGCTTGAGTAATATCTTTACCGGCGAATGATAGTAAAATTTCATGTTTATTATCATTTTTCAAATCTTTATTTTCATTTAAGAATTTAGTAACATCATAAATTTTTCTTTCATCAACGGTTACCCAGCAATCATTTGGAGAAGTATGTTCAGCAACTTTAATAGAAGGAAATAGTTCCAAAGTCTTTGCAGTTTCACTCATTCTGGTTAATACACAATAGATTATTAGTTTATATATCCTGAGATAATAAAAATAAATATACGAACAAGTTAAAATTATGTAGTAAGAAGAGCTATAAATCTAGTTCATCAAAATGTGTCTTATATATAGAAACAAAATGTGAATTTTACGTGTCAATGAGCAAAATTAAATGAGAACTTAAGCATGATGTAGTAGTGTAAACAAGAAATTAACTGACTGCAAGGGTAAAAAAATAAGGCAGACAGACGGAAGGTAAAAAAAGGACCCAAATCATGTTAATATGGTATAGTGCAAGCATTACGTTTCAGTTGCGGCAAGTGCAGATAACCGATATTTATCATTTCTGTAGATTTCATTTATTGCGCGATATTTGTTGTTGTTGCTGCTGTATCAGTTCGACAGTTTGTACGCCATATTCGTCTCTGTGCTTCATATATCATCCATTTTCACCGGAGAACGTTTTTTCCCTTTTCCGTTTTTATTGCTGCTGCTGCTGCATTACGCGACGCGCGTTGCTGGAAAAATTCGCTAAAATTTTTGGTTTTTTTGTGGAGGAAAGTTTGCTTGCTTGCTGGCTGTATCTGGGATTGTCACAGGGCACGACCCGCTTTTTGGCTCAGGTGTTTCCCAATTGAGAACACACGGCAGAAATCTATCGGAAGGCACCCCACTACCATCAGATAATATATGGATGTAGTGGGGTGACGTGGGGAAGGTGAAATTTATTTATTTATTTAGAGTTTTAGTGTATATATGATATGACAGCGTGCCTAATTGTTGTTCTTTGGCTACTTGAATGATGATATTACGAACTGTGCGTAGGTTATGACGAAACTCTCAGGTATAGGAAGTTGTGAGTACATATTTTTGGTGTTTTAGGAAAAGTTGCCTAGACCTTTAACAAATAATAGTATACCGACAAACAGTAAGCCAATATATATCTTTTTCCATAACTGTACCAATCTGAATCTATTTGAGGATGGATGTACAGGTTTAATTATCGTGCAATATGTAACTAATTCTGATCCATTCGGGAAACCGATTATATTGCAAATACTATGCAATGCAATACATGACAACAAATTACCGTGTGTAATTATAAAAATATAGTTTGTTAATATGCCAAATAAACTGGTATACACCATTTGGAAAATTGTACTAATTAATATACTGAGTATATTGCTATTGCCTGATACATAGGTTTCGTAACCATGGTGAATGTGTGCAATGCCAAAAAATAAAGGAGGTTCAAGTAATAGCCGTTTGAAACTATTATGTTGAGAATTGAAAAACGCCATATACGTAGTTAGTAGCATCGACGTATAGAAAAGCTCTTCTGTAATAGGTGCAAATATAATATTTCTGATACTCCATATATTGTTAAATAATTCAAAAAAATCAGCATACAGAGTATCACATTTTGTTGCAATATAATACAATATAATATCAGTAATTGGACCAATGTATAATTGGCTTATTAAAATCACACTTTCAAAGCAATTTTGTAAATATAATTTGATATCCCATTGACCATCGAGTTGTCGACAAGGGATTATCCCTAAGTTCAACACATGCGAAATATAACTCGAGCCACTTGTATCAAATATGGTCTGCAATAAAGGGATTACCAAAATATTAAACAGAGTTAAAAGACTTATTCTTTGCATTCGGGACTTGATGACTCGAGGATCATCTCGTTTCCTCTTGTATTGCTCTGCATCTCGAGAACTGACATACAACACACTGACATACGATGCCGAAATATACAATAAAGTAGTATACCCAATGATAAGCTCACTCATCGTCAGTGAAATGTATACTCTATCAGTGGTATTCATCCATATCTGGCTTGTATACTTATGTCAATGTGAGCTTCGCCCTTATATATTACGTATGTATTGCTTTTTATTTTTCAATTGTCAATTTTTTTTTCGTTCAGTTCAAAGCAGGAACGAGTTGAGGTTTCCCCAGTATATTTGTCATACACTACAATTATGTTTAATGTTTGTTTATTGAAATGCTTATGCTCATTTTATGTAAAAGAATATTGCTATACACTTTTTATCAACTGTTTCAGAAGTTCTTGACGTTGATAGGAATATCAATGGAAGTAGACCCAATATGATGGAATTTAATATTCACTCGGACACAATAGAAACGACAACATAGACAACTTTCAAAACTTGGTACCAACGTCTCTAACGTATTAGCATTAAACTCAAGATTCACGTTGATCTTTCTCTCATATTGAAGTTCACCCTGTTGGTCCCATTGATGAATGATTTGATCAATGAATCGATTGGAAATCGAGTTTCTAGAGATCGTCGCCGATGTCCCTAGTCCACCTTTTGCATTAACTATCTTCACAGGCTTCTTCTTTGTAGGTGTGGTACTTCCAGAATTCATAGGCGTCAAATCTAATGATGGATCATCTTCATCCTTTAATGTATCAAGCTGCTTCTTAAATATATCACCTAAAGGTTGGATCTTAACTTTAATATTCGCCAAACTCTCAATATCATTATAAATTTGACTGGAGATGAAATTTGTAAATTTCAATTCACGTGCATTGACAATACTACGATTCACATTGTATAATTCATTTAATCTATCCTTGTTCTCGAGAAATTCATCATTGTAATCTTTAATCTCATTCAAATATGATGTAAACGTCTTTCTAATCGAATCCAACTTATCATCATCCATTAATACTCTTGAATTTAATTTAATCGGGATAGAATTTTCAGATTTACCTGTAATAACAATTAATTCAGTAGAGATCGCTTGAATCTCCGGTGGTGGATGTGGCGAACTATTATTCGACTGAATACATGTAAGAGTCAAATCCAATCGTTTTAAAGCATCTCGCTCAGATGCAGGAATGGTCTCGGAAAGAGCGTGCCAATTCTCTTGTGCCTGCTTCGTCTTAGCCTCTACTATATTTGTCTTTTTCAATAATGATGGAGATAAATATTGAATACTCTTATGAGGAACTTTTGCTTGAACAAGAATTAATCCGAATCTTTCAGTTTTAGAAGTATTGTTAGATATACCACCGTTCGTTACGCTACTGTTGCCACTGCTGCCAGAGCTTGACAACCCACTCAACGAAGTGGATGATCTAAAACTTGAAAATAAACTTTTTGTGGCAGATTTACTTTTATTCTTCAATTTGTAACTTAGTTCGGATTCAATGATATCGGTCTTAGGTTCAAATGTTTTTTTCTCGAAATCCTGAGATGACAATTGATAAGATTGGCTTGTTCTATTCTTAATGTGTAATTGATCTAATTTATTTCGTAGAATTTCACTAGAGTCTAATTCAGTATCGTTTTCAATCGTACCACTCAAATCTGTGCCATGGATATCTTCATTCTTGATAGGCTCATTCTTCTCTAGCCTGTTAAATACAGTCTTAATGGCTTCTAACCTCTCATCTACTAATTTCATTAAATCCTTAAGTTGATTATTTGGATCACGCTCCCCAACTAAAGATGAATCAAAGCCAAAGGGAATATATCTTATATTGTATTCTTTTTCCCTCATGATGTTCAGCTGTTTCGTTTTCTGATCTTTACCGACAATTCTAGCATCAATTGTATAGTTGATGGAAACATTTTCATCGACTAAATCATATGTCAAAATTGGCGAACCTTTGCAACCAAGATGGCCACACCCAAGAACACTATTGACTTTGATACCAGAATATTTACAATTGTTTCTATATTTATCAATACCAAAACTCGGTGGTAAAAGACAATGGGCGAAATGTTCTTGTTTACAGGTGACATCAAGTAATTGCTTTGGAAATTTAAACATAAAGAATTTCTTACGCTTTACACCTGGTTCTAATATTCTCCTATTTGATAAACCAACTAATGAATGATCAAAATCTTCTTGATCTGGAATCAATTTAAATCCAGAACCTGTTAAAATGTTACCATATGACCAACTTGCAGATAAATCAACCATTCTTAAGAATCTTTTAACTGTACGTTTACCCTTTTGTCTATCGATTAACGAAATATATGCTTCTAATGTGACGTAAAACATTTCAAATTTAAGGGGTTGTGTAGATTTGTTTTCAACGACACAATAACCATGTATTACATCACCTGTGGTGTATTCCTTCAGTATTGATTCTTCTTCTGGCTTTTCAGGTGGATGTGAAGGATGTTTTGTAATTCGTATATCAATATCTATTGGGGTTGGTTTCTTTGGTAAAGTGTATAATTTATCAATAAAAATATTTTCATCTTCATCGATATCATCTTGAATAGATGTGATATCATCATCATCGGTATGACGAGTTGACTGGATAGATAAATGCTGAGTGGTTAAAGGATGCAAATTGTTGATGATACTGGTGGTACTTGGGGGATTGGATGGTATATTCATTACATGATCATGTTGTTGTTGCTGTTGCTGTTGTTGCAGTTGTGATAATGTTGAAGTTATTGCAGACGATGAAGATGAAGACGCATTTGATACCTGTAGGTTATATCTATTTTGAGTTTGTACATCACAATACTTTGGTGGAAAATCATGTAAATCAGGATTGACATTCCCTTGTGGAATGTGACGATGTAAAGTATTATACATTTCAAATGATGGTAATACATCTACCACGATATTATTAGCATCGGTAGTCTCAAGAGGATCTGGTATTGAAGACATTATTGATGACTCACTGATCGAGGCATGCAAAGGTGGTTTTACGATAGGTTGTGAAGGTTGTTGAGTAATGTGATTGATTGCTTTTCTGATGGGACTTTCAGAAATTGTTTGAGTTGTTCTTGATGGAGAACTTTTTGGTATTTTGAGAATATTAGATGTAGAAGCACTTCGTATCCAATTTGTCCTTGTTCTAGACCTGCTATTGTTGTTGTTATTTCTACTATTAGACGAGGAGGAAGAGGTAGTATCTGCAGTTCTACCACGATTTGGATCCGCAGTAATCAAAGGAGGGCGTTGCAAGTTAATATCCTTAGTCATTATTTGTGATCGATACAAAAGAAAAAAGAATACTAGAAAAAAACGAAGGAATATAGTTGAATTAAGGAATGAATAATTAATTATTTGGGAATAAAACAAAAAAATGTGGAATTTGATGAACAAAAAAACCGAATATTTATATGAAAGTGGAATGAAATTGTAACAAAAACAAAAAAGTAGAAATGTAATTTAAAGTAATGTATTCAGATTTCGGTTCTGTTAAATTTGATCGAAAAGTATGAATATCTCTGGATGTTTTTAAAACTAGCGATGACTTGTAAGGTTTTAAAAAAAAGGGAATGTAAACGAAGGTTCAGTAAAAAAAAAAATAGCTATTGCGTAAAATTTCAAATCTTAACTTTGTTTGTAAACTTATTATTAGAGTAGCAATTGTAGTTGTTGTTTTTTAAGAGTCACAATGTTGTAATTCTATTCGTTAACACCAAGCAATCAAACAGTTGACTTTGGTTAAGTTAAAAGAACTCTAAACCAAGAAACAAAAAGTACAGCGTTGTGTTCAGAAACAAAATATATTATATTTCTGGAGATGTAGTGAGCAAGAGTAATAATTATTACATTCTATAAAATTTTATAACGTAAATATAACCTTTTTTATTTTTGTTTTTGGTCTCTTACTAAGAAATATGAGATGATGATGCCATCTCAAAATGAAAAAATAAATAACCGAAGATGAATATTTTTTAGCTGAATGTAAATTTTTCATTGTTTGATCTCGTGCAATGTTTCTTTTAAGCCCCGCGCAATTGCACTGCATATTTGTTATTTGTTTTTTATGAATTTTGATTAAACAAGAGTATTAACATTCAATGGTACAGAGAGAGAGGTATGGTCGTGATATAGTTAGATGGTTCTTGAAGTTGTACCTCACTCTTTGGTGTTTGGTTCAAAGAATTGTTTCCTATCAAAAAATATGAAATTGAAGTCGAAGGACTTGGAAGACAGAAGAAGTTTTATTGAACGGGGGCACCAGTAGTATATACTTATTTCGTTTTACCTAGCTCGAAGATATCTTTAGTCGATCAATTCTTCAAGATATTGTATCTTAGCAGAGTTTAGAACTGTATGTATCGAAAGAGAAATAATAAGAAAAAACGACGACTAGTCAGTCACGAAGTATTACTATGGTTTGGAGAGTTTCCTTATCTGAATGGGAAACCATAGACAACTAAAAAATCGATTCAGTATACACGAACAAGTTACTCATAAAGTTGGACTTCTTGTTATAATTGGTCAACATCTCTTATCAGTTATAAAAGTTTTTGGGACACATTTCTATATTTTTCCATATCCTTCTAATTATCTTAACGTAAAGTGAGTAGAAAGAAGTTTCGGATTTGCTTTTATAATTGTTTCCCTCGTTATTCTCATGTAATAAAAGTACCCCTAATTTGCCATTCAAAGTTTCGTGTACGTCTAACTTCGTTGGTTGACAGATGCAAGTATGATTCATAGTTGCAACTCAATCTGATTAATAAAAATATCGCCGTATTATTAGTGCAGTAATGTAAAGTATTCAGTGGGATACAGACAGATTGTTTCTCCGTTTCCGGCCTGCTCCGAGTCAAATTGTATGAGATTCAGTAGCCTTCTTCTGGCCGTAACAGGCAAAAATAAAAAATGAACATGCACGTGACTGTGACTGTGACAGGAATGTATCATGTTATACGGAACCGGCCGGGTGACGTGTCACATGGTATCCACGTGACCCGAGAAATCGTATTTCATGAAATTTTAACAATGGGAGCGAGCGACCCATCAGGAATTTTGTAAGGGGAGAAATTGATAAATGAATGCGTAGCTTGGCTTGGGTGGCAAATATACAAATATACCAAAGTATTTATTTGGTTTGATCTGACCAAATAGAAGAAAGGATAAAGAAGTGGTTACGTTGTCAATACTGTGTGTGATATAGAATTGAAATATTTTTCCCTCTTTTTTAAAGTGTCTATTTTGCTAGTTTCTACATATTTATCATTAATCCGATATGAGCATTACCATACATATTAAGTGTGGTCAAGATAACTGGGAAGTTACTGTCGAACCTACCGATACCATTTCTCAATTAAAGAAGACTATTAAAGAGATAAGTGATATCCCTGAAGAGAGTCAACGTCTGATATATTCTGGTAAGATATTGAAGGATCCAGAGACCGTGGAGTCCTATAAGATTCAAGATGGCCACGCTATTCATTTAGTGAAATCAGGATTGCATAAGAAAAATACTACTACACAAAGTACTTCTAATAACAATGGAACTGAAGCTGCAGCTGTACCATCTAATATAGCTACAGGTCAAACAGGTGGATTTAATCCATTGAATGATTTAACATCTGCACGTTATGCGGGATACTTAAATATGCCTTCTGCTGATATGTTTGGTCCAGATGGTGGGATGAATAATATCCCAAATCAAGATGATATGATGAGAATGATGGAAAACCCTGTCGTACAATCTCAATTGAATGAAATGTTAAGTAATCCACAAATGGTTGATTTCATGATTCAATCCAATCCACAATTACAAGCTATGGGTCCACAAGCTAGACAAATGCTACAAAGTCCCATGTTTAGACAAATGTTAACAAACCCAGATATGATGAGACAAAGTATGCAATTTGCTAATATGATGAATGGTGGCCAAGGTTTAGGCGGTGAAGGAACTGCGGAATCTGCTTCTGCATTCCCAGCACCAGGTGAAACTGGTGAAGAAGCCGCAGCACATGCATCGTCTGAGGATGTTTCTACAGGTGCTACAACAGCTACGCCTGCAGCCCCTGCCGCAGGTAATCCATTCTCTGCTTTATTTAACCCTGCAATGAACCCATTTGCAAATATGGGTAACGCGCAACAACAAGGTAGTAACCAGCAAACAACACCTGCATTTGATCCAGCTTTGCTAGCATCTATGTTTGGAGGTGCTGGAGCTAACTCTGCTGTTAATGCACAACCACAAGACGATAGACCGCCTGAAGAACGTTATGAGACTCAGCTGAGACAATTGAACGACATGGGTTTCTTCGACTTCGATATGAATGTTGCTGCTCTGAGACGTAGTGGTGGGTCTGTTCAAGGTGCATTGGATGCATTACTAAACGGAAGTGTATGATATAGTTCTTAACCCTAAAATAGAAAAAAAAAGTTTTCCATGGTTTGTAATATTATGATATATATACATATATATAAAAACCAAATACAACTAAATAGAAACATGAAAATTGAAATATTTATATAACCTGATCGATGACCTTTCCTTATCTAATTTTTAACGTCTGTTGTGTCTTATTCTTATTGCATTTTCAGTTTGACGGATTAAGAAAAATAGAAGCAGGGGGCGCTAAGTGATGGGCTTCCCTCAGAAGAAGAAAGAAAAAAAATTAAAAAAGATATATAAACAACAATATAAACAAATAACGAGAGTACCTCCGAGATTCGCAAAGGGTTCTAACAATAGTGTATACAGAGGGAACTAACCCAGATCCGAGATTAGTCATCACTGATTATACTAGCTATTATAGTATCTGTTTGCTTTTGAATTGGGAAGAAACGTTTAAAAGAAATTAGACTTCATCCCGAATTGTACTATTATTATTATTATTATTATTATTATTATTATTATTATTGATAACATTGCGAAGGTTTTTTTTCTCAAAAGATAGAGAGGATTGGAAAAGTTTAGATATTTGTTTTATTTTATTGTTTTTATTATAGTCATGACAACACCTACTCCTGTAAATACGAGGGAGGGGTTACCGTATCCAATTACAGTGGACCAGCTGATTGCCGATGTCGGAGATGAAATATCCAAAGGTGATAGGCTCTTTGTGTATAAGTTTTGGTATATTGTAGAAATGGCTAACTCTCCCGATGATAGTGATTCCACAGAAACGACAAAGAAAGTTGTGAGGGAATCTATTGAATTTTTTGAGTCTCCTTTTGAAGGAAAGCTTCATTCTTGGAATGTGGAAGCTGGTACAGAGATTGCATCTCCCAATCAGACAGTGTGTCAAATCATAAGACCATGTAACCATGATATAGTGTACGGTGGATTGTGCACAATGTGTGGTAAAGAAGTCGACGAAGTCGAGCAACAAGCCATCGGCGGTGCCAATTTAGCCATCTCACATACTGATGTTAATTTGAAAATTAGTAGGAAAGCAGCTAGTGATATAGGTCATGATATTAAGAAACATTTAAGAAATAGTAAAAAGTTGGTATTAGTAGTAGATTTGGATCAAACTGTGATTCATTGTGGTGTTGATCCGACTATCGGTGAATGGAAAAGAGACCCCACGAATCCAAATTATGAAACCTTAAAAGATGTTAGAATATTTTCATTGGAGGAAGAACCAATTGTACCATTTATGTATATGGGTCCAAAACCACCTTTAAGGAAATGTTGGTATTATGTTAAAATAAGACCAGGTTTAAAAGAATTTTTTGCCAAAATTGCCCCTTATTATGAAATGCATATATATACAATGGCCACAAGAGCTTATGCTCTTGAAATATCAAAAATTATTGACCCAGATCATAGTTTATTTGGAGACCGAATATTGTCTCGTGATGAGAATGGCTCCATGACCCAAAAATCGTTGGAAAGATTATTTCCCTCTGATCAATCCATGGTTGTAATAATCGATGACAGAGGTGATGTATGGAATTGGTCCCCAAATTTGATCAAAGTTACTCCTTATAATTTTTTTGTTGGTGTAGGGGATATTAACTCCAACTTCTTGCCAAAACAGCAATCTACGATGTTACAGATGGGTAGACGGTCAAGAACAAAAGTAAAAGAATCAGATGATCTATTGACAGATATAATAGATACAGAGAAAATATTAAAAGAGAAAATTGATGAAGAAGTGAAAAGACAAGAAGAAGAATTGAGTCACCAAGAAGGCCCAAGAAATGATGATAAACAATCAACAGAAACTAAAGAGGAATGGACTAAAAAATTGGAGTATTCAGCATCCCTAGAAGTACAGCAAAAAAATAGACCTTTAGCAGCATTACAACAACATTTACAAAATCAAAAATTGCTAATTGATGATGATGATGAATTATTTCATTTGAAGGACACATTAGTTAGAATACATGAAACATTCTACAACAAGTTAGAAGAAAGTCCGAACAATGATGCAATGGTAGATATCAAGTATATACTTCCAGATATGGAAAAGAAAGTATTTGATGGTTGTCATTTTGTATTTTCTGGCTTAATTCCACTAAATACAGATGTTCAGAAAGCTGATATTGTGATATGGACTAGTAAATTTGGCGGAACCACAGAGCTTGATATAGATGAAAACACAACACATGTGGTAACGAAGACCCCTGGAACATATAAAGCTAGATTAGCAAAGAGTTATAATCCTAAGATCGAAGTTGTTCATCCTGATTGGATATTCGAGTCATTATCATCATGGGAACGTATTGATGTAGCTCCATATAGGCTGATTGTTGAACAACCAGTCTCTCATGAAGATGTTGAACAATTCAAGGAAAAATTAGAAAGGTTGAGAAGAGAAAGGGAAGTTCAGCATACTGCAAAGGATGAAGAGGAGTATGATGAGTTTGCAGAAGATTTAAAGCCGCCTAACCCTGCTGATCTGTTTGCCAATGGGGATTCGTGGTTGAATGAAGAAGATGAAGAGATCCCTTCAGATGAAGATGAGGATGATGATGATGAGGATAACAATGAATCAGAAACTACCGGTAAGGGTAAATGTACCAAGAGAGCAGCCCCTGAAGATATGGCTGAAGCTAATACTATCAAAAAGACTCACGTAGCTGATGCAGAAAATGTAGAAAGTGATAGTGATAGTGATTCCGGTATGGAAGAAGAACTTCTCAATATGTTAGATAGTTAACTTTCTGTCAAAGGGATTCTTAAATAATTTTTAATTTTTCTATAGTACATACTCTTTTTTTTTAATTGTTAATGCATTTCATAAAAGTTATTCTACATTACTTTCTTCTCTTATATGTCAAATTCTGATTAATCTTTTGTAACGGTTGTCTCAATTTCGTTAATTTTTCTGGTCTTTAGACGGGGAAAGCGAATCTCGAATATAGCTCGAAGCCGATCCCTTGAAATGATAAACTTACAAAACAAAGGGGAATGTGATGAGGACTACATAATGCTAATAACGGCCTTGGTTTTCGAGAGAATCAGAACTGTAATCACTGCAACTTTAACTGACATTTATATAGTTGATCATTAGTTATTCTAAAATAAGGAAAAATGGCAATTGAATTGACATGTCCTTTGGGAGATATCCCCGATGATTTGAAAACCCCAATCCAGAAATGGTTAGCTCAAGACAAAAATATTGAAACAATAGAAGAAGTTATCAATTTATGCAATGATCATAATTGGACGGAATTACATAGCAGGTTTGACAAAAGAATTACTTTTGGTACCGCTGGTTTGAGATCTAGTATGGAAGCAGGTTTTAGTAGAATGAACAGTTTGGTAGTCCTTCAAACAACACAGGGTCTCGCCACATATTTGAAGAAAATAAACCCCAAAAATTTAACATTTGTTATTGGTCATGACCATAGATTGCATTCAAAGGAATTTGCAACTGTTACTACTGCCATTTTCTTGAAGGCAGGTTTTAAAGTTTATTCTCTAAATCCTGAGGAGGAATTGGTTCATACACCACTTGTTCCATTCAGTATTGACCAATTGGGTGCAGCTGCAGGTGTTATGATTACTGCAAGTCACAATCCCATGATGGATAATGGTTATAAAGTTTATTACTCTAATGGTTGTCAGATAATCCCACCTCATGATCATAATATCGCCAAGTCTATAAACGAAAATTTGGAACCTTGGGTTGATAAATGGGATTGGAAGGTATTGCTGGATAAAGGTCAAGAAGAAGGTATGTTGAAATATGTTAAAGAAGATATGACCACAAAATATCTGCAAGCTGTAGGTAAGCAGCTAGTAGATAAGGAGCTAGTATCAAGACTATCCAACCTTTCAAATAAGCCATGGTTTGTATATACTCCTATGCATGGTGTTGGTCACGAGATCTTCGAACGAATCACTGAAGGATTATTACATTTGAAAGATGGGAAAGATTATATTTGTGTTCCTGAACAAGTAGAACCCGATCCGACTTTCAGAACAGTTAGCTTCCCAAATCCTGAAGAAAAGGGAGCCCTAGATTTAGCAATTGCGCTAGCAGAAAAGGAACATATACATCTAGTGCTTGCTAATGACCCAGATGCCGATAGATTTTCTATTGCTGTCAAAGATATTAGGAAAGGTGTCTGGAAACAGATATCGGGTGACTCAATCGGATTTTTATTTGCAACATATGAATTTCAAAAGTATCAAAAGCTTGATGAAGACTTTAAAAAGAAGCATCCACTTGCAATGGTTAACTCTACTGTGTCTTCGCAATTAATAAAGAAAATGGCAGAGGTGGAAGGATTCCTTTATAATGATACATTAACAGGTTTTAAATGGATTGGTAATAGAACCATAGACCTTGAAAACGAGGGTTATTATATACCATTAGGATATGAAGAAGCCCTGGGATATATGTTCCCTACAATGGAGCATGATAAAGATGGTATAAGTGCATCCACTGTATTCTTACAATGCTATGCCAATTGGATTTTGGATTTCAAAAAATACCCATTAGACATACTTGAAGATGGATTTAAAAAATACGGTTACTTTAAGCAATATAATGGGTACTATAAACTCCCAAATCAAGAGTTAATTCATGAAATTTTTGATTTCATTAGAAACAAGTATGAACCTAATGGAACATACCCACATATTATTGGTAGCCAATTACATGTCACGACATTTAGAGATTTAACTATTGGTTTCCAATCTGATACGCCAGATAATAAACCTCTGCTACCTGTTGACTCTACATCTCAGATGATTACTGTAACTGCTACCCCATCTTATGTTGAAGGAAATGAAAATATCAGATTTACTATGAGAGGTTCAGGTACAGAACCAAAATTAAAGGTTTATATCGAGGCTTCTGCAGAAACAAAAACAAGAGCAAATTACTTGACAAAATTGACATGGGAAATTCTGAAAAAAGAATGGTTTAGACCAGATGTTACGGGCCTGAAGACTGATTTTTAAGTCATGCAGGTATTGAGCCCTTGATATTTCAGTTCTCATAAACTAATTGTTAAATTAAATCTCAATTTGCTAAGTTAATTATCGTTTATATTACATAAAAATAATTAAAAATAATAAATGTACCCAATTTATCACACCCCATATTATAACACGGTTTCTGAAATTTATATAAAACAGTCCAAACAGATAAAGATTAACTCAAGTTGGTTTGTGACTCTACCCTCCTCTTCATTCTTAGTCTATGATTTCTCCATAGATCTTCTACCATGTAAGAAAAGGAAAATAGGAAACCGATACCACCTAGACCAATACCTAAGTATAAAGCCGACCTATATCCGCCTAAGGTATTTGTTCCACTTTTATTGATTTGTGCCTCTACAGTGGTACCCATATCTAAGAATAATGATGTTGCATAGTTGACAATTGTATTGACAAGAGAACCGGCCATACCTTGATATTCCATAGGTAATTCATCACTTAAAATAATAGAAGAACCTGGAAATGAGAAATCCATACCCATAGCAAGAACAACTTGCATCCCTAAACTATTCCTCCAATAGGTTTGACTTGGTGGTGTGACACTAAAAATTATGCAACCACAAGTAAACCCAATAGAAGATAAACAAAATACAATAGATGGACCGATCTTCTTCATGAAAAAAGCAACAAAAAATGCAGCAAGTGTACCAAAAATAATAAAGATAAAATGAGTACTACCTGCCCATAATGGACTAAAGTGTCTCAAATTTAGATTGAAGGAATAGTAATAAAAGGTCCAGATACCAAAGGAACCCCAACCAAAGAATAAAGAAATGAGAATTGTTATTATATTACGATTCTTTGTGACGGCTGGTGGTAACAGAGGATGTTCCGCCCATTTTATTTCATAAATGAAGAAGGAAATAAGTAAGAAAGTTGAAATAATCAGTAAAACGATAACATAAGCCTTTTGCCATCCATCAATTGAACCTTGATTCCAAACAAAATTGAAAATGATTAAACCAAGAACACCAATTACTGAGCCGATCCAATCCATCTTAAAACCGTTAATGTTGGTGGGAATGTTTTTTGGGACCGTGTATAGGATCATTAATAGATTCACGAAAGAAGCAATACCATATGCATAGAAAATCCAAGGCCATTGTGTAGGATCTTCGTATACAATTAAGCCACCCCATAAACCACCAAATGTTGCACCAACAGGTGCCATGCAACCAATTAGACTAATGACAATATTTTTTCTTAAAGATCCAACTTTGTAAATGTTACCTACCAATCCCATAATATTTGGTAAAACAAGTGAAATACCTAACCCTTGGAATGATCTGCAAACGATAAAAAATGCGTCACTTCCAGAATAATTGGCGAAACCGCAAATCAATGACCATATAGTCATAATAATACAACCCCATATTAAAACGATTCTAAGGCCATATATATCACCAAGCCTCCCACCAACTAGAATAAATGATCCGGATACTAAAGGAAATGAAGCCATCAACCAGGGTTTCTTTGTGTCATCCGAATTAAAAGCGTCAGAAATAACATTCATTGTAGACAAGACTTGCGTTTGACCTGCTTGATTTAATAAATTTGCTAGCATACAAGATATTATAAAGACATATTCCTTAAAGGTTGAGTTGAAATAATTTGGATTTTGCCATTTCGAATTTTCTAAGGATACATCATCTGACGTTGAACTTGAGCTTGTCTGAAAATCTTCAGAATATTCTTCCTCTTTTTTGCGAAGATCAATATCAAAATCATCTCTGAGTTCGTAGGTATAATCGTTCTCCTTTAATTGATTCACAATCTGTTTGTCATCGAGAATGGTGTTGTCAACTTCGATATCTTCTTCCAGAGAAGTTTCGGAGTTATTAATTTGTTGCTTCTTTTTTGAGAAGAGCTTAAACATATTTTATTTTCTGTGGGTGTGATCTAATTCTAATAAAATGTTATACTTTATTGTAGTAATTTCCTTAGAATGAGGTTTTAATTAAGAGTTAATAAGAATTGACACTATCATATTTTTAGATAAATAGTCGATATTATCTTAGTTTATATACTTTTAATTTATTTATTTGAGTCGTTAATCTAGCTTAACATAGGTGTATTATCAAATAAGAAAAATGCATTAAACTACCTATTCTTTGTTGTCATGAATGAAGATTAAGATTGTTTGAACTCTTAAAATGTCGTGGCTTAATTGATGTTGTCCCAGCAACAACACGAATCGGGTCGTGCCATCCCTCAAAACAAATAAAAGAGAACCTACACGTAAATATATAAATAAATAAGCCTAAAAGAAGATGTGCAGGTTATTCAATGAGCTCCCTGACGCGTAAATAAAAAAAATTGAAACCAAGGAGTTGCTATAGTTACGTATGTATTTAGTTATACACATTTCTACTTTCTTGAGATCAATTATACTCTTTGTTACCGTTTAGAGATGTTTACAATTACGTTGCCGGGCCGACGCGTTTGTGAATAATTTCTTTTTTTTGGCGTTCTCAGTGGATTTCGCTGGGCGCTCTCTTTGATTTACATAATTATTTTTGACAATTATGTAATTTTTAGTAAAAATGCCATTCATTTTACTTCATTTTAGAAGATGTCTTTTGGAGAAGAGGGTGACTTCTTGAAAAAGAAAAGAAGTTTCTGGCAGATTCCTCTCACGAGTAATTAAATATATGTTTGTCATTATTAGTCAGTATATGATAAAAAATGTGCAGTTTTAATTGTATGAATATTTGTATATGTGCGTGTGTATATATGTATGTATTATACTATAATGTTCTTAGTAGTGTTATTATCAATATTGGGTAATTGATTAGATAAAATGTTTATTAGTTCAAATAATATAATACCGACGGGCTTAGCTACAGTCGTAAATTATCACATGTTCTAACTTTACCGTCACCGAGCTATGAATGCCAACAATTATATTATTATTTTGAATTTTGCCATTGGTATAGATCATTGGCAGCATCATTATTTCTCTTTCTTCTCTTAGTAGGTCTATGGGAGTTATCACCTGTCATCATGTCCGTGCCATTGTAAGTATATCTACGAGGTATATCTAACACCATTTCATTATTAGCGGAGAGAGGGTTTTCAATACGGCCAACTGTTTCGTTATTTATGTTGTTGGTTGTATTTCTTCTTTGAGCATTGTTCGATTGTTGACTCCTATGAGGCATACCATCTATCGATTTCGGTGTAACGGTAGACTCATCCACTAACAATGGAGCTAACCCTAAGGAACCGTCAACAATAAAATCGTAGTTAGAATTGTAGTTATTTGTCTGTTGACCGTTATAAGAAGGGTAATCTCCTTGTTGTTTGGATGAATCTGGGACGTAATTATTTTCGTTGTAGTCGTGAGCATTTGTATTATTTTGTTGAAGGTTGTTATTGAAGAAATTATTGACATCCCCTGATGATAATGAGAAATCGTTATTTAAGAACATCATCATTGTTGATAAGTTATTATTTGACATTTTAGATGGTCTTGAACCATTATTGTTATTTATGTTCTGGTTGTGATTGTTGGAAGTAGGGTTAATAAATTGTGTACCACCGCTATTATTATTATTTTCATTACCAGCTTCCGATAATTGTTGTAAGGATGTTATGAAATCACCATTGCTTGGTATTCTAAAGAATTTATCTATCGCACTGAAGGAATTATTCAAACTATTCGTTATGTCTTTGGTATTGGAGGTTCCATTGTTGATATTATTTTCTAGATGGGATGCTTGAATATTTTTCTTCCCACTATTATTATTGGCAAAAAGACTTCCTAGATCGAAATTACTAACTTGGGAACGATTGGAATTTAAGACAGGATCCAACTGAAGAGCCTCTGCAAAGGCAGTTTGTGTATATTGTGGATCTAAGTTATTACCTTTTAAGGACTTCGATAAATCTGTAGTCTCTTCGTGCTTAATTTCTGGTCCATTTACAGAAATATCATTGGCCTCTAATTTAATACTATTCCTTAGCTGTTCCTTGTTATTTGGGACAGTATTCTCATCTGATTCAATTTGGTCTTTTTCTGTCTTCTTACTTGAACGTTTCTGAGATTCAATATTTTTGATAGTAGGTTTACCCATTAATTTATTGTAATAATTTATCTTTCTTTGAAGAAATTTCTCAACCTTTTCAGGTTTCACATTTGTACCTTGTAGATATAAGTTAATTGTAAGGTCTAAAAGTTTTAAACTATGGAATGAGATAACACCAGGTAAACCCAACTTTCTGTCATTCTCAATGGATTGGATTATGTTCAATAATAATTTTTTGTTATCAATATATAATGATCCACCCTTTATATAGTCTAGAGAACCTTGAGCACTCATGACTGAAAATCTAGCTAATGTTCTTGATGAATCCATAGGTAGTGCAAAATATGTGGAACTGATAGAATTAAACGCCGATAACATAGTGTTTATTGCTTGTTGTAATGAAACAAATGCTGAAGAGGATCTATCCAATTTATCAGATTTAGGGTCTTTACTGGTATCTATCACGATTGGTTTACTAGCTAATACAGGCAAATGAATTATTGATTTGGCCAAGAAATAAAGTATAATTAATAATGTATTCTCGTTACCCTGTTTAAGTTGTTCTAAATCAATTGTTCCTGTGACGTCTAGTTTAAATTGATATTTTGGTGGAAGTCTAAATCTCCAATTATCTAAAGCATTTTCATGGATTAAGGCAATTTGTTTAGTTATTGATTCTGACATATTTCTTTTAAAGATAATATCTAAAATATTACCCATTACTTTGGCAAATCTTATAATTGCCAAAGAAAATTGTGACACGGTACCTTCCAATTTCACTGTAGTTGGGGACATTCCTTGACCTATATTTAATAGATCTTCATCTTCATCCTGTTCAGAAGACATAGCTGGATCATCTGAAGCTGCTCCGATTGGTAAAGCACACTCGATTTCATGATCTTTTATTAATCGAGGAACACCCAACTGTAGTGATGAAAAAACGTCTAAGTAGTAAATTGTCCAAAACAAAATTCTTCTATTACTTTGTTCGAATTTGTTCATAGTTGACCCAGATCCAACAAGGACAGCACTTGGGCAACGATGTAATCTTAGTTGTTGCGACATGGAGATTATCTTACCTCTTAAAGAATATATTTCAAGGATATCACCAGTGTTTAAATGATAGTAAAGTATCAAAGATAATAATTGTAATGTCTTGACAGAAGTTGTAGAGAAAACAAAATAAGGGTTTCTTGGGATATTATAAATTAATTTGTGGTAGTAAGCGGATAAATTATGGATATTATCTCCTTTGTTGTTATTGTTCTTGATCTTGATTAACAGACCCATATGACAAACGATCACTAGTATAGTGGTGAAAAACTTATAATTAAATGTCCCAATTTTATCCTGGTTGAATATTTTATTTTTATCGTTATTCATTTCAAATATTCCTCTCTTAAAATCACTATAATGCAAGAAAAATTCATCTCTGTTGAGTACTGGAATTAAATTAGACCAATGCTTGAAATATAACTCTATTAATTCATCAATATCATGGAATCTTAAATAAAAATTTAATGATGTATGCATTGTATGATCCTGAATCACTGTATCTGCATCTAAAATGTCTAATCTCATTACTTCTTTCAAGAAATGATGTAAATCATCAATATCCCATAAATTAGTATGTTTAATAAAGGAAAAATTCATTGATTCTGCAGCTAAATTATCACTGTCATTGTTCTTTGATTTAACGTAGTTAGGTTTTGGAAGATCACTTTTCAAAGAGGATAATAATGTCACGGTGTATAAACTTTGTTTCGAAGTGAATCCGAAAGTTTGTTTAATCTTTGCCATTAATTGTGGAATAAATAGAATTTCTTCAGTCGATCTAGGGATTGATAATGCGACTAATGTGGCTAGTTGTGTTGAATTTTCATGGTTTTTAATCTTTTTCAATGCCTTTGCCGCAGTTAAACCTGGTGCTTCATCTTGTTCAAAAGAAATCGTTGTTGGGTCATTTAGATTAGTTGTTGCTACGGGTTTGGCATGCATCTTACTTTCCATCGACTCTCTCTTCCCATTAGTGGAAGCATTCTTATTGTTCAAATAATCATTAGGGTCTCCTTCATTTTCTACAGTGGTTATTAAGCTATGATTGTTACAACATCCACTATTACATATGTGATTATTACTCTGCGTAGAAGATATATGGAATTTAATGTCAACAGCATCTAATGGATTTATCGGAGATATATTGGTAGAAGTTTGATCAGTTTCAGGTATAGATTTATTAGAATATGGAGATAATTCAATACCATGACGAATATCCTGTTGTGGCGACAATGTAGGGATTGTCTGATTATCATGTTTTAAATTATCATTAGTCTGTTGAGATAATAAAACTAAATTTGTTTGTGAAACGTTTAACACAGCTTTATTATTATTATTACTGGATACATTCCTTTCTGAACTCTTTTTATCATTCTCCGTAGAAATATGACCATTTTTAATATTATTAGTATGATTAGAATCCTTTTCCAGTATATTATTAGTATTGCCACCAATACTACTGGTAGTATTATTATTAGTTGTAGCAGTAGTTGAATAATTTGTCACTATATTAATTTGTTGTTCTTTTAAATCACAGATTGCCAATAGTCTTCTGTTTTCAGCTTCTAATTCTCTTACTCTTTCTTCTAGACTTTCTGTATATCCTCTAGGAAATGATTTTCTTATTAATTTATCACTAACTTTACATTCAAACCCTACTGCAGCACATTGAGAACATTGTGGTCTCTTCCCGTCACATCTAGTCTTTTTTGATCTGCATCGATCACAGGCCTGAGCTACTCTAAACCCTGACCCACCATTATTATTATTATTATTATTATTATTTGTTCCGGTATCTTTTACTAATGGAACGGAAGTAGAATTCTCCCTGTCGGAAGTCATGTTCGTCTTATTTGACATTGATATAACCGTATAAATTTGTTTAAGTGTATGTGTGTATGTGTTTGTGTGTATATATGTGTGTATGTGTGTATGCTTTTAGCTACTTTAACTATTTAATAAATAACTAGAAGAAATAAACTAGATATCCCTTTATTGAAAAAAGTATTTATCTTTTATAAATAAATAAAAATTGTCTAATGGCTTCGAAAAATAGAAAATATTAGAATAAACGGTGTATAGTTAGTCAGTAGTAAAACAAGAAACAGATAGTTCAAAGAATCTGTACCCTCTCTCTAAACATTAACTAATAGATCTTCTTATCAAAATAAACTAATCATAAGACGAAATGGGACTAGAATTATTAAATTAGTCTCGTTTCTTTCCAAGGTCCCCCCTCTCGTCTCTCTTACATTCACATTTAAACTGGAGTTTTGCCCGAATGCAAATATTGGTTATTGCTACCAGTCACGCAAGTCTTCACGTTATCTCCTCTTTGACTTGATTATATACATTTGTTAGAGGAAATGGGAAGAGAGAGGCATACATATGCACTGTGAAATCACTATTGTATGCCCCTTTTAGTGCTTGCAACGGTTCGCACCCTTACATCCTGTATGTACCAATTTGTAGGTAAGTGCCGCACAAACTCTGTTTCCCCGCGTTGATTGGTCCAGTACAACGCACAAAGAACGGCTGTGACCATCCCCGGTTCGTTTTTTGGTCTTTTGGTTGTTTTTTTCTATCGCAGCGAAACGATTGGTTAGGCAGTGTCGTGCCCAGTGATGTCCGGGTAAGAGCGTTTTGTGTATTTTTGACTCCACCCACACTACCCACCCATTCCCCCACGTTAAATGTTCCTCGTTCCCTCGCTGATCGTAGATCCACAATGTGTCAAGCAGAGATTGCCTTAGGTTCAACAGAAAAGAAACTAAACTCGTGAGTGTGGACGTTAGCGATTATCACGATTGTTTTAGGAAAAATTTGTGAAGTGGAAGAAGAGAACTTTGGATTTGATCCTTGTACATAACCCCATTCGTCAAACCGATTGGCCTTTCTCTCTCTCTGCTCTATCGTAAACTAATGACACCATTTATCACGTTCAGACTGATAAAGTTAACACTTTATTCATGGTTTTTCTATTTGTTACTCTCTAGTAGAATTCAACTATCGAATAATGTAGCATTGGAATCATTTGCTAAGTCTCATAAAGTTGCCTCCCCTACGGTAATGAACCTGCTGATTGCACATCCGGATGATGAAGTAATGTTTTTCGCTCCAACTTTGTCTCAATTACAAACATTGCATCATAAAGATAACAATTTATTCTTTAATATTATTTGTTTTTCAAATGGTGACGCTAATGACCTGGGTTCCATAAGAGCTAAAGAATTGAATGAATCGGTGTCTTTATTATTAAGAGGACAACAATATTCTGTTCATTTATTTGAACATAAAGATGGAATGGACGAAGTATGGGATCAAGAATTGATGCTGAAACAATTAGAAACAGTTATTGGAGATGTCAATGATGCTTTGATTCTAACATTTGATTCAAGGGGTGTCTCGGGACATATTAACCATAGAACATGTAACTCTGTAGCAATGACTTATAAGACCTTGCATCCAGGTACGACTTTATTCCTATTAGATAGTTATGGCCAGAATATTATTAAAAAATATTCTGCATTTGTATTGGAATTAATAAAAATCGCATTGACTTTCTTATTAGAATTGTATGAAAGAGTTTTCCATAACAAGTTTCTACCAACCACTCTAATCAATTATTACAGACAAGAAAGTATAAATGATAAACTAACATTTTTCATTCCATTTCCTAAATACGCTTTCGCTTATGCAACTATGTTAAATGCTCATCAATCACAGGTAGTATGGTTCAGATACGGGTGGTGGGCTTGTTCCAGGTTTGTGTTTGTTAATGATTTACAAATCGTATGAATATTTTTATGTTATTTATTTATGTGTATGTATATCGTAAGTAAATGAATTGTTTTGTGTTTGATTTTTTTTTTACATGTATTCATATAGTTACCTCACCATAATGGACCAAGTATCGTGTCATCGTCAACCATCTCATCGTAATTCTCATTTGTCTTCTTGTTATTTTTCAATACAATCAAATAACTGGAAAATTTACGTAACATAGCCTCATTACCACTATCTAATGACCATTGTGTAATAAATTCTTCTGTTTTACTATATTTCTTCTTATTAATCAAACGACGAATAATAAATTTTTGATATTTACAAATAATGGACCATTCGCTATTTTCAATCTTGTTTCTTTGTTCATAAAACTCTGTGAAGCAATTTGTATACACAGCAATGCAATCCTTTAAGTTTTTAGTCCTCTCTAGAATTCTATACAGCTCTTTTGTGATAGAATAATCAAATGGGATGGTTCTTCTCCTCATATTATGCCATTGCTTCATAGTATTCCAACAATCTAGCCCATTTTCGTTACCAACTGCAAAGTCTTTGTTACCTCTCTTAGGACTACAACCTTCTAACATTAGCTGTCTCCAGAAATTTATATCAAGATTAATATTTGGATGTTTTTCAAGAATTCCATTCAAGAATTTGTTAGCTTCATGCATACCATCTGAATAAATATAACAAATAACTTTCATTAAAGCAGTGACAACTTCAGAATTTGGAGCTTTATGGACCTCCCCACTAACGAAGTCAGGGCCTTGGATAGAAATACCCCATTTTTTTGTAGTGAACTTATTCAATAATTCAATTCTATTCATTCTACCTAGAGTATAACAAATTTCGGTATCCCAATAAGAAAACTTGTTTTGTAAACTATAATCAATCAAATTGAAGATATATGTATCATCAGTTATTTCATAGGATCTATCACCGTACCATAAATTAGAATATGATCCACAACGAACTTTTAAGTAATTCCTAACAGTGTCAATATCTCTGGCTTCCCCAAATACTAAGGACTCATCCAATTGAATAAGATCAGTTAAAACATCGTGGGCTCTTTTTAATCTCCCTAATTTCAAAAACATACCCAAAAACAAATTGGTATCTCGAAGTTTAAGTGCATCTAGCTCTTGGGATTGATTCATTATACCTTGATATTCATAATACACTTGATCAAGATTCTTTATGAAGTCTGTTTTATTCGGTATGAATTTATATTTGGACATTTCATCTAAATTTTTGGAGAAATCGGCATATTTACTTGGAATGCCATTCACTATTGGTTTCGAGTTGGATGTTTTACTACTAGATTCAGTCCTATAGAGACGATGTGTCTGAAAGGAACTACCCCTAGCTATGTCTCTCGAAAAATATGATACTCTTAGACTTGCAAAGTCAGTGATTGCTTTGGAAGCCGCCACTGGCTGACTTCTAAGCAACATCAAAATAGGTATTTATATCGTTAATACTTCTAATCGACGTTAAACTATATCAATATATATATATATATTATTCCCCATCAAAGATATTGGGAAAGCTCTTTAAATGCTACTTAATGATTCCTTGTTATGTATCAAGGTCTTTTATTCTTCTTATTTCAACTCAAGCGGACTAGCAGCAAATAAGAACGCGCGCGGACAGTAAAACTTCTCTCAGTTAACAAATATTTGTTCTATTAGTACTAATGTAAAGGGATTCTTACAATACATTTGCTACATCAGGAAGCTATTGACACTGTTCAGTGTTGCTCTCGACACATTTATGTTTCTTCCATTGAGGTGTGTGATTAACTGTGAAAAATGTTTCCTTATTACGGTCTTTGTGATTAAAGGTTCTCCCTTAGGTTCAAACTTCCAGTCTTGCGTATAATCTTTACACAATACACTGAGCAATACACCTATAGATATATCAGCACCTGTGTTGCAGCACACTAGGACATTTGAACTTTCTGAGATTGTGCAATGGATTGTATCGTATATTTCTGGCAATTTGATTCTTAGATCCTTGGATGATTTCTTAGAGCCACTTTGCAAATTGTATATTTTAATCAAAGTATTTGGATTGTTTGGATCGGTTTCTACTTTGACATTATCACTCAATATTATCAGTACTTTGTACTCATTGGATAGTTCCTGGTACACTCCTTTATTTATAGTTGAATTCTCCATTATTCTACCTAAAGATAACCTTTCTGTAATGTGCTCTATAGGTTTAATTATGTCATCAATTGTTTCCTTCAGAGAAGTTTGTGCCATCGCTTTTGTAAGAACTAACTCCTTTATATAATTTTCTAGTTCATCTATACCATGTTTGGGATTAGTCAAATATGCATAATGCTCCCAAAACATTTGTGGTGTAAGACCCTCCGACCAGAGTTCATGATCATCTGCAGCACCTTGAACATAAGTGAACCCATTTCGTTTATCCATACCATCTTGTGCTTGGTAACTCACAGTACAGAGGATCAAAGGTATAATCTTTTCATTTTCTGGAACTTTCCACTCTGAATTGATGGATTCTCCAGTAAAAGGATCTACCGAGTTTTGTAAAATCGATGACCCCGGATATACCCAAATTGGTCTCAGGATTCTTCCATTTAAGGAATTATATAATTTTTTACCATCCAATGCCCCTAATGTCTTCATTTTCTCCACCAAAGCTGGTAATTTTAGACTTATTGAATGATACTCATTAGCAGAAACTGTCACTGGTGGCACAAATAATATATCCTCGGTTTCGAATTCAATGCCGGCGCTCTCTAACATAATAAAATTTACAACCGCACACCATATAGGTATTGTCTTACTCAAAGAATCAGGAATCTTTTTACCACGTCTGGTGCTATCTACAATAATAATACCTCCTTTCTCTTGCAATGTTGGAAAGAGATGGAAATTTAATCTCCTAGTGCTAAAATCCCATTGACTGGTATGTCCATCAGTACTTTTGAAATAACTGGTTTGGCCGTAGGTCTTGGGGTCACAGTACCATATCCCGCATCTCTCATTAGGTATCAATGCATAGTCCTTGAATTGTTCCCTTACTTGACTTTCTAAAAACTGATGGTCATATGAAATACTCAGTAAACGATTTCTCAACGATTTGTTCTCTTTCCTGATATCTTTATTCAGTTGTGAGAGTGTTTCATTCCAATTAGAATTTTCCATATCTTTTTTAATCAACTGGCTGATCAATAATAAAGTCAAGATACTGTTCACATTTTGACAAAAATCACTGTCCCTGGCAGCCTTAATATATCGTTTCCTATATCAACAATACACTAATTTAATATATGTTAGTTAACTCATCGCCTTAATTTTTTCAGTTTGGAATAAAAAGCGAGTTTGAGAAAAATGAAAACAATCAATCATGAGAGGGTGAACTGGTCTAACTTGTCATAAACCCTTAGTGATTGTTTTAAAAGAAATTGAAAAAGGATATCCATACATTAACAAGCCGGTATAATAATTTAAAGGTAGTAGTTGGTATATCTAGTATTTGCTCGGTAATAAGAAACCTTTAAACGAAAGAAGATGTCGACCACACTTGATCTTAAACCCTTAGAGGGTTCCTATCGCTCAACCGAAGAACCCCACGTAGAGGCTCAGCTTCACCAGTGTATTTTATATTGTATTGAATTGACTCCAGATATGTTCCAAAGTGTCGAAGACTTGAATGGGAAAGTTCAATTGGTTGAGATTTTAGAGTCAATAAAAGAACTAATGTCTCAGTTGGTGATAGTGAAACCAGGAACTGCCATTGGTTGTTATTTATATCATTCTGGTAAAGAGACAGGTGGGAATGGTATTTATGAATTGCTACCACTACAAAATATAAATATTAGATCCATGAAAAAACTAAATGATTTACTGTACGATTTTGAACATGGTACTGACCCTGTAACTTACTTCGCGTATGATTCAAATAACTTCGTGCCACTTGAAACATTATTCGTGTATATTCAAGAGAAATGTGGTATAACAAACCCAGATAAAAAAAGATACGAAATTAGATCTGTATTTTTATTTACAAGTAGGGACTCTCCAAAGGAAATGAATGACACAGAAACTGTACAAAGATTGAAAAGGATTGTAGACGATATGACCGATAACTATATTACTTTCGTGCCGTTCTTTATAAGTTCAAAGGAAACCCCATTTAATACAGAGTTTTATAATGATGTGTTACGTTTTAATTCCAGACCATGGTCGGACAAATCTAAATTCTGGAAAGTGAATACAGACCCAATTTCAGCATCTTCTATCAAAATGAGAGTACAGCAAAGAAAGGAGTTGAAGAGAATATTGTTTGTGTGTCCTTTAATTCTAAATGAACAGAATAATTTTGTAGTGGGTTTAAGAGGTAATAACATTTTAAGTCATGAAAAGCCAGGTTCGCGTTACAAATTAGTATATGAGAAAGAAGATGTTAGGTATGAGGCTTTCTCTCATAGAAAATATTTAGATCCTGCCACTGGGAAAGTTATAGATAAGGATGGTCTACTCAAAGTTTATTCGATTGGGGACCTGAATGTTGACATACCAGATGATAAGTTGATGAATCTGGGAGAAGATGTCGCGGGATACAGTTCATTTCTGAAACTAATTTGTTTCAGATCATCATCCCTTTGCATAAAATATTATAATAATATTGACAAAACTATATTTATTTCATCAGATGACAGGAGTTACGAAGGGTCATATGAGACCCTGTCTTCCCTCTTCAGAACAATGAAGGAAAAAGATAAATGTATGATTGTTTGGGGTAATGTTAAAAGTAATTCAAATCCAGCTCTTTATGTGATGTCACCGGCATATGATCCAGGGCTATATGGCGGTTTCTTTCTCTGGAAGATACCATTTGTCGATGAGGTAAGAAAGTTTCCCCCTCTCCTTACATATAAGAACATTGAACAATCAACAGATTATAAAAATCTCTGCAAAGTTACAGAAAATATAGTAAACTTTCTCACCTTGAAAAAGGGATACAACCCAGCAGACTATAAAAACCCAGGTCTCCAAAAGCATTTTAAAGTTTTAAGTGATTATATTTTACAGACTCCTGTACCTGACATTGGTGATACTGATATAACTCAAGAGGATGATACCCTTAGGAAAATTATTAACGTAAGGGAAAACATTTTAGCATCGGCTTCTTCTAAAGACCCTCAACTACAAAGGTTACATAAATATGTTAACGTATGGAATGTTCTTTATTCAAAGATTGCTGATGAAGAAGCGTTGGGTGTAGGTGTCGTTAGAAACATACCAAAGAGGACTAAGCCATCCATGAATTTATAAATTTTAAACAGGTTAAAAAGAGAAGCTAAGATCCTATGTGGGTGTATGTTCTTTAAATAGGTATATAAATATTTAAAGAAGTATTTCGACGTTACATAGCATACATAAATGATCACTTGCATATTCCCCTGTATGAGGTTGTCCATGACCAAATTTCTCCATTTCTGACTTTGGAGGCATCCGTAAAAGCCCTTTGATCTTAATTGGATGGTTAGCCTCGACGTCTGCGATTGTCTCAGCATTCCTCTTATCAGAAAAATCCCAAGAATCTATGTAAAATAGGTAGTCTAATAACCCATTCCATGTATGAGCCCAATTTGATATCTCTGGTTCCCCTCTTGAATTATCTAACCCAGCATTCTCTTGGTGAACCATTTTATATCCAGTTGCGTATAATGATATAGCTCTCATGTCTAGTGAGTTGTGTAATTGTTCCATATTTTTAACTAGTTCAGACTGTTCTGGTGTAGCGTCAAACGACGACGGAACGGGAGTCTGCGGTTGGTCCTTACCAAATTTCTCAATATTCCCTCCTTCTTCTTCAGTATCACTTTCTCCTTCTCTCAATTTAGAGAATTTGAATGATGTGCTACATTCTATAACCGTTTTGGCTCTTCCAGTGTATTTTACAGGTTTTGATGTCATTGAAAGATAAGGTGTATCAAAAGGTTGGGAGTTGAAGTCACCACAGAAAAATGGGATCCAATGATCTGTCTGACCATCATTATTATTCTGTAAAACATTGACCCTATGTAGAAATTCTTTCACCTTGTTTAAAACTACGTAACATTGCCTTGTCCTCTCGTATGTACCGAATGGATGCCAGAACAGATGCGTTGTACCTATAAGGATCCCTGATTTTGTGGTTTCAGGGAACTTCTTCAGTACTTTGTCGCTAAACTTAAGTGCTAATATTAGGCCTGCATTATTCGTTGTGGTGCGAGGTGGTATGTTACCAGATGCCTCTTTATCGTAGTCAATAAACATTTTATCTGTCATGGTAAATAATTCACGTTTCCATACAATGGCGATACCATGATTCTTAGAACCCTTACGATGAAATTGACTTTCATAACCAAGTTTACCAAATTCTTTCTTCCAGAAACTTTGGTACTGGATATGGTCTACTTCCTGTAAAGAAATTACATCAGCGTTATAATGCATAAATTCGTACAGTAGAACTTTTGATCTTCTGAACCACTTCAACGCATCTCCACTATCAGGAAATAATTTTCTTCTAATAAGCGCTTGAGCCAAACAATTGTATGTCATCAAACTAAAAGTGAAACCTGACTCTGGTTCACCTTTATGAAGTTCCAGTATTGGACGTCTAATAAACTGTAGTTCGGGAGGACAGTTGATATCCAGCTCTTGCGTAAGTAGAGCTTCCTCCCTGGTCTTCCGTTGAACAGCTCTTTCTTCACGAATTCTAGCAATCTCCTCAGGACTTGGAGGTGTTTTTTTCCCTTTACCTTTCTTCTTCTTCTTCTGATTTTCTTTAACTTGAATAGCTTTGGAAGTAGCATTGTCGAGAAAGTCAGAAGTCTCTATCTTTATATTACCTTGCTTATCATTATAGACAGCATTGTTGGCTTCTTCAATCGTCATATATATTAACAAATGTTGGGTTAGAGCGTTTATAGTTATCTAATAGTAGAATTGGGAAATTGCAATGTTGGTTGTTTTATCGATGATTTTTCTGAAAATTTTTCACTTATATAAAAATTCAAAATGACGTAAACTGCAACGCCTCATGACACTCTCAATAAAAGGTAACTATAGAATAAGTAATAGGCATAGTTAAACGTATTTGTTTTAAAAATTATAGTAGGGTCTAGATCAGGAAGCATTATACTATTGTTTAGTAATTTCTTGGATATTTGGAATTTTTTGCATTTTGTACGAATATTTACTTAATAGAGTATCCCATAACTTATTTCAAAAGTAGCAAAATGTAGCAAAACATAAATTTGGGATAAACAGGAAAATTTAGAATTGTTTTGATTCACTTTGAGAACTGTGTGGGAAACGCAAAACGTGTATTCAATTAGATAATCATATATATGCTAGATTCTTTATATACAAGATTTTATGATTAACTATAAATCTAATGTTAAAATACCCTCTATTGGCATGATATTTGTAATTTTACAATTTTTAATGTTATCACCAATTAGTGGGGGGCTTTTTTCTTTATTCAATTTCAAAGTACCACGAGAATAAGAATAGTTCTTTAACATACAATTCACTGTACCATTATTTGGAACAGAGAGAACTACTACTTCAAATTTTGTAACTGGATTTTTTTTAATAACTTTTTCCAGATACTTTAATGTCCAATATGTGTTTACAGAACGTGCGCTACGTTTGGTAATATCTGCTCTTGATTGAAACCTCCAAATCATATCCTTTATCTTGTCTTTTGTGAATAACTGAGGTTTACCTTTCAAATGACGATGTAATTGCAAATGATTAACTAGGTCAGGAAATCTCCGTAGAGGAGATGTTACAGTAAGATATTGGGAAGCTCCAATCATTGCATGACTCAAAGGATCCGCTGAGTAGAAGCTGGAATTGAGGAATGACGATATTTTTGTAATGTCCTCAAAAGTAGGATAAATACCACTTTTAACCTTCTCTTGAATGAAATTATATTGACCAAGCGCTTTAGAAGACATTTCTAAATTGCTGTAGCACCTAAAAACACCAGGAATATTATTTTTCTTAAAATACTCACCACACAAGGAGTTTGCCAAAATCATAAATTCACTAACTAGAACTGTGGAAGTTGTATCTTTCTGATCTTCAAATTCAATATTAAATTTCTGTTGGTTATTCACAACACCAGTCAATTTTGGCAAACCCCTGTTAAACCCCTGTCCAAATATGATAGCGTTATCGTTTTGAATTCTATTACGACGTAAGTTAAATGCTATTTGATAGAGATTACTTATATCATTAAGCATAGAAGGATTTACCTTTTTAGAACCGGCCAATATCTCATCAACATCCTTATAAGTAGCCCGAGGAAAGTTAGAGGTATTGCTCAGAGAAACATTAAATGTATCTTTCAGAATTTTTAGTGTATTTTTAGCTGAGTCAAATATAACTTCCACAGAAAAGGTTATAGTTTTACTCTTGGATCCATTTTTACCTAAATCTGCAGCTCTGCTAAATGATTTTGGAAACATGGGGTCAACGTTATCAGTCAAATAAGAAGTAAAGGATTTTTCAAATGCCTTTCCCAAGGTTTCATCTGTAATTTCATTGGATATTGACTCATCATTACATTCAGGGAAGAAAGATGCCGGATCTGCAATATGAATTAATAATTCGAAATTTCCAGATTTTAATTTTCTAATGGAGACACCATCATCTATTTCATGTGCATCTTCGGAATCAATACAATATACAGACATCCCCGTGTAATCTGTTCTGGTTGTACCCTCTTCATCATTATTTAATGTTGGTTGCACAATATCATATATTAATTGGTTATCTTGAGCTAAATGAGAAGAAATGGGTAATGCAAGGTCATTATTATAATGTAATGGATTAACATAAACCTCTGAAGGTTTAATAGTTTCAATTAATTCCTGGCAAATGTCTTTAGAGATATCAGAGTCTTTATATTTTCCTATTTTTCTAAAAATTTTTGAGATGAATGATATCATCTGAGGATTATTATGGAAATTACCAGCACAATAATCACGAAGGAGATTTAAGTAATGAGGTAACTCCTTTTGTATCTTTTCATATTCTTTACTGTTATAAAATGAGGTGAACTTATTAATTTCTTTAAAATTTTTCTGTCTCATCTGACTTAATATCTCAGAATAATAGTAATGCTGTGACTTCAGAGGTAGTATAGTAACAGATATAGGGGATAATAAAGCTGAACTTGTATGTATTTTACCCCAAATGTTATAGCCTTGTTGTTCTTTTATTGCCCAATATGTAGCAAGGAAGGTTGAACTATTAACCCTCTCGTTAGCTACACCTATGACTTTCGAGATTATTTCATGGACATCAGTAGGTTCCGTCCTTTCGAGATTTATTAATTGCACCATTTGACATAATTTTACAAAGGATATTTGGATAGCTCCACGAGGTTCATTCAAATGACGATGAAGTAATTTTAGTTTTTTAATAACTAACGGTAATTGTTTCCATGCGTCTGCAGAGATATTCGCAGGAAGAGCACTAGTGATTAACTGATTTGCCAATAATGGAGTCATGAATGTTGTATCTCTTGAATTTTTCACTTTACCTATAGGTGTATATTCATGACGTGATTCTCTTTTCACCAATTTATGAACTTCTTCGGGTAGTGTGTAAGGGATTCTTAACTTGACTGCATGTTTGCTTTCAAATATAAGTTCACCGTCGACCAAAATAAAAGTATAACGAGGATCTGCCATAGATTCAGGTAAAGCTACACACATGGCCAATTGAGTCGCAGTGTTACCCAAGAGGACCATGTCACCTATAGTCAGCGTATTTTTCATCAAATCTGTTACTAGGAAATTCATACTTTGTTTTGGAAGTAACTGTGGATCAAGTTGTTCCCTTCCATTAATATATTTTATTGTAAATGTCTTCGGTTTATTATTGTTAGCCCATTCATATTGAAACCACTTTCTGGAGGGTTCCACATATCTCTCTGTAAAACGTTTTTTAAATTCTTGTTGAATATCAGTCAGTTCTTTTATTTCGAATTCCGGCTCGAGACCGTTTGTTCTTTCAAGAAACTGCTTATTTATGGCTGTGATATCATCTGCAGTTAATGGTATGATGTGTGATTTAGAATCGTTTCTATTATTGTAGGGCTTATTTGATGTAGCCTTGAACGAATCTTTACTTCTTCTTAGGAATGAAGAAGAATGCAAATATCGTATTCTTATAATGTTTCGAAACATGACTGCCATTAGCCTACTCTAATATATACTTAGTTGTCTTCGTTCTTATCTACTCTCACCTTTGGTTATTAAACTTTCTGTCAAATTTATAGCCTTCTCTGATTTTTAATATTTCATTTCAGATATAATGATTACGCATATAATATCGAAAACTTTATTTGCCGAGAAGATCTCAGTATTTAGAAACGAGGTCTACAAAACCCAGACAAACAAAATGCAACTACACCTTCATGAATAAGATCGAGAAAACTGATGATGACTATGAGAAGAACACTCTTAGATATTAACATACCTGAATAGGCCCCCCCCCCCCCNNCCCCCCCCCCCCCCAACTCCCTCCATCAATGTCTTCCTCGTTGCGTAACTCTCTTTCGAAGAAATATACTTGCCTCACAGGATTGGCAAATCCCGAACCCCACTATAGAAAAACAAGACATAATGTAGGTGTATTAATGCTTGATTTAATAAAAGAAAGGCTTGAGCAGAAAGTTGGCACTACCATACCATATAAACCAAGCACAAGATCAAAATATATTCATTATTGTAGTTTCAAGGATATCAAAGTCAATGTTCCTCCGATGAGAGTATCTAATCCTAATACACTTTCTACAAGTATACTATGTTTGTTAAGAAGCGATGGAAACTACATGAATCTTAGTGGAGAGACTATACGACCTGTATGGCAAGCATTATCAAGAGCAATCCATGGTACAGATCAATTGACACATATTGTGTTACACGATGAGTTGAGCCTACCATTAGGTAAAGTGCAACTAAGAGTCCCCGGAAGGAGTCTCAGAGGACACAATGGATTGAAAGATATATTGCGGATGTGTCCCGATATACCACATTACAACCTTTCCATTGGGATAGGTAGACCAGAATCGCATGAGGCCCGCGATGTTGCTGACTATGTCCTAGGCAAATTCAACCCTGCAGAGCTTGAAATATTACACACTAAGACATTAGACCAAATATGGCAGCTCCTCCATCCTGATATATTAAAATTCCAGAGCAAGTGACCTTGCCTGTAGTATCTGTCTCCCCCACCCCTCCGTCACTCTTTACAATAATTACATCATATTAATGCATCTCAGAGGGACGATAGTGGTAATATCCTACCTCCCATACATATAAACTTGTATATAAATGTAAACCAATATAATCACTTGATATTCTAAGCAAAACCTGATCACATAACTGATCATGGACGGTAACAGTTAATCCGGGGATATCGTTCTGTGATACCTCCCGTGCAGAATGATGCTTTCTGTGACTCGTTTATTTTCCTTCGTTTAACATTCAATTTCTATGGTATTATTACGTTTAGCGGTAATAAGAAGGGCGAACCGAGATAAACGAACTACAGGAATTTTTTCGTTTTTCGTCTTTTGGATATTGTCACTTGAAAGAGGTTAGTTGAACAGTTGTATATAATATAATTACCTAAGCCTAACTTACATGAGTATTCTTTTTTCTTTTGTTCTTGGTGGACGGAGTTTTTGTAAGTAGGATTACACAATTGTTGAAATATTATTTAATCGACTGCCGTGAAAACTTCTAGACAATACGATTATTAAGTAATTTGATTATTTTTGTGATTGATAGCAAATTTTTTGATTTTAAGGAAAGTCTACAATTACAATAGATTATATTCAAGCACGATTCACCATCTAAAAATAAACAAAAAAAATGGGTAAATTAACACAATTTATTACACATCCCTTTGAATTAAGGGCTGCCGTCATCTTAAAATGCATTAGAAAACCATTGTTCTCTGTGAAGGATACCACAGAAACCCCTGATTTGAAACAATGTTATAAATTACTAAAATTAACATCCAGATCTTTTGCTGCGGTGATCATGGAATTGAATCCAGAGTTACGTAATGCAGTAATGTTATTTTATTTGATTCTACGTGCATTAGATACTGTTGAAGATGATATGTCCATTGCTCATGACATTAAAGTTCCATTACTACGTGATTTCCACAAGAAATTATCCCTTGATGATTGGTCCTTTGATGGTAATTCTCCAGATGAAAAGGATAGAGCTGTGTTAACCGAATTTAACTCTATCTTACATGAATTCCATAGATTGAATAGAGAGTATCGTGAAGTGATCATTAAGATCACAAAGGAGATGGGTAACGGTATGGCCGATTATATCCTCGATGAAGAATTTAATTTGAATGGTGTACAAACGATCAAGGATTACGACATGTATTGCCATTACGTTGCTGGTCTGGTAGGTGATGGTTTAACTCATCTAATGATTATTGCTAGATTTGCCTCCCCTGAATTAATCAAGAGACCGGAATTGTTTGAAAGTATGGGTCTTTTCTTACAAAAGACTAATATTATTAGAGACTATGCTGAAGATATAGAGGCAGGTAGATCATTTTGGCCAAAGGAGGTTTGGTCTATTTATGGTGAAAAATTGACCGATTTCCAATCTGCAAAGAATACCAAACAAGGTGTTTTCTGTATTAACCACTTGGTATTGAATGCTCTGGAACATGTCACTGATGTGTTGACTTATTTGAGTTCCATCCAAGAACAATCATCATTCCAATTCTGTGCAATTCCTCAAGTCATGGCAATCGCTACTTTAGCTCTTGTATTTAACAATGAAAACGTGCTACATACTAATGTAAAGATTAGAAAAGGTACCACTTGTGATTTGATCTTAAAATCAAGAACCTACAAGGGTTGTGTAGACATCTTCGAATACTATTTGAGAGACATCAGAAAGAGATTGAATGTCGAGGACCCAAACTACTTGAAGTTTAACATCCATGTGGCAAAGATTGATCAATTCATTGAAGAAATGTACCAGGACAACTTACCTCAAGGTGTGAAGCCAAACAAAACTGAAATTTACTTGAAGGTCACAGAGAGAACCAAGTTCGATAATACAGTAGACGATGTCCAATACGAGGAAGTTTACAAATTTAATATGGTGTTAACTGTCTTATTCTCAACCTTCCTAGGTATCCTTGTGATATACTTGAGTCCTTCTAATGATGTGAATTTGATACAATAAAATTCATAGACCTACAATTACTCACTAGATTATAATAATAATAATCAACATCATGAAGCTCTTCATTTTATTACCAACCATTCCTCTCTCCCTTTAAAATTTATCAAGAAATGACGCATACTTACGTTATATATTCGTTTATACAAATTAACTAACAACTCAAGAATAAAATCATGTTTTATAGCCAATAAATTATAATACTATCATATATATATGTCTTATCTTGTCTAAAAGTTGTATTAACTAAATGATTTTTTGACACCAATTTTTTGTGCACTTAGGTTACCCTCACGCACCATTTCCTAATTAGGTAATTCGCGTTTGTTTACTTTCTCAAGACACGAAAAATCCAAAAAAAGAAAATTAAAACCCAAAACAAAAAAACTTGAAACAAGAATTGATATGAGGGATTCATATTTGAAGAGTAGTAATGAAATTATAATTACGACAATCGAATCATTCTAACTAGAATTCGTGAACAACGTTATACAATTATGAGAGAAGTTATTAGTATTAATGGTAAGTGTGAATTTTGCTATATTTCTATCGTTTAAGAACACTTTTTTTTGTAAAAAAGCCCATCTCCAAAAAGCTGAGGAATACGTTATAAATTACCTGAGTACGAATGGTCCTCGACGTTCAATAAATGGTCAGCTTGTTTATTTGGGAACACTTAAGCGGTAACATTTCTTTTTCTTTTACAATTCTAAAAATATGATTCTTTTTACTAACATTTTTTATTATTGTGGGTCAATTCTGTGTAAACATGGATCGTTAGTCTTTGTTTGGCACTGCATACCCATTTTCAGTTTTTAATTCTATAGTCGGCCAAGCTGGTTGTCAGATAGGTAATGCCTGTTGGGAATTATACTCTCAAGAACACGGTATTAAACCAGATGGGTACTTGCAAGATGGTCTTTCCAGACCAAAAGGTGGTGAGGAAGGCTTCTCCACTTTCTTTTACGAGACTGGCTCAGGCAAATATGTTCCTAGAGCAGTGTATGTCGATTTGGAACCTAATGTGATCGACGAAGTCAGAAACGGTGCTTATAGAGATTTGTTCCATCCCGAACAATTGATCAGCGGTAAGGAAGACGCTGCAAATAATTATGCTCGTGGTCATTACACTGTTGGTAGAGAGTTATTAGATGACATTCTGGATAGAATCAGAAGAATGGCAGACCAATGTGATGGTTTACAAGGTTTCTTGTTCACTCACTCCTTGGGTGGTGGTACAGGTTCTGGTCTAGGTTCTTTACTACTTGAACAATTATCTGTTGATTATGGTAAGAAATCTAAATTAGAATTTGCCGTATACCCTGCTCCTCAAGTTTCTACATCTGTCGTGGAACCATATAATACTGTGTTGACTACGCATACTACCCTTGAACATGCTGATTGTACATTTATGGTGGATAACGAAGCCATCTACGATATGTGTAAACGTAATTTGAACATTGCAAGGCCAAGTTTCTCAAACTTGAATACTTTGATTGCCCAAGTTGTCTCTTCCGTGACTGCATCTTTAAGATTCGACGGTTCTTTGAATGTCGATTTGAACGAATTCCAAACGAATTTAGTCCCATATCCAAGAATCCATTTCCCATTAGTATCATATGCTCCAATTTTATCAAGTAACAAGGCTCATCACGAAGCTAACTCTGTTTCTGAGATTACAAACGCCTGTTTCGAACCAGGTAACCAAATGGTTAAATGTGATCCAACAACAGGTAAATACATGGCTACATGTCTACTATACAGGGGTGATGTTGTTACAAGAGATGTCCAAGCAGCCGTTACCCAAGTGAAAAATAAAAAGACTGTACAAATGGTTGACTGGTGTCCAACTGGTTTCAAGATTGGTATTTGTTATGAACCACCTACTGCTACCCCAGATTCCCAATTGGCTAAGGTCGATAGAGCGGTTTGTATGCTATCAAACACAACTGCTATTGCTGATGCTTGGAAGAGAATTGATGCTAAATTCGATTTAATGTATGCTAAACGTGCATTCGTACACTGGTACGTTGGTGAAGGTATGGAAGAAGGTGAGTTCACTGAAGCAAGAGAAGATTTAGCTGCGCTAGAGAGAGATTACATTGAAGTTGGTTCCGACTCCTATGCTGACGAAGAATTTTAAGCTATTTATGACATATGACGGAACATCCACAATGGAAAGAAGGATTTACAAAAAAGCAAGAAGATATAGATATATGCCACTGATTTATGAAATTCATACTTGAAAGAAAAGTAAAACTATTGTACAATAAAGAATAATGCGAGAAGAGACAGGGTGAGGCTCGTAACTTCGTGGATGCATACCCCGTCAATATTTTTAAACTATACCCTTTAATTTATTTTCCCATCCAAAGTTCTATCAAATTTCTTCTTTTTACAATGAAGAATAGGAATAATATATATATATATATAAACTCATGAATATTTTACTCGCAATCAACTAATACTAATATTTTTTTAAAATGGAAAACGAATACTATTTAAATCTTTCCAGAAATTTACTATTTATGCGAGATTTGTTTAATTGGCGTTTTGGTTTTGGAGCTTTTTTCACCGTATGTTCTTCTATCTGTCTTGCCTTCTCAATTGTATTTAGAGGAACCGTTAAGTAATATATATTTATACCATCACGAACAGTCCTGACAACTTTGCTTGGAAAAGTTTTGGTTCGTATCTCAATTGGTGTTGGATAATCATCCTCAAGTTTTCTCTTGGATATATATTCTTGTCCAAGTGAATGTGATACCAAACAATGACGTAATACAGGAATATTTTGTATTATATTTGATTCAATACCAACAGTTACCATATCCAAAGATGGAATGTAATAAAGTAGTTTGAATAATATTTTAGGATCTCGTAAAAACGGTATATTCAAACGAGTTACGCTGCTCCATGTCTTGACGTTAACCTTAATACACGTCAACCACCCCAATATAGTTTTTTCTAAGATCTCTGGATTTTGTTCATAAAATGATACCTCACACAAATTTTTCAACTGTGCTAACCTTTCTGTTTGGCTAAGATATGAATATAAATGGATATTAATTTTAAAGGGGTATCTCTTTACTTTATCTAAGTCATTAAACATTTGTATAATGGAAGAGAGAGCATCGCCACTATCATCTATTCTATACTGTTGATCAATCCTGTCGAGTATATCATTTTGGTCACAAAAATATTGCTCTAATATCCAATGTGGTGTAAAGATAGAACTCATAGTGTTAATCGACGGAATATAATTCATTATCATAGAAGCAACATATATATTCGGAATCTTCTGAAATAATTCAAGTTGTTTCTTTAAAGTTATGTCAGATGAAGTAAGAGAACGGTAGAAGTTTCTAGCACAAAGTTCAGCAAGTGTTTTTGCTCGGAACGAACTCACACGATTATGGGGGTCTGATAATAAATGTTTGCTGTTCACATTAAGAAATCGTAAAGCAGCTATTATATCATGTTCCATTTCCGAAGATATTGTGATCTGCGACCATTTGGCTTATTCTCTATCGCCAAACTTATGCTTCGCTCGCCTATTCCCCTACGATATTTAACACCAATACTGAATTTCAAAGATATTTTGTCTAAAGTAACACTAACTGAGAAGTCGAAATCCTTTGATTATCTCAAGGTTGTTAAACATTACAACGAGATGTGACTACTAACTGGCTACCAACTGTGTCGCGATGAGGAAGAACGCTGACCTCGGAGGAAAACAAAAAATTTTCAGAGAAAAAAACCAATATAGTAAAGGAATAAACACGGAACTTTCTGAAGTTGACGTTTGAGCCAAGGGGTCACCATTGCTGCGGATATTAAGCAAAACAATAAGTCTGATTGAATATAAAGTTAGAAGTATTTACAATTGGAGTTTGTCTACTATATACAACATATACTTAGCAAACATTTATATCCATTTGGTTAGTCTAGTTGTTATATTTCCTATTTCTATTTAACGCTGGTATTGAACAACCCGGAACTAACAAACATGGCATTGGAAGCACTGCAAGATATTATGCAGAAGGACTATAAGTTCAAGAATTGGGCTGGAATCTACAGTTGCAAACCTCAATTATATTTCCAACCAACTACTATAGATGAAGTTGCTAGCGTCATAAAGAATGCAAAAGCTTTAGGTAAGACTATTGTTACTGTTGGATCAGGTCATTCCCCTAGTAACATGTGCATCACAAGTGAATGGTTGATGAATTTAGATAAATTGAACAAGGTTTTAGGTTTTGAAGAGTTTAAGGATTTACATTACGCGGATGTTTCTGTCGAGGCCGGTATTCGTGTGTTCCAAATAAATGAATATGTTGCTACAAAGAACTATGCAGTTCAAAACTTGGGTTCTATATCCGAACAAAGTATTGCAGGGATCATATCTACGGGTACTCATGGGTCCTCACCATTTCATGGTCTGGTATCATCTAATATTGTTAACCTAACTGTGGTCAATGGTTTAGGGGAAGTTATGTTTTTGGACTCTGAAAACCACCCTGAGGTGTTTAAAGCTGCTTTGCTTTCATTAGGTAAGATCGGTATAATTGTAAGAGCTACAGTTCGTGTTGTCCCTGCATTCAATATCAAGGCTACTGAAGAAGTTATTACATTTGAAGATTTATTAGAAAGTTGGGATACTCTATGGACCTCATCTGAATTCATTAGAGTCTGGTGGTACCCATACTCTCATAAATGTGTTCTATGGAGAGGTGATAAGACTGAAGCTAAACCAACTAAGTCACGTAAGAGCTGGTGGGGCACTACTCTAGGTAGAGTCTTCTATGAAACGTTATTATGGTTATCTTGTAGAGTATATACTCCATTAACTCCATATGTCGAAAGATTTGTTTTCCAAAGACAATACGGTAAACTTGGCAGTAAAGGTAATGGAAGTACCACCGTCGCGACTTCCGTAAAGGCCTTCAATATGGATTGTTTATTTTCTCAATTTGTTAACGAATGGGGGTGTCCATTAGAGAATGGTCCACAAATCCTACGTTCCTTAGATCATAGCATTGCTCAAGCTAGCCAAAGCAAAGAATTTTACGTACATGTTCCAATGGAAATCCGTTGTTCCAACACCACTCTACCATCTGAACCACTTGATACTAAGGATAGAACTATCACCAGTCGTGGTACTGTATATGGTAACATCATACGTCCATACTTGGATAACACTCCATCTGGTTGTAGATACACTCCATTGAACAGTGTCACCAACAGTCAATTGACCTTATACATCAATGCAACCATTTACAGACCATTTGGTTACAATACTAGAATTCATGAATGGTACTCAATATTTGAAGATACCATGTCTGTTGCTGGGGGGAAACCTCACTGGGCAAAGAACTTTTTAGGATCTTCTAATAACACTGCAGGTGATGTTAAGCAAGAGTCTGATTATGATGACTTCGAAGGTAGAGGTCTAGGAAGAAAGATCAAGGAATGGTACGGAGACGATCTTGTCGCTTTCAGAAAGATCAGAGAGCAACAGGATCCGGACAATGTCTTCCTAATGAACAAAGAATGGGCTGTCCGTAACGGGGTTGCTAACGAGTAAAATTAAAAAATTAAAAAATTAATAATAATAATAAAACAAAACTGATACCTATTTAATGAGAGAGATGTACACATAAATACAAAAGAACATATATACCCTCAATCAGTTCAGCCTGTTGCTTCCCATCTCCACCTTCCCTTCTTTTTTCTTTGATATATGTCCGTGGACACGAATAGGACTTTCCCTTTTACAATAAGAGAACTTCTAAGTATGTTTTTTTCTTCTTCTCTATATATACTTGTATACAACATATGTTTAATATTACAACTAATGTCCATTGAAAAGGCCATCAGCCTGGGAAGGAGTTTCTGCTGATCTCATCCGCGGAGCTCTTCGACTACATTCTTCCATACCCGAGCTAGCTCCGCAACCTCGGATTCTAAAGAACTATATTCCGGCAGAAAAGTTTCAGATCTGCGCGCCAGAAGGAAAAACAAAAAAAACCCGCGAAGTAAAAATCCGTGTAAATCGTATTTTCTCTGTGGTTGGCGTAAACGAGTGAGGGGAATATCCGCGGAGATACTACGGCTTATGTAACATCTAACTGGAAGGTTCTCTTCGAGGGTGCTGATTTTCTTCTTAAACCTTGAGGAATATAAGCTTTTTCATTGGGAGCATTATATTGACTATAATGATATGCAGGTAAGTATCTATTGATATATATATATAATGATATTTTGATATATTGATTAATTGACCCTTACTTTTTTATTTCTAATTCTTTTACTGCTATTACCTGGAATAATTGAAATTTTTTAAATAATAAGTATAGGTTAGAATATGAAGTCCTGGTTAGATAACATGGAGAATTATTTTAGGAATATAAGGAATCTGAGGTTTACAATACGGCTGGCACTTGTATTAGCATGCGTGACAGGCGTATATTTGGCCAGGTTACGATTATCATTGCTGGTAATTACGATATTGATATCAATTACGTATATCCTTGCGTATCTTAATAAGACTGCTAAATGTAAGAAAGTTTTATCAGTGGTAAAACTTAAAATGCATGGATCTAAATGGACACAATTTCATATTACAGGTATTAAAAAAATTTCAAAAGATACATCTATATATACATTCAATGTACAATATCCAGAAGGATCATTACATTTACCATTAGGTCATCATATACAAATGAGAGCGAAGATTAATGATAAATATGTGGTACGTTACTATACTCCGATTTTCCCAAAAGAAAGTACAAGAGAGTTACAACTTATGGTGAAAACATATTCAAATGGTACAATGTCTAAATACTTATCTACTTTACAAATAGGTCAGGCAGTAGAGATTAGAGGACCGTTCGGAAATCCAAATTCAGAAAGTCAGTCGTACCCACTACAGAAGGAGATAGAGGACTATAGAAAGAGCCTTACAGATGCTAATCCTAATGGTGATGTATTAACGCAACTGGGAATAGTAGCTGGTGGATCGGGTATTACCCCTGTATTACAAGTTCTACACGAAATAGTAACAAACCCTTACCATTTGGAAAATATTTCACTCATATATGCAAATGAAACAGTAGATGATATCCTATTGAAGAATGAATTAGATGAAATGGCCAAAAAACATCCACATTTTCAAATACATTATGTGTTACATCATCCACCGAAGGGTTGGCAAGGTGAAAGAGGTTATATAACAAAGAGAATGCTACAGAAATATTTACCTCAATATAACAAACATCATAAAATGTTGGTATGTGGCCCTCTGGAGATGGATGAGTTGGTACTACGGTTTAGTAAAGAACTGGGATGGAACAAAGGCTTTCAAAAATCTAAAAGTAATGATAAAGTGTTTGTGTTTTGATTGAATATTCATGATAATGTGAGACACAATTTTTTTTTTTTAGTTTCATAAACACAGGAACGAATGACGATATATTACCTGATATATAATGATTAATAATAATTAAAAAAAAAAATGCATATGGTATTTAATTTATTTCACTTAGGGATAACGCTAAGGCTAATTGTAATTCTTCATCCTCGGACATCGTGCTTGAATGATCATTTGCTCTTGTGGAAGTACCTGTATCACGAGGTATATTATCAGATAAGATATCAGATCCACTAGGAATTGGCATAGTTCTCGTAGTTCTTTGTTGTTCTTCTGCCATTGAAAGTTCCAGAGCCCGTCTGAATTCATCATCACCTTCTGCAAGGTCACCCAAGTTTGTATTTGGAGAATTATCATCATTTATCCGTTCAAGAATCCGTTGAGATTCTTCAATAGCCCTCCTTAATTGTTCCTCTTCATCATCATCTACAGTACTATTCTCTTGCAATGTAGTTGATTGGGATTCCAACAATGCAATCCTCAATTGAACATCTTCTTCGTTATCGGCGTTTGCGACAGTTAATAACTGTTCGTTATTCCTTGAGGTTGGTGTAATATCACCACCATATGTCTCTAATAGTCTATGATGCTCTAGTCGTTGATCATGTCTATACGTTTCTTCCTCGTCAAAAGTATCCATTTCGGAGTTTAACGTTTCAATCCATTTGTTACTACGGTTACGATTCGAGGAGGAAGATTTCGTCCCCAATGTAATGTCATCATCCCCCGGGCCTTTATTTTTACTAGAGATAAACTCTAATAAATGCAATACATTACCACTTCCTACCAGGACTTTATTTTCGGAAATATCCAAAAATTGGGGATATTTATCAGTCTTCTGGATGACTTTTATAGGCGAGCCCGTTGATGAATCTAACAAATGAATCTGATTTGCAATGGCTACGACCACTAATAAATTTGTCACTTTCACTGTATGAATCTGTTCATCGAAACTTATTGTGGTTTGAATTTTTATTGTAGACGCAATGTTTCGTACATTAATAATTGCAATATCATTATCTGATGTAAGTAATGCCATGTAACAACCATCCTTACCTGCCAATGAAAAATCTTGTTCTTTAATAGATGTAGTCTCATCCATGTATACGTTTGTAATGGTGCTTGAAATGTTTGGGAAAATATCTTTAATTTGCATTGTCTGAGTGGTTCCAAAGGCATTATTTGGATCAAAACAGATTGTATATACTTCAGAGTTACTAGTCATTACAAGCGTACGAGACCCAAAATCTACATTAATAAATTGTAAAATATCTTGGGTTGTTGTGGTGCTAGATTGTTGAAGATTTCCCGATGACCGTATTATATTTAATGGTAAAGCTAATGAATGCAAAATTGAATGGTTTTGAATTACATATATTCTTTTATGATCCAATGCTAATGTGAAATCCTTCCAATAATATAGTTTCCAAATCAGTCCAATTGTTGGTTTCATGAATGCCACTCGTTTGGTATCTTCCCACCAAATCAATTCCCCATTCTCAGATGCACTAACACATTTATGTTCCTTCGAAGACGTATCATTCAATAAAGATGCAATCGCAGTGACACATGTCGAATGTGTAGAATTAAATTCTGTTGCTGGTGTCAAATATGATTTATTACCTAATAATTTTCCAAAGACACGACCATCAAATCTACCAAACACAGCCGCATTGATAGAGAAATCTAAAGTAGAACAACCTTGCGGGGTTGTACAAGGAATATAAGTCAATCTTTGTCTTGAACGTTTATTTTGAAGATGAATCAATGTAATGGTACCATCATTATAACAAGCACAACGAGGATATGAAAATACTAGACTCTCAATAGGCATACCTTGTTGCTGTTGCTGCTGTTGTAATAGTTGGTTTGCAGGACCAGGTCTAAATGGCGAGACTGCATATTTTGTACGTACAACTCTATTATGTCTCCAACGAAGTAAATAATCTCTACGTGCAATATATTCTGTATGGAATTCATGTGATCTTGCTAATGATGGAAATTTAGTAGTACCAAGTCTTGCAACAAACAGATATTTCCATAATTCATCTGCTGTAATTAATGCATTAAATGTCTTTGAAATTTGTTGTAAATGACATAAATCGGGCTCATCTAAATATGAAAATATATTAAATAAAATCTCTGTTGGTAACGTTTCTAGCGTTTGGTTAGGAGTAATGGAAGTCATCTCCGACAAAACGTCTTTTAGATGGAGATATAAATATCACAACAATGGTTTGAGTTTCTTGGAAAGAGAAATCCTGTACTAGGTTGATAAATTATTAAAAGAAATATAAATGTTGCAATGTGCTCATCGCATTATATATATGTGTGTGTATGCTATATAAAATTATATAATATGTGAGCCACCTAATAATCAGAGAAAAAAAGAAATTGCATAAAAATTAGTAATTTCAGGGCACGTGGTTGTCACGTGCAAATATCCCACGTGACCGCAACAGTTTTTATTACTACTACGTCATTTGGACTCGCATAATATTTATTTCTTAATGTGATTATCAGTTAAACATGATTATTGAAATGCAACCATTCATATTACATTTTCAATCTAATTATCTCATATCAATAGTAATTGACCGCTTTTCTTGAACAAATGAAAAAGAAAACCATTGAGAGCATGGAATTTCAGGCGGTCTTATCGGAGTAGAATTTCAACGATTAAGTCAAGACTAACCTTTATACACCCATGGTAATGAATGTAATAAACTAAATGTATGTACATAATAATATATTTTATTAAGGAAAATCTACTAGAGGTAATCATTTGCCAAGAAAATAAAAATTATTTATAGAGTTATGATAATGAACAACCAATTACTCTCTTACTTAATAAGATTACACTAATGAATCACGACTGTCGCAGACCATACCCTTGGACCTTCCACCGAAATATCCACCCATATAGGTATCTGCCTGGCGGCAAACAGCCCAAAACGGATCCACACGTACCATCCCATACACAATTTTCTCTTTCTTCTTACCCCCATACAAGCATATACATACATACTTGTACAACTATTGTTCGTTTAAGTCCTCTCTCTCTATGTATATAACGCAACACTCTCACTAACAACGACGACAAGGACTAATATCCGATGCGTCCTCGGTGGGTTTCTGTTTCTCTGGACCGGTTTCTCCATTTATCTATTGAGTTCAGTTACTTCCAACACGGGAGAGTACTCACTTGGAGGCGATCAAATTCCCATCTCGTTTAAATGCCAAAATATATCAGTTAATAAAACTGGATTGGAATGCGCTGCACAGTACTTTCACTCTTAGTGGCACTCCATTATTAAGGTATTGTGCTCGTTTAAATAAAAAAAAACATTCCGTTGGCAGCGGCGGCGGCGGCTGGCGTTTACGGATATTTCGACCCGGGCACAGCTGCTCTTCTCTCGTTGAGTTCGATTAAATTTTAAATTTTGGTGTGAACGCGCGCAGTAGCAGTAGTAATAGCTTCGTTAAGACTTTTTCGTTGGAGAATCGAAATTTTAAGAGGCAACTAGTAGCTGCCACTGCAACCAAAATTCTCAAAGGGTTGGAGGTAAATGAGAGAAACAACATCATCCAATTCCTGTTACGCATCTCTATATAAAGGGAGCAAAAAGATAATAGATTGAAAGGAAAGTATTGGAATAAATAGATACCTTTTTATACATATTTCACATTGCTACATTGCCATATATCCTCAGAGAATATACACCCTCACATTATACACACACATACACACACATATATATACAATGACTGAATTGAAGAAACAAAAGACTGACACTTTACCACCAAGACCTACTAATATCGGGATCAAAGGTATTGAAGTTTATTTACCTTCTCAATGTGTTAACCAAGCAGAATTGGAAAAATTTGACGGTGTCTCCACTGGGAAATACACAATTGGTCTAGGTCAAACCAATATGGGGTTTGTCAATGATCGTGAAGATATATATTCCATGTCGTTAACCGCTTGTTCTAGATTAATGGAACATTATAAGATTGATCCAAACCAAATTGGTCGTCTTGAAGTCGGTACTGAGACTCTATTAGATAAATCTAAGTCTGTTAAGTCTGTCTTAATGCAATTGTTTGGTGACAATACTGATATTGAAGGGATCGACACCGTCAATGCTTGTTACGGTGGTACCAATGCCGTATTCAACTCTTTAAATTGGTTGGAATCTTCTAGTTGGGATGGTAGAGATGCTATTGTTGTCTGTGGTGATATTGCCATCTATGATAAAGGTGCCGCTAGACCTACTGGTGGTGCAGGTACTGTTGCTCTATGGATCGGTCCAGATGCTCCAATTGTAATGGATTCCGTTAGAGGTTCATTCATGGAACACGCTTACGATTTCTATAAGCCTGATTTCACTAGTGAATACCCATATGTTGATGGTCATTTCTCTTTGACTTGTTACGTTAAAGCATTGGATCAAGTATATAAATCTTATTCAAAGAAGGCAATTGCCAGAGGTATTGCTGAAAAACCATTAGGTCCAGAATCTGTTAACGTCCTTGAGCATTTTGATTTCAATGTCTTCCATGTGCCAACTTGTAAATTGGTCACTAAATCCTATGGTAGATTACTATATAACGATTTCAAAGCACAACCTTCTCTATTCCCTGAAGTTGATGCATCTTTGGCTACAAAAGATTATGAGGAATCATTAACAGACAAAGCTTTAGAGAAAACATTTGTCAATGTTGCCAAACCATTCCACAAGGAAAGAGTTGCTAATTCTTTAATTGTTCCAACTAATACAGGTAATATGTACACTGGTTCTGTCTATTCTGCTTTGGCTTCTTTGATTTATTATACAGGTTCCGATAATTTGCAAGATAAGAGAATCGGTTTATTCTCTTACGGGTCCGGTCTAGCTGCATCTTTATTCTCTTGTAAAGTTAAAGGTGATATCAGTTATATCGCCAAAATACTTGATATCCAACACAAATTAGATTCAAGAACCACTCAAACTCCACAAGAATATGAGGCTGCCATTGCATTAAGAGAAAACGCTCATTTACAAAAAGATTTCAAACCTGTCGGCTCTATTGATTTACTACAAAAGGGTACTTACTACTTGACTAACGTCGATGAAAAATTCAGAAGATCTTACGAAATCAAAAACTAAGAAAAAAACTGAAAAAAAGAAAGTTTATTGAACCACCACTACCACAACAATAGTTTCATTCTCTTTCTTGCTATGTATATTCCGTATGATATATAATCAAAAAATAATAAAATTTAGACGACCTCATTAACAAAAGAGACAGATGTATACGTGCCTAGTATATTTGTTTTTCTATATTCTTGTTCTATTTCATTATATGTCATTTGCTGTGATTTGAATGGGGGGGGATCAGTTAATTTCCATTAACACCGCCGTACCGAGTGACGAATATATTCTGTTATGTGTGTCAACCTTTGGGGCCCCCGCACCCCGCGGATATAATACCGCCAGGTCTGTCACCGTCCGATTTTGCTCCATTCTGATTGGTCGGCACCGCAAGCCCTCTGTCACCCTCTGAATGGGGGCGAACGTAGCAACCCACAAGAACACCGCGGGAGGAAGAAGAGAGGGAGTGACTCTTCCCCGAACTCGGTCGGCTAGCTGCAACGCACCAAACTGACCAATCAGCATCAAGGGAGCAGTGGAAAATTATTTTGCGTACCGTGTCCCCTTTCTCGGTCCATCCAGAGAGAAACGTCCGCAGCAACACATCGCTTTCTCTTTGTTTCTTTCACCAAAAAGCGAAGGGATTCACTGACCGTTTTTTTGCATTGGTTTTTTCTTCTTCTCTACGTGCTTTGCGTTGCTGTCAGTTGGAAAAGGACCGAAATAATAGCAGACTCATAGTAAACTAGCTAATTTTAAATTTGTTTGCCATACATAATGGGTAAATCAGTGAATAAGACGTCGTTTTAGATATGGCATGGCAGTAACTGGTATAACTTTGAATGAAATATAATTGAAAGATAGTACTTACCTACAGAACTCTTTGTCTACTTACCTATTCTTTTTGTTCAAAAGTCCATTAAATCCTGAAAGTGGAAGAAAGTGAAAAATTTTGTCAACGTCGTACTTGCTTTTTTCATTATATTATATTATAATAACATACAACTATTTCTTTATATTTATTTTTCAACCTTCAGGTCCAATAAGCATTTACCAGATCCATTTCGAAAAGAATTACTACTGGCTTTAAATTTTGATTACATATATAAAAGTGAATACATTACTGCAGATAAATTATTTTCCATTATATTTGCTATTTAATTACTATCCAAACCTACAATTCAACTAATACCTTTTTTATTTTTATTTTAATTTAATTTGATTTAATTTTAATTTTTATGCTCATAAAAACAACCCTATAGTATTGACTATCTGTTCACTAATTAATTAATTTCATTTCATTTCACTTTTTTTTCTTTTCACTCTCTCTATCTTTATTACAAAAATGCATCCAACGAATAATAGAATAATAGCATTAAAATCTTTGAAATATAAGAAATTTGCTAAAGGTTGTCACAGATCAGCTTCCTCACATAAGAAGCCATCACCAACTTTCTTCGATAGTTCATATCAACAATATTTAAGACAAAATCATGGGTTGGTTCAATTAGACTCTGCTCAAACTCAATCACACTTACCTAATTTACAACCACATCCAGTGATTGGGGCAAACACAAATTTCAATACAGTTGAAGATGCCATACATCATGATGATTACATTATTACAGCTAGTGGGACTACCACAAACAACTACGGCTCTACACATTATTATGATTCTACCATTAATCAAACTTTATCTAAAAGATACTATTCCAATATAACAAATCAACAACAATTACAGCCACAAAATAATAATAATAATAATAATGCTCTAATAAATGAGTCTCTAAATATTCAAAATAAAGATAATAATACCACAACACAACATTCTGAATTTGCAAACGATGAGGGGAAAGTATGGGAAGAAGATACAGAAACCGATTTAAACCCGAAGGAATATTTAAAAGTTCATATTGAACAGATAGATAGATGTTACAATTTGAAAGAATACTCTAGAATAAATGCATTATACCAATCTTTAAAAAGAAATAATATAGTAGTTCCATTAGAGACTTACGAAAAGATTTTGGACTCGTTTGCAAAGAGAGTATTCGATGTCAATAACAAGAATCTGGACGAAAAAATGTTTTCTTTATTAAATTGTTATCACGATATTATAAACAATAGATTAAAACCAACTACAAAGATTTATAATATTGTCCTGTTGCAAATATTTAAAAACTCTATTGTGGCATTTGAATCAAACAATCCAAATGGTCTAGATTTCTTTAAGATTGGCTCCGAATTATTTCATACAGTATTGAAAAATAATGCATTGTCGAAGGAAACTATCAATTATTATCTATTAGCATTAAACGTCTTCTCAGGATCACCTTTCAAATACTTTAATATCAACAGTCAAAATCAACCAACAGCTTTGATTCCGAATTTAAACTATTTCAAATCAACTATTATTGATTCATCCGCATCATACATTAAGGACTCATTTTATTTTATTGCATTTATTAACTTGGCCAAGCTTACGAATGATTTACCATTTTTGAAGGATTTATATCAAGAATTTTTGCTATTATTACCATTGGATTCTTCTCTTTCATTAAAAGAAAACCAATTCGAAATATATTCGATGTTTATCACTGGATTCTTGGAAAGTGGAGAACTTACACTATCCAATAAAATCTTTGAAAATTTAATCAATGAAATTAAATTGAGAGATGGTATGTCAGAAAATATCAAATTGATTCTTTCCAACTATTTGATTTCATTAAGTAAATTGGATGCTCAAAAGGCTTATTTGTTATGGGTTAGTTTCAAGAAATTGAGATGGGTCCCAGAATTTACTTATGACTTTTATTTACAATTAATGTCAAATTCATTCCATGATTGGGAACTAACCAAAAAAATATACGACTACATATATCCAATGGAAAGAGTCTTTTACAATAGAGGAAGAGTAACTAGCACTTCAAAAGAAACAAATTTATCTAGTTATCTTCTATATCCTATTCACACTGAAATGATTTTAAATTCTTTGATGAATTATGCATTACAGTTGAATGATCAAGATGTGGTATTTAGATTATTAGAAGAATCCACTATTAAATCATTTACATTCGATATTAACTTATATCCAAGTATATTTAAATTTCTGATTGCAACCAACTGTACTCCATCTTATTTATTAAGAATGGTTGAAGCTCAAGGTAATTTACTATTAAATGAATCCATTAGCAGACAAAATAACATAAACAATTTACAATTCTTAAGTGCAATTACAGACGCAACAAGAAACACCGATATCTTAGAAGCCATTCTAAATATGAAATTTTTCGATACTATTTGTAAAAATACCGATTTTAACCCTGAAAACATTACAAACTTTAACATTAATTACAATGGCCTTGTTGTATTCTTAGATGCATTGTGGAAGGCACCAAAAGATTTCAATTCTTATCCTCATTACTTAGAACTTCAATCCAGTTTAATTATTAGATTATTTGAGTTTGATACATATGTTCCAACCGAGGAAAATAAATTAAACAATGCGACTGAGTTTACTCAATTTAAGAAAACTTTAGTCGAGAAATTTGAAAAGATGGCAACTAATTATCAAAGATTGAACTTCAATCCAAACGACGTCCATCATGTTGTATCGCAAGCTGTAAAATTATCAAGCTTACCAGAAGAAACAATAGAATACTTTAATAATCCAGGGGATTGGGATAAATCATACCCACTAAGTTTGGGATCCCAAATCAGAAATGCACCATCCACAGGGATTAAGGATTTCGAAAAGTTATCTAACGATGGATATTGTTTTGGTTATGATACTTATAAAGAGTTAATTAAAAACAAATACATCAATCAATATATCATTGAAAAATGTTATGAATTTGTTACAGTTGGTGATGTCGATGAGTCAAAGAGCCTAACCAATCTAATTATCAGCAAGATTGCTCCAACACAAATCGAGTTTTTATTGTTTTTGAAATCAAATAAGGATCCTACAATATCACTTGAGAAACAATTTTTCTTTCAAAAGTTTATGTTGAACTACTTAAGGGATGTATCACTATCAAAGATCCTTCGTTCATTGAAACATACAGATATTTGTCCTCAATTCATTGCCACTGTGAAGTTTCCAGAAAATTTCAAAAGTATTACTGTTCAAGCAGAGTTTAAAGAATCAATTGATTTAATCTATGAAAAATTATTCGAAGCCCGTGATTATGAAAGTATTGTTAGATTCAACGATATTTGCCCTGTGTTGAATCTTAATATTTTGCTAAAATCAACTATTAGATCTGGAGAAATAAAAATATACGAAACGTTGTTTGAGAAATTCAAATCATCTTTATCCCGCGACCAGCTTATTGAAATCAAATGTGAATATTTACTGGATAGCTTAAAGATTGATGAAACATTGAAATTATGCGAAGAGTATAAAGATGACAAAACTTGTGGAAAGTCTAAAGATTATTCAACATTTGCCAATTTCCTAAAAAGTTTTACTACTGAATCTTCGTTAATTATGGATCATCCTGAGAATACACTACAATTTTCTAATCAACTATCAACTTTTGGAGGTTTTACAGAGGTATTAAATTATTATAATCAACATTCTGAATTACTTGGTGATCCATTGACACTTGCAGAAAGACTTCAGATAAATAAGAATGTATTAGATCAGATGCTAAACAATTTGGTTGATGCCTCAAAATTATTTTTTGAGAACCAAAACATTACCGTGGGATTGTTGAACAAAACTGAAATTGTCAGACAATTTCAATTAAAACTAAAGACATTTTACCGTTTCAAGGCTTTCTTAAAAATACAGAACTACAAGGTCTCTGAACTGCAAAGATTATTAGATATATGGTCGAAAGTTGAACCATTCTCAATCGATTCATTTTTCAACAACATCATAGAAACAATATATCTGAAACCAGATACCACTTCGAACACGCTTTCCTTAAAGCATAACCTTTTGTGGAACTTTGATAAGTCATCCTTGAAGATTATCGCCGAAGATATCATACATGCATACCAAGCAGTGGGTGACCAACCAAAGATCGTTAAAGTCGAACAATTTAAGACATTCCTTGACCAACAACATTCATCCCCAATTATTTTATAAAACACAGCATTTAAATTATTAATATATAATTAATATATAATAACATAATTTTCATTTTATAATAGTACTTAAGAGTTAAGTATGAACAGCATATATGGAAACTAAGTCTCTAGTTAAGGTTTATTGTCATATTCGTTGTGGTGAAGTTTACCCGGCATGTAAGTTTTTCTTCTGCTCTACAGCCTATTTTCACCATTGAGGCTCTTAATCCTGCAAAAAGTTCATAGAGCGAGGGAGAGCCCTTTTCTCTGAAGGTGGCAAATACATACCATATATTTTAAAGATACCACGCACATACATCTATATACATTTAACATGGAAGAGAAGATAGTAAAAAATATTGTTTATAGCTGTGTAAGAACACATATTGGCATAACGAAATATTAGTTGTCCGAATCCTTAGGAATTGATTAAATATAACAAGGAATTTTAGGAAGTTTCATAGATAATGACTGACAGATATTCTTTCTCTCTGACAACCTTCTCCCCAAGTGGGAAATTAGGCCAAATTGATTATGCATTGACTGCTGTTAAACAAGGTGTTACATCACTTGGTATTAAAGCTACTAATGGTGTAGTGATTGCAACCGAAAAGAAGTCGTCTTCTCCACTTGCATTGACCGAAACTTTATCAAAAATTGAATTAATTACTCCAGATATAGGTGCCGTGTATTCAGGTATGGGTCCAGACTATAGAGTTTTAATTGATAAATCTAGAAAAGTTGCTCATACAAACTATAAAAGAATATACAATGAATATCCTCCAACCAAATTATTAGTGTCCGAGATTGCTGAAATCATGCAAGAAGCTACACAATCTGGGGGTGTCAGACCATTCGGTGTATCGCTCCTGGTGGCAGGGTTTGATGATCATAAAGGGTTTTCGCTGTACCAAGTTGATCCATCAGGTTCTTATTTCCCATGGAAGGCTACTGCTATAGGGAAAGGGTCTACTGCAGCAAAGACCTTTTTGGAAAAGAGATGGAATGACGAGTTAGAATTGGAAGATGCTATTCATATTGCTCTATTGACACTAAAAGAGTCTATTGAAGGTGAATTTAATGGTAACACAATAGAAATTGCCATAGTGGGTGACACTAATGATGATCTTTTGGGTTATACCGGTGTTCCAAAGGATAAGGGTCCTAGATTTAGGAAACTAACCTCTCAAGAGATTAATGACAGACTTGAAGCTCTATAAGTAAGGTATTCATGAAATCGTTTATATGTATATAAATATAGGTAGACAAACAACATCACATACAGATCAAACCGACCGATACTGACTCGCCGATACGGGTACGATTAGAAAGATCCAAATTATGTTACATTATTATTTATTTTATTATTATAGTAACATTGATGCATTTATATAAAACTATTTAAATGGTGCCTTTAGCGGATCGATAACTTCACCAGGTTTAGTCATAATTCTTGGTTTAATTAAGTTTTGATGCGATTTTCTTGAAGTCCATTGTTGACCCAAAGGCATACGTAAAGATCTCTCATATTGCTCCTTATTCTCGAATGGGAAAGGAACTGCTGATGATTGGTACTTTAAATTCTTCTTATTTATCTTTTCGTTTATGATCACATTTTGTAACCTTCTATCTTTTCTTTTATCTTTTTGTACAACACCCTTGATCTTCTTTATAGACCTCTTCATTCTAGGTTGAGTACCACTACCTGCCCAGTCACCCCAGCCAGGTAAGGTAACATCCTCTTCTTTATCATCATCGTCATCAGCAACTCTCTTCTTCTCATTTTCAAATTCGGCGATAACATCATCACCAGCAAAAGCATCCGCAATAACATCTTGTTGTTTAAAGGAAAATTCACCATCAAATTCATTGTCAGAACCACCATAAGGATCAACAATGTTCAGTTTATTGGATATTTCTGAATCGAGCAGCAACTCCCCATCATCATTGGATGTATCTTTTTTATTCTTTCTATCTTGTTTTGCTAACTTCTTTTCAATTTTTTGGGTTCTCTTTGTTTCCTTGGAGCTATCCTTATCGACAATTGAAACCTTTGTAGAACGTTTTACGTTTTTATTTGATTCATCATCACTACCAACTAACCATGGATTAGCTGGTTCTTGTGGCCCTCCCACTGTTTCGTTTGCAGCATCTGAATCATGACCATTGGCTGATTTTGAAGATAGGGTGTTTTTATTTAGTCTATTGGATAAGTTTCTGGAATTGTCAATACGAATTTCCTCCTTCAATTCTTCATCCGCCTCTTCTGCTTCCTTCTTTTTTATCAAGTTACTTGGAACATATACCCTCCTACCTCTGTTGAGTTGAATATTTTCATCATGATCAGCGTCGGAGTTAATCGGATCTTCACCATTCTCAAAAGCCCTTATATTAGCAATATTTTGAAGGTTAGCTTCCTTTTCTCTAGCTTCAGCGTTTCTCATAAATGCCATGTTCATGACACCTGTTTTACCAAGTACATCCTTCATTTTAGTATTTTCGACTTCATCAACCTGTTCAGTCTCAATATCACTTAAACCTTTACGTTCATCTTCATCATCTGAATTTCTGTCTTGAATTTTTGCTTTCAACCTTTCCCCTTGCCTTAGCATTTCTTCCATCTCGTCTCTCGTCTCAGCATCATTTGTCATACCATGCTTGATCATGTCCTTTGCCCACTTGGAGTTAGTCTTATGTTTCAATGTCATTCTTTCTTTAGCTCTTGCAATATCTAGCTCTGTGTCGCTTTCATCCGATATACCTGCCTTTTCTCTATTTCTCTGAATCTCCTTATTTTTAACTCTGTGATATGCCTTAGACTTGATTTTCTTTATTCTTCTTGCCTTTCTCTCCTCACGGAACATAAGATCTCTCATCAATCTCATTTCAACAGTTCTCTTCTTCATTTCTTCTGGAGTCATCTTGGCAGTATGCAGGTCTTCAAACGTAGCCTCTTTTTCGGGATCAACCAAATTAGATTGTTCTAAGACATTTCTAACCTTATCCTGTAAAGAACTCGAAGTGTTCTCAGATACAGACGTTGTAAATACAGAGGCCTCCTGGTGTTCTACTTTTTGGTTCATTGGGAACGACAGATGTTCTGCCCTTCTATTTTGTTTAACAACGTCAGACCATCTACTAACTTCGTCTTTAGATATTTCATAAGCTGCTTTACGTTCATTTCTCTGTTGAATTCTTTGTGGAAGGGGAATTGCGGTGGCTGCACCCTCACCTTTCAACAAAGTTGCCTTCTCTATAATTTGCTTATCATCAACAATATTCATCATATCAGATAAACTTAATTTTTGGGTACCTTCATTTTCTTTAATGGATGGCAAAATATATTCATTTTCCTCACCAGTACCATATGTTGCTAACCTTTTTGAAGAATTCTTTGATGCATCTTTCAATAGATTTGAGGTAATTGTCTTCAGTTCAATGTCTTCATCATCTTCTGAAATCTCGTCAAATGGATCGTCGCTTGATTCATCATCTTCTCCCTCGTCATCAGAACTTCCTTCACTACCTGATTCTTCATCACTAGATTCTATATCTGAATCTTGAAATTTTAATGGAGTATCTTCATCTTCTGCTGGTACATTTTTGTCTCCTTTAGATTGTTTAGTCTTAGTACTATCCATATCCCAAATTTGAGATAACGACATCAGTTCACCTTCTTCAATAGAGGTATAACCACCATCACTTAAATTATCCACATCAACATCTCCTTCTTTACCAAGTTTACCTAACTCATCACCAGAATCCAAGGCTTCGTCAGAGTCCAGCTCTTCATCTTCGAAGGACCCATCTGACATTACGTCAGAATCACTCTCATTCCTTCTCTCGGACTTCTTCAAAAGGTTGACAACTGTCCCATTTTTACGTGGATTATAATTATCACTGTCTCCATCAGATGCAGAACCTTCAAGTTCTCTTTCGGCGATCTCTAGAGCATTTAAAACTCTCTTAGAACTCTTACTTCTTGATTTGGATTTGGATTTTTTAGCCATCTTTTATGGTTAATTTTATAAAGATGTTATTTTATATTCTCTATGTATAGATTGTAACTTACGGTATGCACACAAGTAAAAAATTTCAAATATATAATGAAGTTGTTGGTTATGTTTACCATGTTTTATATATTAGTTACATTGTCAAACCTGAAGCTCATCGCATCGATAAATTTTTCAAGCGCAGAGCCAAAGAAAAATTTTCTTTTGAAAAGGTTGTATTTCCTATTACGGTAAATGCATCATAATAATTACTTAATTTGGTAACTATTACCTAATACGCTAAACAGATACATAATTGCTGATGGCCATATATAAATAGGGAATTAATCAATTACGAAAATCATTTGGCAGCAGCAACAGCTTCCTGTTTGGCTGCTTCATGCTGTCTCACTGCTAGTTGTCTTATTTGAGACTCAATAGCTAATGATGATTGCGATTTATCCTTTATAATATTTTGTATTTGAGTAGATTCGTTATTCAATTTTTCTATCTTCTTTTCGTAAAATGTAATGGCGTCCTTGGCATCTTTTTCGACATAATAACCTGTCCCTATATCTACCATAAACTTAGTATTGTCTTTTATGTGGCCAGGGATATACAAAGATGCTGATGCAGGTATTAATAAAGTTTGGTTCTTGTTTGCCTCTTCCGAAACGGTTTTAATATCTGATACACATTCAGAGAATTTATTTTTAGCGACTATCAATGCTTGTAAAGATTGGGTGAAATGGTTCAGTTCTTGGTCAAATTGTTGCTTGACAGCGTTTAGTTGTTCAGGGTTCAATTGTGTAAGATCGACTGATCATAATGATGTAGTTGCGCAAGGCACATATTTACAGAGTTAATAAAAGAAACCGATAAAACAGAATAAAACACGCATAAAGATCAAAACTCTGAAAAATCTTGAGCTGAATTTATGGCTTTACATACTTTTTTGAGACATTATATTGATGGTATACTTATATTGTAGAAAAGATGTTTCAATTACTCTCTCTGTATGTATTGTGACATATGTTGCTGTTATACATACTGTACAACTTTATTTTTTGTTATGATTGAAATTTTCATGAGAGCCGCTAACTATAAGAAAACCAATTAATTCAAGATTCAGCTTCATATCGTTAATAGTGAGAAAAAAAGTTGTACCCTTTTGATCTATAAATTTATATATCTATTTAAGTATATCAGTTCCATTTTTGTTACCATCTTTAGTCATCTTTGCACTTTTTGAACCAAACTGGATGGCACGTTTTGGCTCTTCAGCAATAGTACCCAGATTTAATTTCATTCTCGCTACATTACGAAGGATATGTTTGTTTATCTTGTAATTAATTGGGATCAACGATGTGGAATACTTAAGGACAGATTCATCAAGAAATGGGTATCTGACCTCTACACCATTTTCTGCTATAACTTTATCATCTCTGTTTAGATTTCTGTCATGTATATTATTAATTTGTCTAACCAGTTCCTCTACAAGTTCTGGAGTGGTCTTATTTGCAAATTTATGATATCCACCATATAATTCATCTGCACCAAGTCCACTAAACAACACAACCCCTTTACGATTATATTGATACCTTGTCCCATCATCCTTAGTAATGAATCCATGACCTCTTGATGCAAAGTAAAACGCAATGGCAATGGAAAGATCCATCTCCGTATTTTTAGGGTACATGAAATCAATAATATTTGGCCTTACTTTTAAATATTCTTTGTAAGGTACATCGACCTCTACTAACCGTATATCCACATCAGGGTATAATTCTTTTAGGATTTTTGCACTTGAAACCGCAAGTTTCCTATCAGGTGTAACAGCAGGTTGCAATCCAGTTCTTGGGTTTTCAAACCCGACATTTAATAATTCCACTACTGTACTATTACTAGGTATCTTCATTAATTCTTCACAGATCAATGCTACAATGACTGAACAATCTAATCCGCCAGAAAATAATACTGCAATAGGTGAGTTTTCAATATGAGTTGGATGAATAGTAGTAATTCTCTTAGAGACGGCATTCGTCAATTGCTGGAACAATTCATTTGTAATAGTGATAAGACCTTTCATATCTTCATCAATCATAGAGGTAACATTGTATGGACTATTTCGTATAGTACACGTTGTATTAATAAAATTTCTTTCCTTGATATCAAAGATATATATTTGACCTCCAATACAATTTATAAAATCTTTTGAAGTGGTGCCTGTAATACTAGCTACATATAAATCATGAGTCTCTGAATCAGTGCAATAACTGAGACTTCTCTTCCCAATCGTATCTCTACCAAAATAAATAACTTCATTCACCAGATCACTAATAGTATATGCAAATTCACCATCCAATTCTCGTATCACATCGATGATCTGCTGTTGTGACAATAATTTATCCAGGACATTAATCTGAGATAAAAGTTGCACAATATATTGTGTATCATTCCCATTTTGGTCAATTGCATTATTATATAATTCACCATTGAATTGTAATACAAATTTTCCATCTATGACAATACTTTGTTTTGTGAACGGTTGTCTCAATGATAATATTGAGGAGAACCAACATGTATTCACATCCTTCAGACACCTAAAAGATGAAAAATCGGGTCCTCTAGCTACAATATAGGGTACAATCTTATCTATAGCATCTTTCCCACTAGGCTTTATAATATCATCCCCCTCGGTATATTCCAAATAAACATCCTGAGCAGTAGTTTGGCAACGAACATTGCTATTAAACAACAGTATCCCACACATTTCTTCCAAATTTTGTAAGTAGCACCTATTCTGCAGATAAAAAGAGTAAAAATACAACAACTTTGAGACAAATTGCCTAAACAATGGTAGCTCATCGAATCGATCCATGGCCTTTAAAACTTGTTTAACTAATGAAAAATTTCAGTAGAATAGAAAATAGCGGTGCTCTCTAGCAGTTACCGTAAACAGTCACATCCATTAACGGAACTTCACACGAGTTCTCTCCCTCCCGCTGTCATATAAATCAAACAAACAAAAAACGAACAAGACGAGCCATAGAAAAAAAAATTATAAGAATTTGTGCTGTAATTGCCGAGAATCCAGTTGGGTTCGCTGTGGTATGTCGATAACTGTCACCAAGGCTTGCATGACGCATAGTGTGAGCAAAAAATTCTTTAGAGGGAGAAATTCTTTCCCACTATAAAATATATATATATTTATTTAACAACTTTTAACGTCAAGAGGTAGCGATTAGAAGTTTAAGGTTTTAATAAACAAAGGTCATCGCCAGAAAGTAAAGATCATCGCATCGATATTGGGATATTATTATCTTCAAGGGATTACAACATAGTATTATCTGATAAAAGGCTTGAATTAAGTTTGAATCGCTCAAAAATAAAAGTGGTAAATACAATTGCTTTGGTTCGTGCTTCTTTTTATTTATTTATTTATATTAATTGCGAATAGTACCAAAATTTAAATATAATGAATAGAGTAAGCAAATTACCTACTAAATCAAAACGAGCCAAAACCTTCACCGGCTGTTGGACTTGTAGGGCTAGAAAAGTGAAATGTGATCTTCGGCGACCTAATTGTACTAGGTGTATTAAATCTGGCCTAGAATGTGGTGGGTATGATATTAAATTGAGATGGTCGAATTTAGTTCAATTCGATGATTTTGGGGTACAGATCAATAGTAATTCAAGAGCAGATAGTAACAACAGTAGTACGGATGGTAATAGTCCTATGGTCCAGGAAAAACCAAGAAGATTTCAAAGAAGAAATATAGATTTTGTTAGGTATGATAAAGAATATGTTTATCATGAAGATATGGATGATGAATTGACTTTATTACATGCTCCACCACCTGAAAAAGTGGAGCATGGGAAAACTTGGATCATTGAAAAATTTGGTGTGTTTTTGGGTAGTGATAAGACCCTAGATAACGATAATATATCAACAAGACAACAAAAATCAGCTTCGACTTCAAAACATGCATGGTTGACGGCATCTCCAACTCCAACTCCAACTCCATCAAATGAACTAAATATTATTAAAGAACCAATAAATTCACTATCTTTGGTATCGTCTCAAAATGGGAATGATGAATCGATTTGTCCTGAAATATATGAAGCTACAAATAATGAAAATGAAAATATACCACAAAATCAAAAAGATTCAGTAAAAGAGACTGTTCCAAAAATTGCTCACACAAAAAAAATAACAGATCAAGATAATTTGAATCTAACAAATCCTCAATCCATGGGATATAACACCGATTTAACAAGTTTTCCAGGATTTGAATGGATATCTAAAGAGTTACGTGAAGAAGTATTATTATCAGCTTTTGCATCTCAGGGAACACCTTTTGATAGAACATATTTGACGTCGGCAGAAAAGAATCAAAATGAAATAGATGAAGAAAATGGATCCATCACAAAAACAACAGTGGAAAATGATGGTTCCACTGAAGAAGCACATCAAATTGGTAATACTGTACAAAGTGCACTACATTCTTTGTTCCAAAAACCTGAAGAAATTGAAGTGAACGAACATCAGCAAACAATTAACAAAATAGATATTCAACGAAAACAACAAAACAATTTAGAAATCAATGCACCAAATTCTGATAATGGTATGCCTAAGACAGCCATTGAAATAATAGACTCGAAAGTAAAGGACCAAGATGACTTGGTAACTTGTTTAAGAAATGCAAAGCTACCATTCAATGTTCCTACTACAGGTCTAGTGGTTCATGGTCTAACAAGATTTCTTTTAACTTATTATTACGATAAAGTTGCGGATTTGATGACCGTTGTATCATTACCAGATAGAAATCCATGGAAAAAATTGTATTTCCCAAGGGCATTATCAGCTCTTGGTGATATAGCAGGATTAGGTCATACATCAAGTTCAAGAAATTGTTTGTTGAATGCATTACTGGCTGTTTCATGCTTCAATTTGAAGAGTAAACTACCTAAAAATTCTAAAGAACAAACTTTATTTCTAAATCTGGGTATAGAATTTAGAACACAAGCCACAGGTTTCCTTAAACAATGCTTGTCATCTTCCGTTCAACAAGAAAGATACAAAGATGTATTAACAGCAATATTGTCAATGAATTCTATTGATGTCGTATGGGGTACTATGTCCGATTGTCAGCAACATTTAGATCTCGGAGAAAAATTTATTGAATATAGAATGGAACATAGACCTAAGTTATCTGAAAAGGCCAAAACCTTGCATAGAATATTTTCTTTTTTGAAGTTAATTCAGGATAGTACTGCATTAGATAAAGTAACATCTACTGAAATTGTATTCTCAGTAAATAGCCTACCTAATTTGGACAATAAAACTAACAATGGTAATGAACATAATGAAATCGAAGCACAACAAGGATTGGATGGACAATTCAAGGAAGCATTAAACAAAAAAGATGGAAAGATTAGAATTGAATTCGTTAAGAATAATATTTCTGATAATTCATCCGATGACTCAACTGGAATATCGCCTCCAATCTTTGAAAACCTCACTAGTAATAGCTTCTTCCACACAAAATCATCATTAGATACAAAGATGGATATTGTCGACATAGAGACTCTATACGGACTTCCAAACTCATTAATTCTCTTATTTTCGGATTGTGTTCGAATTGTACGGCATACGAAATATTATAAAATGAAGTATATTCCAGTACCTCGCCAATTTATTGAAGTAACTCAAAAATTTGAGAAAAGACTAATGAAATGGAAGCCGGAATGGGAATTTTATGATATTGGTTCAGAAATTGGAGAACGAAAGTTTGTTAGCGATCCAATAGAGGCCCTTTATCATCACACAATGAGTTTTTTCAATGGCCTAATTATATATTACTTCTCAATGGCTAGAGATTTAAGTAATAACTTTTTGCAGCAATATGTTGAAAAAGTACTTAATCATTTACGGAAAATGAACATCTTAATAGAAAGTAAGAAAGTGAAAATGGTTCCTTTAATATGGCAAGGATTCATTGCGGGATGTGCTAGCATGACAGAGGATGAACAAAACGAATACCGCAAATGGGCTGCAAAACTGGCTGAAAGTGGAATGGGCTCATATTGGGGAGCTCGACAAGTTATGTTTGAAGTTTGGCGCAGAAGAAAAGTAGGTGCACATGGTGATGATTGGTTTACTGTATATCAAGACTGGGAAATGAATTTGATGCTATCCTAATCGAATAGTCTGTTTAATAAATATATCACATTAAATTTCTTTGTTATTAGCAAAATTATTGTATATGTCTAAATAATTTTATATAGCGGTAAGGAGGTATACAATCAGAGATACCATAAATTATAATATATTCAACTAAACTATATTTAAAAATGTGTTCTTATTTACGAAAAGTGTTATACATTGTTAAACAGTAAAAAACTCAATAGATTATTTTTTGATAATCTTATATATAGCTTTACATTTGTTAATCATAATTAAGTCTATAGGAAGAAAAAGAACGAAATCGATAATAATATTCGATTGTCTTAGTAGAAAAGAAGGGTTTATTGGGTATTTATTAAAATGATTAATAACATAATGGAGTATAAGAAAATAGTAATAGAAGTAGGGTATCATGGAGAAATTACGGTGCTGGTTTGTTCAGTTCTCTATCGAAAATGTGTTAATTGAAAAAAAATCATCTATAAGAAAAGAAAATAAACGGCAAGTAGGAAAATCAGCATATAAGAGGCACTAATAGTGCTTGCACGATTTTCTACCACACCAGCCTCGTATAAGTTCCTCTTAGTTACGGGTATTCTAGAATTTTCAATCATATCTCTTTTCCACCAACTATGGTGACGTGGACGTTCATGATGACGCCTTTGATGCCATAAATCGTCGTCGTCATAACCATCGCCGTCATAGCTATTGTCGTCATAATTATCATTTTCATAGCCATTGTCGTCATAATTATCATTTTCATAGCCATTGTCGTCATAATTCTCATTGTAATAGCCATTGTCGTCATAATTCTCATTGTAATAGTCGTTATCATTATCATTGTCATAGTCATTATCATTATCATTGTTATAATTTTCTTTATTTTCTTCAGGATCCAGAATATCCAAAGCTTCAGTTAATAAATCGTCTCCGAGGTCCAATATATCGACGCCAAGGTCAATGACAGCTTCCCCAATTTTTGGAAGCTCCTCTGTAGAGGTTTCAAAGGAATCGATATTCTCATCCGTTGATGTCACATATTCAACAGTAGTGGATCTTGAGGGATGAGTCGTCACAACTACAGTGCTAGGGAAGGAGGATATTTTCAATGTTGGGATGTATAAAGTAGTAGTCGATGATAGAACATGAGAGCTGTTAACACTTGATACAATAACTGATGGAAAAGCAGTAATAAGTATTTTTGAAATAAAAACGCTTGATTTAGAGACTGATCCCGAAATTGATTTTGTTGATGTAAATGAAGTAGTTGAGGAAATTGGACTCGTAATAATATTGTATGATGAACTGTTGTAAAAATTAGTTAGCTGAGATGAGCTAGCAATTATTCCCGTTGTGCTTGAATTGACACTTAGAATTGGTGTAGTATAAGTACTAGGCTCAGTAGATGCGATAATCGAAGTCAAGGGAGGTAAATAGGATGCTATATTAGTAGTAGACGACGTACTCAATGATGTTGCGTTCAGAATAGATGTTGAACTGTAGTCGATAGTACCTGTAGTTTTATTAAAATATGTCGACGACGCTAAGATCGGAGCGGTAGTACTATTGATTACAGAAGGATAGGATACAGTCGAAGAAGAAACAACCAATGTTGTAAAATTATCGAAAACACTAGAAGAAAAAGTGGATATCGAAGATAAAGAGGTTAAAACTGAAGTACTGCTAGGAAGAAGTAAAGTAGTAATAGGAGTTGTCTCAACCAGAGTAGTTGCATTAAAAGATGTAGTAGTGTTTGAAATACTAGTAGTATTAAATGGTATAATAGTAGTTAAAGTTGCAGAGGTAGTGTCTGAAGATGTGGTGAGGATTGGAATAGTAGTATTGGAAGTAGCCAAAGGTAGATTAGTAGTTGAAACGAAAGTTGGAGCTACAGTTGTATTAAAAGTTAAGTCTGTTGTTAGACTAGTAGTAGTATTTTGGGAAGGAATGGTGGAAGGAATGGTAGTAGGAATCACTGTTGCAATATCTGACGATAAAACTACTTCAATTTTAGAACTAGAGGTAGAGAACACTTCCGACGGATTTGAAAGTATAGTAGAAGATATGGAGGAGGTTGTGTTGACTGGCGTTGTCAATGAACTAAAATATAAGCTAGATGTAATATAGTCTGAAGACAAAGTAGTAGTAATATGTTCTTGAACACTGAATGTACTGGTGGTAATAAAATCAACAGAAGAAGAAGAAGAAGAAGAAGAAGAAGAAGAAACAATACTTGGTAATAAAGTTGATGAGACTATGGACGAAATTGTAGTCAACTCTGTTGGTAATGGAGATGAAGTAGTGATGATGGTTGAAGAGTTCGTATAATACTGGCCTACGACTGAGGGAGCAATCTGAGCTTCGGTTGCTTTAACCAGCAGAATAAATACGGCATAGGAAAAGGAACCTATGTACATTTTCATCTAAGCTATTGATATTTTTGTTTAATCTTATTGGAAAAGTAGTTTTATATGGTATGGGATATTATATTACACTTGTTTGGAAATAGCAAGAAGGTAGATATGGAAAAACAGAATATCACAATTCTCAGCCAAAACTTCACTCTTTATATACAAGATATGAGCAAATAGGATTGTCATGAATTCGCCGAGATATATCTCTAAATGATTTATGTAATTCATGTCCCACATGCCTCCAAGACCCGGCAATTTACCAACGTAAGTTAATTTAATCCAGTTTCTCCAAAAGTGGATTATTTATGACCGTAAACAGATACAATATACAAATATCATAGCAACTACTTTGATAAGTAATTTTGATGTTTAAAGTCACTGGATATGGCAATGTTTCTATTGTTATTAATAATGAAAGTTTTTATAGCTACGGACTATTGAAATATTTCAAAGCTTTCCTGTAATAAAGACTTTCGTTAATTAAGGGTTGTATTGACTAAATTATTTATTTCGTAAGATAAAATTCAAATAGCCATCAAAGGCTCGATCAAAAGTTGGGTCTCTGAAATAATAAAATTATGGTTTTAACAAAACATAATACATGTAATACCATTTCAGACACAATAAATTATAGTAATCTAAGTGTGCAAACATGTGGTTGGATAGGCAAGCAATAAACACACTTCCAAACAAAGAATTGAGTGATTGTTACTAAGGAAAGCGATATTCAATATTTTTCGTAATAGGAAACCAAATTCCCGGATGACTGAATTTGACATTTTAATAGTTAAAATTTCTTTAAGTAATAATGAAACCGTTAACACTTTCTATATCAAGTCTTCCCAACAAAAATGGATTAGTCATTTACAGTAAACGAAAAGGAAAATAATTCAGTTAATTATAACCCTTAATTGATTTCTCAAGATAACTATATACTATCTTTACATTATATGTTAAGGAAGCCAGTTTGTGGCAAAATAATAGGAAATTTAATGAAAGCTGTTTCGAAAGTGAAACAGTAAAACATACACATTTCGTTCTCAATTAGAAAAGTACATGGTTTTCTTAAAAGAATTTTAGGACATTTTTATTATTTAAACTGTTCCTGTAATTAAAGCAATATAAGAGACAATGGCTAAGTGAAATATCATCCTATTGTTGCTATTTAATGAGACACAAACAAAACAGTAGAAATATTTCGGACGATTACAATGCTTTAGATAATAAAAGAATTACTAATAGTTCACAGGAGCACAGATGCTTGAATAACTCTCTATTGAAAAAAACAAAGCGAAGAAATGGATATGTCTGTTTACCAAAAGACAAAAAGAGAACTTTGAAGTTACTATGCTATGTGTAATATTTATTTGATGCCTATAACCTCGTAAAATTCATTTGCGTATTGCGTATTGTAATAATATGCATATGTTGTATACTTTTGTTACCAATATAACGAACAATAGAGAGTACTTACAGTTAATATTTCATTTGACTTGGTAGCATAAGTTGAGTTAGTTTGCGAGTCTAGAATTTGAATTTTTCTGTATTGTCTTTCCCCTTGAAAAAAAAAATTTAACAAACATTCAACGATTCCGAGTTGAAAAAGAAACCTCTTATATTGTTTAATGATCCCACTAAAAAAAAAAAAGGAGACAACTTCATGTGAAAGGTTCTACCTATTGTTTCAAAGTTTAATGAACTAGTGAAAGGAGTAGATATTTATCTTTTGATGACGATATTATAGAATAGTGGTGGTGTTTATTCGATAGAGAGACCAGTTTAGATTCCATATCTTCCGTATAGTAATGGGAAGTTCGTCGTATGGTACAGCGTCCCAGTATAATGTTCTAAATATATCCCTATGAAATTATGGATAAGTCACATTTCTTAGAGGTAACATGTCTTACGGATGGACATACAACCTGACTTCTGCGTGAAATCAGAATTGTAAGTGGGATTCCCTTTTTGTAGATGCTTCTTAACATGTATGCATTATAGATAGTGTCGACATCGTTCAGGTTAGTTACCTAATATTACAAGTTTATTATAACGAAGATGTTTGAACCATAATTTAGCATACCCTGAATATATGTTAGAATGGAGCTTACTCTTGTTTAGGGTCACTTCTCAAACATATTTTGGTACAGTGGTGAGCGATTACTACCAGTTTTCTAAGCCTTTTTTAATGAACTTTCGCAACGTCCTAAACGATTTGCTTTACCAAATATGTCACATCATAACACTTTAAAATGTGAATCTTGTTATGTTACTACATCTAAAATATAACTATGTCGTGGTAACTTCCAATTACGTGTATTTATGAGAAGGTGACATGCATTTGATCTTGGAGCAATACATTCAAGAAAGCTAGTTAAATATATCTTGTAGATTATTTAATATACACAGAGAGTCTTGATTCTTCAAGTTAAGTTCGTAGTAAATCTCTAACTCCTGATCCTCCCATGTTACATAACATTCATGAAGTGTTTCTAATTTAGGTACTTTCCCATAAAATTAATTTGCCAGTAGAAATGTTTCTAAAAGCGAATTCAAAGTCAAATCAATAAACCTGGGATTTCAGCGAAGTTAAAACGACAACCTAACCGTAGAAGTACATAGACCAATTGACTTAACAAGAAACACTCTTTGTATATGGTACAAATACAAGATGAGACTCATACAACGGTACCATTTGTACAAATAGCAACAAATAAACCACCGTTCTATTGTTTAACATTAAACAATACAACTGATAAGTGCAATTATTAAAGCTATCAAAATTTTCATTACAATGTAAAATGAATTTGTCGAATTTGTCTATACCTTGGCATTATAAAAACTAGAGTATTGTTTTAAATTTCAAGAATAAAAAAAAAATTATAAACAATTAAATAGTTTGTGTCTGGGTTCCTTTTGGTGTTATTCTACTTAATATTTACAACAGTTAACAGATTTTAAGAAAATTTAAATATTTCAATATTATAAAATTAAGGTTTCTCTCAACAGATATTCCGTATATCATTCTACAGATTGTCTAGAAATAGCTGAGCGCTCTATTATCATAAGTATATGCTACTACATAACCGTAATTCTATTTCCTGTGATATCTTTCTCGAAATATAAATACATAACATCGCATTACTTCGTTAATAGGAATTTTTTAGTTACACATAAGACTCACTTACTTAGTTATATAATAGGGAATTACATATACACGTATAGCCCACGAGAGAATGTTTGGGTTGTTATATATGTGCAACCATTCTACAATAATGTACCAAAATGTTTTCTTCAATATGTCTTTTGAATAATACTTTGAATTTTGCCTCCCTAACGTTGAACAGGTCAAAATGGGATATTAATTATTTCTGTTACATTTGTATTCAAATACAGTGCGTATTCATTGAGATGCAGTTCTAATGTTCAACGACAACTTCATTCAATCAAACATTTAAATTAGAATCACTGTTTTATTTTAGTGTCTTAGAGGAATAAATATATCCCACCCATATAATATAGTTTCTTAAATTGAGATAAAATATAACAGTTAATATAATAAATCTTTAAAATTATTTAATGTAGGGAATGCATAACTTTCCTCGAGTTTCACAAATATACCATTATTAATTGCAACTAGACTACATCAGGACCAAAGTAAAGGTCATGAAAAAGGCATCTCAAGTGTACCCTCAAACATATGTGTAGTGATAATATTATACCCATATTATACATCGTTCATATGTGCTTTGGCACTTTACTACAGTCAACTCACACTATATTGATAGAAAAATAGTTAAATTCTACAATATGGTACAATTTCCCTTTGTAATAGTTACAGATCAGGTTTTAAAATTGCTATATCCCGTTTAAAATAATATAAATAGGTTACAAAAAAAACTTTGATGAGGGAAACTACCTAGTTAATGAAAAACGTTTTTCGAGGACTTGTTGTCATTGTCATTTTGGTTGGGTATTCTACTATGATGTCCTCTATTAGTACTTTTTTCTGATTGAGAAAATGTAGTACTGGTACAAAGAGAAATATTTACAAAAATAGAGAATAACACCCACTCCAAAGAGAATGACAATTTTCAGGTTCTCACCTCTCTTTCGGTAAGAGAATAATGGTGAAAAGATTACGCAATGATTAGTCAATTTAAGTCAACTTTTTACAATTAAACATACTTTAAAAATCTCTGGAAAAATCTCTGGAAAAATCTTGACCATATCTTCTGTAAATTATCTTGGTTTGAGTTACTTAAAGTTATCACTTCTACTGTGACCAATTGTCACAATGCAATTAAAATTTTAATAACATTTATAAGAAACCTATAAAAATATAAAAGGTTGAATATAACAACCAAACTGTTGAAATGAAGGTGAACTCTATTCACAGTTTTCGTATATGAGGAATATATAATACGGTGTGAAGGAATACTGTTCTGAGAAATACACGTTAAATTAACAATGATAATGCCTTTATATTTAGACTATTATACGAAAATATTATAATTAATTCCATAAATTGCACAGGATATATTAAATTCAACATATCTCTAATGACAGGATCAGATCTTTTAGTCACTATAGAAGCTTCGTACTCTAAATGCAGTTGTACCTTATATTAATGAACAGGTCATAAAGATGTGATTAACAAGATCCCAATTCCTAGAATTAATCCCAGTTCTCAAACAAACTGCGTAGTATAAAAAATTGCCAAGCCATACTTTTTTTTATCGATGGTTCTCTGCTTCTCCCCGTATATGCTAAAATATTTTTCTTGGCAACACTGTCCATATATTAAAAACAATGTTTACATTCAAACTTATACGAGGTATGAAAAGAAGTAAATAGAGAGTAAATTGCCAAAAGTTAATATTAAAATGTTTTTGAGTCCTATAGAGAATGATGACAACATTTCCCTGCTTCATATTTTATAGGTATTTAATCACACAATGACATTGGAGTAGATACGTTGAATATTAACGTTAGAGATGGCGTACATATGATGTCTCCAAAGATATATTTAATTCTAAGCAAGCCAAGAGAACTTAGAAAATTTTTCCTAATCAATGGTTACCAGTAATCATTACCCCTCAGCTACAATCATATTAGTTCTACAATACGAGAAAACAAAAATAAGTGGAAATACCAAGAAATGGAGGTACGTCGCAGTTACTAATATTTATTATTATTATAGGGGTTAAATATTTCGCCAAAGTAAATTTAAAACTAATATTACCTTATGAACTGATTAATAATTGCGACTCAGCTATTCATATTTCCCAGTTAAAGTGATTAATCTGTACCTACCTGAAATTATGTTAATGAACTTTCGTTCAACATCCTTCTTTGAGATTTGATTCTGAATCGTTTACTTGATTTTAATCTCAGTAATAAATCGATGCTTTTAAACTAAAATTGTTATTTTGCTTTTATTTACCAAATTAAAAGCGAACATTTGTTCTTATATGAAAAAATTCCAGGAATACTTTCCACATTTTCATCACTAGATTCTATTTGAATTCTATTTGGTCGTGGAACGATAGATTTTAGACATACTCAAACGAACTATGTTCCATCAACGCTTGTATTTCATAAAGAAAATATCTACATGGTACCCTCAGCAAATATTTCAATTCTAATTATTTTATTGGGTTAGTTTTTATAATACGACTTAACGAACCAATACGAATAGCTGATGGATAACCTACATGAATAAGATTAGCAATGAAAATCTTTTCCCAATCATCTTAATCAAATATTCCACTCACATATATAAAGGCTATAAAGATCTCAAATTATGAATATCATATCTACCCCTTATCATTGTATCGTTCTGTTTATATACTTATCTTAATCTGTGATATAACAAACTATATATATGTTACACATTATGCGGTTATCATATCATATTTTATTCTTAGGATTAGTTTTAACAGTAAATGCCTCTTCAGATCCAACTCTAGAAAAAATTGCTGAATTGATTGTCTTACTGAATGATGTTAATGACAATTTCGGTAAGTATACAGCCTGGTTTTTAACTTCTGGTCGTTCTATTCCAACCGGTATTGTTGAAGTGTATATGGTAGTTCGTACTGCTACAGATCTGTCTTATACAAGTATGTTCACAATGCTTGATGTGTCTGCCCTTGAAGCCATGGCTACTGCAGTTCCATGGTACACATCCTATCTTTCCTCAGAAATAGAAGCCGCAATTGCAAATGTAGATGCCACGTTATATCCATTAACTTCCTCGACTACATTGATTACAACTTCTTCTAGTACATCCTCAAGTACGTCCACCAATTATCCTACTTCAACCATTTCTGATGACGTTTCTACAACTATTACCTCAACAGAGCCTTCTAGTTCTTCATTTAACGCAGCAACCGCATCTCAAACATCATCTGCTGTTGTATCAACATCTACTAGTACACTCTGCAATTCCTTAGCGTCTCCTGAAAGCATTTTATATTTGGGTTCTGGCTCGAGCAGTACCATAAATATTCCAACTGCTACATCGTCTAAAAATGACGTTTCTAATACTACCAATGGTGCATCCTCTGTTTCTAATCGAAAAAATGTTGGTCTACCAAAAAGTACGTCATCTCTAACTATCACTGACCCATCTACCACTGTTCTAACCACATCAATATCTACGTTATCCGATGTAATATTATTAAACCCTGATGTTTCCTTACAATCTTCTTGTACAACTGATATCGATGCTGTAAGTTTAAGCATAAATCTATCATCTAACTTTGTTTCTTTTGCTGACTCCTACACATATGCTACTGAAATGGTGTCTTCAAACAGCTTGAATTCCACAATGTCTACCTCCCCAGAAGAAAGTGTCACCTCCTTCACAAACTCTAATGGCGTTGCTACAGCCTATTTTACCGAAGTCAACAATAGGACTATTACAATTATTACAAACTTTATTATTGCTACTAAAATTGACACTATTACATCTTGCTCCGGAGGTTGCATAGAGAACTCTGTGGTCGAGAAAGAAACAGCCTGGACTACTGTTACAAGCAGCTTAATTTCAGAAGAATCTATGAACACGGCTTCACTAGTAACTGTAAATTCATTAACAACCACCACGATGACCGTTTGCAATGAAAGATACCTTTATACAAGATCCATTGTTTCCTCTGTTGTTTCTACGGTTTCATTCACCGATTCCATAAAAAATATTGACTCTATCGATGTCGCAACTACTACTACTATTAGTACCTATGACGATGCAGGTAGCTCCTCGAGATATCAAAATTCTTTAATTCCTTCTATTTCTACCAAAGTTGAACTAATTAATTCTAGATCTAACAGTTCTGTTGAAGCAACAATTGGCAACGAAGCTTCCACTTCATCCACATTTGTGCCTGTGTCGATTAGTCCTAAGGCTAGCGGTTCCATAAGCAGTGTTGTTGTACAGTTAGAAAATATTGCAAATGCTAAAATCAACAATATAAGGTCTGCCTTTTTTGGAGTAGCCCTGTTACTACTATAATGTTACTGCTCTACTGTGGTAACTTATATATACATATATTTTTAATAATACTAAGTGATTTTGAAAACCATAATGGATCAATTCCAAATATCCTAATCCACATACTTAACAATAAGTACTTTGAAAGATACCTGAATAATCATTTTATATAAAACTATATATTTCAATTTAGTTTTATATATATAGTTGTACAATTTAATGAAGTTATAATAATTATAACCTTCATTTTTAATGTGATATAAAGAATATTGAGATACATACGGGAACAGTTTAATAAGTACTACAATTTTCTGATGCTACATTAATATAGTGAATAATGACCGAATTCTGAAGATTCACTCAAAAACATGTTTACATTTTTATTTTGCTTCATTATATTGAACTGAAATAACTGGAGTTAGTCTCGCTTCTTCATTATGTGAATTCTGAATCACCACCACATTGTCCCACTTACGTTTAGTACCACTACCCAACGTTTTATTTTTGTTGCTCGTTGAAGTAATATTAGGGAAATATGTTAAAATTGGATTCATCCCAACTGTACTTGTTGTATCATACAACACCTCACTTAGTTTAGTATTATTAAAAACATCATTACTTTCTTGTCCAAGAATTCCCTGTTTCTGAGTGTTAATATTTCCTGAAGCTAGTATGCCCAAATTTAATGTCTGAGAAGGATATAATTCACAGTAAGGCTCTGTTGGTGTCGAGTACTGATCAACTTCCATCTTATCTTCAACTTTATACCCATAAAGGTGACTGTCTGATGAGTTAGCAAAACCGTTACTTTTTCGTTCTGTAATTTCATTACTATAAATATCCCCATTGATGGTACCTAGGACCAGTTAACATTTAAAATTTGGAGTAGCGTCAGTCGTTGTAGGTTGTGTTGGATCTATCGTTTTGGACAGTAGAGCTCTTTTGAAGTCCTGAAAAATTAGGGTGTAGCTTCTTCAAAATTTATAGCACTTAAACTGGAAGATTATTCCTATTTATTAGGGGGCCTAGCTTCAAGATTGTGAACATTTTTTGACGATTCTAATGATAAACAAGAAACTGTGCTTGTTGTTGATAGTAATATATCATCAGACACATAATTCTGTTCTAAACTGTTTAGTATTGAATTATTCACGACATGGCATTAGTAATATAGAGTGTATCGTTACTTTCATCTACTGTACACTCAGGTAACTTAAACCGTTTTGTGTTCATATTTTTTAGTGTCTTTATAATTAAAAGAGATACAGACAATACTTCTGTCACTATTTCGGTTAGTATTAAAATATATGTATAAACAATCATTTTAGAGTAGGTAAATATACTACGTATGTAATAAGGTGGGAAACCGTAACACTAACATCAACATATTGAATAATATAATCTGTATATGTGTAGAAATATTTTATAAAACGTGTATATCTGTTGTTAATTGAGTATTATCAAGAAGTTGGACAACAGTATCATTTAAAGATTCTACATCTGTGACTAGGGAATCATACCCACACAGGAAACTTGCCTTATACTTATACACCCGTCTGCCACAGAAAAAAAGTTCACTATTTCTCCCTAAAAAATGAATATAATCTTTATTTGATGATGTTATATCTTAATTTAAGAAATTAAAGTGTTCGATGCTTTCATACCAATAGTCGACTATATCCCGAACATTTCCTTATCCATAATGAAAAGTGTCAGAAATTAAGAGTAATATGCACAACACTTAATTTCAATAGGTAAAGAACTACCTTTAAGCACAGTTATTATGAAGTGTGTTAAAATATCAACCTTATATTCTCTACATATGTATTTTATATCTATTCCTGTGTTGTGATTAGAACTACACTGGTTGTTAATATATATTATTTAGATATTTATAAGATGATCCTTATTGTTTTATGTACTACTCAACTCTAATCTTCTTTCTTAGGTCTCATGCTCGTCGATATCTCAGCATCAAAGACACCTGACTTTCCTACATCGAGACGATCTTACTCTATGTACCACAACATATTGGCACTAACAAGGAGTGAGAAGACGTTTTTCATTCAATTTCGTCTTTCTCTCTCTTCCACATCAAATTTAGAATTTCTACAGTACTTACTAAAGAATGATTTGTTATTTTATTTTTACAAGACTTAATAAGTAATATGGGACCAACAGTCTCCTCTAGAAAACAATGCACCAAATAACAATTGCAGGGTCGAAGATATTTTATTTCACAAGCATAAAGTACATCATCATACTAATTAGATGCTCAACTGTTTCTTTCTAACTAATAATATTTCCCTTTTTCCAAGAGGCAAGGCACCTATCCTTGGACTATAATCTACCATTAAAAAGTCTTTGTCGACAAATGCTACTATCGTTGTTTGTTATATTACCAAAAAAAGGACTTTCCATAATAAAATAAATTGAGACAGTAAATTTAAAGAATTTTCCAATCCTGATTAGTCCATCGGAATACATATCTATAAGAATTCTAATGGTATATCTCTGATAAAAAAAAAATCTTGAAAAAATACTGGTACACAATCTGTACTATTCCTCTTCTGTATCAGACTTAGCAGGTAGAATAAACCTACCATTGCCAATATTCATCTTCCCAATAAAAAATAAAACTATACAAAAAGATCGACCCAATGTAGATCTCTCCACCAAACGGGAAGGAAGAGGAGAGGGGTGATTTACTATCCTCTGCTTTCCAAAGGATCGGCATTCGAATTGTTCAGCTAATTTTTTTTTAGAGAGGAGGTCGCTCCCTGCGCTACAGTCTGTGCTTTAATTTTATTTGAGTTTCGATCGTCATTACTTTCCGTGGAACTTCGTAAATAGAAAAAACCAGTAAACGTAAACTGAACTAAGCAGTTACTTTTGGGACCACCAGACGAGAAATTAAAAATGCAGTTGCAGGAAGTGCCTCTCTCTTTTTATTTTTGAGGGTAAACACTTTGCTTAGCCAATTACATTATATCGAACCCGATATTAAACTTTTTGGATAACATAAGGAAACTAAATTTCATCCAAATCTTCTCCGTTCTTTTCCATACTTCTGACTACCACTTGGGATCTCAGTAAATTATCTGATGAAAGTCATACTGAGTTAAACGTGAACTATTAAGGGTTCTCCGTGAAATTCATAGAGCTGTTAACTAACCCAAAAGAGAAAAAAAGGTTAACCATAGTAAGCCAAAAACACAACATTGCCGCAACTGATCGGTATATAGATATCTCTTGATCGTCTACGAGATTCTTTCTCCCAAGTACGGCTAGTTTGTTTATTCATTATTATTTCATATTGCTTTCCACGGGAACACCCCTCATGAATAAAAAAATCTTAACAATAATGAATACACCTTACCGTTTGTTAATCATCACCTTTAATTGATACAGGATTTCCGTAAAAACTGAGTATACTCTTAAAAAACAATTAACAAATCGCAATTGTCTAAAACTCTATATCCAGAACAGTTCTAATTTGATTAAGGAGGATTATTCAATTGTTATTCAAAATATTCTAATATGTCTGAGGTATATATATAGCCAGATGTTTCTCGAATTATGCAATTAAATAAACTACATTTCCTCAGAGGTTATTTTTAAAAAAAGCTATAATAAAAATTCCAATCTATGCAATATAAAATAAAAATAAACTACACAACTATGAACAGTTTAATTTTAACATTAATAACAACCTTCTTATTTACAACGGTCCAATCTCAGGAAAATAATTATCCAAAATGTTCCGTATATCAATACCATTTTGATGAAGATTATTTGGGAGTCGGATCAACAGGAATGTCTAGAATAACTTTTCATAAGTGTGCTCTGAACAACAAAGCTCCTTATGGTGATCGGACAAAATGGGAATATTTAACTAGTTTAGATCCTTCTGGTTCTGGTTTTATTGTATTTACCCCCACACTAAATTTTGAAGCAACCACAGGAGGTGACCCCAATACCGTAGTTTACGGAGATATATACGGACGAAACACGACAATTTCGAATTTTACCTTTGACGCTACCTCCACATTAGTAGTACCGAAGACTGGATACTACACTTTTAACATAGCTGCGTCCAAAGGTGCATTGATGAACCTAGAGGACTCAATGAATGCATATTGTTGCGAAATCTATCCTGATTGGGATCGAGGTCTATCTTTTTATGTTGCAGATCTTCAATCGGAACCGGAAAATAATAAACTAGAAGACTCCGTCTTACTCTATGCGGGCTTCTATTATGACATGACCATAATGTATATGAATACTAATGGTGCAGATGCTTCGTTTCAATTAACTATGACAGACCCCGATGGGGTTCAACACAATAATATTAACCCATTTTTACGCATGGTTACAGCGGGAGACCTCCTTGCCTGTTCGTACATTAATGTTACCACCACCACTACAGTTGCATGGGAGGGTTCTACTACGCAAACATCTATTCAATATGCAACTTCTACAAATGCTGGTGGTGAAAGAGTTATCGAATCGTTGTATATTGTGCAAACTCCAGCATATGCGTCAAGCAGTGTTTCTTCTTCCGCAATGGAAATTTCATCAACTGTCGCAACTTCTAGTATTACTACTTCAGAACCAGAGTCTACTGCTGTTTCCTCAGAAACCGAATCACAAGCCGAATCATCGACAAATATAAGCTCCGAACCTTCGTTTTCAAGTGCTACTACCTCCGAAGTTGAATCTTCAACCGTAATAACTTCCGTTCCATCTTCTTCTATGGAATTATCATCAAGTGCAACTTTAACCTCTGATTTTGTCTCCGAATCATCTGTTGCCACGTCAGATTTACATTCATCTAGTAGTAATGAACCACTATCTTCTTTTTCTTCGACTCTCGACTCTCTGTCTGAAATGTCCACATCCTTTGAACCAGATACATCTAGTGACATTTCAACCTCTGTTTCAGACAATGGAGCATCAACCCATATCTCTTTGTCATCTGACCAAATTTCAACATCTGATTCCGACTCTCACCATCTTTC